TCCTTTTTGCTATTATAACCCATGGGTGACTTTTGGCATTGCTAGGTAGTCATTGAGCATTGTCTCAAGCATCTCTCCCCCTATTGTGGCTTCTTCTCATGTAGCACCATTCATTGGGCCCACTAGTATGTATAGATCTACATCCATGTCATTGTGCGAGAGCAACTCCACATTTGTTTTCATTCTTACATTATTTATCACATATTCAACACATGTTTTACTTATCACCTTTGTGCGAGGTACTTGGTGTGTTCTCAATGCATCTTGGTGCTTGCACCAATTATGCTTTTGCAAGTTAAACTATTTATATGTATTGCCTCCTATATATGCATAACACTATTTGTTTGCACAATACCATATGTGCATGTTGTGTCATCCATGTATGTTGTATCTTCCATGTGTGTGTATCATTTATGTGAGCCTTGTCACATTTGTGCACCATGTTGTTTTATGATCTTGTGTTGCCCTTGTGACATTTTCTTCTTCTTTGAGAGTTTGATATATTTTTTAAAAGAAAAGTAAGATAGTGATTTAGCTAATGTCAAATGGTCATAAGTTTTTGTTTAGGTGATAAGTTGTCTCTTCTTGAAGTTCCCTCTCTTATTGGACAATAATGTTTGTATAATGGTGAAGGTTATGGTGTATCCTTTCTTCATCAATTAATCAATGATCGAATATTTTGAAAACTCTCTTAAAGAACATAGGTGGTTGCTGCTTAGGTTGTTTCATTGTGGATTAATTGTGTTCACTTTGTATCTCTTAATAAGTCATACATGAGATACAAGATGAAGAATTATGCATAGTGATAGTTTCAACTTGTAAATCATTACTCTTATTTATTTTAATATGATAAAGGGGCCTTTGTATGTTGTGAATATGTTCTTATTCTTCAAGGTATCTTATGTGCACTTATAAGTTATCATTTATAATAAATTTATAGTAACATTAGATCATTCACTTACAACTCAATATCTCTATAATGTTGAGTGGCTTACTTCTTTGTTTAGTTGATGACGATTTATAAATTATCATTTGCCTCTAACATCTCTATATGTTTGAATGTCAACCTTGTTGTTGCATGACAATGATTGGGGACATTCATTTACTATGAGAACTGAATATTATAATAAAAAATAATGACATGACGTAAGCTTTAATTCCTAATGATATGTTTGAAGATCAATTTGGTCACATCTTACGTCGTGTAGTGACCATTCATTAGTACAAAGATCTTACATTTGAAAAACTTGTCAATGATCACCAAGATACAATTGATTGATCTGTTTTTGGCAAGGTATAAGATAAATTCTAAAGTAATAGTGTGTCATCATATCTCATGTGCTTTCATATTCTTCTCCATCTTTAGTCAAAATAGTACTAATTGAGCAGTGCTAATATTCATTGATGCTCGAAATGCCCTAACTATGATATATCATATATTTTATACTTAATGTATGTCAACAATTCATAGTAGTCATAATATATTTATTTGGCATCTTCTTATGTATATCATGTCATCATCTATTTGGTAGTGTCATGTTGTTCCTTCTTAAATCTAATTCAAGAGTTCATATACATGTGTCCTTAATGCTTATAGTTTGAACTTATTAGAAGAATTACGTTGCGATACTAATTTGTTTTAATATGTTTAGATTAGTGGTAGTGTCTCACTTGTTTAATTCATATGCAATAATATTTTACACTCTATCATATTTTATTAAAAGTTGTTATCATCTACTTTGTGTCACTATCAATATGGGTTGTGTGTTAAAATAGTTGACCACCACATTATATGTATAGATTATGAAATAGTTTTCTATCATATAATGTCTCCACACTCAAAGGTAATACAAAATTGTGATCATATATTTTTATTATATTATATAATTACTTTCAATATTATTGAGTTTATTGCTTTCTATGGTGATCGCATGTGATTTTTGACTGAATACACCACCAATAACATATTATTAATGCTTGTGTACAGTATAGGCTTTGATGAAGTCTATAAATTAAAGAATTAATTCAGTCCTAATAACTCCATTCAATGTTGAGAATGATCTAAGTGTAATGTTATGTTCATCTTCATTATTACATAAAAGTTTAGTGAGCATTGTAGTCACATTCGAAAATTCTTTTATAAGTCAACTATAATAATTAACAAGACCTATTAATGACCTTAGAGATTTGATGTTCATTGAATTGGCCACTAAGTGATTGATTGCCTTCACCTTGAAGTTGTTTATTTAATTATTTTTTTATCAATTATATGTCATTAAAAATCTATATCTACTATTATAGATCTGCATTTTGTTAAACTTAAATATAGGTCATGTTAGTGAAATGAGTTCAGCATACTGTGAATATACTTCAAATATTTTTACATGTTCTCATTGTAGATCAAGATGTCACCTAAGTAGATAACCACAAAAATGTATAAGTACAGTTGAAATGTTACATTTATTAAAGTGCATAGAGTAGTCGGTTGTTGGTTAGCCAAAGGGCATGATTGTAGATTCAAATAACTCATATCTTATCACTTTCAGTCATCTTTGGTTCACCACCTTCTCTAAAATAATATATATTATTAAAGAATATAATGATATATATTCTTTAAGTTAAGCGTTTAAAAGACTAGTTATTCTAAATCAATTGAAAAGGTCATTCATATTCAATATTATGTACCTCTTGCGAATAGTCAATTTATTTAGAGTGCAATAGTTTATGCATACTAGACTTTTTTAATATCAAATAATTTTTAATATTTTGTTATCTTTTTTTTCAACAAGATAGTGATATCAAATGAAGACTTAGATGGTTGTAAGTGTCTAACTTCTTGTAATATTTGAATTTACTTTTGGAGTTCAGCCAAGTGGTATAACAACATCTTATAAGACATCTGAGTTGATTTATTCATGCTTGGTACAAGGTCACTATGTGGTCTATTTTTTTTGTGACAAAAGCTTAAGGGGTAGTTGATTTGGTAGTATGTATACTCTACTAAGAACTATTTGATATTTGTTAGCACATTCCTAACTTAAGTCTCTTGCGTCACTACTTATAATTTTAGTAGGAAAGTCTCATTCAAGGGGTAGTTGATTTGGTAGTATGTTTTAGCCCACATTGTAATTATAGCATTAAAGATTAGATCATACTCCAGGTGTGGGGTCACTTGGTTCATCGTTGGTGTCTAGTCTTGGAAGCTCAAACAAAACTTAGTTCTAATTCTTCTAATTATTATTACTTTGTAAGGATAAATTTAAATTTGTGTAGAGACAAAGAAGTCAATTCCTTGTACTGTCCAAACATTTATAAGTGACTTCACCATGAAGTATATAGGTAACCATTCCACCATTCTACTTGTATATATATTATCTTCATTATTCTTATGAGTAGTCAAGACTATAATATCCACTTGATAGTTGTCTTCACTAATGTAACTTTTTATCAATATAATTCTTAGAGTGCCATGGTTGTCATTAATTCTCCATCAATTTATATCTTAATAAAGACTAACTTTTTTTCTTACTCTACTTATAATTCTTGTAGGTGGACACTATATAATAATTGAAAGTTATTCATCTTCACATTTCTTCATCCCTACTCTTTTCATCTTGAGTCAATTATTGTTGGTCTACCATCGAATTGAATTGGGGTTGTTTGTTACTTTGTCCAATGAGATAGTCTGTCTCTTTGACAGTGTAGTCTCTCACATGTGAAAAATATCATACTTGCTCAAGTATGACAGAACATTGGGGTCATACAACTTGTCTATTACCTCTAAGTGGAGGAGGATGTCATGCTTTTAAAACATCATTAAGTAAGAGGTAAGAAGCATGTTTTAATACTACATGTGGAGGAGAGACACGCCATAGTGGCATGACTGGTATGAGTCAATACTACATGTGTGGTGAGCATGGCTGCACAGCAAAACATGTTCAATGCCACATGGAAGATATGTGGATGCACATTGCACTAGTACTAGACTTTGCTGGTGTAGGGTGAGGCTCTTGAAGGTCTTGCAAACCACTAGGAGCATGACATGTACATAAGACCTGTGGCATGAGAGCATGACAAGTGTACAACAGAGGCACAATACATGTGCATGTGACTGTCATGTCTGAACATGACATAGACACAACTAATATAGAATTCCTAACCTGATCTAAACATGGCTGGACAGCTGGTGTGTAACCGTCAATTGAGCTCATGTGGGCATATAACTAGCATGTCATAACCACCCTCTAGTGAGTTATGGTCATGTCCAACTGAGGAGACAAGCCAGGGTAAGTCTATTTATGGAAGTGACCTCCCCATCCAATTAAGGAAGGGATCGCCTCAGTCTCTCTCCAATAAATAGCAGTAGATCGCAATCTAGTTAAGACAGAAGCAACAATACAAGTTAATCTGGTGTCTTCTTCCTATTTCCCTTGTATTCCTAGTTTGGATAGAAGCCAAGTTCTCTGATATCTCTCGTAACCAAACATCTAAGACTGTACAAGGGCAATAGCCAATGAGGGTCGATTGGGGGAAGCCCTCTTTCTCTCTGATGCAGGAATACTTAATAGATGAATAAGTATTTCTTTCTAGCAACAAAATTTCTCTTTTTCCACACCTACAGAGGCGAGAATCTGAAGAATAGGGATTCATATGAATTAGGAGGAGAGCTCCAATGTCAATTTTTAACTTTTCTTTGTTCCTATAATGGACAAAGGCAAGCACTTAGACAGAAAACCAACATAAATGAATGAGTTAAAATTTCTTTCTAGCAACAAAATTTCTCTTTTTCCCACATCCACAGGCGAGAATCGAAAGAATGGGAATTTCCTAGCCCTAAAGATTACACATTTCTCCTCAAGGGCTTCTTTCTATCTACTATGAAACCACCAATAGGATGGTCGAAGGAGGGAAGCCCACTTTCTCTCTGATGAAGAACGGACATGGCATCCCTCCTCTTGGAGCCCCGATCAGATGAGAGCAAAGCCCGGTGAGGAGTGGTTTCATAATAAGGCACCCCAGACAGCTTCGTCTCCTTCGCCACACTTGGCGTGGACATCCTTGATCCTAACCACTGAGTTGCAGATCCCGCTGCAGCTCCAGTCAAAGGACGCAACGCAGACGTTGCCAGCCTGTGCCTTCCACTCACAGTCTGAAAGAAGAAGCTGAGTTAGCCAACGATGTTTTGGAGAGGAACGGCCATCATCTATGCAACAGAAGGAGCAATGAGATAACAAGGGAGAAAATTAATTCATTTACCCGGGGGGGTTCCACAGCACATGCTCCTCTCGTCGATGTGCTCGACTTCCAGGCCAATGAACCAGGAACCGAGGGAAACATCTTCATTGGCATACTTGTGCAATATGGGTCTGCAAATTAGGCGATTTTACCTCATTAGGAGGAAGAAAAAAGGAAAACTGGAGCACCTTTAGCTCATAAAATTGAGGGAGTTTCAGAGGATCAGCGTACTGGTTGATCGAGATGTATGTCGCCAGATCCTTGGAGATTGCATAAATCTGCCCAGTTGCATGCCGGAAGTACTTGTTGCCATCCTCCCCAAACTTCCAGTACTCTGGCTCGTGATATTTTACGTTCCTGGAAAATGGGAAAAAGAGATTGATCAGATGGGTTCATTGGAGTGCAAATGTTCTTGTGGCATAGCATCTCTAACAGAGGAACAGATTGGCAACTTTAATCCCCTGATTTATTGTGCGCCATGGGAATACATTTATATTGAACCATGGGAATTTAATCATCACATTTAAACATGAGAAAATAACAAAAATTAACATCATCAATCATCATGGAAAGTCCAAAAAACTTTACTTTTGGGCAAGGACTGGCCCAGACTTCATGCACCCGATGTAAATTCTTGGCTTCGATTTGTGCCGGGCAAGGGTTGAGGCTAGCATGCCTGAATAATTTGCCCAAAATGTCAGGAATTCCGAGGCTAAACAAGACAAAAAGGAAAAAAAAAAAAGAAAAAAAGAAAAGCGTTCATGTAGTCACCAAGGTTCACATGGACATCGTCGTCCACCTTCACATAGAAATCAGCATCCCATTTGGCAACTGCCGTAGAAAAGAATATCTTTGTCTTTGCTGAGAGCTCATGGTATCCTTCAACATGCTCCTGGTTGATAAAAAAAAAAAATCGAGTCATGAAAGATAAAAAGTTGGTTACTTTTTAATGCAATGCTCTTGAAAAAAAGTAGATAAATGAATAAATTGAGAAAAGAACACTGAATTACCAGCCTAAGGAAGTCCTTATGCTGTTCCTCCTCAGAATCAATAGCTCGATCCAGAATGCTGTTCGATGAGGCACTGCATCAAATATATATATATCAGTTTTCTAGTTCTCTTAATCATGCTGACAAAAGCAGATTCAGGACTGACACATCGAAATAAATTATATAATCTAGAATCAAAGATAATTATAAAAAATTCGATCCGGTCCATTTCTGGATCAATTGCCCATCTTCAAAGCTCAAAAACCTGAGAGTTGTCTCGTTAGGCTTTCTTATTCTCTAGGTGGGGGTGGGGGGAGGCATAATATCTGGAGAAATAATTTAAAATAAGTTGGAAGCCTTTTTTTCCTCAATCTATCTGCCTAAAAAGATGACCCATCATACCACAAATAGAACACATAAAAGGAAAGCAATCTTTTTTGGCAATGCACAAAAAACTGCCTTCCAGGGTTTTAATTATTGCAAAAATAATACATAAGAGGCAATTTACCTGTGGCCAATCATGAACCGAACCACAATTCCTTTTTCCTGCTCCAGCTGTTGAAGTTTTTCTCCTAAATGGGCAAAGAAAGCAGATATGCCATAAGCAAAAGATTCATATTCAAACTCCACAGCATGACGAGAAAGACTATCCTATTTGAAAAAATTAAGAGATAAATCACCTAAATAAATAGGCTGGTTCAGTCAAGGTTGAGCCACTAGAAAACTTTGCCCCAAGAACAGAAAATTTTATTTTTCTTTATTTGAAAAAAAAAAAACCTCAGGTTCAATCAAGTCCTCTCAATTCTAGCGATCACCACTCTTATTTTCTGAACAATATCTACTTATTTGGACTGCCATTGAGATATCTCATTCTGCTAAGCATTAAATCACTTCCTTTAAATGTTAAACAGATTGCGCCCTGATCCTATTAGCTTTATTGGATCGAACGGCAGATGACTCCAAACACTCCAGGGCCTTCCAAGTAGCCCTTCGTTGAGGCTGAGTTCATGATTACATAAAAGCTTGGAGCTTCATCACCAGATCGATGCAAACCCTTCTCAAAATCCAGAAAGACCAAGCTCTCACTGTGCTTTTGCATTGTTTATCTATTTATTTTTCTATCTGGAGACTTGCTTCTCTTTGCTTATTTTGGGCGCAATTACCAGGCAATCAATGGCAGCTGATCCAGAAAAGCCATGGTGTAGATTGAAAAAAAGTATGCTAGCATGTTTTTCAATAAAGCTGATAACAGCCTAAAAATCCAATCAAAGTTTTGAAGGTAACAATTAGGAGGGATAAACTTGTGAACCAAAAGTAATACTGCTAGAATACCTTGCGGCATCCAGGTTCCTCTGACGGAATCCCTCCTCTTCCTGCTGCTAAACGCAGTGTTGATCCCGATCACAACAAAAGCCTTCTTCCTAGGCTGGCTGTCCCCGCTGGTCGAGGGGGACACGCCAAGACCAATCTCATGGGAGCTCCTGGTAGCTGCGAGCTCCATCTGCAGAGTGGATATGGTCTTGTCCAGAGATCTAAAGGACCCATCAGGAGAAATCTTGTTAAAGACTCCTAAAAGTATAATTTTTTGGCGAAGAAATCTTGAATCAAGGAGTTGGCACCCACTGAATCGCCTCGTGGGTCTTGGTCACCTCCCCCATTATGTCCTTCTCCGGCGTGTCCTTCTGGTATCGGAAGAAGAAAGAGAAGAAGAAGAAGAAGTTAGGAGGAGGAAGACGACGATGGATCAGATGAAGCTCGAATTAGGAATTTCTATTTTGGGTATTTGTGTGGTGGGCGGAGGAAGGAAGATCAATCAGACCTTCCTGGCGCCGCAGTCCTCGGAGATGGCCTGGAGTTCCTGGTCCTGCCGCCGCCGGGAGATGATCTGCTGGCCGGACTCCGCCGGACCTTCCCAGTACCTGCAATGAGATCCCAAATGATTCAGAAGCTCCCAAATGATTCAGAGGATGAGAGAGAGACGCCGAAAATAATCGAACCTGTCTGTGAAGATCATCCCCAGGAGGAAGCAGGAGCTGCAGAGGAGGAAGACCCACCGGAGAGACATCTTCCTCTCTCCTCCTCCTCCTCGCCCCTTCATCATCCTCATCTGCATACCCACCTGCCCTCCCCACCGCTTCTCTCTCTTCCAGGATCCCGCAATCTCAAGGCCGGCCGGAATTCTATAGGAACCCCCAGGTTCAAACCGTGTACGCCTCCCTTCTCGCGTGTTCGACCGAAAGAGAGAGAAAGACACGGAGAGAGAGAGAGAGAGAGAGAGAGAGAGAGAGAGAGAGAGAGAGGGAGAGAGCGAGAGAGAGAGAGAGAGAGAGGGAGAGAGAGCGAGAGAGAGAGCAAGCCCAGGAGAGGAATAAGAAGGGTGGGTAAGATGGGGATCGGAAGCCGGCAGCGGGGTTCCGTTGCCGGTCAGAGCGAGGCTCTCTGACGCGCTTCACCTCCTCCGCGGCCGTCACCTTCCTCTCTCCATTAAAAACAAATTCCCAAAGGGTTCATCGGCGGCATCTCAAAAAAAAAAAACTTTCTTTTTCCTGCAGCCGTCAAATCAGATTGGAAACCTTCCTCCGCCGGTGGAGAACGGGTTGATCTCTTCAAATATATTTCAACTACATGTTACATTTTGCATAATAGCCCCTCACTTTCTTTTCTATTTTTTTACGCGTCATCTGTTCTCCTAGAGAGAGAGAGAGAGAGAGAGAGAGAGAGAGAGAGAGAGAGGAGGGGCTCCGAATCCCCATTCTCTTTGCGTTCTTTCGTGTACGACCCAGGTGAGAGAGTCATAGACAGTTGGAGAAAGGAACATTGCCATATAATTCTTAAATATTTCGTAGGTTCTAGAGAGAGAATTCGTCAACGTCAAAATCTTCCTTTTGTTCTTCGGTCCCAAGATAATGACCTTCAGAGGGCGGAAGAGGAAGGCGGAATTCTGTACTTCGGCACGTGGCTCACGTTTTTTTAGACACGACGAGAGAGAGTGAGAGAGAGAGAGAGAGAGAGAGAGGGAGTCAACCCACCTGGACCAAATATCCCGCCAACTAAACAGGAATGAAATCAAACTTTGACTTACCAAACGTTGACGTTGACGTGGCAACGATGCTGACCTTTTCCAAGTTAATCAATTGGCGAAAAACCCTGCCCGAGTCGGATATCACGATTTAATGACTTCATTAAATCCGGGTTTTTGAATAAAGCCTCGATATAAATGGTTTCATTATCTTAAAAGACTATATTTTTTTAGTATTGTGTATGTATCCTTTTCGCTCTTGACGATGCCCAAGGAGATCACTGGAGGATTGTGGGGTTTACGTCCAGGCTGTCATCTGAGTTGTACCAAGTCAGGGGGTTCTAGAGGACGCTTGAGGAGACAAGTGGAGAATGGTACGGTCCATGGTCCACGATCCAGGTTGTCATCTGAGTTGTTCCAAGTCAGGCGAGGCTGGTCCAGCCGGCGCCACGTCGGGACAGAAATTACGTACCAGAGAAAAAGAAGTAGCTCCACGGCAGCCTTGCTGGCATGAGGTGGTCACCCTGATTAGTATAATTACATATTAATTCAAAAAATAAATTAATGAACCGCCTGTTTTATTCTGAATGTGCACTCTCTCTCCTTCCATTTATTTATAGATTGAGAGATAGACAGAGAGAGACAGCAAATTCAGAATAAAACAGGTGTTTATGGTGCCCACTTACAGAGAGAGGAGAGAGAGAGAGGAATAAATATCTGATTTTCTGGCCAATTGGTCGTGACCAGGTGGGTTCCCGACTCTCTCTTTCTCTCTCTCTCTCTCTCTCTCTCATTCCATGTATATAAATCTGGAGAGAGAGTGTTCAGAATTATATAATTGCTTTGAGATACCTACACAGAGCTAGAGAGAGAGAGAGAGAGAGAGAGAGAGAGAGAGGAATGAGCTCTACAGGAAGAGAACTACAAAAATGAGCTGCATTCTCAGTGACCGGGAGAATCGAATCCTACCAAGCAGGCACGGAAAAGTTTCAGAGTCCTACCCGAGAACAGCTCTCCATGTTGGAAGATGAAGAAGATCCAAAGAACCCCCAAGGATCGGTGGCGGCGCCGGAAACTAGGGCAGAAGAAGTTCGAGGACAAGGCGGAGCAGCACCACGCCGGCGAACCAGCGCCAACCGCCGGTGACGGCACCAGCGCCGTTTCCGGCGAAGCTCCCTGCGGGACCCTCCGCCGGCGACAGCCCCGGAAAGCCCCCGCCGGCCGGCACCGCCCCCGCCGCCGCCGGCGCCGGCGACGGCGATAGGGACGGCCGACGAGCCAGCGTCGCCGGGGGGAGACTCAAAGCGGGGAGCTCCCGCGGCCCTGCGCAGAGATGATGTCTCAGTCAAAATCCTAAAAAGGAGAAAAAGAAGAAGAGGAAGGATCTACCAGGGCATTTGGGCTGGAGGGACGTCGACAACCTGAAGAAGGAAGAATAATCAGAGTAGATGAAGAGAGAGAGAGAGAGAGAGAGAGAGAGAGAGAGAGAGAGAGAGAGAGGGAGAGACTCACACAGTGGCGATGGAGCCGTTGACGAAGCCTCCGTAAGAGCAGGAGGTGACGCTGCAGCCGCCCCCGGCAGGCCGCGCCGTCGAGCTCCCGAGCATTAGGTCGCTGTTGGCGCACTGCATGCTCGCGCAGGAGACCGCAAGCGCCGCCGGTGCGCAGTACAGTCTGCGCACAGAGAGAGAGAGAATTAGCGTTAGGGTGGTTAGGGTTTAGGCTGAGGAAGAAGGAAGGAAGAGGGAGGGGGTGGTTTACTGGAGGTCGGCGGGGCCGCAGCTGCACTGGACGCAGTGGCCGGCGGTGATGGCGAAGCTTCCGTTCGCGGCGATGAGGCCGTAGTCAGCGGCGTACCTGGGGAATGCCGATGCACACGCTGCAGCATCATAAAGTTAGCCGGCGTTGACCTCTTAGATAGATAGAGAGAGAAGTAGAGCACGAAGAACATAATAGGATTCTTTCCTTTGATGGGCAAGTGAATCCAACACACAGAGGAGGGAGAAGAAAGAGAGAGAGACAGAGACAGAGACAGAGAGAGGCTGCAATGACGTGAATCAGTCGGCGTTGAATTTGACGATGAGAGAGAAAAAAAATGAGAGAAAATCTACATGACTAGACAAAATCAAGGGAATACGTGCAAAGTTAGAGAACGTAAAAATCCATCACTGAGAATCACCAGCATGATAGCAGAATAAGAGAGAGAAAGAGAACCAGGCTGTACAATCTTAAAGAGAGAAAAAACGATTTTTTTTTCTTCATGGGTAAATGACGACAGAAACCTTACAATCGGGGATGAATCATGGGTAACCAGACATCATTCTCCCTCCTCTGTGCTTCTAGAGAGAGAGGAGAGAGGGAGAGAGAGAGAGAGAAGCAAAACCCTGCGATGACTGGGGATGATGGGGGAGAACCTTTCTCGCTCATTAATCATGGATACACGGTGAGTTACGAACAACAATCATGAGATTAAATCGTCTACGTGAAGAACAAAGAGTTTTTTTCCATTTGTGATTCTAAATTAAGAGTGAGAAAAAAATGTGTAAAATTCTGGAAGAACAGGGAGCATTCAGATTATAGGCTCGTTCTCTCTTAGATTTCCCAGATTTCATCAACTCTGCAAGATGTCGAGCAAGAATGGGAAGAGCGATTCTGACCGGGCAATGGGATGGCGAGGATGTCGCCTGGGTTGACGGAGGGGCTGCCCATGGCATTGGCATTCAGGATGTCCGTGACGGTGGTGGAGTGAGCGGCGGCGATCTGCGCCGCCGTGTCGCCGGCCCTGACGACGTAGGAGAGGTAGATTGCCGGCAGAAGGTCGTCGGAGTTGTTGAAGCAGGTGCAGGGGAGGGGGACGGCGAGGTTCCAGCCGGCGTCGACCTCGCCGCCGCCGGAGATACCGTTGGCCTCGCGGATCTGGTCGCCGGACACGAGGCCACCGTAGACCTCACCGGCAACGGCGGCGATGGTATCGGCGGGGCGAGTGAGGTAGTGGACGGAGACGGACCTGCGGATGCCGCCGGAGCAGGCGCAGACGACGGGGACGCGGAGGAGGGTTCCAGCTGGGAGGATGAAGTCCGCCGCGCCGGGAGCGGAGAGATCGCCTGCGTTGGCGGCGAGGAGAGAAAGTGGATCGACCTGGAAGAGGGCGGCGACTTCGGAGACCTTGAGATCAGCGTAAAGAGAGTAGCCGACGAGGGCGTTGCAGGCGTCCGAGCTGCTGCAGGGCTCGATGATGGACTTGCCGGCGACCGGCGGTGGCGTGAGGAGGAGAAGGAAGAGGAAGTAGAGGAGGGAGGACATTGGGGTCATCGCCGGCCGAGGAGGAGGAAGGAGGAGGGTTTCTAGGGTTTTTGCTGCTCCCCAAAGCTCGTCTTCCTCTGCCTGTCTGTCTGTCTGTCTCTCCCTCCCAGAGCCGTCAGTGAGGGAGACAGAGACCCTGTTGTGGGCCCCAGGTCAAGATGGGGCCCACCGACACGGAACTGTTTCGCACATGTGTGGCCCATTTGAAGTACTACGCCGTCTGGTTATTTGTTAAAAAAATGATATTTTTTAATTTTTTATGGGTTGAGCTATCGGCCACCCGATAATTAACAGTTAATAGATAATTCTCATTATAGGAACCTATATAAATGCTATTCAAATTTTCTTCTAAATTATCAAGCGAGTAGCTATGGAATTTCCTTTATTTAATTGCATTCTTCTACTATTTTTATCATTCTCTCATCTTAAATTATATTTTTTATTATTATAAAATATATAAATACGATTACGATATTGATGTCGTTTGTGTAATTCCTATTTCTAAGCAAAGTTAGATTAAAATCGTCATATCTGGCTGGAATTGTGATTATAGAAAACTTCATCAATCTTGTAATATAAATTATGTAATAACTATTTTTGTAATTATTAATATATATATAACATAAATTTCATTTTAAGGTGCTCACTAGGTAAATTTTATTTTTAAAATATTTTTAATTTTTAAAATATATAATGTTAAATAAATTACACAAAATAATCAATATTGGGTAAAGTCATAGAGTAATGAAAACAACATCTGAGCATTTAATGGGGAGATCATATACTAAAAAAAGAAATAAGAATGACATTTTTAGTGTCCCAAAAACCTAACTGACCAAGGGGTGACTAGATAATAATTGCATCTTTTTGTAGGGGGTAAAGGCCAAAACTTCCAAAAAATAATAAATTAGCTGGGGAGTAGTAGAAAATCAGCAACATATAGAACACTAATAAAAAGAAACGTGAGATGAAGCAAAAATAACCCAAGAAGGAACTGTATTTCTTCATTTAGGTGATTTTTACTAGATTTATAAAATAAATTTCTTTAATAAAAATTAATTGAGGAGTTTTAGGCAATGAGAGATTTATTCATAATGCATTGATTATATTTACAATATTAGAAAGGAAAGAACCCAATTGAGACCATATATATTATTTTTTATGGGTATGAAAAAAAAAATTATCCAAAAGTTTGAGAGTTTTTGATGGCATAGTATCCAAGAGGTTTATCTATAAATAGATTATTGTAGTCAGATAAAAATACATTTTTGGGGAGATTCTTGTAAAGAAGTCAATGAATAATTATAAATATTATAGGGATTGATTACGAAAATTACAATCCTATAGATATCGTCGCGGTATCCGAGAACCGTCTAGAATCCGATAACCGGGCTCCGTCCTCACCAGCAGAACCATTCGGCGTCCGTGAGGCCAACCAGAAGTTTCCTCACCTTCCCCGCCCTGCACTTGTGCCGCCTTCGACGTCGCCGGTGGCCTCATCCTCAGAGGGTAACTCTCCCCCGTCTTGTCAACTTCTCATTTCATACCTTTAGGTTTTCCTTTAGTTCTCTCCGATTCCTCCGCTCTTCATCTTCAATTTCATCTTCTTTTTTCTATCGGCAGTATTTGGTTTAGGTTAGGTTGGGGGAGGAGCTATCACGGGGGAAGGAGGCATCTAGGAAGAGTGGCTCCGTGGTTGAAATCCTTGGAGTAACAGTTCTTCTTGTGTTTTGGTTGATTATATTTAGTGTTATTTTACCTACGATCTGTTTCTCATGTGGTTTTGATTGTGCAATCTGCAGGGGTGATTCCAGAGGCTGTTTCATCAGCTCATGGGTTGAAAGGGGGGTTCATTTCTCCGATAATTTTGAAGGCGTGATAAAATTTGTAGATTGGATTTGCGGAGCGGTTGGGAGGATGCCGAGAGAAGTGTCCCGGTCGCCGCCTTACCGGAGGAGGCATTCGCCATCCCCTGCCAATCATGGCCGGTACAACAGCAGCAGGAAAAGCCGGAAGGATCATAGCCGTTCCCCTTATGCGTACAGGTGTGGTCGCTCGCCATCTTTCTTTGTTTATTTGCTTTCGTTATACTGGCCTCGATCGATAATTCACCTCAACCTACTGTTATAGTATTTTTCCGGTTGCATTTATTCCTCCTCGTCGTCATCATCACCATCATCATCGTCATCTTTATCATTACATCTTCTATGTGCAATAGAAAATTAAAAAAAGGAAAATAATGCAACTTTTTGCATAGGTAAATGAACAGGTATCTAATATGCATTCGCTTCCTCAAGTGCTGGGTGATTAGACTACCTTTCATCCATGAATTATCACTTGAGAATATCAGGGGATCGATTGGCAAAGCTGTTTTTTGTTTCATGGTTGCATCTGTAGTATGCATAGGTGTATCCAAATCGTTTAAGTTGCCAAGCACGTTGTTATGATAGGAAGGGTACTGAATGTGTTATCCATCGCCATATAGTTTTGCCTATAGTTTTGCCTTCCTGTTGATAGTCTCTCTGCTGATCTGCATAAGAAATTTCTCCATTGAATGACTCCACTGAACTGTCACCTGTTGAAAAATTAGTTTCAGGTTGTTGAAGATTTCATAGCCTTTTATTATGGCCTAAATGAGACATGAATTTACTTATAGTTTGAGAATAAACTTAAGAAATGTATTGGTTTACTAGAAAAATGTTAAGTGGAACATATTATGACTTTATAATGGTCATTTCCATGGCTCTGTCTACTAACATCTATATGATATGTGTGAAATGGAAGGGTTCTTCAGAAAGGTTAACTTTTTGTTTACTTTCATCCACTGCATAGGCTGCAGTTTCCTTTCGAGTTGAACTTCCAGTCTTAGTCTACCTTCTTCTTAGGCTGATCACCATTTTGTGATCATAATGGTCACTTCTTCTGTAGTTCTGCATCATTTTTTATGGTGAAATCTAAGGGATGTTTTCTAAGAGTAATATGATGGAAAGCCAATTAGGCCCCAGTAGTACAAGAAAGATGGAGTGATGAGTAAATTTCAGAGCTAAAATGACCACAGTATTTTTTTCAATTTTTTTGGCTTCGCATCTTTTCTATACATCGTGGGGCATCTTATTATGTAATTTGATAATGTCCTCTCAATTATTCAATGAACTTATTCACAGAATTGTCTGCATTTCACAGGTGTTGATGAAATTTAGAAACACTGGTTATGGTTCACTGTAGTATCAAGATGTGGACAACAAATTTGAGACATGTCCAATAAGTGATTTTGATGGTCAGAGGTGGTAGGCTAGGATTTCTTATCAAAATGGTAAAGATTAATATTCATGGTAATGAAAATAATTTACTTTTTTTCATTATATCCTTCTTTTATATACATTATTTTAAAATTTTAAATTTTTATTATTTTTATTTAAATTCATTTTTTTAACTTGAAAATTCAAAGTTTCCTATGCATGCCTATTAATGGTCACTAGTTTTGGAGTAAAGGGGAAACTGGTGGTGGAGCTAGTTTTAAAACTGTGGAAACATCTTTTAGCTGTCCTCTTTCTGTTCACATAGTATATGCTTGATGATGATGGTGATGATGATAGTGGTCATGTATAGTGATGAAGTTAGGTGAGTACGTGAAACAAGCTTTAAGTTTCCTATGTGTGGGAACGCACGTGATTGGTTTTGATATCAGATTCAATGATAAAACTATACAATGATCTTTCTCACAGAGGTTTTTATGGCATAGAATATAGCAAGTTGGTTTTGCATGTTTTGGATTTTAAAACAACCATGGAAAGAACAGTTATTAAGAGATGATGGATGCTGTTATAGTTCATGCTTGATTCGACTATACAAGAGTGCATGTGATAAACGATGGAGCATGCAAAGCTTAGCCTTAAAACTACATGAGGTAACTGTTCTCATTATGTTGTATAATCAGTTCCGCCAGTATGTTCAACATGAAGTCAAATCGTATGTCCTTTCTTCCTCAACATTACTTCAAACTTACCTAATTTCCGTCACATTGATCTACAGGAGAAGAAGTCGTTCTGTTTCTCCAAGACGGCATAAAATTCAATCTCCATCTCGTAGGCGGGATAAAAATATTTCTCCAGCTCCAAGGCATTACAGGAGACCAAGGAGCACCACAAAGTCTCCAGTGGAGAAACCCAGGAGTCCAAGCCTTGAGTCACTGGAGAGAAAACATTCCATTGATAAGTTGAAAAAGGAGGAAGAAGAAAAGAAGAGGTATATGCATTCCTGTTGTGCTAGTGTGTTTGTCAGTGGGAACTAATACTTCTATATCTCCTGTTATGATTTCGTGGATATTTTTTTTCATGCATGTGTTTGTATGCAATCTATTATCCTAAGAATTGCACTGGCGTCTTGCATATAGATGCCTATAAAAAACCATGAATCATTTCCTTGTGATTGTATTATTTACCGTTCTCTTCACTTTTGTAGACTTTTGGCATTTTTTTATTTTCCTTTTGCTTATGTAATTTTTTTTTATCATGGTTATTTTATGGTGTTCATGATAAATCCCATTAGAAAACGGATTTTACGAAACATTTTGAAGTGTAATTGTGATTCACTGTTTTTGCCAAACCAATTTGTTATGCATGGAATTTTCTGTCGTCATTTGCCTCCTGTCCTCTGTGAGAACGTTGATGCATCATTATTATGCAATATTTTACTGATTGATTCATTGTCTGCCTACAGGTGTGTTATTTAATTTAAAGAAAACAGATAGAGCAATATTTCAAGACATAAATGCCATTGAAGAGTAGGGAAAACTAGTCTCAGATGAATGATACAAGTATATGGAAAATCAATCGCAAATTTAACAGAGGCCATTAAACCTGGAAATAAAATATTATTGATATGCTTATTACAATGTAGGGTGACCAGATAAAGTTGTCAGTTTCACTCTAATAATAAAAAGAAATTTATTTTTGATGGTGCCAAAAATATGCGACGTTTACATTTTATGTGAACTTCATTAGATGCTCGTTGAATCAGGACCGTCATGGAGACTGTAACTATATAATAAAACCGGGATTCGGAAACTTTACTCATTATCACGATGAAGAGACATCTTTGCCATTTTCTTATGTAGCCTACAATTTTATGGTGTCGCAATCTTTTTCTGCCTAACAAAATGTCAGTTTGGAACTTTTTATACTTTAATACAGAGATTGAACGAATGATTTTGCCTGTGCTGGACTTTGTATTGGGATCAGTACGTGTCAAGAGTTTTCTTTTTAAAGGTCTTGTGAAAACATCATCATCGTACCGTCAACAGGTAATTTTTCTGTAAAGTTGAATGGAACATTATCATTTTTTGGAACTTTGCCCCGTCAAGATGAGCAGGGTGCCGTCCAATCCATGAATAATGAAATGGCTGCTGAGACCACACATCACTTATAGGGTAAAAAAATTAATGGAATAATCATTTAACGTTGTAGAAATTCTGCAAACAAATCTCCTCTGAAGGATCTTTGGATGTCAATCACGTACACACAGAGATTCTTCAACGAGATCCTTCCATTTATGGCCATGCCTATTCCTTTCTACTCTTTTGCTTTGTTTTTTTCTCGAAATGCATGTATGCAAGAATGGGACCTGTTGGTTCGAGTGTTCAGTGGATTAGTGGGATATAAAAATGTGCAAAACGAAATCCTCAGTTTGGACTCCAGACTTCAGCTTTACCTGCTACATTAGGCCACAAGTACTAGCCGCCTCCAGTCTGCCACCATGCACTGGGGAGTCCCCCGTTCCTGGCCGTTCAGAGCATGTCACACCCCTAGAGAGCTGGTCTCGCCGGAGCTGATTATCTTAATGGGTTGGGTGGAGACACACTGATCGTGACTTGTGGTGTACAGTGTTCTCTGCTTGTTTCTCTTCCCCGTTTCAGGGGCCATTTGTCACTAGGAAAAGGCACCGAAAAAATTGGAAAAAATGCTCGCTGTACTAGTTTTCTTGGGAAATGTCTTCTGTTCGTTTACACTCTGTTCCACAGCCTGAGATCATCATCTGTCATTCCATGAAGTAATCTTTCACAGTCAACCCATCTGGAATCATGTACGGATAGGCAGTCATCCATGGAGTTCTTCGTTTCCCATGGGCTCAAGGATGTAATTTTTTGTTATATACGTGAAGTTATTCTTTAGCAGTATAGTATCCCTATTTGGCGTGGAGGCCCTCAGTGGGTGAATTTTAGTTGTGGGAAGACAGTGGAGCTTGGCGAGAGGAACACAAGTGATTTAGCTCTGCCTAGCTTTCCAACCCACCCCGTCTGGTTGCTTGATGCTCTTCTCCACAGGCGTTTCCTGAAGGGAGCTTCTGTTTTGTAGTTCGTCTCCACTTGTCAGATTTGATGGTCTCTGCATTTCACCCGATTCCGAAGCGCCTTTATTCGCCCAGGAACCCTTTATAGAGGCATGCCTTAGAAGCCTGAGCTCATGTCTAATAATGAGGTGGATGGAGGTACTAGATTGCTAAGATTAACGAGGCTCATCACGTCTATTCTTGGAGGCATCTTTCGGATGTAAGTGAAGTTGACTTTTTCCCCTATGTGGGCATTTTTTGGTTTGACTTTTGTAATGTCTTTAAACAGGCGTCAGCAGAAGGCAGAGTTGAAAATACTAGAAGAAGAAACCGCTCGAAGAGTGGAAGAAGCCATACGTAAGAATGTTGAAGAGAGCCTGAAGTCTGAGGAGTTCATGTTGGAGATACGGCAGCTTCTCGAAGAGGGTCGAAGGCGGTTAGTTGACGATGTGGCGGCTCAGCTTGCTTCAGAAAAGGAAGATGCCCTCGGTCAAGCGAGGCGAAAAAAGGTTGGATTTCATACAAATCTGTAGCAACTCTGTGCCAAATTTTTTATTTTTCTTCCCCAAAATGGATTTCTCCTCTGAAATCTTTTGGAGAAATTAGTGGGTTGCCTGGAAAATGCTTATTTTTTCCATGCCCATCCTCCCCGACGAGGCCCAGAAGGAAATCTGGCATCTCTTCTGCTGACCCCCCCTAAGTTTTCCTAATGTTCAAACTATCAGGAGCAGGCTCAGACGGAGAGGGAAGAACTGGACAGGATTCTCGAGGAGAACCGCCGGAAGGTGGAGGAAGCCCAGAGAAGAGAAGCTCTGGAGCAGCAGCAGCGGCAGGAGGAAAGGTTCAGGGAGCTGGAGCTCCGGCAGAAGCAGAGGGAAGAAGCCACGGTGAGGAAGAAGTCCGAGGAGGCGGTGGAGAGGGCGAGCCAGATGAAGCTGCTGGGGAGAAACAAGTCCCGCCCCAAGCTCTCCTTTGCTCTCGGTCTCAAGTAAATCTGACTTGCCACTGCCACCCACCCCACCTGGTAAGTTCTGTAAGCACTGGTCATCATCGTCCCTTGATCTGAACGAGAAAAAAAGAAGAGAAAGAAAGCTACCCCTAATCTTGCATTGATTTTGGATAATTCAGCATAGTTTTAAGGGGGAGGGGGGCTTCATGATCCCTGGCTATGAATAGTTAGCACAAAGATGGCGTTGACTTGAAAGCATTTATATATTTATTTGGATCATATATTTATATATTCCTAAACCCACCTGCTATCTTGTACTGGTATTTTGGGTAATTTTGCATAGTTTTCAGGGTATTCTTGATCCCTCATCTCTGATTGAGCAAGATTTAGGCTGATTGGCGGTGGATGATGATTCAATCTGCAGTCAGATGATTCATCCCTATCTGGTTTGGAGGATTAGCCATATTAATAATAAATAAATTTAAAGCCGGCGGCTATTTTTTTATTGATTTCAGGTAATGCAGCAGTTTAGATGGGTTTTTCTTGGTCCCTAAACTCTGATGGATGATACCCTAATTACCTTCATTAGGAGTGATTTAGAAGGATTGACAGTGGATGTTCCCAATGGCTAGGAAATATATTTCTCTCTAGGTTGGGTTGACTCTGGTCTCCCCCTTTAACCAAGTTCTTGGTCTAGGTTTAGGAATAATAATAATAATAATAATAATAATAATATATTTTATGCCCTAATTACCTTAATGAGTGATTTAGAAGGGTTGACTAAAAGTGGATGATCCAATCTATAATTGGCAAGGAAATATGTTAATATATTTCTCTCTCTAGGTTAGGTTGGGTTTGGTCTCTGCCTCTAACAAGCTCTAGGTGTAAGCTTAGTAATAATAATAATTAAATATTCTATTTTGATTATTATTATTATTACTTTTAAAATTGAGTTTGAATTTATTTATACTGCATATCAACCAGTCTGCAGACGATGGGTGTCAGCGGTCGGTGGTGGGTCGCGATCATGATGCCAGTTCTCTGATTAGATCACGATCGGACGGTTCAGATCCCTCACCGCGATTGAACCTATTCAAATTGTATATTTACATTGATGCCCCTCCATGGCTGGTCGAGGGTACGGTCAATGACACGTGGCTCCATCGGGAGATGTGATAAATCGGACGGTTGCCAGCAGCGGTGTTCTCGCCCGCTTCCCCGAAATATATATAGTGAAAAAAAAAAGAAGTGAAAAAGGATTATAGAGAGAGAAAGGGGGGAAAAAATCGAAGACCTCCCGGATCCCATTTTCTGCTAGAGTATTACGAGCGAAGGAGGGAGTGGGAGAGAGAGAGAGAGAGGAAAAGGGGGAGGAGATGAGGAAGAAGCTCGGCACGAGATTCCCCGCGGTACGTTTCCTCGCGTATTTGTTCAAACTCTGTTAGTTCCGTTGCTTCCTTCGGTTTGATCTGTTTTATTTACCCGGTTTATCTGTAATTTGGGATGGGATGGCGTGATATGAAGGGCCGGCTGTTCGGCGTCGATTATTCTTGCTTTTCTGTTGCTGATCTGTTGCTGGATTTCTTCATTGCGCGTCTAGGAAATGTTTTTTGCAATTCGTTACGCAACGGAGATTCGGTTGTGTTTTATTGGCTGAATTCTGCCGTGTTATGGTGTTCAAATATGTTGTAGACGGGGACGCAAATGTCCTGAATCGTCTCCGCGGTCTTAATTGAGTCATAGAGCGTGGATCAAGCATAGGGATGGACATCTGTTGTATGCAGATGGAAATACGTGAGATCCCAACATGGTCTCGTTTCAATTTGTGAACATGGGATGCAAGGGGCTGTTGTGAAACCGAAAGGAGAAAGATCCAGAGTTTATTGTTCCGTTTTTAATTTAGTTGAAATGTGTCAGGCCAATTAGCAATGCCAGAAAAGTTCGTGTTGGGTATATGAAAAGACTGGAAGAGAGGGGTTCTCATGTGGTCATTGATCTTAGCAGCAGTGCCACGAGCATATTACTGTAATGCTGTTGATAAGTGGTTCTTCTGTTTCACCTTTAAGTAGTTTCCGGAAGTTACATTAATACTTATCTTGACTAACATGGGACCATTATAGTATGACACCTGCTGGATTATCTGATTTTATACAGCATCGGTGGTTGGGATTTCCCCCTTAGTTCCTTTTTAAGGACGAAGTTTGCCTGGAAATCCCTCAGTGGCTCACTAGTAGGGTCCTTTTTGATGCCATGAGTGTTTCATTGAATGAAACCAAGATCTCAATTACTTAGTGTATCTGCTTGAAATTAAATGAAATATACTTGAATTGTTGCATATGTCACATGTAATTAGACCTATGGATTTTTATGATGGAGCTAATAGGTTTATATTTTCCGTATTCGTGCTGATTTTTTTCTAATGAGTGCGTAATGTCGAACCATTGAAAAATTAATGTGCAAATAATTCGAGGATCTCAATGACACTGAATGAAGGGAATAGTTTACAAAGGTTGGTTCTGATTTTATTGTCGTACTAATGGTATTTGGGTACGTCAGATCATTGGGAGTAGCCTGGACTAGAATGATAAGTAACATTAGATACTCGTGCATCGTTTTATTTCTCTTTATCATAATAACCGGGTAGGAGGCTAAACGGATGCTTTCCTCAAGACCATCACACTTGAAGTTTAATGGGCTTCTATGGTCCACAATTTATTCAAACTTTGCACATCTTGATTTTCAGAGTTGAAATGAATTTTCGTAAACTGTACCTCTTAGTGCGAAGAGTTATGCTTCCGTTGTGTGAATGTGAAATTTTGTCCACCACAAGATGTAGCTACATAATCTTTGCTTGTGATGTACGTGGTCTGTCACTGGGGTTTACTATAACCTTTGAAGTTTTCATTAGAGTTACCTTCATTGATGGCATGAGCTCTCCTGTTCTTGGCTGAGTCTTAATATAGAGAGTGTTGCCATATCATTGAAAAAATTATATCTTCTACTTTTTAGAATATGCTGTCATTTACAATATTTCTCTTAAATTTTTTATGGGGGTATCATTTCGTTCCGCTCATGCTATGTCTCTAGTGATGACTTCAGAGCAGAGTGATCTTGTCTTCCTGTGGATGCCAGCGGCATCTGCATATCATTTATGATTTGGTGCAATTAATGGCTCTACTGATGGAAGAATTTTTTACTACATTGCAGTCTCGTATCAAAAAGATTATGCAAGCAGATGAGGATGTTGGAAAGATCGCCTTGGCTGTGCCTCTCTTAGTTTGTGAGTCATAAACTGAGCTTAATTTCCAATGTGTTATCTAATTTCTCCTTTTTTGGGGGGAAGGGGAGGGTGGGATTAGGATTAGTGTCTTTCTGCGTTTATTTTTCATAATTAATATCTTTTTATGACTATTTTCCCCGTCAGTTTTGATGACCAGTAAATGTGGATGATGTAAATTGAATGGAATGAAGTGCTGTCCATTTTACTTAATATTTTAGGCAATAAAGTACAGTGACAATAGCAGTATTCATAGAAGCATACCCTAATAAAAAACATGCTATTTAATGCGTTAAATTTTTTAAAGTGAATGAGCTCAGATTGTAATAGCTATTGCCTGAGACAGATTAAATGAGTATATACCAATAGATGTTACTCCATCTTCCATCTGTTACATATGAATTGATGAGCTAAAAAAAGTTCGTTATATCTATATCGAGAGAGAGAGAGAGAGAGAGAGAGAGAGAGATCCATATCTGTCATTCTGACTCTAGTATAAAAATTGAGCTTCTCGCATCAGAGGAAGCTTATGGATACAATGTACACCACACCTCTTTACTTCTGGGAATTAGATAATTTTTTCATCAAAAAGTTTGAAAATGTGCATAGATCAAATTTAGATCGCAATCTATGGTCATTTATAATTAGATTTCCATGAAAGACTAGTGAAACAATTCTGTATATGCCACCAACCAACTATGTATCCTAGTGTGGGTTTCTCATAGGTTTAGGGTTGGTGATTTTCTCTATGTAGCATACTCGTCTAGCATTTTTTTTTCTAAAATAATTTTAATGTTTGTCATTGGTTTTACTTTTCCAAAGTTGATTAGCGTGATTGTAGAATATTGTTTGAGGAATAAGACGGGAAACAGCTACGATTGGATTTGTGAGACCAACAAGAGTGAGAAGAAAAAACAGAAAAATTCTCCCCTAGCGTTTCACTGTAGATGCTAGTATTCAGGATCAAATGGTTATTTCACAGTAACTAACTCTTATATTGACTTTAACATGGGAAGAACAAAATATTCACTGCAATGTGCTGCTGGTATCAATGTCAAGTTAGTCAAAATTCCTGAAAGGTTTTGTTGGCACTGTCACTAATCTTGGTGTCGTGTCAACGTAAGTCAGATCTATGCTAATGGCAGTGATGGGATGATAAATAATTAATTATGTGCCGTTTTCAATTTCTCGTAAATCATTCTAAGGTGATAACGTGTAAAATATGTAAAGTTATTAAAATTTGATATTTTAATTCGACAGATTTCATGCCACCTAGTGGTCTGCACTGGTTATTCTGCTGGCACTTCCAGCAATGATACGTATTATGCATTTATTCATGTTAGTTTTCAGATTCCATTTATTGAAGCTTTATTGGAAACGCATATTCTTTATTATGCCTGCCTTAAAGGTCTGAAACATGTTGCTTGCTGCAAAATTCTGTCAACACTCGCTTTTGCTTGCTGTCTGAAAAATTCCATTTGAAGTCTTTTATAGTTGTAGCACTCGTTGCTGGACAAAATGAGTCATTATTCGAGTGGATGTATTGCAGCAAAAGCATTGGAGTTGTTTCTGCAAGATCTATGTGATAGAACATACGAAATCACCCTCCAGAGAGGAGCCAAGACAATGAACTCTCTGCACCTGTAAGTTAAGCTTGTATATGCCTTCTTTGATTTATGCATTTAAATACCTTACACAACTGAAGATATGGATGATCTTTGGAAATAACTTAGAGAAAAAAAGAAAATCTGAGTTTACTACTTAGAAAATATGGTAGTGACTTTCTAATGTAACCCAAATCGAATCAATCTTTTCTTCCGATTTTGATTTCCAATGAGTAGTCACAAGGGGGAGATACAAAGATCCTTAAGTTGATGCTCAATAGACATAGGTGCATACCGCATGTAGCGTATATATTTAGAAATATACCCCATATGTGATGTGCATATTTATATATGTATATTTCAGAAGTAATGGTGATCACACTCTACACGACCGATTTTGCATCTTGAATAATCTGACTGTTAAGATGATGATGACTTTACTTCTTCAAAAAAAATTCCATGGAAAAGATAGAATCTAAAATCTCGTTGACAGTCACATATTGCCCGTCTTGATGTATTCATATTCACAAAATGATTAATGTGCTTTATGGAGAGATCACTGCAAGGAGAAAGGAACAGAGAAAAATACTTGACTGCATAAACCTTGGCCCAAGAAATTCCCCATGACGTTAAACTCAGGAATGGTGGAGATTTCATCCTATGAACTGAGAAAACCAGGGCATCATGGCTTTCATCTCTGTTTTTTCCTGTTATCTTATAATTTCTGAATCATCGATTGCATACAAGAGTCTCGTCTATAGTGCTTGTAGAGAGGAATGCTTTAATTCGGATTTCTCTTTATTCCATGGGAAGATGTATTTATATGAGAGAAAGGGATACATACATATTCATATATATCAAGATACAAATCCGAATTAATTTTGGCTTGCTATCTGTCGTTCTTGTAATGCATCTGACACACACATTTCTTGAAATTTCAGAAAGCAATGCATAAAGAGTTATAGTGCCTTTGACTTCTTGACCCACGTCGTGCATAAGGTACCTAACTTAGGTGAAGCACATCCAAATGGAGAGGACAAGGGCATCTCTAGAAGACGGTAAGTGTCATACAACAATCCTTATCTTGTGCACCCACACTTTTAAGTTGACAATCATCTCCCACCTGATCGAAGACAACCTTTTTATAGAAAAATATTGCCAAATGATCCATACATAGAGGCTGACGAGGATCGGAAGTCCCAGAAGACGGTATACATCCCCCCCTCCACCTGCCTCCTTGAAGTTTCCATCCACTGATCTCTGTTTGCAAATGAGGCAATCTTTACAGCAGATCACAAGAAGCCCGAGTCTCAGAGGACGAGGAAGAGGAAGAGGAAGGGGCAGAGGTCGGCCGTGCAGCAATCCGGCCGAGCACGACGCAGAGCAGAAGAAATCCGAAGATCTTGGAAGCAGCTCCCTCGAACGCGAGCCGCCCTTCAATGTAGGTGAATCCAGTGCCATGGACAGCGCCGCCAATCCTGGCAGCATACCCGGTAACCTCAAGCCCATCTCCGACACTTCTTCCCACGACGAAGATTCCTTTATCGATGGTATGGGTAATTTCCAAACCCCAAACCTTGTATATATGCCGATGAGAGTAGATGATGATGAGGACTATGATGAGTAAATCCTCCTGGCTTGAGCTCCTCTTGTATCATCACTTGCAGTTTATCGCCGTTATGTGATGGCGGCTCTAGCTAATAGAAGGTAGTGATGGATGCTAGGTTTCAGCCTTGGGATCATTATGTTAACCATTTCTTCTTAATTTTTTTTTAGTGTGGAAAAAGTGCAGCCGATCTTTGAGAATTATTTTTGCGTCCACAGTCGCAGTCAACAACGTGGAGGTAATACTTTTAGGTTTTGCACTTGAAGTAAAAAGCCACGGAATTTTTAGCTTTGAGAATTATTTCTGCTGTGTCCATCGCAAAAATGACGACTTGGAGATTTTGATCTGGAGAACTTTGTTATTGAATTTATTCATGAAATTTAGCTTCTGATCATGGTTGAAGGTGAAGTTTGGGGATTATTTGTGTTCATAATCACTGATGATGACAACTTGGAGGCAGCATTATAGTAATCTGTAGGGTTGTTGGAGCCAAGAACTGGGTTTGGAATATGGTGATGATCTTGGACATGGTCGTCTTTGCATCTTAGGTGTTTAGGCTTTTCATCTGAATGTGGGTGGAAGTTAGTAATGAGAAGCAACATCTTGGAGATAGTTTTTGCTATGTGTAAGGGGGTTGACAAGAGTCGATTACAAAGATTTGAACTATTAGCATGGTCCAATATGGTATGTTGTTGCTCTAGTTTAGGATACGTAGGGGCTTCAACTCAGGACATCGATTTGAAATTCATCCCATGACTTCTTTCGAGCTATAATATTTTGGAAAATTTGTTGGTTTTCAAGATATACATTGGTTTCAGTTATTATTTAGTTAGTTTAATCTTGTGCATATACTGGTTTACATTATGGCAATAAAGTTTCTGATTATTAATTATTAATATCCTACATTTATTTTTATAAATTTCACGGTGTGAAAAAAGTTTGAAGGCCACCGTCTGGTCTCAAAACCCTGTTTCAGGGCTTCCATGGAACTTTTGGTTGAGCAGCCGCATATTCTCTCTCTCTCTCTCTCTCTCTCTCTCTCTCTCTCTCTCTCTCTCTCTCTCTCTTAATAAATGATAATTAAAACCAATATATTTCTTGAAAACTAACAAATTTGCCAAAATATTGCATGGGAACCCACCAAGTTGTGCTCGACGGATGAATCTCAAGGCTCAATTTAGTAAGGTCTCAACTTATCAAACCCTGAATGACGGAACAATAAGAGACTCAAAATTATTGAATGAGGCCGAGATAATAAAAGCCTACTTCACCGATTTTTCAAATCTCTCTGTCTCTCTCAGATAGCTACAGCTGATCCGATTTTGATGAGATTAAATTCTCACAGTTGAGGAAGTACTGGCCTAGGGCCCTGCACATTATTATCTCTTCAGTAGATTGGATGATGGATATCGAAAATTAATCTCTGTGGGCTTGGAGAGTGTGTGTGTGTGTGAGAGAGAGAGAGAGAGAGAGAGAGAGAGAGAGTAAGAGCACATTATTATCTCTTCCAGCAGATTGGATGAAAGATATCAAGCATTAACATCTCGTAGATAAATATAGAGGGAGAAATATAAAGATAGATAGGTGGGTGGGCTTCAGACCCTCTTCTTTCTACCTCTACCGGCCGGCCGGTGGCCACCTGCGGCAGCGTCGAGCAGAGAGCTGAGCTCCCCCTCCATCTCCCGCAGGAACGCAGCGGCGCCGCCGGTGGCTCTCCGGAGCTCCTCCTCCATGGCCTCCCCGGAGCGGCGGGCCTCGGCAGCGAATTGCGCCACCAGCTCGTCTATCCTGGCTGTGTCGAAGGCCCTGTCCCTCATAGCCTCCTCGCCCATGGAGGAGAATCGCCGGAACAGAGCCTCCATTTGCTCTCCAATATGTCAATTCATATTCGGATTACCCCTATTTTATTCTGCTGGCTGGGGTCATTAACGTCATTTCACCTTTCTATCTCTTAAAGCCCTTGTGACATCGTATGCATATGAATTGTAATAATATTATTTGATCCAAAGTCCTGGGCCACATGTACCCACCAGTAGAGAGAGAGAGAGAGAGAGAGAGAGAACAAAAAGCGGTCACCCTGCTCCAAATGGGCGAAGAGGGAATCCTTCAGTGACAAGGACAGAATGTTCTCTCTATGCTTTGCACCTATCCATCACCTTTACTTGTAAGACGAAAAGATTGACGATACCCCACCAGTAGAGAGAGAGAGAGAGAGAGAGAGAGAGAGAGAGAGAGAGTATCGAATAAACGAGGAAGAACTTTTGGCAAAGAAAGTACTATTTTTAGAGATGCCATCCAAGTATAGATTGAACCATCCATCGTTCACAGGCAGGGCATCCACCTAAACTGTGCTGGATTAGCCTAAGGTATTGGTTCCATCTAGCTTGGTTCTCTCAGCCAGTTAGTTGCCCTTCGATCTTGGGGTGAATTCACTAAACACCGAATCTATGGATTTGGATAGATCATTTTTTTTTTGTTATATTCACATAAATAATAATTTGCAAAAAGAATATCGGGCATTGTGACTCTGAATCCACGTTCATGCGCCAAATTCATGTTCTAACAGGTTTTCCATCCATGGAAGAAGTGAAAGAAAAGGAAAATAGGCAGAAAGATCCATCTGTTGCGGGAAATCAGGGTTTTCACCCGAATATGTATGTGGGTTGCTACATTTTTCTAGACATAATTTTTTGAAAGAAATTACTACGTAAGTTGATCAGTTTCTTAATATTTTTCATTATGATCACAATGAAGAGGTAAACGTGGGGTTTTCTTGAGCGGATTTCAGATTTCTGGCTGTGAAATGGTTATTTTCTTACTTCGAATTCCCCAGATTTTGATGCTTCTATGCCTTGATGGGTACTCCGTGAAATGGCTTCTCCAGCACCTGATCTTGAAGCAAGATTAGATCTTTGTCGATAATATGAATACCCATTAATAATCATACTTCATCTGATATATCATTGAAAAATTGAAGCGGATGTTGTTCACAATGGACGCTGTTGAACTTCTCTTTGGATGTGTGCTGGGGCATGATCTTCATCAAAAAGAGGGGTACCCATTGCCGGCTAATAATCGCAGTTCATCATTTTTTGATGGGTTTTATCTTCTTGGTTGGAAATCTGATACTGTTTCTGAAATTCTCAAAAGCCGCTGTGGTTCGTGAAGGAAGGGGATCCGATCAAGAATTTCAGGCATATATTTGAGAGAAAAGTAAGAACGAGTATTGATTCGATCATAGCTCAATCGCAGAAAAAAATAAATCCGAAGATTCATTGGAAAAAAAATGAAAAAGAAAGAAGAAGAACCCTAATGTGAAAGCTCAAAACTTTTCACAGATTCGCTGTTGCCTGTTCTCTAGAAGCAGCAAGAACAGTCGAAGGGGCACATAGGGGTTCCTCCGGCGTCTGGGTTCGCCACGCCCAGCTCCTCCGCCGAGTAGATCGCCAGTCCGTCCGCCGTCTTCCGCCTGGGCTTCTTCTCCCCGGCGGCACCGGTGCTGGCGGAGGAGAGGGGCACCCGCGGGGCCGCCACCTCCTCCTTCTTCTTCGTCTTCCCTTTACTCATCTTTTTCTTCTCCTCCATCGCCGCCGTCTTCTTCCTCCTAGCCCCCTCGAAGATGTCGTCGATCTCATTCCGCCGCTTCATCTTCTTCCCGGGTGCCGGCGGCGCCACCGCCTCATCGTTCTTCTTTCTCTTCCCTTTTCTCAACTTTTCTTCCTCCTGGTCCATCACCGCCTTCTTCTTCCTCCTCACCTCCTCGAAGATGTCGTCAATCTCATTCCGCCGCTTCATCTTCTTCCCGGGCTCCGGAGGCGGCGCCGCCACCTCAGCCGCCATCGCGGGCTTCTTCCTCCGCCCTGAAGCTGCCCTCGTCTTCCTGGTTTTTGGGTCGCCGCCGTCCGTCGCCATCGGAGTATCAGAGGAGCTGAAAGCGCCGCCGCCGCGGCCGCCCTCGACAGGCGGAGTCTCTAGCCGGATTTCACTCGGACAAGGAACCCAAGTTTCAGGACCCGACTCGGGAACTCTGTCCAGACAGCCGAGTTGACTCGGGCAGCTTTGGTCTAACTCGTTCAGACTCTTTTCACCTTTCCATGGGAGAAAGATTAAAAAGATGAATAAGAAAGGAAATCGAAAAGGGTGACCATGAGAGTTTTATAAATTCCGTACTAATAATATAAATAAATAAATATTATTTTTCAAAATTGGATGAAGCTTTGTGCGGCGACCTTTATTTTTTATGTAGCTTTTATATTTACAGACATTTTTAAAAAAATAATATAACCTATAAAAAGATATTAGTGAACATATATTAAGGTACAAATTAAGAAAGTGAAAATGCCCAAGCGTTGACTTGGAGATTGATTAAGATCATGCTTAGACAAAACTAACCATACAACTTGGAAAAATAATAGATAAGTTGGTCTTTTTTACATTAAGTAAACCTCAACTAATGTTGACTACGAGGTATATTTCGATTTATATTAAATTTTTTAGCAAGTTTATCTTATTATACAAATTCTTGGGTGTAACATATTTAGCCAAGATCTTGAGAAAGGTAGCTTAAGATAGGTCAAATACTTACTAAGTGAAAAAACATCCAGGAGGAGGAGGCGCAGAGAGCAATGTATAGTAATTGAACAGAGATCACCCCCCATTGTATGAACACCAACACCCAACTTACGAGCTTCAATTGACATCAAATCTTTATAGAAGACCAAACGAGAGAGAGGGAGGGGAGAGAGAGAGAGAGAGAGAGAGAGAGAGAGAGAGAGAGAGAGAGAGAGAGAGAGAGAGATGAGTATGATGCCCATATGGGTGGCTGTGAGGGATTCCATGGTAGACTCAACAGCTTTCCTTTCTTTCTTGGCTCACAAATTCTTTTGAAAGAAGGAAACCAGGCAAACCAGGGTTGACAATTTGGAGTAGAAGCACAAAAATGGGAATGGGGCAGTGAAGAGCTTCATGGAGTTATTACGATCAAATGAGGAAAATCCTGGCATTGGCTTACATGTTATACATCTGGCGGATGGATGGGGGTTGCCTAGATCAGCTTCTTCTTCCGGAAGTACGTCTTCAGACGCCACAACTGAACGACGGAGGTCGAAATGCACACAGCTATGGACATTATGCTTAACCATGCGACCCTGGCGTTTGTCCTCTCACTTGTCTCTCTCATGTCCTCCTCTCTGCAACACCAGCATTAACACCCATGGCAGTGAACTCACTGAGCTTCGCATTACCCATTTGGGCAAAGAACACTGAATGTCAGTAGAGAGAGAGAGAGAGGGCAGCTGCGCCGTGGAAGAAAATTAGAGAGAGGAAGTGGGAGAGGAACTGGGTTTTGAACAAACAAGAAGAAACCTACTTGCTCTTTAGGTACTCCATGTTCTCACGGATGGCGTCCACGGCGAATTCTAGCTTCCTCAGCTCGAGCTCGACGCCCTGTTTTCTCACCAAAAGAGAAGGATCAGCCGGAGTTCACAATAAAAATAATTTTCCACAGAAAATCTCATAATTCTATCGAATCTTCTCTTATCATCGTCACTTGCCTCAATCTTTTCCTGCTTTGCGACAGATTCCCAGTCTTTTGCCGCGATCCCTGTTCTCCAGTCAATATTGACGCTCACCTTGATATTATGAGGATTTGATTCCACCCAGAAGCATCCCAAGTAGTTCCCTGCTTCGGTGGTTGTGAAACCAAAGTGATCTTGAGTGACATTCTTACTTTCGTGAAGCATTTTTCCGTAGGGTGTTGAAATCTGCAGAGTGAGAACGAGAAAGCCAACTAGTTTAAGCCAGGCTTCTATTGAACCAGACACGAGATCGCCAACCCGGGATGCCCAACTCCATGTCTAATGTGGATATAATTTTATTTTAGCAACATAAACTTTCCTTTAATGTAAATAAATTCAAGTCTAGAGACAGAAGAATTTGCATAATTTTATCAAAAATATTTTATTGAACTTTGCAGAAAATTAGCCAAACGGGCTAACCAGAACCGGGGCTTAATAAACCTAAAATGAGTCATCTAGATGCAAGAAAATCCTCCAGAATAGCAGTGTAAACTAAACTAGGAAGATCATGCATCCTCAACTGGTGAAAGACTCTTGCAGCTCACTTGTTTCTGTCTAAGAAATCGGTGCTCTTCTACAGGAAGTGGAGCTTAAGAGAGGACATAGATGGATATTCAGTATCTAAGACAGGACAAAGAATATAAGACTAAAACAACCTACAGGCTTAAGATGTTCTTCAAGTCTCAGGCTTCATGATGACTTTCTAAAATTAACTTATATTGTATGTAAACTCTAGTGAGATAAGCATATCTAAAAGTTTTCTAAAAACCAAAAAACACCTTTTTTAATAATCCAAAGATTATTAAATAAATGGCTTTATGGAAAAGCACGCCCATTTATTCGTCCTTGTGTCAGTGCGATGTGTTTTAAGAATTTATTGAATTCGAGATGGGTGCCCATGTTGACACTGGAACCTAAATTTGAGGCTCAAAGCTCATAGTGTACAATTCTTCCCCAATCTGTAACGGCATCTTGGAGTGATTTCTAAAGAAACACTCAAATAGTTTTTATTTTTCAGCCAAAAAATTGTGATATATACTCCAACAGTAAGAGAATAGCCCTACTCAAACGACAGTTTTTCCATTGAATACGACCTTTAACAGTTGTCCCATTAAATAGACTTTGCAAAATTGTTAATAGAAAAACCTCTGTCACAGAAATCAGTGAATGACTTGACCTTCAAAAACTTGGAAGCAAAATGCCATTAATAACCAACATCCATGCCACCTTGCTCCAATTTTATTACACTGATGGCATCGTTATTTAGTGTGTAAACAGTGCCGTAAATTTGAAAAGGAAAACCATTTAGGGCTATTTTTCATCCAATCCCCGTCATTTGACTAGGAAAGAAAAAAAATCTTACATTAGTTTCCATTATATAATATGGTTACATCATTATAAAATTAAAAGTTCGAAAATAGTACACAGGGTGGTTCAGATATCAAGACGGAATAACAAGAAGAATGCAACAGATCATAGATAATGAGGAATCTAAGCCAATAAAAAACTGCGTATTGAAATGCACGTTACATTTGGAGATGGGTTAAATTGATAAGCCAGAATCTTCTGGGTTGAAGACGATGACATGCTACAATTGCACACTATGTACCAAACCTCGAACACATTTATTGCCTTATTAGGATGAACTTTCATTGTTTAGATGATACTCATGAGTCTAATACCCAAGTAACTGCTTTCTCCTGGGTTCACTAAATTTGAGAAAGTGAATAGTACTTCACCGTCCTTCTTTGATAATTCGATTTGTCCAGATGTGGTTTTTCTGGGGATTCCAAGGTGATGTCTGAAATCTAGGAAGAAAAGTAAAACTTTATCCTAGAGAAACACATTATATCTATGCAAATAGAGATCGGAAAATCACAATTTTATTACGTGATGGAATCAGAGCACAGGATAGGTGTGCTCTTTCCTGAGACACTTATGTAATCACCAGCATCCAATAACCAATTGAACTGTTCTAATAATATAATTTTTCTATACATTACAGATTGAGTTACTATCACCTCTGCCTTGAAAACTTGGAATTTGACTGCGGGCGCCGCGGATCCCTAGTAATTTACACACCCGCGGAAAATGGAAAAAATAAATACAGGAATGATTTTTTTTTTTATCATGTGCAAGAAACGCACTGGATTGATGTGCCTAGGCATGTAACAGCAAAACAACACTTTCGCCAGAAGCATTTCTTTATCCATGTCAAACTGAGGTACCATACATGCCCCTGAGGTTCCACCTTGAATCTGATGGACCATGGATCCCTACTAACTTATTACCAGAATCCCTCCAAACACGCATCAATTATATAATTAATCCCAGAATTCCAACCATATGAAATGAATTAGGAAGGCAGCCGCAATCATCGATCACGATAATTCTAATTCAGACTGGCAGCGGAGGATCGCGTCCGCTCACCTTGGCAGATATGGTAGGGTACTCGGTGGTATGTTCCTCGAAGTGGACATCGTACTGGCCTATGACGACCGCGTGGGCCTGAATTTCCTCCGAGACGCACTTCGTCCCCTGTGGGGGCAACTCCATCCACAAAGCCGTTGCCCCTCGAGCGAAGAACAGCACCAACGCGGCCATCGCCACCGAAAAACTCACCAGGGACGCTCCTATTCCCGCCGTCGCCGCCATCGCTGGAGCCTCCCTTCTCCCCTGTTCCTTTCCGAATTCCCTCTCCTTCAGCGGCGATCGGTCCAAAGCAAGGCCCCGTATGAAAGCCGGAGGGAGGACGCCAAAGTCAAATTTATCATAAACAATCAAGACATGAACGAATTGTTATTACCTTTATACCCTTTTAATTATATTCCCGGATTATTGCAAAATCTTCGGAGGAAGAAAATGGCTTTTCAAAATATTTTAATTTATTTATCTGATGAAAATTCAGCGTTGCGTTTAATAAGATAATTCTTCTTGAAGATGATAAGTAAATGGGCTTTGGGGTAGATACACAAATATGTGACTTTTGAGGTTAAAAACTACATATTTTATGGGTTTTTCTTCAGCTGGATCAGTCGTCCAATTAATGTTGGATATCAGTCCCATCTACAGCGTTGGTCATAACTAGTCGATGGGCCCTCCACTACGGTCCATCGAGGATATGGTCCACGTGGGGACCACCAGGCCGGTAAATGTTGACTCTTCCATTTTTTTCGCTTATTTCTTCCCAGTATTACTCGGAAAGAAAAAAAGGCAACCAATGAGCAGGTGAAGGACTATAAATAATATATATATATAGATATATATATATATATTTAGATGGATATATCTAGATAGATAGATTGGTCGAGTCAACATCGATTGTTGACTTCTGGGCATTGATTTTATTTTTTTCTTCTCTATATTCCATTGTTCAGATCTAGGGAGACTTACGTACCTTTTATATAGTTCCTGTTTTGTAGATAGTTGTTCTCATTTAGGAGAGCGAGCAAGAGAGAGAGAGAGAGTTGACTTCTGGGCATTATTCTTTGGATTGTTTCTTTGAATTGATTTTCCATTGGTCAATTCTATGACACAAATCTTCGACATAATTCCTGTTTTGTAGTTAGTTGTTCTAATTTGGGAAAACAAGAGAGAGAGAGAGAGAGAGAGAGAGAGAGAGAGAGAGAGAGAGGAAGAGAGTTGACTTATGGGCATTATTTTTTGGATTGCTTATTTCCATTGATATTCCATTGGTCAATTCTATGACTTATAAATCTTCGACATGATTCCAGTTTTGTAGTTATTTTTTCTCATTTAAGAGAGCGAGGATCTTACTTTTTTAGGCAAAAATTCCCTCTCAACTCATAGCATAATTTCAGGTGTAATGTGAGAAATCTCCATCTAATGTTTGAAATCTAAGTTTCCAAGAAAATGAAATTCGGATATTTGTGAGCCAAAAATTGATGACAACAAAGAAGAATAGATCTGCCTAATAGATAATATTGGCGAATAATAGCAGTGATGATGAATCAGTTGAACAGATGTGAGAATATCACAAAGTCAAAGATCACGTTTTGACTAATATCATATGGGATCAAGACCAACGAAATGAGACTTGGATTTCGGTGGATGATAACCATGATCAAGGTCAACGGCGAATGGTGAGAAAGAGAAGGAATGGGGGGGGCGGCGGGTATACCAAAGGAGACATTATGACAACAATGACTATTCATCTTGGTGAATCTGTAACTGATCTTCTGGACGTCGAGGACGGGGAAGATAGAGAGCTGATGAAATGCACATGGCGATGGACAGCATACTTAAGCGTGCGATCCTGGAATTTGTTCTCTCACGTGTCTCCCTCATATCCTCCTTCCTGCAACACCATAATTAACCCGTGGTAGTGAACTCACCAAACTGGGCATTAACCATTTGGGCGAAGGAAAGAGAGTGTACAGAGAGAGAGAGAGAGAGAGAGAGAGAGAGAGAGAGAGATATGAAGGGAGAGAGAGAGAGAGAGGGAGAGAGAAGCAGCGTCTGAAGAAAAGGAGATTTATACTTCTGCTTTATTAACAAAAAAGTTATCCTGGATGTGCAGGCGTGGAGAAAATTAGAAAGAGCAAGTGGGAGAGGAACTGGGTTTTGAACAAACAAGAAGAAACCTACCTGCTCTTTAGGTACTCCATGTTCTCACGGATGGCTCTCACGGCGATAATTAGCTTATTCAGCTCGAGTTCAACGCACTGTTATTCACCAAAGAGAAGAATCAACCGGAGTTCACGGTAAAAATAATTTTTCACAGTAAGTCTCACAATTCGATCGAATCTTCTCTTATCATCGTCACTTGCCTCAATCTTTTCCTGCTTTGCGACAGATTCCCAGTACTTTGTCTCGATCCCGGTTCTCCAGTCAATTCTGAGGCTCACCTTGATATTGAGAGGATTTTATTCTACCCACAACCACCTGCTTCGGTGGTTGTGAAACCAAAGTGATCTTGAGTGACATTCTTACTTTCGTGAAGTGTTTTTCCGTAGGGTGATGAAATCTGCAGAGAAGCCAACTAGTTGAAGCCAGGTTTCTTGTGAACTAGACACGAGATGGCCAACCCGGGCTGTCCAACTCCATGTCCAAAGTGGATTAACGTCTCTCTGCGCTCGATTTATTTTCACAGCATAAACTTACCTTTAATGTAAATAAATTCAAGTTGCATAATTTAATCAAAGATATTTTATTGGACATTGCAGAAAATTACTCAAACCGGCCAACCAAAGTAGGGCACAATATGCCTAAAATGCGTCATTTAGGTGAAAAAAAAGGTTCAGAATAGTAGTGGAAACCAAAATGCCCAAAGTGCATCATTTCTGATCTCCATTCTGATACGGCACATTTCTTTTATGGTTAAAATGTCTCTCCTACAATCATTTTTCCATCCTAGATCATCAACTTCAGTGCTACCAACACAATCAGAAACACATGTCATGATTTTTTTTCCTATGACCAATGTCATGACAGCTTCAAAGTTATGACTATTGATGAATCCTAACTCACTATTACTGTTATGGGTAGTGTGTGAAAAAAGTAGATTAAGAACCCTTTGTAATGTTCTCCATGCCCCAAAACCTTGCACTAATATCTTAATTTGCTATAAATTCTAGACTGAACTTAATTATATTGTGGTATTTCTCTATTGATGAGTGTGCTTTGTATGACAAAATATTGGGTAAGAGGATTGAACGTGTTGAGTGAGGAAGTTCTACCACCTAAGAAGCTTTGAAATATATCTCATTCTGGGAGTAGATTCTACACCATCATAAATACCCACCCTCTTTTCTATCCAAAAACTAGAAACAACATGAGAAACTTTGGTCATCTTACCTTTAGAAAAATAATATTATTATTTCCCTCTCTCTTTTGAGGTGTATATATGGATCAACTATCTTGTGAAGTGTGTGAACTTGCAATGGACAAACATGTTGTATTTCCCACTAGTGAGGACACGAGTTCTGTTATTTTTCATTGTTATTATAGTAATGTTTAATGACCCACCCTCAATTCCTAGTTTGCATGGTGCCAAAAGATTTACTATTTCATCGACAAGTGTTCACAATTTATTTAACTTTTCTTATTAAAAAAAAACAAAAGTTAGTGATACCCTTATACATTTTTGTACACTAGTAAGGGATCAATTTGGTATTTCTATCAAGTGATACTATATGAGTACTTTTGTGTTAATGTTCAATAAAATAGAATTATTGAAAGGAAAAAATATACACATTCTTGAAGTTGCCAAGTTTCTCCTTCTTCAAAGTAATGTACCAAAATCATTGTTGGTGGAAGCTATACTAATAATAGTTCATCTAATTATTCTTCCTTCTACACAATGTCTTTTAAAGATAATTGAAGATCTTATCATCATTTTATCCTAATGTTAAGCAAAAAAAATAACTTGACTCCCAAAAAATTCGTGTAGTGTTTCATTCATATACATTCATAATGCAAACTGAAGTAAGTTAGAACCTAGAGTATTAAAGTGTATTTTTTTCTGTATTTTAGTACTAAAAAAAGGTTACAAACATGTTTATTCTCATTAGAACATATTTTTTACTATTACAAATGTCACCTTCAATGAGAGGAACCTTATTACCCAAGCAACTCTTCACAATCACCAAAATATGACCATATTGAAACAAAATTTGACTCAAATTCTTACTTTCTATTCCAAAAAGTGATGTCCTTATTATTCATGATTCTACTTCTAAGAGTGAAAGATTTGAGAGAATCTACTCAATGAGAGGGTTAAAAATCTCAACATCTTATCAAATCTCTAACCTTAAACTTGATATTCAATTTTGATCATACTCTACTAGTTATAGAGGATAGACTTACAAAAGAAACCCATCGTAATCTACTTGTTTTGCCCATTGTCCTTTAGAAAGATGCTAGAAAATATACTAAAACATTTTTATATCTAATTATTCATTATGTGTCTTATGAATGGTTATCCCCAACCTATAAAGCCTTCATTACTACACTAAATTCCATCATGATTCCATCTATAGCAGTAAAGATATTAACCCAAGAGAAATGGAAGTGAGCCATTGATAGTGAGATGTCAACCTTAGAAAAAAAATTCACACATAAGAACTAGTTAAATTACATACAGACAAGAAGATTGTGGGATGAGAATGGATATATAATGTGAAGCATAAAGTAGAAGGCTCTATTAAGAGGTGTAAAAGTAAAAGTATAGCTATATATATATATATATTCAAATCTATGGCATTGATTATCATAAGACATTTGCTCTAATATCAAAGAGAAACATGGTTACAATAATACTATTGTTGACATCACATTATAGATGGAATCTCTGAAAATGTTTAATGTACTGACATCTTTTATTGATGATAATTTTAGTCTTTGAAAATGGATGTATGCTAAAAGAGTCTGGTTCTACCCTCTAAAATCTAATGTGAACTATCTTTTATTTATTTATTTTATATTTATTAATATAAGTATGTAAAAAAGATATTAATAGATGTAATAAAAAAATATTATACTTAATCTAGAGAAAACTTAAAAAATAATTCATCTTTTTTATTGAATTATCCAATCTTTTAGGGACCAACAATATATGTAATCCTAAAAGAGCTCATCAACAAGAATATCAAAATGTTCTTCATCATCTTAAAGGGACTACTAGATGAAGCATCCTACATAAAAGAAATCAATGTTTTTTATTTGTGTTTGCACAAATACAAATTATGTAAGGTACATCATTAATAGGAGGTCCATGTTTGAGTATTGTACCTTCTTAGGAGCAAATCTTATCAACTAGTGGAGTAAAAAAAACATTTAGTGGAAAGACTAAGTGCAACATTTTAATTTAGAACTAATGTACAAGATATTTGTAGGATTTTGTGGTAAAACACACACTAGAGAACTTAAAAATTAAGAGGGCAAACACTAACATGTAGCATTGTGACAATAAATCAACTATTAAAATCACATATAACACAATTCAACATATTCAATCTAAACATATAAAGGTTGACTACCACCTCATTAAGGAGGAGCTTGACAATGACTTAATTTGTACAGTGAATATTTGAACCACTAATTAATTAGTAGATATTCTCACCAAAGGACCACAAAAGATTATGTTTTAAGATCTTATCTTCAAGTTAGGGATGGATGCTATCTGCTTACCAGCTTGAGGGGTTATGTTAGAAATAAAATTTTATTTTATCTACTTATTTTATTATATCTTTTTTTATTGTAATTATATCCTTTAGAGAACATATCTAGATTAAAAGGCTTCCACATATCCATTAACTAGATCCATCCTTTCTCTCATGCATGTAACCCCAAATCATTACACAAATGAGATGAATGGGTTCTCTTCATATTTTACCTCTCGTGGAGTCACCAGATGTCTAACTAGGGCAAAATGGATCACATAAGTAGTCATTGACACTATTAATAATTAAGTTATTCTCTTAGAATTTTTCTATACATTACAAGTTGACTCACTATCTATTATGCCATGAAGATTTAGAATTTGATCACAAGTCCCCTAGATTTTGAGTAATTTAAAAAGTTGAGTATATGGAAAAATAAATAAAAGGGATGAAATTTTCTAATATTGTGGAAAAAATTCACTTGATTGATCTACCCAATCCTAGGACTCCTTTGTAATCCTAGGCATGTAATAGCAAAGCAACACTTTTTCCTGGAGAGTTGCTTTATACATGATGAACTAGGATACAAGCCCCTCTTTCACTTCAATCAACTATGGATACTTACTACCTTATTACTAGAACCCTCCAATTCTGTTGAACATTCACAAACCAAAATCGAAGAAAAATACTAATAAAATAGTTTCAAACATGAAACTCATGCATCAATTATATAATCAAAACCCAAAAATTCAATCAAATGAAATAAATTAGGAAGACAACTACAATCATCGATTACAAAACATTTCATCCACTCACCTTGGCAGAGATGGTAGGTTGCTTCTGGGTATGTTCCTCTGATTGGATACCATGCTGGAATATGACAACCATGTGGGCCTGAATCTCCTCTGAGACCCACTTCATCCCCTGTGGGGGCAACTCCATCCACACAGCTGATGCCCCTTGAGTGAAGAACAGCACCTCTGCTGCCATCACCACCACCAAACTCATCAGCAATGCTCCTCTCGCCGCCGCCACGCCCATCATTGCCGAAGACTCCATTCTCTCTCCTTCACCCCTTGTCCCTTCTGAATTCCCTCTCCCTCAGCAGGAATTGGTCCAAAGCAGGTCCCATATAAAAACTGGAGGTCCCATGTCAAAGTCAAATTTATCAAAAACAATCAAGAAATGAACGAATTTTTATTACCTATATACTCTTTTTAATTATATTCCCTGATTTTGCAAAATCTTCAGAGGAAGAAAATGGCTTTTAAAATATTTGAATTTATTTATTTGATGGAAATTCAACGTCACGTTTAACAAGATGGAATTTGTGTTTAAGGGGTACATATATAAATATATGACTTTTAAACTGAAAAATCACATACTCTATAGCTTTCTTTGGCTGGATTAGTTAATATCTGTCCCATCCACAGCGTTGGCCATAAATAGTTGATACCCCCTCAACTGTGGCCCATCAAGGATATGGTCCACGTGGGGCCTACCAGGATGGTATATTGACTTTCCCATGTTTGTCAATTATTTCTTCCATGCATTAATAGACAACCATAGAGAGAGAAGTAGACAACCGTAGAGAGAGAGGGATAGTTGATTTTTAGGCATCGGTCTTTTCAATGCTTTTTTCAGTTAATATCCCATTGTTCTGCTCTATGACTGATAAACCTTTCATATAGTTCCCTGTTGCAGTTATTTGTTTGCATTTAGGAGAGAGAAAGAGAGAGAGAGAGAGAGAGAGAGAGAGAGAGAGAGAGAGAGAGAGAGAGAGAGATGTGGGAAGAAAGACTTCAAGGGCTTTTAGGGTTTTTTACAGTCATGATCCACCTAACTCAGTTATGAGTATATTCATAACTCAAATTATTGCATTATACAATATCAAGACAGAGTGTTGGGGTTGCCAATAACATAAGAAGAAAAAAGTCAACGACTCATTCAGAGGCTTAATAACTCAGTAAATTGCCTTCTACACTTTAAAATGGATATCTGAATCAGATCACATGAAGAAATAAATTCTCTGCAAGAAATTATGAATCAAAAGTGATCTTCCCACTACAACTTCCTACTTTCAAACTTCAATCACATCTGGGGATATTCTCCAACATCACATCGTCTGATTTGTCACATCCTTCGAAGATCAGAATAATCAGACCTGTTGCCATCATCGTGATCATCACTAAGAATCTCGTCCATGTGATAACATATTCATGAAATATCATCTTTGTTGTGCATTACACGGTAAAAAAAAAAAAAAAAAAACATTGTTAGAATAATGCAACATGAAGAGGATGATACTCACAGTAGATGAACGATCACTGACAACTTTGTCAAAAATAAATAAATCAATAAATAAAAGAGTAGGAGGTTCACTTGCCGGTCAAACCAGGGTGATTTCTGTTTCTGGGTTTGATTTTAATGGAGTTTGGAAAAAACATAGCAAGTTAGGCCTCCAGGTCTACTTGGCTAGTCAAAAACCCTGACCACATTAGTATAATGATAAAGTGATATATGCCATGGGAGTTAGCATTAATGTCCAGCATATTTTTTGTGCGACATGAACAGACATTGTGATTATATGAACCCTAGAGTTGGAAGTACTTGAAGCTTAATCTATCTCGTGTGAATTAAGCACTCATACGTATCATCTAACCACAGCCAACAGATGAGGTTTCTTATAATGATCATGAGTTCATAATCCTCTGCGTTGCCTATGAGGTTATTCAATGAAGCAGGTCTTCAGTTATTGAGGAAATATTAGCATATTCTCTGATTAGCTTCTTCTAACAATGTATAAATTTATGATTTGATAAGAAATATTTTTCTACCTATCCAATTGATGCAGAACAGAGCTACATAAAAAATTAAGAAATAGGATAAATCTAAGCTCATAAGAAAACTATAATCGTGAAATAAAGTACTTCAGGTAATAAATAAATAAAATAACTTACAAAAAATGCTTCCTCAAGAAAAAGAATCTGACAGATGACTCCATAGGAGAAGATTTTCAGGGGAAACCAAAACATGGGTTGAATTCTAACCGAACTATCTGAGATGGTTTGAACATGGGCCATGCAAACGTAATTCTGATAAAAAAATAGAGTTCACATTTCTGATTCCAATCAGCTGAAATTCGGATCTTGGTGAGTAAAAAATTGATGACAACAAAGAAGAACAGAGGTGCACGATGGTTTGAAAACCAGCAACGATGACAGTTTCTGATACCAATGAATAATATTGGCCAGTAAGAGCGTTGATGATGACGCAGAACAGAGGTGAGAATATAATGAAGTTTGAGAGAGTTTAAACATTGTCAAAGGTCACGTCTTCACTAATGCTATGTGGGATTGAAAAAGGTTCAAAAACCGAATCAAAGTTTCCGATTCAAATGAACTGAACTTTGAATGTTAGCAGATCATAGTAATAATGATACAGAGGAATGGAGTTGTGAAGATCCATGAATAGTAGAATCGTTTGTGACCCACAATAACACCCACGAGTGTAGAGCAATCAGAAGACCAGGATCAAATTTTCAGATACCTAGGATCAATAGCTTGAATCTCGGTAGATGATAGCGATGATCTACACAGGTAACATGAGAGGTGAGAAATTTGAGCCACGAACAAGAGGAAATGACACGATAGATGGCAGGACACCTTTACCAAATGGAAGCAAAGAAACTGAGAACGATGATATGAAATTGGATGATAAGCATGATGGAGTTCAATGAAGAACTTGGACAAAGAAAACGGATAGGGACGGCGGCGGGTGTACCAGAAGAGGCAGATGATAACAATGGCTATCCGCTCCTTGAATCAATTCCTCTTTCTGGCATCCCTCTTCTTGGTGGATCTGTAATTGCTCTTGTGGAAGTCGAGGAAGAGGAAGAGAAGGGACCCATTAAAGGCGGCGTTGAATAACCAGGCACCCATCCCGGAGCAACCCCCCCTGAAGAAGTGGAGCCATAGAAAGACCAGAGAAAGAGCGAAGCTGATGCAGAACTGGACGATCTGGCAGTTGGTCACCACCCTCTTCCACTGCGGCGGCCATCGCCATCCCAAGCTCGAGCACAGGTAGTACCCGTACATCACCACGTGAACGGACGCGTTGGTCACGAGCGCCACCGGCATTAGCGACTGCTTAGCAGTGATCCACAGCCTGGACATGATCAGAACGACGGCGTGGTGGTAGACATGGAGGAAGGAGAGGCGCCGCCCGTCGGAGGAGAGGAGGATGAGAAGGGTGTCAACGAGCTCGTAGATCTTGGAAAGGTAGAAGATGTGGGCATAGAAGAAGACGGGGCCCTTTGCTGCAGTTTCTCCGGGGGGGAAGCAGAAGACCCAGGTGGGGGAGGGCATCTGAGAAGCGGCGGCGAGGGAGCAGCCGATTGCCATGCTGAGGGAGAGGAAGAGGATGACGGCATTGTGAACAGGGGAGATGAAGCGGAGAATCAGGCGCAGAGGAGGGTGGGGGGAGGGGCGAGGAGGGAGGAGGCGGCGGAGGAACAGAACCAGAGCGAGGTAGGAGAAGATGGTGACGAAGATTAGGAGAGGGGACGCTCCCCAGGTGCGGCGCTCATCCCATTCGAACGCGGCGACTGATGGGTGTTCCACCAGAAGCCGCCGCAGGGCGGCGACGGAGCCCCAGCCCGGCATCACCGGCGGCGGAGATGGGAATCCAGCCGAGTGCTGCGGCAGAGTGTGGTGGGTGGAAGTCGGGCCTGCAATCTCATCTTTTTAATCAGCGTCCGAGCAGAGTGATCTTCCACAAAAAGGGACATTCTTAATGAATAATTATGAAACAGCCCTAATTGAATTTATATCTCAAACATATCCTTTTTCCAGGGGCCAAGCCCGGGCCCGGTTACGGCCCGAAAAAGAAGAAAAAGCTTGGAAAAATCCTGTCCGTACTGAACGGGCCCGGCCCGATTTATTCCATTAAAAGCCTTGATTTAATAGCGGGCTTATTTGGGCCCTAACAGGCCCATTAAAGCGAACTTCGGGGGGACCAATCGAGTAGCGTGGGCCACGTCATCTTATGCGCTACTTTGGACCCTTGGAAATACAATTCAGTACGCACGTAACAAGTACATGTCAGTGAGATGCAGAAGAAAAGTAAGTCATTGACATTTCGTGGGCCCACTGACGTGTTTTTTGATGCGTATCAGTACGTACCAAATGCGGGCTCTCTGTTCCTCTTTAATATAAGGAGACTCCGAAGTCCTCTCAACGCGTGAGGGGAAGATTGGGAAGTTCCCTAGAGGGTTCGCAGTGCCATGGCGTTCGTCGAACGAGGTATTGGATTCTTTGGGCCATGGAGATCGCCTCCTTGTGCCCAGCAATCTATTGCTCTGTTGCCTCGTTGTTGTCGCCTAATTGCTTTTGTCCTGGTGGAATCTGGTTTGGAGTGCTGGATTTGAAATCTGTCTCGCCTCTGATCGATTACATGTGTTTGCGTGGTCCAATGATATCTAGGGTTTTTTCTGTGATTTGGAACGTGTTTTTGCTCTGTTTTTTTAACCAATTTGGGGTTGGGATTCTCTTTGTTCGGTAGGCGAGAATCGGAGGATGCGTGATTGATCTTTAATGGCGTTATTTGCTTCCCTTTATTTTCGGTGTTAATTATCTGAGGATTTATATTTTTTTATTGATGATTGATGTTCGGGTAGTGATGAAATCAGCATGTGAGAAGTGCGAATGCTCCGATGTATTTTCTATCCTTGGCTGAGTAACCAAGATGGGGCCGGGATTCCACAATTAAAGGAAAGCTGATGCGTAGTATGGTAGGTATTACCATATGAGGATGGCCCATCCAGTGGCAGGTTTGACGTTGTTACCATACAAGAATGACCAAAGCCATGGTAGTGGGCTTGAATTAAAAGTAATAACGTTTTAAGATGGAAATGAAGGACGGGAAATTCTCTTTGTTTTCCGCATGGATCAAAGGAGTTTCATCATCATCACCACCACCACCACCACCACCACCACCACCACCACCATTATTTTAAGGTTTCATAATTTCAATCCTGGTCGGATTCGAAACTAAAAGTCCATATCAGAGAACTTAATAATATATTTTATATATATTTTGTTGGCTTCCCTGATTGGCTACACAAAAAACCTTTCACACACTAGTTGATGTCCATGGGAGGAGTTTCTATGCTGAAGTCTGTCTCTGAGCTTGATCCTGTGTGAAATGTATAGAAGGCTAAAAATAATTTTTTAAAAAATAAAAATAAAGAGTAAAAGGAGAAGAAGAATGTGGATATAACATTAATTGAAAAACGAATTCTACTGGCGACGAGGTTTGAAAATAGTTAGGTAATATAGTGGAATTAAAGGAATATGCAGCGACAGCTAATAACAGCAGCAGTGCTCACTTTCTAACTGTTTCTGCCTTTGGTCGATGTTAACATGCCCAATTCACCAATAATATCCAAAAATATGGCCCATCAGCTTGTGTGACTTAGAATCTAATTGGGGATTGTACTGGTTTTATGCCTAGTTTCTCAGATTGTTGAAAAAGTGCGAATATGAAAATTTCCTTAACTGAAAGTTTGCATCAGAATCTGCATGGATCACTCATTTGTGTAAGCATAGTTACTCATTTACCATGATTCAGCCATGGTACTTTTTGGTCTTCCCATGGTATGTATATTATGGGTTGGATTCATTTTTAGCAGTAACGAGATAAACCTGGTGTAAGTTCCTTGTAGGACAAGAGAAAGAACAATTATATGCCAAAATACATTATTTTTGTTATTTCAATTAAATATTATGTATATAACTAAATAAGCCTATGTGTGGATAACAAGAAAATATGATTATTTCGGTTAACCATGAACTCTTTGTTTGATCCACTACAGGTGTTATCAAGCCAAAACGGTCTTTATGGCGATTAAGCACAATTACTCACTTCTTCTGGTCCATTGTCAACTTCATTAGTATTTTCTTTGTCACGATGTTCTCGGTATGCACTCATCTTCTCCCCCTGTCAGTTTTCATGTTTATGAGGGGTGTAGATGAGCCAGGCTTGGGTCTCTGAGCTGAAACCCTAGCCAGCCCTCCATAGCTGGGCTCTCCCATGCCAAAAGAAACCAGCTTCAAGGTGGGCCCTGCTAAAAATCCAGTCGTCACCTGGATTAGGGGCTCTGTTCTTACTCAGCCTATTGATACCCATATTTGTCTACCAAATTCTTGGCTATGTTCTTCATTTTCTAGCTTCCAGTAGACACACTGACCAACAGCTTTTGTAATACTCTCCTTCAGAAGGACAGGACAGATGAATACAAGAAGGGATCAAGCTCAGGAAAGAAATGGGGTGGTGGGCCTGGTGGCGGCGGTCCGGGCCGAGGCCCATATGGCGGTGGTGGTGGCAGCAGCGGCCCTCGTGGTCCACGTGGAATGGCGGATATCCGAGCTAATGAACAAAGTAAAAGCTCAAACTTACCTCCAATGTCTTCCCTGGTTGACCTAACCTAACCTAACCTATCTCCATTCTCTTCTCAGATGGCCTTCCTGCTTGTGGATCATGCTGTGGAGGGTAATTTTGCTAACATTGTTGCTATCCTTGGATCATTACCGCAATTGGATAAGCATCTGGAACCTTCCACATCTTGCTCGTGACTATGTACCTGTGGTCAGCTCTGAGTTCTTCCAAGTGTTCCCTGGACTAGACCTCCACGTCCCCATTTCCGATGGTGCAGCTTCTAGTCCCAAATGGTTTTATTGGAAGACTTGTGCATGTCAAACATATACATAAAGTCAACAGCGTCTAAATGTGTTGGTTGAAGTATGCTGTGGTTAATTGGGCATCTTGCTTAATGGGAGAAAAATGATTGGGTCAACCAATCGGCCCAAACCCCAGTATATTCACCTTACTGTTCTTCTCTCTCTCTCTCTCTCTCTCTCTTGAGTAACATGTTAGGTTAGTGGTAGCTGTTTAAATCTACTTGACTAGTAATAAAATTATAAATATGTGGATTTTAATAATACTATAAAACTACTATAACTAAATTTGATGATATTATTGCAAAAATATTACGAATTTTAGGTTGACTTTTTACCAAGGTGGTCGGAAAATTAGTCAATGGAACTAATTTTAGGTTGATTGGGGCTTAAACTTGCTTAAGTTTTGCAGATTTTAGCTCCCTAGAAACTTAGACACGAAGGAAAAGTTAATAGTCTCATCTCTCTCTCTCCCTCTCTCTCTCTCCTCGATTGACTCCACTAGTATCTAAGTCGTTAGATGAGAGGGTGAGGGAGGGGATGAGAGAGAATGCGCTGATGGAGAGGCCAAAGAAAAGGGGGAGAGATAGAGAGAGAGAGAGGAAGAGAGAGAATTATTATGAAATTTGGTAAATATTTTGCATTAGGTCTTACATTTCTGATTGGTTCAGAGAGATTTTAAAACAAGGGTATAATTGTACAATTGAAAATATTGAAGGACTTATCGACAATTCTACTACTTGAGGGAGTTTAAAGGCTATTTTTATTATTAAACGTAATTTAAGCGTTGAAAACTCGCAGTCGTACACTCCGAGGCCTCGGTTAAGGATATCTCGGCCCCAGAGAAGGCAGGTGCGGAGCAACTCGCTTTATGATGTTCCGCGAAACATGTTATCTCCAAATTGACAGATCCTCTCTCCCTCCCTAAATCTCCCTCCTTCCCCTCCCTCTCTTCTCGCTCTCTCTCTCTCTCTCTCTCTCTCTTCTCTCTCTCTCTCTCTCTCTCTCTCTTCTCTCTCTCTTCTCTCTCTCTCTTTCTCTCTCTCTCTCTCTCTCTTTCTCTCTACCTCTCTTTCTCTCTCTAAAGGGGTCGGCTATGGCCTTCAAGCCGCACCCCCGCCTCCACCACAGCAATAACCAGCATCAAGCAGTCCCCTTCAGGTGGGGTTTCATGTGGAAGACCTCCATGGATCTCGAAGCCTTCCCTCTCTCCGTTCCTCTCTCTATCTCTCTCTCTAGCTGTGGTGTGTTTATTATGGCTACGATTTCGATTAATCGCAGGAACTTCGTCCCCATCGACGGCCAGTCCACCACGGCCGCCGCTGTTGCAGCGGCGGCCCCGATATCCTTGATGAACGCCGGGGGCTTCCCTGACCCACCCCAGAACACTTCTTCCTGTAATCCCTTTTCCCCTCTCAATCTCTTCCTCTCTCTTCCTCTCGGTTACTCCGTCTTTATCTCCGCATGATTCCGCTGACGAGGTTGGGGTTTTGTGGTTTTTCTGCCCTGATTTCTCGGGGATTGGATAGTTGTGCAGGTCATGGGGATTGCGCCGGGCGGGGCTGCGGCGGCGGAGGGCGGCTGGGGCGAGGCGGCGCTGTCTCTACTGCCGCCGGCGGCGGCGGCGGCGAATAAGAGGTTGAAGGAGCAGGAACTGTTGATCAACTCGCAGATCTCGTCGGCGGCGGCCGATTTCCCGCAGAATAGGCCCGTTTCCACGGGGCTGGGCCTGTCCTTGGACGACAGGCGACTGGCAGCGGCCTCGTCCTCCGGGGACTCACCGCCTCTCTTCCTCATGCTCGACGACGAGATCGATCGGGAACTTCAGAGGCAGGAAGTAGAGTTGGATCGCTTTATCAAGATCAAGGTCTCGGATCTCCTCGAACTAGAAGCCACGTTTTGCCTTATTTTCATTACTCCCACGCGATTTTTTCATTTCATTTCATTTCTTCTTCGTCATCATCATCTCTCCTGCGTTCCCGGAAATTATTCCCATGATATATTTTTTTTACATTCTTCCTGCAATCCCTTCAATCTCTGCAAAAATAGGATTATCGTTGCGTCCCTTTGATCACCATTCATCTGATTTCTCTCCTTCTATCCGACACAAATGTTTCGACAGATTTTGATTCCTAGATTTATCAAGAATTTCACCTTAAACCATCTGAAAGTAGCTCCCCGCTCTGAACTTAGGGTGAGCAACTGAGGCAAGCCATACTGGAGAAGGTTCAATCTAAGCATCTCGAAACCCTGACCTCTGTTGAGGACCGGATCCTCCGCAGACTCCGAGAGAAAGAAGTGGAGGTGGACAGCATCAATAGGAAGAACAGGGAGCTGGAGGAGCAGATGAAGCAGCTGACTGTCGAAGTCGGCAACTGGCAGAGCCGCGCCAAGTACAATGAGAACATGATCTCCACCCTCAAATTCCATCTCCAGCAGGTCGTTGCACAGAGCCGAGACAGCAAAGAAGGCTGTGGCGACAGTGAGGTAGATGACACTGCATCATGCTGCAATGTGAAGGCGATGGATCTTCAGCTCGTCTGCAGGGAGAGCAAGGAATCCAAGGGGCAAGTATATTGTAGGGTTTGCCGGGTCAAAGAGGTTTGCATGCTCTTGCTGCCCTGCAGGCATCTCTGCCTCTGCAAGGACTGTGAGAGCAAGCTCGGATTTTGCCCTGTCTGTCACTCGTCAAAGGTAATTGGCATGGAGGTCTATATGTAATGGGGACCCAATCGCCAAAATCTATATGGTCAGCTGTTCTGTATACTCACGTTGTTGCTGCTGCTTGCTGTATATAGTTCGCTGTTCCTCTCCGCCTACACAGCTGCTCATTGGAACCTGAATGGGGATTTGCAGAACTAATGGCGAGAAATTTGTGCATACTTGGTGTAACTTCTTTCCCATGTTTCTTGGATCGATTCGATCACTTCTCTATGAGGGTTTGTTTAAGCTCTTGCCTTCCTGATTGCGGTCCATTGTTTCTTCCTGCCCATTTATGATCTGTACGAGAATTAACTTCCAGAGATTTATGCCTGCTTGGTAGCTAATTTCACACACACATGTTCCTGGAATTAATTCATCTGCTGGTTAAAAAGAGTCTTAGCTTTTTATCAGATGAATTTTTTTGTGGGTTTTCTTCTCTCTTCCCTGCTATTTAAAGTATTCTCTCTCATGGACTAATGCTCTCTGTGATCCGTATGATTATTCCAAGCTTCTTCTTCTCTCTTTAAAAGAATTCGGAATGGGGATGAACAGGATCTTCATACGGTTGAATTAATCTGATCATCCATTTATGGAAACCGAATTCTTCTTGGATAGATTGTTTCTTCCTGCCCGGCGGGCTGATCCTCGGAACCCCATTTATGATCTGTACGAGAATTAACATCCGGAGATTTATACCTGCTTGGTAGCTAATTTCACACATATGTTCTCAGAACTAATTCACCTGCTGCTTAGAAAGAGTCTTATCTTTTTAACAGATGATTTCTTTCTTGTGGGTTTCTTCTCTCTCTTCACTGCTATTTAAAGTATTCTGTCTCATGGGCTAGTGCTCTCTGTGATCCATATGATTCTTCCAAGCTTCATCATCATCTTCTTCTTCTCTATTTAAAAGAATTTGGAATGGGGATGAACATGTTCTTGATACAGTTGAATTAATCTGATCATCCATTTATGGAAACCGAGTTCTTCTTGTGTTTTCCCCCTTTTCAAGCTTCTTCACCTCCGGATGAATTTGTCTCGGGCTTTCTGCTCTCCCTGGGGCTCTGCTTATTTATACTCTATGATCTCCCGTCGATGTATATTATATGCGGTAGGTTCGTCCTCATCATTCCCAATTGTTAGGGTTTTAGATGCCCCCATGACTGAGGTTGGTGGTCTTTTTTTTTCCCCTTCTTCTGGGCTTCGGGTCAGATAATGGGCTGGATGGGCCTAGGCCCACACACGAGCCCGGTTTTGGTTACCCTTTTAGGTCCCCTATAATTATTTTCACATTGCACAGAAATAATGCAGATTTTGTAGGCTCCATGTATCCGAGAGCTACAGAGAGAGATGATGGTTGGCGACGGGAAATGGGCTTGGTAACCTTTTTGGGCCCCCTGTTATTATCCATATTTAGTGGGTTCCAAATATCTGAGAAAGCTAGAGAGAGAGAGAGAGAGAGATGGTGGCGGGCCCATTAGGGACATAAGAAGGGATGAAGCCCATTTCATGATGATGGGCCCATTTATAACGGAATAAGGTGTGGGCCCATGGTGGCCCATTTCCACATAAGATGGAGCCGAGGAAGGCGGAGGAGGTGGTGGGAGCAGGAGAGCGGCGGCGGAGCGAGGGAGGAGAGCGAGGAGGTAAGAGCTTCTGAGGAGCTCCTGATTCCGCCATGGTTTCTGCCTCCAATTCGCCTTCTCCATCCCAAGTGTTCTCCTTCTTCCCTCGGCTTCTCTCGCCTCCGCCTGATGTCGCAAACCCTAGAGGCAACAGTGACCCGGGAGAAGACGGAGTTTTAAAGAAAACTAACTTTTTGCGAGCGGGGATGTGTGGATGTGCTTATGTGCAGGCTCCAGAGTGAGGGGGAGAGAGGGGAATTTCGAGATTGAGAATGTGGAAGGAGTGGCGCAAGGAGAGAAGGGGGATGAGAGTGAGCTGATGCTGAGAGAATGAGGGTTGTCGATAGTTTTGTTGTATATCGCGCTTCGGTTTCATTATCTTGGTGCTAGGCTGTGAGAGCTGGGGGAAGGCTGTCATGGAGAATAAACTCGTGGTATCTTTCTCACCCGCTTTTTGTCCTATTTGAATAATTCGCTGCTCTCATTGTGGACGCCACGCCCTCATTTTTTTTCCAAATTTCAACGATGTTTCATCTAGGTGCTTGGGATCCCGTGGGATGTGGACACCGAAGGACTGAGGGAGTACATGAGTAAATTTGGTGAGTTGGATGACTGCATTGTGATGAAGGTATCGATTCTTCTTTTGTACATCCATACTTTCCTTTTAGTTCAGTCATTACCTGTTACGTTTCCATTTTGGGTTCCCATTCCAATCTAAAACATTGAAAATGATTAGACTAGTACTTGCTAGTTCCTGTCTAGTTTGGTTCTGATCCAATTGGTTGTTTAGTCTTACCTGTAGCTGAGGTAAGACCCATCTCGGCCTTAGTAGACTGAAAATAGGCGAGCTTGACTTCGGCCCAACTTTACCGAACACAATCATTTTTGGCCCATATATCTGATCCAACTCGCTTCTCAGTATCTCGAATCAACTATTTCATTCTGAGAACATTATAATATAAACCAATGTTAATATTCATTTTTTCTGCATTCCAGGAAATATCTTAACATTTTATCATCAATACGGCGGCCTACGTAGCAATGACATCCATACTTTATCATTTCATCGTAAAATCAAGCTAATGACGTAGTTTCATGCTTGCTGCAACCCTAACTGGTTTTGGATTTGGACCATTTTTTTTTAGAACCAGTTTAGTTTTACCAACATTAACCTGGCTAGCCTAAACTTGCATAGCATGATCTCAGACTTGCCTAGCATGAATTGCGTTCTTAATGAAGTAGGTCAATGCCAACACAATGAAGTAGATAAAAAATGTTGCTAATCCTATTAGTTATGCGAGTTATTTTTGGGCTGTGTTTTTATTCCTTTTTTTATTTGTAATTCATCCGAATGTGCTGTCGAACAACTTGGGTCAACATTTTTCAACCCTTTCTTTGATATCTGATTTTTTATTTGCTGTAAGTGCCACCGATCAATTTGGATAGAATCTATCGCGCAATCCTTTTTTGCATAGAAATGAGATTCTTGGATTATCAGATTGATATGAAGAGAGGTACTAAATCTCACTTTGTTGATCTGACAAGCTGAAGATATCTTTTTTCTTTCATTCATGCGAGTTTAGTGGACGTTATTAGTTTACCAAGGTTTGTTGAGTGCATAGATTTCATTGCGCCTTGATTTATTTGTGTACAGTTCTTGGCTTTTTGCTTTGAAGTATTACAATTAGTGAGTCAATATCTGGATGTGTTGTGCAATAGTAATTTGAGCGTAATATTTTGCATGGTTATTAGATAGAAACGTGTGTTATTGAAATTAGTGCTGATCTACGTGTTGTCTATAACTGGGTTGCTGTTTTTTCTTCTTGTATTGTTGAATTGTGTGATAGATATGTATTTTGAATGTTTTTTGGCCCAAAATCTAAACAGAAATTTTCTTTTGACGTCATTGCACTTTAGGAAAGGTCAACTGGCCGCTCTCGTGGTTTTGGATATGTAACATTTGGGTCAGCTGAGGATGCTAAGGTAAATTTTTGTATACAATCATAGTAGTTATATCTGAACCTCTTTGTAGTTATTTCTCTCAGGTTTTTTTTCTTCTAGTTTTGTTGTGTACTAGACTGTGCTACAATGTGATGATCCTGCTGTTTACCTTTTTTTTCTCTTGGAGATTTCGATTATCTTATCATCTAGTCTTTGGGGATAAATTGTTTCTTTCCATATTTAAGTATGAGCTTATTCAACTTGTGAGGCTTTGTGTTCTAATTTCTCCTATGTTTCTTGATTCTTTTTCTCAATCAAATCCATTGAACAAGGATAGGTACCATTTAATCGCTGAGTATTCTTTGTTGTAATCTTTGAAATATCTTTTTTTCTTCATTTCAACTGGTTTCCTAAGGATCTCTCGTCTTTTCTGTTAAAATTGCTTCTATTTCTTTATCTGAGTTTGATATTCCAATTTAAATAATTTTTAGTAATATGAGGACATTCTTCTTTTCTAGAAAGCACTTGAAAGTGACCATATACTGGGAAACAGAAACCTTGAAGTGAAAATAGCAACGCCAAAGGTGGAGTTAATTTTTTCCCTGGAATTTTTGTCTCCTTTTGGGGTTATGCTTTTTGAAAAAGTAAATATTCAGCACTTTAACCCGCCTGAGACATCCTTAACTCTGGAATTTGTTTGCCTGTCTACTTATTGTTGTTGATAACATCTATACTACAGGAAGAAATGAGATCATCAGCTTCAAAGAAAGCTACCCGGATATTTGTTGCTCGAATTCCGTCTTCTGTTACTGAATCAATGTTTCAGGAGTAAGATGAATTGCTGTCCATTATCAGCGAAGCATCAATGATGCATCTTCTTTGAAAATTGTGGTTCTGATGGGGATGACTGATACCTATTCTTTGCAGCTACTTCGCCAAATACGGTGAGATCACAGACATATACATGCCAAAGGTGCTGTTTCTACTCTTTACTTTTGTGGGAGTTGTGTTTAGTGAGAAGTGATGCAAATTTTCATTGTCTGTTTTATGCTACACCTTGTTGGAACCAAATTTTTATTTTAGTTTTTTTGGTTTTTGCAGGACCAGGCCTCAAAAAATCATCGAGGGATCGGCTTTATCACCTTTGAGAGTCCAGGTCTGGCAATTCTATGTTTCTTCACTTAGCATGCTTTGATTACCTAGACAAATGATTATCCTGGATGCTGCTCCTTCAGCATCACGTCGCTTCTTGTTCCTCAGAATTTGATCAATATCTTTTTTGATCAAACAGATTCTGTTGATACCTTGATGGCTGAATCTCACGAATTGGAAGGCTCCACTGTGGTTGTTGACCGGGCAACCCCAAAGGTCATTTTCTGCAGTCTTTTGTGTTCATTTTTTTTTATCAGTATGTGATCTCTCTCATTTTGCTGACCCAGATTCATGTCTCAACCCATTAGTTTTGAATGCTTAATTGATTGGGAGTATGAGCTGGCATAGGGAATCATTGAGTTTGAGTCATGAGGTCGTGTGGCACACACCTATATATAGTTCAAGCCTGCATGCTACTATACATACTTATATTTAGAGGTGGCAGATGTGTGGGATCGATGTATTGGTTGGATGAGGACTCTTTAGTCTGAAATAATGTGTTGTTTCTTTATTTTTGTACATTATTGTTCCATTTTTATTGACTATGGCGGTTTCATGGGTTCAGGATGAGGAGTCAAGGCATTCAAGCCGTTATCCACAGTCTGGCTATGGTGCATATACTGCATACATCTCAGCGGCGACCACATATGCTGCATTGAATGCCCCTACACTCTATGATAATCCTGGTTCTTCATATGGAAGTAAGCTTTAATATGTTGATGTGTAAAGTAAATCTGTCTATGTAGGTCTCTAAAGATTAGAACAATAACTTCCATAAAGAAAGAACTCAGATGAATGCAAAATCATTATGAATGTCCCAAAAACCCATTTGGTTTAAATTGTGGTTCAGGGGTTCGTCGTCCTGGAATTGGTAAAAAAATATTTGTCGGGAGGCTTCCCCAGGAGGCAAATGCTGAGGATTTGCGCCAGTATTTCAGTAGATTTGGTCACATCGTAGATGTCTATGTGCCTAAGGTAACTGAGATCTCTTGCTTTATTCATCGAACATATATTCTTTATATTCTGGTGCAAATTATTTCACATTCTTTGTAATCAGGATCCTAAAAGGAGTGGACATAGGGGCTTCGGTTTTGTTACTTTCGCTGAAGAAAGTGTAGCGGATAGGGTATCACGAAGAACCCATGAGATCCATGGACAGGAGGTTTTTATTGAATCTTGTAGCCTATTTTGAATTTTTACCTGCTTTTTGGGCCAATTTTTGTGCTCTAGCCTCTAACTGTGATCCATTTCTACTTTAGAGCATCTGAGATTTATGTTCTCCTTCTCTTGGTTTTTAGAGTTAATGGGCTTCTACCCGTACTGAATGTCACAGGTAGTGCAAAAAAAGCTTTTAAGGATAAAACGACAAGTGGTTTAGATATATTACTTGAACTATTCATCAATCAATGCCGTATAAATTTAATAAAAATATTAAAAAATTTAATTGTAAGAATTTAGGATATTTAGTCAGTCACCTATGCTTAAAAAGGATAACGGCTAGTATCATTTTTTAATTGAAATTCCTAACTTATTCACTTTATTGTAAGATTTACCGATCACATACTTAAAAAATATATATTACTTGAAATTCATCAATCAATGCCGACAGCTTACTTTTACATTGAATAATGTTTATAATTGATTTAGAGGTTCTGGCCTTAACTAGTCGAGTTTCCACCTAGACCTAAATATTAAAGCAATATTTTCACCTTGATATCTTCCCCAAGTATAGGATGCATTGATTAAAGAAGTCTGTATGATTAATGAATGCTTCTATTCTTAGATACTGCTGGTGGATAAAGCATGCTCCTGATTTCCTCCTGTATTTTTGATATAGGGAGATAATTTTTTTGTATGGATAGCCTTGGTTGAACTATTTTTTCCCTTTTATACCATTCCCAACGTATATTTATCCACGTTCTTTTCCATTAGTACGCCCTATTACCCTGTAAAATATGTCGTTGTTTTCTAATTTCTTGCCAGTGTTACCTACTGCAAGCACTGAGCAACTGCTGCTTTGAGATCGCATGATCTCCATTCTCAAAAAAGTACTCGTATTGGCTTTCTACCATGTTCATATCCTTTTAAATCTTAAATTGTGCTATCTGTACTCCAAATTGGAATTGTCCCAGAACTCCTTTTCCTTGGATCGCTCTATTTGGCTGACTGTTACCCAGTTATGAATCCCGCCCGTGTTCATAAATCGTCACTTTCTGTTCCCTATTTCCACTGCAGCTTGCGATCGATTCTGCCACACCGGTTGATGAACTGGGGACGAGTGGGCCCTTTGTCGACCCATCGGCAGAGGCATACGGGGGCTTTGGCGGGCCGATGCGGGCTTATGGTCAAATGTTTGGAGGGCTCAATACTGAAGATGTGAGTACTGAATGTCTCAGAAACTTCATCTTTTTCCAGTTCATAAAGCTACGGCTGTGTGAGACTTTTGCCCCCCTTGAAACCCAGCACTCACAGGATCTAGTAATTAATTCAAAACCCAGGTTATGAGAGCTCTGGGAGGACACCCCCCCCTAACTGACCTTTGGCGTTGTCGTGTTCTTTGTTTGATCAGTGGGGCTACAGCGCCATGGGAGGCAGCAGACCCTCAAGAATGGATTGGAGATACAGGCCATATTGAGGGCCATGCCTCACTTTGTTCCCCCCTAAACCTATGCATATGTGTACCGTCTCATGTGTCTGTTCTTGTCTAATTGGATGAGATGGTGGATGGGTCTCCATTAGCCCAAGTCCTTATTTTACTGAATCAAAGAATTTATTATGTTATGATGAGTTCTCGTTTCTAATTTAATATACATGATTGTGGATTCATGTGGTTTTTTCTTGTACCCTTCTCTTGGATGAGGTGTTATGTAATGTTTCTAATTTATTCAACATGGGTATAGATTAATGTTGATTTATGCCTATTTTTATTGCTTTTGATCTTTCCCACGCAAGCAGTTGCGTTGACCCAAATGTTCTGCTGTATTCCTAAGCTTTCAACATGGTTGTGAATTCATGGATTTCTAATTGCTTTGTTCCTTCCACCTAAGATATTGGTGCTTCTTTGGCGTGATGAAAGGTAAAAATGAATCCGAATAACACGTTTACTCACTGATCAGTGATGTTTTCGTCAGATCGAAAATGGAATTTGTCTGAATTTTACTTTTTTTTTAAAGTAGTGTTTCAGATACATAAGTCTCTACGTATTTATATACAGATTTGAGATATAGTTTGTTATACACTGGAAATTATATAGTTTGTTGTATAAATGCTGTGAGCCTTGGTCTCTCTGATGAGGCCCCACCCTGGATGAGGCCAGAATCACTGAGGTTAACAGTATATATTTCTGGGTATTTATAATATAAAATGTTCTGAATTATTTGTTCTTAAGTTCAATATTTGAATACATAATCTACATTTATACATATAAATATCATGAACGAACAGGATACATATAAATACAACTGTCCTAATGTGCTGAACACTAATGGATATGTATATACATATTTACATATACATATATATACATAGATAGGAAATTAGGAAGAGAGATGCAGATGGAGAGAGAAACTAGTATGTGTATCATTCATGAGATAACCATGTGACAATAAATAAAGTCATAATTTTACGTTGGACCATATCGAAACTGTCATCCAACTCACATGAGCCATTGACCCAGCATAACCATATCATTTTACCAATAGGGTTTAAGGCAGTGAGGGTCCTTGACCACCTCAACAGACCTATCTAACAAGGTAGTAGAATTGAATTGACCACATGAATCATTATCATAAGAAATCTCACAAAAGAGACCCTCAAAATATCATATGTTTTCTTTTGTTCTTTTTTTTTTTCTTGTTATGATGAACTGAATCAAATAGGTTTTGATTTGTCCGATTCTTCCTCTATATTAAGGGTTTGGTATAAATACAAAGCTCAATGTAAATCTTTTTTTAAGAATGGACAACAAGGCTTAATATTCTAATTGTTTCTGACTATATTCCTTGTGCCATTAGTGTAGGAGATTAGTACAAATCAGCATACTAGTGTAAATTGACATGGTATTAGAACACTAGGTGTGATCGTGTCTTGTCTCACCTCATTTACATTGAATCTTCACAAACAATTGGTTCTCATATTCCTTGGTCTGGTTTATCTTTTAATTTAATATTTTATTTATCTATTTTTGTCTAGTTTATTATGATTTTTATTTGGCCATCTATATCTACTAATTTTAAGATGTTAGAGATATCATTGAACACTAGGGTTGACTAAACTCAGTTGAATGGGAAGTTGCTTGTGATTCAACATGTAGACCAATTAGATGGATAATTTTTTTGGTTGGTCTCAATAAATTAGGATTGTGGTAAAAGGAAGAGAGCTGATTTGTCATTTTCTAAGCATAAGACCTTAGTTTAGATGTCTTAAATTTGAAATGTGGGATCAAGTAGATTTAAGACTCATGATCTGGTTATGGCCACAATGACTCTTTAAATAAAAAGAATATGTATGTACCTCCCTACAACCAAATATGTATTGTACAACCTTCATCAAACATATGAGCTAGAGGGTTGGGTGCTTGATCATTTGAATTAGCAATGTGAGATTAATACTTAATCATAGTGTTACTTTCAAGTGAAGTATTACACTTGTTGTCACTTTATGTTGTGTGCATCCACTTATCCATGCAGGTTCATTGTGCCATCCATGCCTACATGCCATACATGTTTGTTTGAACCACACACATCCAATGAATTAATCAGTGAAGAGATTTTTGAGTCAGCCTTGTGACAAATAACCTATGATGAATTTATTGCAAAAAGTCATATCACACTTAGAATAAGTGCTAGAAGATCTATAGAATAACCCAAAATCAATAGTGGTAACAAGAATGACATAGAAAATTGATAGTCAAGCTCATATCACTAAAACATAATCATGTCATCACATTCAAAAAAAGAGTGAGAAGATACAGACTTTCCTAGCATGCTTAGAAGAATTTTCAACTTTTATGTAAATTACTCAGAAAATATTTCTCTTCAATCTTGGATCATGAATTCAAGAGCAACTAAACATATGCCATATTCCTAAAAACCATTTTTTACATATTCTTCATCATAGGTAATAAGAAAAGAAATAAAATTGAGGACTCCTTAATCAAAACAAATGACATAGAAAATGTTCTTCACATTCTTAAATTGACTACTAATCTAGTTTATGTGATTAAGTTTTTTTATAATATATATTTTTCAGTATTTTTCTATCATAACTCTCGTATCTTTCTGAAAAAAGATTTGAGAAGAAATTTCAACATGCTAACGAATTACCTAATCAATCAAACATGTCGAGGAAAAGAGAGACCTATATGCTGAATCTTACTCATCCACCTTAGAAAGGATATAGTTTTATCATCAAAGCCTTGGTGATCCTTTTGCAAAAGTCAAAACATTATTCTCATCTTTGTTTCAAAAAATAAAGGCAGCGTAATTTTAATATGATGAATGTAAATTTGCAAAATAGACACACTTCATTGGTAGAAAGTAGTATGATATGTTCTATTCCATTCTTTTGTAGTCACACTAACATTTAGGTTTCTCCAGCCATTAAAAATATTACTAGTCATAATTGGTTCATTACCTTTATTGATGAGTTTACATAAATCACTTAGATTTATTTACTCAAACATAACTATGTGGTTATTTTTCTATTCTATAATTTTGTCCTCTCATTAAAAATCAAATTAAAGTTGATATTAAATTATTTAAATATGATTTGGTTAAATATTATTTTTAAAATTAGATTTTTCATGAATCATCATGTGTTAATTCATAACAAAATGGGATAACTGAAAAAAATTGACAACCTCATAGGGGCAAGTAGACATCTTCTTCTTTAAAGAAATTTACATAAATTATTTAGGTTAGGTCATTATAATGACAAATCACCTCACAATTTGTTCACCATCTAAAGTCATAGTTTACAAGAGTCTAATTATTACATATTGCCCTTTATCTTCATACTTTGTTGAAAATTAATCATTTAACTTATTTTTTTTGAATTTGGGTATAATATTTTTTTCTGTTAATGAATAACTTGGGTATAAATTGAACCCTAAAGTATTAAAATGTATCTACATAAGAAATTTTACAAGTCAAAAGGGATATCAATGCCCACTCCCCAACCTATTCTCAAAAATGTGAGATTTGGCTGAATGTATTAATAGAAGAAAATGAATGTCTTGAAACCTATAAAAGTTTAAAAACCTCACTTAAGTATTAAACAATGTACTAATCTCCTCACCACCACTTGAAGTTAAATGTCATAATGAAATTGAAGATTCTACATTTGCTCTAAGGAAAAGAGTTAGGTATCCTATCACACATTTTCTAACTTATGATCATCTCTCACCATTACATAGAGCTCTTCTTACTAGTTCAAATACCATCCCTACCACTTTTTATGAGACTTTGTGTAATGAAAAGTAGAAATGAGTTATGAATGGAGAGATTGAGGCTTTAGGGAAAAATAAAACCCAGGAGCTATTAGAGCTACCAACAAAAAATAAGCATGTTAGTTGTAAATAAGTCTATATAGTGAAATATAAAGCAGATAGATCCATAAAGGTATACAAGGTGCAATTGGTTACCACATCATATACTTAAACCTATAAGGTTGAAAACTTGGAGACATTTGTCCAAGTAGCTTGGATGAATGATATCATAATTTTACTAATTTGAGCAACTTATTATGACTAAGTACAATGATTTCACGTCAAGAATTTATTTTGCATGGAGAATTAGAAGAAAATTTATATGGAGGTCCCACTAGGAAATAAAAGAAATTTGACAATCAATAAGGTGTGTAAATTGAATAAAGTTTTATACAAACTGAAAAAAATGAGATGTGTAAATTGAATAGTCTCACGCCTAATTTGGCTTATTTACAAGATAAACAAGGTAAATAAGATCACAATTTATTTCTGATCACTCATCTTCAAGGGAGTCATAGTATTACTAGTATATGCTGATGATATTATGGTGACCATAAATGAAGAAAAAGAAAAAGAGTGTTTACTTTATGTCCAGTTAAATAATTTAAGATCAAAACCTTAAGTAGATTTAAGTAATTTTTGAAATTGAAGTAGCTCACTCAAGGAGAAGCATCTTCATCTTCAAACAAAAGTATATTATGGACTTTCTTAAAGAAATATACAAAACACCTTGTAAATCAGCAAATACTTCAATAGATTTCAACCTCAAACTTAATAGAGTAAAAGAAGATGTTAGTGTAGATAAGGAGATGTATCAACACTTAGTCAAAAAGTTTATATGCATATTTCATATACAATCAAATATAAAACATGTAGCAATTTATGTATAATATTAAGTATACTTGGGTGTAGCTCATTGAGTGGTGAGAAATATAGGACTGGTAGTCAAAGTATATATAAATACTAATTATGTAGGGTTTGCAGCTAAAGAGTAGTAAAATTTACTTGCCTTATGAGTCAACACACAATTGACTTGCATATATACTTACTAAAGGCTTAAAAAATGTTATGTTTCAATTGAATGAATAACATACATTCACTAGCTTGAGAAAGTGTCAGAATATCATATATTCTCTCATGTTCTTTTCATTTTTCTCATTATGACAAATCAAATCAGACTGGTTTGAATCGATCTAGTTCATTTATCATATTAAGAATCTAGTATGAATACCAATCCTAATCCAAACCCTATTTTGAGAATGAAGAATAAGATCTAGTGCTCAGCTACTTCATGTTCATGTTCCATTCCCTATATTATCACTATTAAAGACTAGTGCAAATCCAAATAGACCAATGTAAATCAACAATACTGACCGACCGAATCAACACCATCAAAAATCTTTGAAGAGAAATTCCCCTCAAAATCTCAACAGGAGCCACAAAAACAGACGAAAAAAAACCATGCACTTAAGCCAAACTAGGCTGAAGATTTGGACACTATGATTCCTCTGTTCTTTAAGATGAGAGGGTGAGATTGAAGCTCCCCACCCAGGGAAACACATAAATAGGAACTCTAGAGATGAGGAGGGGGGCCTCTATCCATTGGTGAAACCCACCATTTAAACTCATAAAGCACAGAGGATGAAAGGGCCATGTATGTGGGAGTTCAAGGAGATTGAGAACCAAAAATGGAGAAAAAGGAGATGCCTCCACCCAATTTTACATTCATGGGGTTTTATGCAGTATCTATATGTACAACCGGCCTGAAAGTCAGTAAGATAGGCCGTCTCTGCTGATCCAATCCCACAGATCATTTCTTTCTAATCCTCGTTCTACCACGGGCCCGTCTGAGTCCTTCTCAAACACTGCTTCTTTGATCCATATTGCTGATTAACCTTCTCCAAAACCTAGGAAATCACATGAAAAATGAACCCTTATTATCTCATTCATATGAAAAAAAATTCAAGTATCAAGAAATTCTACATGGGTGCATACTACAAGTATAAACATGAAAAAGGAATCAATTATGAAAAGCCAAGTTGGGTTATGTAGAGCAAGCTAATGGGCTTCCCAACCCATGTTGACTTTTTCTTTTTAGATTTCTTGTTAATTAGGTAGGGCTGCTTTAATTGATCCCATATTAGATAGCCTTGTAGCCAATGTTTTCTATACCCACGTTGACCTATTTTTTGGGAGGCTGAAAATGAAAGATGAAGAAAAAAGTGCAGAATTCTGACGCAGGGGGGTTTGATTGACACAATACAGAAAATTATAGAACCTGTTTATTGACAAACCTGTGTTGACTTTATTCTCTAGGTCAAATGACAGTTGAAGAAAAACAACACGGATCTCCCCCAAGAAAATGGGACCTTTCTGTCAACTTACCCAAGCAGGCTTAAATTGATCCAATGCAGATAATTATATCATCTCACTTCATGGTGTCAGTTCCTGTTCTCCACAAAGAACCTTTTAATAGTAATGCAACAGCATATCCACATCAACAATGGGCTGCCTCATCAGCTGCCATGTGGGAAGCCACATCAGCAGGGAGTGTTTGACCCCCCCCTCCCTTTTTCACATCAGAAAATTTAATGATACTCAGGGAGCTTTTCTATTATTAAACTTTCAAGGGGCATTCGGCAAAAAAAAACTGAAAAAAGGGGAATTTCGAGCCAAATGCAAGAAAGCCAAGAGAAAAAATCGATTTGAGAAAAATCTGAACCAATGCTAAATGCTCAAGCTTCGAAGAAAAATAATAATTTTAAATGGGAATTTAAACACAGAAGAATATTTCTAGCAAGAAAAAATCTCATTAAATAATACAGAATACAGTTGAGATGAACAAAATCAGCGCTTAAAAGCCGTAGACATGCTCATTTAGGATGAGGAGGCAGACCATCTATAGAGAGAGTGGACAGCATTTTCCATTGATTTAAATGGAATAATTTCAAGCGAAAATTAATTCTGCAGGTGAACGAGAAAGAAGAAAATACCTGATTTTTCTGCATCACCAGAATCTCCTCCTGTAATTTATTAGATGAGGAGTGTTAGAAAACGGCACCAATAATTTTTTTTTACAAAATTAGCCAGAAAATATGAGTTAATTTTCTTTTCAGAAACTTTTTCTTAAAAAGATATTTAGTCTCTGATAAATGCTTTAGAAAAAATTGCCAAAGAGGACCACATATCCTTTTCCTTCTGGGGATTTTTTTTATTAAATGCAATTTTCCTTCCCCGATAAATATTTATCCGAAATTGGTCAAGAACAGGACCGCAAATGATAAAACAAGTTTTCTTCCTTTTGGGAACTTTTTTATTTATCAAAATCAAGTATTCTTCTACGTAAAATATTTGTACAAAATCAGCCAACAAATCGATTGCATACGGGTCTTCCCTTCCCTCCTGGAAAATTTCTCTATTAAAAAATTATATTTTTCCGAAAGTATTTCTACGGAAATTACCCAGAAAACGGACTACACGTGATTTCTTACCCTTTTCGAGAGCTGTTCCTGTCAAAAAAAATCCTTTTTTCAATGAATAGTTGTCAAATTTTCTGTGAAAAGAATGCACCACATGTGATCTCCTTTTCCTTTTGGGATTATTTTATAGAAAAAAATTATTTTGGGATAAATATTTCACAAATTTTACCAAGTAAAATCTATTGCATACTGCTCTTCCTTTCCCTCTCGGGAATTATTTTTTTGTGATTTTTTCTTTTCTGATAAATACTTTTACGAAATCAGCCAGAAAATGGACTACACATGAATCTAGGAAATTGTTTTACCACAACTCGCCCTTCCCATAAATATTTTTTAAAAATTAGCCAATAAATGGATCACATAAAACTTATTTTCCATTTTAAAAACATTTTTTTATCAAAAACCGACTTCAGATTTCCCAAATGAGACAATTATAATCCAACTAGACTGATAGGTGAAACAAGAACCCGCACCTGTTTCTTCTGCAGCTCTTCGTTCTGCTCTTTGAGCTTGGTTATTTCAGCTTCCAGTTCCATGGTGTACGCCTGCCAGGCAAAAAATAAAAACACAAACAGATTAAATCTGCAGACTCAGAAACTCCCACGATCAATGGAAACGATGAAGAAATCCTACATTGAAAACGATGAACAATGCTCTCTCTAGAACCTGTGGTTTTTATAAAAATCTGACCATGGTTTTTGCAAAAATGATGGAGAAAACTGATCACAACCTCCATTTCTTAGAAAAGAGAGAGAGAGAGAGCATGTGATAATGGTGTAAATGAAAGCAGGAATGAATCCCTGTTGAAAACCGAATTACTTCAGAGAGTGAGTGAATTTTTTTGGATGGAGATGATGAAGAACTGAGGGAAAATCTCACCTGCTTCCGAGCCCGGGACCTTGCAGCTGATTCCCTGTTCTTGATCATCCGCCTCTGCCGCCTCTCCACTACCCGCTCCAGCCCTCCGCCGGGCTTCCTCCCCCTCATCCCCTCCCCAAATCTGTACGGAACGGGCGACAGAGAAGATGAGTCGTCGTTGCCTCTCCCCAGATCCTCGGGGGGGAGTTGACTCGCCGGAGATGCCGATGCTACAGTCACCCTCCCCGCCGCCACCTGCATCTGCGGCCGCAGAGCAGCGCCGCCGCCGTTCATCATCATGTTGCCGGCCGCCGCCGCCGCCGGCCCCGGTCCATTGCTCTGCTGCGCTGCCGGAGAGAACCCGAGGAAGAGCCTCGGGGAGCTGTTCACCAGCGAGGACGAAGCGTTCCCGAAGAGCAGGGAGCCACCATTAATGGCGGTCCTCTCTGGTTCGACGGCCTCCCTCGTCAGCCCCGCCCTGATGAGGAACTCCTCTAGGGTCACCTCCCCCAGCGTGGGCTGTCGCTGCACCGGCGGCTGCAGGCCGGCGCCGACGCCGGGGACGGCGGCGGCGCCGCCGTCTTTGAAGACGTCCCTCCAGACCTCGTCGACCGTCTTCTGGCTCAGCGTCCGCGGCAGCGTAAGGGATCCCTGCCTCTGTAGCCCCGCCACCACGCCGGCGGTGCCGCCGCCGCCGTCGGCGAAGGAGGACATCGTCTGAGTCTCCTCCGCTGTCCAGATACTCTTGAGCAGCTCGTCCATGTTCATGGAGCCGAAGTCCCTGCTAGCTCCCAGCGTGTTCTGGAACTCCTCGAAGGTGAGAGCGTAGATGGAAGGCTGCCGAGCCAGCGCCGCCGGTACGCCGCCGCCGCCGCCGCCGCCGGAGGACCCCTCTGGCGGTGCTCCGGCGGCTCTCCCTATCCCTCTGAAGTCCATCATATATTCCTCTCCCTCCCCCCTCCAGTCTCTACTCTCCACGTCGTCTCCTCCTTCCTCTGGTTCACATCAGAGCAAAAATAGAAGAACCCATGAGACGAAGATCAGATCTCCGGAACCCGTTGACCTAATTCACGGAGCTCGGAGGGGGCAACCCTCAGGAATCCCTTGGGGAGATCAAACAGGAAAGAGAAGAGAAACGACTTCATCGTGTACCCACCTCCAGCCACCAAAATATATATCTACAAAAAAAAGTACTAATTCGTCTGGTTTCAGCTTCGATTCCAAGCGAAGCAACATGCCGATCGATTGAAGAACAGAAGGATTCCCCATCATTTTTCCACTCATTTCCGGCGAGGAAAATCCCAGCTTTCCGCTATCTCTCTCCCGCTCTCACTCCCTCTCTACATCCTCCAAGGGGACTGCAACCCCAAAGGGAGAGAGACTCCCCCCATGGGGAAACCACCAACCTCTCGCCTTCCTTATAAGACTGCATTTCCTCCCATCCCAGGGAAGGAAAGCATGCGAGGAGAGAGAAAGAAGAGAGAAAGAAGAGAGATGATGGGTGAGACTACCTCTTCGCTTGTCGGATGGTTGCGGAACCCCGCCCCTCTTCTTCTGCGTCCCCTCTCTCTCTCTCTAGGTCACACCCTCGTGGGGAGGACAAGTGTCGAACCTTTAAAGGTTTCAGGGAATCCTCCCTCTCTCTCTCTCTCTCTCTCTCTCTCTCGCTCTATGCCTGTCTGTCTTCGTCTCCTCCGTTTGCCTGGGGCAGGAAAGGGGGAGGGGGAGCAGAGAAATCTTAGTTTATTGAGTGAGGAAATGCAACGTGGCGGGCAGAGGAGGCTCGTGGGGTTTCTGACGGCACATCTGACCAATCAGAGGCTGAAACTTGGATGGATGGGCTTCTGGCTTTATCGTTGTTTCCACATGGTGGTCCCACCATCGGATCTCTCTCCCTCTCCCTTCATTTATTCCACGGGGTCAATTCTCTCTCTCTCTCTCTCTCTCTCTCTCTCGCTATCCATCTTTCTCTGTCTATCCAGCATACGAAACGCTCTCCTCTCTCTGTCATGCACTGAAATCGCAGGCTTTATCTCGCTCTCTCTCTCTTTCAGACACACTCAAATCGCAGGCTTTATCTCTCTCTCTCTTTCACACACACACACTCAAATCGCAGGCTTTATCTCTCTCTCTCTCTCTCGCTCTCGCTCTTGATCTTGCCTCAAATCGCAGGCTTTACTCAAATCGCAGCTCTCGCTCTTGATCTTTATCGCTCCTGGTCATGCCCCAAATCGCTGGAGTTATCCCCTCTCTCGCTCTCGCTCTTGATCTTGCCTCAAATCGCAGGCTTTAGCTCTCTCTATCGCTCGCTCGCTCCTGGTCATGCCCCAAATCGCTGGAGTTATCCCCTCTCTCGCTCTCGCTCTTGATCTTGCCTCAAATCGCAGGCTTTAGCTCTCTCTATCGCTCGCTCGCTCCTGGTCATGCCCCAAATCGCTGGAGTTATCCCCTCTCTCGCTCTCGCTCTTGATCTTGCCTCAAATCGCAGGCTTTAGCTCTCTCTATCGCTCGCTCGCTCCTGGTCATGCCCCAAATCGCTGGAGTTATCCCCTCTCTCTCTCTTGCTCTTGATCATGCACTCAGATCGCTGGCTTTTTCTGTCTTCTGTCATGCAGGGAAGTATGTCTTCGTCTCCCTCGTTCTACTGAGCACCCAAATCTCTCTCTCTCTCTCTCTCTCTCTCTCTCTCTCATGCACAAAGAGCACAGGATCTGACCTTCGCCCCCTTCCCCCAATAAATGACTCGAGGTGAATCTATTCTCTCTCTCTCTCTATCTCTCTCCCTCCTCCCTACCGCTGAGATTTACGCTGCGTTGCTAGTAGCCCTCTCTCAGTCGATCTCCGTACGTCTCAAGGTTAATGCATATCTCTCCCCAATTCACGCCATAGTGTTGCCTCTCTCGCTCTCTCTCCAATTCATGCAACAATTACCGACGTCTCTCTCTACGATTTACAACCCTCTTCTCTCGCTCTCTCTCTTTTTCCAATTTAGCCTACAGTGCTACTACTCTTCTCTCTCTCTCTCCAATTTACGCTAAGCGCCACTTCTCTTCTTTCCCTCTCTTCTGTCTCTCCAATTTACGCTAAAACGCTACTACTCTTCTCTGCCTCTCTTCTCTCTCTCTCCACGATTTGAAACGTAGAAGATACGACACGGGGAAGGCAAGCTGGCCCTTTTAATGATCTTGAATGGACAACGTTAAGATAAACCATGACAACTATTTCGGGTCCATTTTTTAAAAAATAAATATTTAATTATCTTAAATGAGCTCATGTTTCAGAGACATTTTGTTAAACAGTATAACCATCTAGGCTGGGCCAAAATCCCACAGCCCATCCTCATCGCCACGTGTGTCTCACAACTCCCGTGACCCTCTCTCTCTCTCTCTCTCTCTTCTTACTCACTCTACATCTTTATCGGAATGAAGAAAGTATACCGTGTATCAAAATTACTCAAGTCCATACCAAAGCTAGAGAGATGGATTGGTTTGAAGCTCCAAGATATGAAAATAATAAAAAAATACCTACAGGTATCATTACTATTATTTATGTATAAATTTTATTATAAAAAAAGAGAAATTAAAGGATAATTATTATTCTTGGCGTCATAAATGACTAGTATCATTGCCTCTGCAGGATTATTTTGCTTGATGCTTTGGCACACAAACCAACTATAATATTAATCATAATAATTATCATATATCTATTCTCACCATAATTATCTATGTATTCTCACCAGAAATAATAGAAAAATACAACTAAGTTAGGACACACGACCATCCAAGTATGAACTTGGTAAGATGGATGTGTTTAATGCTCCTGGAGAGGGTTCAACTAAACAGTAGATCTCAATTATGATGATTTATTAGTACTATTTATAGCTATTTTCCTTGATAATCACATAGCATGATGGGCAAAACCACCAACTTATCTATTCCAAGTGGACAAATTCAAGGGGTATGGAGTTACGAAAATGGAAAAAGAATCCAAATTTTGGGGAGTTTTCAATACTTGTGGTCAAACCCATTGTGAATATGTTGCATTTCATAGTGATGTGATAGTATTTATGGGAAATTGATTATCAAATTTGGGGTGTAATTTCATTATCAAATTATCCATTGCCATCCATTTTCCCACTTTTATTCTATGACATAGACATCTCAAAAAGCTTATCCAACCATTGCTTGATAGAACGAGAGAGAGAGAGAGAGAGAGAGAGAGAGAGAGAGAGAGAGAGAGAGATTATTGCATATTTATAATATGGAGTTGTTTGGTCTACACCTGCATAAGTTAATTAAAGCTTGGTGAGCAAATGACCATTTTTTTTGTTATAAAGTAGCAAGTGAACCATTCTAATATTTTTCAAATACATACATAATTTATTCAGACTTTACTATTATGAACTTTATTTTAAACAATAACTCACTATGCTAGCATTTTTCTTTAACTATATGAAGATGATTGTGAAAATATCTAATTTTTTCCATGATATTGCCATGTTTAGCATTTATTTTATTGGTTCATTTATAATATTTATAGATTCATGTGAGATATGATATCATGCTTTATGCAAATGCCATGAAATAATTTCATTTAACCCCCTCATTAGATGTGCTAGTAGGTTTAGTAATGCAAAGCATTTCCTTGTGATAGAGAGAGAGTGAACGAGAAAAAGAGAGAGAGAGAGATGAATGAACTTTTAAGTGATTTTAAATCGAGTAAATCTATCAATAAAGTATTTGACAAATTAACAACTCTTTCTCGTAGCTAAAAGAAACATGGGGGACTATTCAGTATTTCCACTCCGCCATCTCTACGTGTCCTTCAAAAAACGCGGTTTCAAACACGTGGCGTGACTGGTAACTAACCATTCTCCATCACACACGTGACCATGATAGTGGGACTCCCACATTGTTGGGTCTACCACGAGCCACCCTACGAAAGAGGCGTCCCAAAACGGAGGAGTTCGAAGGCCCCACTCTACGTTAGCAATATTCCCTCTCTTGCCGACAGGTGGCACTGTCTCCGTCTATAAGGGAAAGAGAGGGAGAGAGAGATACTGACTTTCTAATCCGCGTAAAAACTTTACCCGTTACGTCCAAGGGATGTATATATATAGAGAATGGGGACAAGCTTCATGTACTCTCTCTCTCTCCCCCCAGCCCAGTATATTCCATACAGCATTAAGCTCTCTCTCTCTCTCTTATTACAGGATCTCAATGGATAGACCAGAATCTACACACCTACATGCGCACTCCCTCTCTCTCTCTCTCTCTCTCTCTCTCTCTCTCTCTCTCTCTCTCTCTCTCTCTCTCTCTCATGTCGAGAGTTTCATCATTAGGAAGAATATTATCTATGACAAGAGTAACTTCCTTAGACTGAACCAATTGTACTCTCTCTCTCTCTCTCTCATGCATACTATCATGGGTTTCATCATTAGAAAGAATATTCTCTTAGACAGGGTGCCCTCATTAGATTTAACCGATTATACTCTTCTCTCTCTCTCTTAGTTAGATATCTCCTCATTGGATATACCACAATCTACCCAGACACTCCCTCTCCCTTTCTCTCTCTCTCTCTCTCTCTCTCTCTCCCCCTTCCTCCCTTAGTCCTTGTGTATATCCTACAATGACACCACACAAAAGGGTACTTTATTATAATATTTTGCTGGAATTAAGATCAATTCCCTAATTCGAAAAATATATCACATAGACATTTATTCATATTGTGAGGTCTAGTTGACTTTCTCTCCATCAATGTTCCATTGCCATTTATTAATATTGTGTGATCCTATTAACTCTCTCTCTCTCTCTCTCTTTCTCCCTCTCTCAATGCCCTAATTCTGTTGTGCCCATCACTTAGTTGCACCACATAAAAGGTTATTTATCATACTAATTTATTAGAATTAAGATTAATTCCCTAATTTGGCAACTATATTTGAAAAATAGAATACTCTCATATAATATTCTATAACCATTTATTCATATTGTGGGTTCTAGCTGACACTCTGTCAAGCCCCCCTCCCTTTTAAGTAAGTCAATGGCCCTCTTTTAGCCATATAAGAAAAGCTTCACATCTCTCTCTCTCTCTCTCTCTCTCTCTACATCTAAGATGATTTCTTAGCCCGAGTTGAAGGCTTATTAAGACAACAATGAAATGTGGGTCCATGGCTAAGAGATGGATGGGTCAGCCCCAGAGGTCAATCCACCTTGTGTCAGGTTTGACCTTGAGAGGTGACACTCTGACTTGCCGCTGTGGACCCTGTTGATGGAAACGGGCCAGGTCCATGGCTACGTAAAAAGGCAGGTTGCCCGGGCCCGATCATCCGTTGACACTCTAACCTGGGCCAGACTTGAGCATATTAACTCTCGAGCGGGGCCCTTACTCCATACGGGCTGCGGGCCTTGTAAAGGATGAGCCGTGAAACACACCCCCCTCCCCCCCGGATGAGCATGTGGTGATTTGGCAGACGGATAAGGCTTGCCTCAGGTTTAAAAGGAGGTATAAATAATATTTTTTAATTTATTTAAATAGGGCATATAATTGACTGGAGGTGGAGGGAAACCGGAACGAGGAAGAAAGAGGATGTTTCCGTTGCTAAGGAGACGATCGGACATCTCCCCCCTCCTCCGGCTGGCGGCGGCGAGGGGGATCGCCTCCGCCGCCGGCGCCGTCCTCCCCGATGGCGTTGACAGGAACTCCGAGGCATTCGTCTCCAATTCCTCCGCCGTGAAGGATCTCCTCTCCGAACTGCGCTCCCACATCGAAAAGGCTGGTACAATTCCCCTCTTTCCTTGCGATCTTCGGGGGAGCCTAGTCGGCTGATGGATCTGCCGCGGTGTGTGGTTTTCAGGTCCTCGGTGGCGGCGGCGTTGAGGCTGTCCGGAGGAATAGGAGCCGGAGTAAGTTGCTGCCCAGGGAGCGCATCGACCGGCTCCTCGATCCCGGATCGTCGTTTCTAGAGCTGTCGCAGGTTGGATCCAAATTTTTTCTTTTTTTGATGTCGAGTACTGCGTCCGAAGTTCTCTTATGGGTTAGAGTTTTGGCTTCGTCGCCCCTCAGGAATATGCGGTCAGTAGTTCATTTCATATCCTGGTTACTTGTGTTGATGACTTTCATCCCTGAATTGACGCTTACATTGGAACATTACATTGTGGAATAAAAAAAAGTTATGGAAAACCCCAGGAGTGGGAAACGGTGGGAACATGATAGCCCCGGCAAGGAATGGGTACAGAGGCACATATACGGTGATGATCTACAAGAGGACGAGCGTTGGAATCTACTGGTGGATTTTAGTGGCAATGCGGTACGGATGTGTGGTGGGAATGTGAACGAGCGGTATAAGTATTGTGGACACATCCACACAAGTATGTGAGTCCCTCCCTGCATGGTGAGGAGTCAGTGTAGAGTCTTGGAAGATGTTTCAATATTACACTTGACATCCTCAATAACGAGATTATTCTTTCTATAAGGTTTCACATATTTTAGTTATATTTAGTAGGCCATAAGTCTTCCTGTGCACTAAAATGTGTTGGCCACAAGCAAACGCCAAAGTGAGTCAGTCAAAGACAGTCCATTTGCTGAATACTTGAGCAGACCGCCCCCATTCTTGAAATCTACCTTGGAACCATGGATGAAGCCTTAAGTCGGATTATTGCTCGTAGTCCCTTTTTTAGGTCGTCTAAGGCCCATTATTTTTTTCCTTTTTTGTGCAGAGATGATCATACCACGGATGAAAATAAAACAATATAATGAAATTTATCAGGGATCGGACTTCCCCCTAAATGGAAAGATAAATACATACTTCTCAAGGAAAGTTTCTTTTTGAGTATGATCCAACAAGGTGATAGATCAGGAAACTTGGATGTTATGACCTTTCTTCATAGTTTTCTTAAGAAATGGAATAAAGCGAGCATAGTCTATAATGTCTGGATTATGCATTAATTGAGGTCCACTATTTGAACACATGAACCAATGAAGATCGCAAATCCTTATGTTCTTTTATTGCACAACGTGGAAATTCTCCATTTGTTCTATTAGAGCAGCATAATTTCCAACACAGTCCCACATACCATATTCTGGTATCGTTTTCTTTCTGTTGCTGTTCTTTGATGTGGATCTTACTCGTGCAAACTCATTTACTCTCTCTTCTATGCCTTTCCAAAATACATGGAATGAGATCATGGCAAGGTTCTTTTTGTAGTCAATAGGTTTAAATTTTCTTCAGAATTTTGATCCTTTATTTCTGTGTTTGTATCATAGATTAATTGTGCATGGCCTGGACTCTTTTTTTTTCGTATTTTTGGTTGTGTATGCCTTTATTTATAATTTTTTATTTCGTCTCTGAAGCTCGCAGGCCATGAACTCTATGATGAATACTTGGCTTCTGGGGGAATTATCACTGGAATAGGCCCAGTTCATGGGCGCCTATGTATGTTTGTGGCCAATGACCCTACAGTGAAGGGAGGAACGTATTATCCTGTCACTGTTAAGAAACATCTGAGGGCTCAAGAAATTGCTTCTCAGTGCAACTTACCATGCATATATCTTGTAGACAGTGGAGGTGCTAATCTTCCTAGGCAAGCTGATGTCTTTCCTGATAAAGATAATTTTGGCAGAATATTTTACAACCAAGCACAACTGTCTGCTCAAGGAATTCCTCAGATTGCTCTTGTCATGGGATCTTGCACTGCAGGAGGTGCTTATATACCTGCAATGGCTGATGAAAGTGTCATTGTTAAAGGTAACGGTACTATATTTCTCGCAGGACCTCCTCTTGTTAAGGTTAGATACTGCCCTTTCCTCCTTGTGGTTACATATTTTGCACAGGGTACATGACACATAGGTTTGTGGACCAGTTCAGAATATTTTCTAAATAAAGGGTATTTTGGTAGGCCGCTACTGGAGAGGAGGTATCTGCAGAGGATTTGGGAGGTGCATCCTTGCACTGTAAAGTTTCAGGAGTTTCAGACCATTATGCTAATGGTATGCATCAAACTACTCACTGTCTTATTATTTCCTCGAATATGATTTTGGTTTCCAGCAATCTGTCACAACTCATGCTGAATGGTTGTGTATCTCGGAAGAAATAGATTGCCCATCTCCATTTGTCTTTTTTCGGTTGGCATTGGTGGCTCGTAGATACAAACAGATGGTGTTTCTCGTTCCCTGCACCCCCCCCCGTGTCCCACCTTTCCCTTTTTTTCTGGGGTGGGGGGTAGGGGTTTATTGTCATGAATATAACACATTTAAGTGTCATCCAGGTTTGGTTTTCCTGTAGTTGTGACTTTTTTTTTTTTTTTCAGAGTTTTTTAATATCTAGTATGTGACTCAATGAGATTCTATCTGATAGTTTACTTTCTCTTTTCAATTCTGATTTCTGGAATTCCATAATGCATGCTAATCCCCCAAATCTGATGCACCTCTTATTGTGAACTGTTGTTTTTTTTTTTTTAACCTGTGCATCATCTTGGTTGAAATCCTGTTCTGATTGTAGATGAACTACATGGCCTGGTTATTGGGAGGAACATTGTCAATAACCTTCATATGGCTGGGGATAATCTTTTGAGAAAAAGCGTCTTTAATCCTTCCATTGACATCAAAGATCCACTCTATGACATTAATGAACTGAGATCGATAGCCTCCACTGACCAGAGGCGGTCATTTGACATTCGGTCAGTTATTGCTCGTATAGTTGATGGTAGTGAGTTCAATGAATTCAAGAAGCTGTATGGAACGGTAAGGCTTTGAACTTATCAGTTACACAAGCTGGAGTATTGTTTCAGATCGTCTTTTTGACATTATATTTCCAGACACTTGTCACAGGATTTGCTAGGATCTATGGGCAACCTGTTGGCATAATTGGAAACAATGGAATATTATTTTGTGAATCTGCTTTGAAAGGATGCCACTTCATTGAGTTATGTGCTCAGCGTAACATTCCTTTGATATTTCTTCAGAACATTACAGGATTTATGGTAAGATATTAATGCTCATGTTTAGTTCTTTTATATATTTGGGGGTTTTCTTTTCTTGTTTTCCTTAAGGTCAGAAAACCTTTGTTTTGTAAATCAACCTGAGGGAGAATTTTCATTCTATCAAAGAAATAATACTGTGAGAAATATTTTCACGCCTTTCCTTAAGAACTCTCTGGTTCTGTTGATTTTTCAACATTTTCTTATTTTGTAGTCATTTCTTTCTAGGTTGGAGCAAAATCTGAGGCAAATGGGATCGCAAAAGCTGGAGCAAAGATGGTGATGGCAGTGGCCTGCGCAAAGGTTCTGTACTCATTTTCTATTGATTTAGCTTGAGAATAGCCTCTGAGGGGTATCTGAATAAATCCCTAATCTATTTATGCCGAACTCGTTTGTCTCTAGTCGCTAATTTTGAATCTCAAGTTTCTGTTGATATTCAAGTTATCATAGAGAACTGTTTATTGGTATTTCCACGGTAAGAATTTTATGCAAAGCCTTATGGCTGTGCAAAAAACCTCATTGTTGTTATTGTTTCAAGGGATGCATGGTGTTTAAAGGACTAGAAGAGAATGCTTTTATTTAAGTTCATAGGAGACTTGTTTATTGTGCATAATAATACGTAGCACTTTATTTTCGAGCTTACTAAGCTTGCGAGCCAATTGGCCATCCTATCAAAGAATTCTTGTAGAGAATTTCACCATCAAATAATTTAATATTTTTTGAATATGCTGGGTCCACATCATTTTCATTTGGCAGTCATACAAAAAAAGTTGTTCACGGTATTGTTCCTGATAAATTTGGGAATCTATCATCCATGCTCTGTCTTTGTTTGGGAAATTTGCCCTCACTTTTGTTTTGGCTGCTGAAATTCTCTGTTCTTGATAGAAAACATATCTGATGAACCGAACATCACAGCCCAAATGGGAAAGCTAGTGTACCAGATATCACTCAACCATTTAGAATTGCAACGAGAAGTTGAATAGTCGGCATTGAAAAATGAGAGGCCCATTCCCTCCATTGAATTCTTTCGACCCTCATTCGTACCTCAGTTCATTGAGGATCCTGGTAGATAATTTCATCAGATCATAGCACGATACTATGTATATTTATAGTGATAAAAGAATGAAAGGCCCATTTCCTCTGTAAAATTATGTCAAGCTTCATGCATTCCTCAGTTCATAGCAGATGCATTATAGATAATTCCATTGCATTATAGTACAGCACTATATAATTAATAGTTGTTAAAAAAATTAAGGCCCATCCCATCTGTAGAAAGAATTCGTTACAGCCTCATCATTCCTCCGTTCATAGCAGATGTAATGTGAATAATTAAGAGGATATGGTAAATATAATTTATAATTAACAGTGATAAGAAAAAGAATTGAAAGGCCCATTCCCTATGTGAAAAAAATTATTTACAGCTTCATCATTTACCAGTTCATTGCTGATGCATTGCGAATAATTTAGGAGTATCAGGGTACAATATTATGTATGTTTATAGTGATGACAAACCTTATACATAATATTTTAGATAAACGTTTTTTCCTAAATAGAAAATAAAGCTCAGGGTAAATCACTTTAACTGTTCCTCAGTTTATAGCGATCCACTCCTATTTCTATTCAGAAACTTTGCATGATTGAACTCTGGAAACCGATGGTAATATGGAGGTCAACGGCGTACCAGATGGCAGTCAACATCTAATGTGGCAGCCGATTGTTGTCGTGCCACTACCTACCACATTACCAACAGTGTAGGAAAATCAATGACACATGTACAATATGGGCGATTAAACCCGACCAAGGTCTATAATACAAGGAAAAACCACTGATTCCCAAATTTAGTGCTCTGATGCTTCTACCCCAAGTGGATCAGCTATGATTTTTATCTGCAGGTTCCGAAGATAACAGTCATTGTGGGCGGAAGCTTTGGAGCTGGGAACTACGGAATGTGCGGGCGTGCTTATAGTCCAAATTTCCTCTTCCTCTGGCCCACAGCCAGAATTTCAGTGATGGGAGGCAATCAGGTGACTGCTCAACTTTGTCTCTCTCCTGGGTAAAAATCTACTCTTTTGGTTCTTCTTTCCTGATGGAAAGATTTCTCGTAGAACTCTTTCTCAGAAATGCACAAAATTTGTTGAGAAAGATAGAAATCGTTTGGTTGACAGATGAACCAACTCTACTCATTGTTGATTTATCGTGATCTAGAGAAGTCTTTTGGTTGAAACAGACGGTTTCAACTGATTTTGAGTTTGAAAAATATTATGGCTAGAACTGTTGGCATCAGTGCTCCTATTGTCGATTGATGTTGATGTTGAAAAATTCTTTTGATTGAAAAAGACGGGGTTGGTGCTCTCATTGTCGATTAAGTTTGAGTTACATGACTAAACCCTAATTTACTCACTTGGGAAAAATATTTATTTCCTGTTTGAAGCCATACTAGGTTGGATTCGTGTTGCACATTCCCTTCCACACTAACACTGTTACAATCAAATACCACATCTCTGATCAGTATCTCTCTCTCTCTCTCTCTCTCGCTCTCTCTCTCTCTTTCTGTGGTTTCCATCCATCCACAGGCTGCTGGTGTTCTTGCACAAATAGAGAGGGCCAACAAGAAGAAGCAAGGGATCGAGGTCTATCTTCTATCAAAACCCTCTGACATCTCATCTCCTTCTTTCGGAAATCTTTTTCTGTTTATGGCAAGCGAATCCGGATGTATAAATCCTGTTTGATTCTCTGCAGTGGGCTAAAGAGGAAGAGGAAGAGTTCAGAAATAGGGTGGTGGAAGCTTATGAGAGAGAAGGGAGCCCCTACTATTCTACTGCCAGGCTCTGGGATGATGGCATCATAGACCCTGCTGACACGAGGAGGGTCCTCGGCTTGTGCTTGTCGGCTGCTTCTTCAGTGCACCCCCAGGAGGAAACTAAGTTTGGTGTTTTCAGAATGTGAGGTGCCGTCATGTCTGTCTTTTAGTCAAAGCTCTAAAGGAGAAGGGTGAGAGAGAAAGGGGAACTCGGAAAGGTATAACTCTCTGTCTCTCTCTTTCTCTCTCTGTCTATCTCTGCCTTCATGTGTTTATGTGATAAATTTGTAAAGCTTGTCTGATTTTCTTCATGGAAATGAACTTTATTGTGGAGAAGGGAAGAGAGAGACTAGTAGTCATAATGAGATGATGAGAAGGGAAGGAGAACTGTGTAACAATAAGAAGTTTTCCTCTCTCTCTCTCTCTCTGCCTTCATGTGTTTATGTGATCAATTTGTAAAGCTTGTCTGACTTTCTTCATGGAAATGAACTTTGTTTTGGGGAAGGGAAGAGAGAGAATAGTAGTCACAATGAGATGATGAGAAGGGAAGGAGAACTGTGCGACAGTAAGAAGTCTCCTTCCTCTCTCTCTCTCTCTCTCTCTCTCTCTCTCTCTCTCTCTCTCTCTCTCATGGGTGTTTATGTTGTAAATATATGTCATTCCTCAAGTCCTTTGATAGGGTCATCCCCTCTAACAACCCTCCTCTCAACATGCGAAGAGAGCTTACTTGAATTCCTTAGTATTAAATCTTGAGCAATATAAAAAATTTAACTTGTCCAATTCAACTATGACATATGCAACTTGATGACCGCATTTATGTAAATGGAAAGAGTGGATGCAGGTTTATGAATCCATCCTAGAGGTGATATCCAATCTCTTCATCTCCTTATGGATGTTGGCTCTGGGCTTCTCATAATTTTTATGATGAAAAAGGCACAGAATAACTAAAATAGTGATTTCACATATTATATTGAGATATTGAAAATTTGGTATAATATTTTCCTAACCCTTGGAATAATGTTACAAAATTTCTTGAGATTGACTTCATAATTAAAGTCTCTTTTTTGTTTTTAGGAACAGAGTCTACTCAAGAGTTGACCCACTCGTGGTTAGAGAAAAAAAATTCAAAGGATAATGTTGTAGTTTTTTAATATCATAAAGAGCTTATGGGTTGAGTAAAAACACATCAAACAATACAAATCATCAAAAATAAGGAAAATATACTAAATGGTAATCTCACGTTACAAAGTATTCCAATATTTTTGTGACCCTTAAAAATACTTTATTACGATTCTTATAATTTTATTCAATAATTATTTTAGAATTTTTAGAGCTATTTTCTTTCAAGAATATATGTTCTTGCATAGTAGGAAAGAAGTCAGACAATGGAGTCAACTCAAGAGAGAGAACATAACTAATGTCGCATTGTCATTAAACTAGCTCTTTGTTAAGTTGTTAGATAACTTAATACTGTTTTTATGATATAAAAAACTATTAAGGTAAATTCACCTCAAACCAAAATCATGAAATTGATTACATCGAATATAAAATTATAATTCATTTTTTATTTATTCCAAATTAATAAAATGCATATTTATCTTGCCTCAGTTTTATTAAATGAGATTTTCCGTGCATAAATAAAAGCACAGTCACTTAAATGACAAACCAGAATACGTGGAAAATTAGGGCTTCGAATAGATGGCGAAAATATTAAAACTTTGATTTAATATGATTTCTAAAATATTAAAATATTTATATTTATTATTTTCAGGCTCAGCCCATTACAGGTCTAGGTTGGGGCCCACTTGAGGCGGCCCAGTGGGCTCATGGAATCCCGGTCTGCTTAAGAGAAGCTAAGCTAGTTTGGTCCGAAATGAGAAAACGGGCCACACAAGGGTAAAACCGAAACTTTACCGGGCCAAAACCGAAACAGGCCCAGTTTTGGTGACCATTGAAACAAGGGCGGCCCAGCCCATTTCGCCCAAGTATAAAATGGGGCATCAAGCCCAAAATTAGGATCAAGCGATTAAAATCAGGGCCCTTAATAAGTTAAAATAGTTAAACATCATTCTTGACGTCCGAATTTGAAGAAATATTACATGTTTTAAGAAATCACAAATAAGTGGTATAGAGTACTAATATGAAACCTAATCATTATCTTCCTTCATTTTCCAAGTAATAAGGTGACCCACTTCTGTTTGTTTTGTTATTGATACTATGATGTGTAATTATTGTCCATTGGGATTTTGAGGTGAGTGAAAACTAGTTTACATGTACATGAAATAATATTGTGATATTTAATCTAGTTTACAAATATTATAACCTAGTTTATGCTGATATTTAATCTTGTGATAAACTAGTTAATTGGCTTCTTTCAAATATAATTAACTTTTTCATACATAGATTAGTGCGGAGAGTACATATTTATCATGCAATTGACATTTTGTATATGAATTATGTCATGGTTATGCTAGTATCTCCTCAAACAATAGTGGACAAATAGATCTTCATCTATAAATGAGGTGGTATAAGGTGTTATGCATATTACACACCAGCATTCTAAGAATGAGTATATCAATTAGTATTGTCCTTACAAAATAATTGATGAATTTTTAGAATAGTGAATTGTATACAAAAATCAAGTATTCGAGCACTTGGTTAAGCTCAATATGACAAAACAAATAATATCAAAACTTAAAAAGGATTTTTCATACAATAATGGTCAACTTAGTGTTTACACTACAATAGCTATTGTTGGTAGGTATATGGTTGTGTGTGAGTGGCTGAATTTGGTGGTCTAGTCTCAATTTTTCCCTATTGATGTTGGGTAGTCGGAGTATAAGTTCAATTACAATGGGTGTTAAGTATTAGACTAAGGTTTTACTATCCTTAGTTGCCTTGACAACTATGGATAGAGCTTGATGATTATGAGATGATATTTAAGTAATTATATACAATCTTAGATGAGCAAGTATTGAGGGCTACTTGTGGCCTCCCTTCAAGTGAAGTTAGTGCATAGGAAATGTAAAGAAAGAAATGCACTCAATTAAAAAAATAGGGACCCAAGGTGAAACTTTATTTGAGATCTTTACAACTATTCGCATTATAGAAATGTCATCTCCTAGTTTTCAAGGAGAGAACTTATCAATGATTATCAATAGAAATGGTCAATCTTAGATGTTCTATTTGTTTTATTTTTCCTTAGTCCATTTAAAGAAAGAAGTGTTCTACATTCATTTATAAGAATGAGTACATGTCAACATACAAGTGGTGGTCTAATTTGTGGAAGGGAGACCAAGTTTATTTTTCATCTAATAAATCACACTACTTCATTGTATATTAAGTTTTCTGTGAAAAATAGTACCCTTTTGATTTTTTTGATTTGTTTTTCTCATCAAGTAGAAGAACAAGTAGAAGTTGATAGTAAAAACCTAGAGATAGTGAAGTAATGATCCACACCCATACAAGCGAAGGCCCTTGGGGGTTTTCTAAGACTCACTAGATATTATTGATACTTTATTACCAACTATGCCTACCTCTCCTAACCACTAACCCAATTGTTCAAAGAGAACCAATTATACTAGATAGCATAAACAAAATAGGCATTCAAGCTCTTTGAGGACATTATGACTTCTCTCTTTGGTTTGAAACTACCAAAATTTACTTGGGCATTCATGATCAAGGTACATGCCTCTAGTCAAAAGTGTTAGGGTTATCTTCATGTAGGCAAGGCACCTCATTGCATTCTACAATCAAGTATTAGTGCCTAAGAACATGGCCATGGCAGTCTATGAGAGGGAGTTACCGACGATCATCTTAGAAATATAAAATTATAACATTACTTGTTGGGCCAGAAATTTATTATATTCACTGGTCACCACAACATCAAGTGCCTGCTAAAGCAACAACATGTCACCCACAACTTAAAAAATGAATAGCCAACTAGTGGTGTTCGACTTCGAGATGCCCTACAAGAAGGGTTCCACCAGCTCAGTATTTGATGTTCTATTCTAACAGCTATCCACTAGTAAGGTACAATCAGTGACAATGAGTCACTTGTTTCTTTTTAGTTTGCAGTGACTCTAAGATGAGATTAGGAGAGACAAACACCTCACTAATGTCATGAAATTATTGTTAGGCATAAGAAAAGAACCCTCACCCCACTACTCCTAGTCAAAATGTGTTGTTGCATAAAAAAAGAGTGGTACCACTAATGGCCTTTTCCATCATTTCAAAGATTTGGGAGAGTATCACAACAGACCAATTGGAGGTCACTCAAACTTCCTCCCAACATAAAAATAGATTGCCCCATACTTCTATTGATAGGAAAAGAAGATTTGTATTACAAAGTACATGGTTGATTGCATTATCTCTTAGTAACATAAAACCAATGCCCTTCTCTCAATCAAGACTATTACAATTATTGCCCATCTCAAATTAAATCTAGGAAGACAATAGACTTCATCGAGGTCCTACTAATAGTGGGTGACAAAAACTCTATTTTGGTGGTAGTAGATCATCTCACCAATTATAGTCCTAACATGGCTTAGTCGTTGTATAATAAATCACATAAATTTAAAATTTCTAAAATTAAAAATTATTAATTTTCAGATATTTAGAAGTATTTCTGAACAAATATATCAATTAAAATTTAGTTTTAAAAATAGTGAAAAATTTTCAAATCAATCACAAATATATAATATAGTATCAAATACTTTTTAAAAAAAATTCTCAAAGAATACAATTTTTTTTATGAATTTTAGATAATAAATACAACTAAAATATATTTAAAATTTATAAAAAAAGAAAATAAGGGTGTGGAAGTCAAGATGGCATCAGCACTTGATGAATGCAAATCTAGCAAAAATAGAGTTCTACTTAGTGATTCTTACGTAAATAATTACATATATTTTAGTTAATCAAATTAAGATCTATAAAAGTTAGAAGAATCGTATTTTAATAAAGAATAGTTTAGTAAATTTAAATCACACAAATTATCACTAAATAAAGTAAAAATTAAGTTAAAAGTAGAAAAATAGAGTTATGACGTCGCGGTCATGATACGTTGGTGATATACCAAAATCTTGAGCATTTGAGAAGATTGTCATATAGTGTCTACAACCTCAAAAGTTCTCATTGAATAAAGATGATGTGGGTAATTTTAGATCTTTTTGTAAAGTTTAGAGATTGATAAAATAAGTAATTTAATTGTCTCTAGCAACTATCACATGATAGAGTAGAAAAATGACGACTTTGTAACTCTCTAGTGATTGTCACTTAACAAAGAGGAACTAGATAGAGGTAGAGAGTGTGTCAGAGAGTTTCATCATCAAATCATGTAGCAAGAAGAGACTCTTTATTACATCTAATATGCTCTCAAGAGGTAGTGACTTGTCTCCCGACGGATCATCCTCTTCTTGATGACGACTTGTTCGTCAATTAATTAGAGATAATTTACTTAATAGATTTACGATCTTTTTATCACAAAATGTTCAATAATTTTAGTAATAATATTCTGCGAATCATGCTGATGAAATTTTTGCTGATGATCGAACAATTATAATGGCTTAATCCTTCATTGACGATCTGTAAGAAAGTCACAATTTAGTTAGATAAAAATACGAGTTTTAGTTCTAGGAGGATTCGAACCTACACCGGTCACCTACCTACATAAGAAAAATTAAAATAAGTAGTATAATACTCTTATATAATGATATCATCATATTATATTTCTATTATAACTAAGGGGTATGTTAGGTATTAAAAACTTTGAAATTATTCTAAGACTGTTGATTTAGTCCCACATTGATTATACATCAAATGTGGATACATATATATGATAATACGAGATTACAAAATCAATGAGTCCTTTTTTCGTATGTACGACCACTCCTTGCCTCATAGTCGATTGGCCATCGGTGACGTAAAAAGGGAGTGGCACACACATACCCTCATCAGTCCTTAGCTACTCAAGCCCTTACTCGTAGCTCTACCCTAACTAGGCTTCCTACCTACTTTCAAGCTTGATTGGTTAACAAGTCCCCTCCTTTTTTTATTTTTTTTCTTTTTATTTATTTATCTAAAAAATAAGATTATAAAAATTATATAAATTCACATAAAATTACATAATTAGCCAAAAATCACATTAATCACTTGAAAATTACTTTTCACATTTTAACATAAATATAAGTCTATTTATCATAACTTAAGGCTAAAATCATATTATTTATTAATTATTAACTCATGATAATGAAGACTTATCAATCATTTCATTAACTATCGTCATCCTCAATAACATAGTTGATTCCCTTTCAGCGACAAACATAGTTGATATCTTCATTAGCTGTCATCATCCCTTCATCTTGATGCCCTAGTTATGAAGATTAGGACTCAAGAAATATTATGAAACTTTTGGGAGAACAAAGGGCTCTCAAATGTCTTATATTCATTATATGGTCTCCAACACTACATTTATTTCTGCCATAGTTTCTCTCTCTTGCTTCATCTACCTCAACCAATTGAGCTTGTTAAGATGTGGTGTCCTAATAGTATCTAACAAATATTACTTCTATGCCTGAAAGGTTTCATTTCCTTGGTCAATTGAAAATGAAAAGAGGATTATACATATTAAAAAATGACATAATCATGCCCTAAATTGGGTTCCTCTTCTCTATCTTTTCTTCCTTGCCCTTTGTGTCCTCTCTTATTTGTATTTTTCTTCTTCTTCAATAGTTTCACTTTGTAAGAATGTTTTAAAGAGAGGGACCACAAATACTATAAAGATTGTGATATATTTGATATCTTACAAAATTGATTATTTTGTCATAACTATATAGTTATGGCAGCTATGCTTTAAGGGTTTTTCAAGTAAGATACATAGTGCAGGTTGGCCAACCCTATGGTGTATACTTTTGTTCATCTCCATTTATCTATTGTTTATCTAAGTGGACATTTCATCTCTTCACAAGCATTACATGTGTGTGACTATAACCTAGATATTATCTGCATTGATTACATTTTGTAATGTGATTCTTTTGAATGTAGTGTTGCTGCTACAAAAGGTCACAAGGACATGTGAATGTCATGGTTTGATTTGAGAAATGTGAGAGAAAGATGAAAATAGGTTATTTGCAGCTATGTTGGCAAGACTCCAACTCAAGAAGACAAGTTTTCTTGTCTATTTATGCTTTTCAGGTGCAAATGAGGAGGATTTAGGAGGGTGGATGAGCAGAATCTGATGGGAATCATCCATAACAACTTTGTATCCAACACCTCTTATAAATGTATATGCATGGTTTTATTGTCATTTTGTTGGTTGTGGGAGCCCTCATGTTCGTAGTGCAAGCAACTAAGATGGATCAAAAGAATAATGGAGGTATGTGATCATGAGCCCCTCTCACCTTCTAAATTTTCTTATTTGGTTTATCCCTTCAAAGCTGTAGAATGATGGATAAATTCATGTGTTTGAATTTGGGTTTTTGATCTCATCAACATCCCTTATCATATTTTAACTATCTTGAGTATATAATGATTAGAAAATTGAGAATTGAGATTTTTAAGTTTTGATAAAGTTGTAATCAAAGGTTGAAGTAGAGGACTTAATTTTTCATCGTTCACTAGAATGTATTTCCCTTATATTTACTTTCAACTTGCCCATTGATTAGATTTTATTTCTTGTTCTTACATTGTGATGCAATGTGGTTGTAGAAGATAGTGAGATCTGATCTTCAATCTAGAAAGCACAAATCTTAGTGAAGAAATTAGGTTTTGAATCTAGGGTGGAGGGGAACCTCAAAAGAGAGAAAAAATCATCATATTTCAAAAGTGACCTCTCGAGTTATAATGTAGACCTTTATATAAGCCTAAAAGGAGGTGTGACATCTCAAAAGAAGGATCATAAATAGATCATGGGGACAAACTCTAATTAGGTCTGAAATGAGTTGAAACAAATTAAGATTCTGAACAACATTTAAAACACTCTCTAGAAGAAAAGATAGTAAAGTAAGTTTGCATAAAATAGCTTTCCTAAAGTAACTTTTTGTGACTTTATTGGGCCCAATTAGCTATTGGGTCGTCTTTAACTATTATTATCTTTACAACCTACTTCCAAAGTGGTTGGAACTAACTATGAATTTGACTAACTATGAATCATTTAAATATTAATAAATTTGACTAAAGTCAAGTAAATTTTTGATAAGACCACGAACTATATTTAGAGTCATAGTTAATGTGCATTGACCTCTCTTTATTTTTCAACTTTAGTTGACTCTCTTCTTATAATATATATGGTTGATAGTTCGTTGTCATTTTATTAAAGTTTAACCATTTGAATGAAGACAAGTAAACCAAAGTTGGGAATACAAACTAACAATGACAATTAATTAATCATAGTTAAAGTGGAATTATTTCAAAGATAGCAAGATAATAAAATTAAAAGAGAAAAATGATGAGGTTGACTCTACCCAGCCAAATTTTGTGTTAGATCACAAAAAGAAAATTCTATTGAGGGGGTTCTACTCGTCTTATCTTTTTTTGAAAAGATAAATTTTAATGCATCACAAAAATGTTTTCGAAACGATTAAAAGAGTAATAAAATATCTGTGATATTTCCAAAACGGGAGATTTTGAATATTCATGGCCCAGATTGCCATCTACCAAAAATGTTTTTGAAACGATTAAAAGAGTAATAAAATATCTGCAATATTTCCAAAATGGGAGATTTTGAATATCCATTGCCCAGGTTGCCCTCTACCCAGTCAAATTTTCAGTGCTCGATCACAAAAATTAGAATCATAAATGTTCAACTGGTTGAATCTTATTTTTTAAAATGAAAAAACTTTAATACCTGGTATGCCGCATTCACTGTTATCGAAATGATGGCACGCCGATTCAAGCATTAAGTTTTAACGGGCGTTGACGTGACGGGTCAAACCGGTGCCATTCCCCCAGATACTTTTTTGAAACCTTCCAAGTGCTCTAAATATCTGCGATATTTCCAAAATGGGAGATTTTTAATATTCATGGGCGAGGGAGGCCGTGTGGGTCCTACCTGAGCTCCGGAGGGGGGAGGGGGAAAAATCTGAGAGCATGGCGGCGCAGGGCCGACCACTCGCCGGAGAGTCGTCTCTGAGGTTGATTGGCGGCCGGTGAATGAGGTTCTCCGGCGGCCACTCGCCGGAGAGTGGACCGCTGTTGCGGCGTGGCCGCTTTCGGCTCAGAAAAATGGAGGATTTTGAAAAAGCCCTGTAATTGTGAGAGCCACGGCATTGAAGGAGGGCCCCGCCCCCCAACTCCTCAGTGCCCAATCGGAGGGAAGAATCCATGGATTTCTGGCTGACGATCTCCCATCGCCGTATCTTCAGCTGTCCCCACCAGGAGGGCCTGCAACCGCTACGAGTATCCAATCATCTGCGCTCTCCGGGGGTGGGGAGAAGGAAAGTGTTGGGTTTCTCCTCTCTTCTGCCGTTCCTTCCCGGCGCCGGTCACCCGAGTGTTCGGATTTCCTTCTCCTCCGGCGAGTGGCTTGGTCTACTGGGGAGCCGAGCCACTTGTTCTTCTTCTCCCGGCGGCCATGGCGACACCCTACAAGGCCCTTCTCTCATCAGTGGCCATGGCTGCTGTCTCCTCCAAGACCCACCTCCCGGTTATGCCCCTCAGTGCCTTATCTGAAGTCCTCCCCCCTTCCTTGCATCTGCGGGAGAACGCCACCAGCAGCAGGGCCAAGCAGAGGAATCGGAGCTGGAGGTCGGCGGCTATGGCGGTGGCCGTAGCTGGAACCAGTGGGGTTGAGACAGCTGCCGCTGAGAAACCTGCGGTTTCTCAGTCTGCTGGGAAGAAGCTCCGCATCCTCGTAGCTGGCGGCGGGATCGGAGGTTTGGTGTTTGCTTTGGCTGCTCAGAGAAAAGGGTTCGATGTGATGGTGTTTGAGAGGGATCTGAGTGCAATTAGAGGGGAGGGGCAGTACAGGGGACCGATTCAGATACAGAGCAACGCATTGGCGGCCATGGAGGCCATTGATTTGAAGGTTGCAGAGGAGATTATGAATACCGGATGCATCACCGGTGACAGGATCAATGGCCTTGTGGATGGCATCTCCGGCTCATGGTATGCAGTTTTTTGCTCTCTAATCTCAGTTTTCCACTTCCGATTACTCGATTTAGAAAATAAAATGTGCGTTATCGATCGTGTTTTATGTCTTGCGAATGCATCGAAATTACTACTCCCATTGGTTTGGGATACCTTCTGTTCTTTAAACTATATTGAAGGAGCAGAATATTTGGATGGTAAATAAAAAAAATCTGATCTGGGTTAAGTTACCCAATAAAAAGTGGGATTTTGAGAGGATTGAATTGGATCAACTACATAAATCACCTTCCTCGGCAAATGGGAACAGGTTTAACTAAACCGGCAAGTCAGAACCCATATATATATATATATATATATATGTACATTATCCTCAGAAAATTTATACAAAGTTTTTCCATTCAGCTTGGAAAATTATCATTGCTACAGAATGGAAATGGGTGCGGATATTTGCTCCATTATTTTTATTTATTTATGTTCTTGTCATTCTCTGTCTGAATATCTTTGCGAGGTGAGCAGACTTCATCTATCTTCTGTGTGCGTGTTCATCACTTGCTGTTTATTCTGTTGACGGTTGCTCAGGCTCATTTTCCCTTTACAATCTTCTTTTCATGTGAAATGTGGATCTTTTTCCCATGGTCTTAGTTACAAGACGAATCGTTTTGAGGTTTGGAATGCTATTATCCTGAGAGGCATAGTGGTTTGAAAACAAGCTTTTTAGGCATCTCCTTATGAAAATGGTGGCAGAAGATTTTCTATGAGATTATTATGCATGAAAATTACCGTCAGAATCTCACATAAACCAGAATCCTGTATGAAATTAGGCCCATTTTCACAACTGTCAGGCTGATTATATCATTAGGAAAATAATACCTCCCAGGCCGTTTTTGGTTTTTTATTTTATTTTTTTATTTTTATTTTGTCTGGGACTCATATATGGGTTGTAGGGTATTATCACTCTTTTGGATTGAAAAGGGTTTTTTTAATTATTATTTTTAGGGCAAACTTTCTCTGTCTTTCCAAAGTATCTGTTGTGAAGCAATTCTTTCTGGTGTTCAGGTACATCAAGTTTGACACATTCACTCCTGCCGCAGAACGGGGTCTGCCCGTTACCAGGGTCATCAGTCGTATGACCCTTCAAGAAATATTAGCTCGAGCTGTTGGTGAAGATGCTATTTTGAATGATAGCAACGTTGTTGATTTTGTAGATGATGGATCCAAGGTCTCTACCACCCCCCACCTCCTCTTTCAATATATTTATATATATATATATAGATATAATTTTCTGTGTACAGAAATTTATTTTTAAACATATTCTTGGGTTCATTCTTATATTCGTTGTTATATGACCAGGTAACAGTGAAACTTGAGAATGGACAGACATATGAAGGTGATCTTCTCATTGGAGCAGATGGTATAAGATCCAAGGTGATATCTACATATTATATATGTATATATATAAATATATCTATTATTTTCAATAACTTACCTTTTATTGGTGGGTAGGTCCGGAGGATCTTGCTTGGTCCAACAGAGGCTTCCTATTCAGGATACACCTGCTACAGTGGTATTGCAGATTTTGTACCTCCTGATATTGAAACTGTTGGGTATGGCTAACTGGCTTGCAGAAAACTCTTACCCTTTTTTCTACATAGCTTCCAAATATATCTAATCCAAGGTTCTCTTCAGATATAACATAACTTGTTCGCCATCATTTGCCTCCCCATAGTTTTCTAGGGTTTAATTTACACTTCAATCATCCTCTGCAGTTTATTTTCTCATTCATGGTTCTTCTCTGATGAAGGTACCGAGTTTTCCTTGGTCACAAACAGTACTTCGTTTCATCAGATGTTGGCGCCGGAAAAATGCAGTGGTATGCATTTCATGCAGAATCTCCCGGCGGTACCGACGCTCCAGATGGTACATTCCACTGCTATTTCTCTCTCTCTCTCTCTCTCTCTCTCTCTAATCGAGGGTTTATTTCCTGTACAACAAGATTTCATGTTCCATTTCTTTTCCAATAATTGTTGCCTTTTATTCTTACTTATATTACATATAAAGTACTTTCAATTCACTCTTTATGAATATTTTTTCCAATTAATCAAATATTTTTCTGATGCTCATCGTTTTTTAAAAAAAATAATATTTTCTTAGATAGTAGTGTGAAATAACCCACTGATGATCAGTTATAAGATGGAGAGCAGCAGCCATCATGTTTCTTGATATTTTGGCAGGAAAAAAGGAAAGATTGCTTAAAATATTTGGAGACTGGTGTGATAATGTGGTTGATTTACTGAATGCAACGGATGAGGAAGCAATTCTTCGCCGTGATATATATGATAAAGTTCCCATTTTAAACTGGGGGAAAGGTCGAGTAACCTTGCTTGGGGACTCTGTTCATGCTATGCAGCCAAACATGGGCCAAGGTGGTTGCATGGCTATTGAGGTATGCTGTGGCTGTTCTTATACATTTTCTATTGCTACAATATTGGAGAAAATCTTGGTATGATTAGCTGATTTTTCTCGAATGTGATGTGGGTTTTGACCCTTTCTCCGAGTTCTTTCCTCTGATTGACCAACCTCCACCGTTGATCTTATCAGCCCCACCCATCCAGACAACCTTATGACATGTTTGTGGTCTTGTAGGATGGCTATCAGCTCGCTTTGGAGCTTGAAAAAGCATGCAAGGACAGTGCTGAATCTGGCGCTCCCATTGATATTCCTTCTTCCTTAAAACGGTAAGCTTCCGTGGTTCCAGATATGAAATTTTTTTTTCTGAATGGGGAAGTCAAACGCTGGGGAGAAATCTTGGTGTTTGACCAGGGAAGTATGACTTTAAGAACTTTAGAAGATCAAATGCCATCTATATATTTATATATATTTCCCAGGTATGAGAAAGAGAGAAGAATACGCGTTGCAATCATATATGGAATGGCTAGAATGGCTGCGATCATGGCTTCAACCTACAGACCGTATTTGGGTGTGGGTCTCGGGCCATTATCGGTACGATGCTCTCGTGATGCTGGCTTTTACCCAGGTTTAATCAAGATTTTTGTGATAAAATCCCTCACCTTTGTTGTTCTTATTTGTCTCTGCCTCCATGCACAGTTCTTGGTCAACCTGCGGATACCACACCCTGGAAGAGTGGGTGGAAGATTTTTCATCAAGATTTTCATGCCGCTGATGTTGAATTGGGTACTCGGTGGAAACAGGTGTGACCCTTCAAAGTCTTATATGTATCTTGATTTTCTTTTATTTAGTTATATATATATATATATATATATATGTGTGTGTCTAGACTTGTCTGCTGGGTCTGAACAGCCCTTCAATCTAGTTTCTATTTTTTGTGATCCGATTCCTGATGAAAAAAATTGATAAAATAATGCCTGCTTCAGGTATTTAGAACAGCCCTTCAATCTAGTTTCCATTTTTTATAATCTAATTCCTGATGAAAAAAATTGATAAAATAATGCCTGCTTCGGGTATTTAGAACAGCCCTTCAATCTAGTTTCCATTTTTTATAATCTAATTCCTGATGAAAATTGATAAATTAATGCCTGCTTCAGATGCTTAGAACAGTCCTTCAATCTAGTTTCCAATTTTTGTGATCTAATTCCTGATGAAAATTAATAAAGTAATGCCTGCTTCAGGTACTTAGAACAGCCTTGTGGGGTGATTAAGTTAGGCTGGAGACTAGTGACAATAATGAAAAATAAAATAAAATCATTTCCTTGTTCCTCATGCAACCTTGGAAAAAAAAATCAATAAATGTCTGTGAATATGCTCAAGCTGCTCTGATTCGACGATATTTTCCTAGTGGACTGATTTTTATTGACTCTAAATTTTTTCACATTGGAATGAAAAATAACCTGGTTTCCTTTCCTTGCAGCTCAAAACTTGAAGGGAGATCATTATCCTGTCGGCTATCTGATAAAGTACGTTTCTAAGAATGTTAGAATGTAGTAAAACAGTTCCACTTCCATAGATGCATGAATTGCCTTTTCAACAAGCTACTGAAATTAAAAATAATAATAATAATAATAATAATAATAATAATAAATCTCACCGACATGTGTTCTTCATTGAAGGCGAGCAGCCAGCTGCGGAGATGGTTTGAAGATGATGATGCTTTGGAGCGGGCTCTCTCTGGAGAGTATGATCCAAACCTATCCATTCATCGCGAATTTCTTCTTGGCAAGCTTCATCTTTGTGCAGTGAGCTGAGAAAAAAAAACTCTTTCGCTGTAGGTGGTATCTTGTGCCGCTGGAGAATGATGCTGCAAGCACATTACAGCCTATTCATTTGAGTAAGGATGTGCACAGGCCCTTCACCATCGGGTATGTTATAATCCCTAAAATAATAGTTTTACGACCACTGTTGCTGTTGTAGTTAGGGGTGTCAATCACAGGGTTGAGGAGAGAGAGAGAGAGAGGGAGAGAGAGAGAGAGAGAGAGAGAGATGACGGGAGGGAGGGGAGGGGGGGGGTATGGCTTCAAGCAAGCATCCTGGAATAGTCCCATATTGGTTAGTTACTGCAGAAAAAAGAACCTAAAAACAATTATGTGCCTAAGGTTACCTAAAAACAATTATGTCCCATAGCATCAGAGCTCTTCCCATTGATTATTTTTACAAATGGTCATATTGTTGATTTAGGAAGAGTCATCATTTATGACTGACCCAATTATGGAAAAACTGTTGAATAAAGATTTATGGAATTGATGAGGATGATCAATATTTATATAGTACAAAATTTATTGAATGTTTCCTTGTGGGCTTTGCCAATGGTCTCGTTGATTTTGACTATATTTCACTCTAGTCATGATTTCAAGGCTGACCTAGTTATTGAAAAAGTGCGGTCTGGGACTGGCTTCTCCAAGCTTAGATGGCTAGCTGTTACCCCTCCTTGTATTCTTATTTAACAGATCATACTCTTGTGGGTTTTTGCAGGAGCTCTCAGACTGGTGCTTCTGCAGTGTCAGTGGCCATTCCTTCACCGCAGGTATGGCATCCTTGGGCTATTTCTGTCAACGTTTTAGGATTCAGTACTACTCCAAGAAAGAGGGAAACCTCGGTTGATAGTAGAGAAGTTTATTACCGTTTCGGGATAGATTCACCAAAAGATTGTACTGCATAAAAGGTTACTAAGAATAACAGAAAAAATATAAAAAAAGACTACTTGGCATTAAGGGTTCTGGTTTGATTTGGCCGTATAACTTGTCACTAGACATGAATAAAATCCATGAGGACGACCAATCTATATATATATATATATAGATAGATAGATAGATGAAAATTTTATTCTAGCTAGAGAATCTTTTTAGATCTTGATCTAAACTATGAAGTTGTTCTTGTGGGCATTAACTGGTTTGTTGACTGACTTTTCCTTTCAGGTGGCCGAAGCCCACGCTCAGATTCACTGCAAGGACAATGCGTTCTACGTGACGGACATGAGCAGTCAACACGGGACATGGATCACAGAGTAAGATTTGAAAATATTAAACAGCCGCCATTTTTTTTTATTTTAACTGAGATTCCAGAACGAGAAAAACAATTCCGTTTTTCTCTGTCCATGCAGTAATGAAGGAAGGCGTCACCGGGCTCCCTCAAACTTTCCTGTTAGACTCCACCCTTCCTATGTGGTTGAATTTGGCTCGGACAAGAAGGTATTCCTCATGATCCTACGATCCTCTCGACTATGAGAGATCAATACCACCTTAAAAATTGCTTACTCTCTTAGAAGATTTTTCCAAAAGATAATTCTCTATTCATTCCTTCAGTCAAAAATTTAGGGATCTTCTATGTTTATCTTCATGGAATCAGACTGAAACTTGAAAACATTTTTTTTCTAGATAACTATTGGTAATCATGTTTTTATGCATATGTCCCATGTATCAAAACTTTAGATTTATTTGATGTGGGAATATCAGAGCATTATATTTTTCCAATCTGATTGTGATCGGCAGTAATGATCTAATTGCTTTGACTAAATTTTTTGCTCAATCCAACCCGACCAGCTGGATTCCTGACCATATCTTAAGCTCCCGACTAGTCAATTCAGTCTTCAGGGTCAGCTTCATCGGTGCCCAATCTACACTGTTTGATAGTCCTGAGGCCACTGAGTCAGTGAGGAAACTAATTCTTTTGAACACTAGCACTTCCCTAAGTTATTTCTTCTTGTTTGAGCTCATCTATCCAACTGATTTCTCGTTAAAAAAAGACTAGCATAGTCTTGTCTAACCTCACACATCTCACTGGTCTCTCCAACGACCACAGGCGGCGTATCGTGTGAAGGTGATGAAGACTCTTCCAGAAAGATCAACAAGTGGATGGGAGCAAGCTGTCCCAGCCGTCTGAAGGAGCCCAAGCTCCTTCCTAGGGTTTCATTCAAATGTACAGAAAAAGGAAGGCCATCAGACCCAATGGGAGAAATGTATAGATTGGCCCTGAACAAGAGCGAGGAAGCATTGTGGGTGTCCCCAAGTTTTGGTTCTTTACATTCTTCCCTCACCCAATAGCTGTTGTAAGTGTATAGTGGCTGGTTCTAAGCAATCATTCTTCCCGATTCTATGTATAAGAATCCCTAGCGATTGAATGAGTTCTTACTAGGATCTCTGCTTATCTTGACCCAGATGGGTTCTCTTCTTTGATCAGCTGACAAGACCAGGCTCACAGGCCACGGCCGAGCTGCTAAAGTTCCAGACTAAAAGTGTACTCCATACTTGGAGGCCTCCCCCAGTGTGCTATGGAAATTACAGTTTCTCCATAAATACAGTAAATAAATGTCCATTTTGGTAAATGTGGGGGGGTTTGACACCAGGTCTTGGAGAAAAGTATTCGGGCTTTGACGCCCCCTTGAAGTGATGTCCTCTCGACCAGTTAAAGTTGGGCCCTGAGTTGCCCAGCCCGGTACTGGGCTTATGTGATGGCGGCCCTCCTCTGACCCGTTCTATTAACTCATTTGGGCTTCTGAAAGCCCGGCCTAGGAGTAATTATTCTGTCTATGTTCTTTGTATTTTTTGAAATTAAACTAGTTTGATCTGAATTTTGTTAAAAAAAGTGATGCAAATTACACGTTCACTAGTGCGGATTTTCTTTACGAGAGTTAATAACCTGGAAGTGGGTTCAGCTCTCAATGTCAGTCCTCAAATAAGCCATAGGCTGATTTTTATCCACAAGAATAATAAAAACTACGTTGAAATTCAGGAATTTCTTCAACAACAGAAACCCTAATTGACAACATAAATATAAAGGAGTATTTATCGGTGAGTGAGATCATTGCCTTCTGTTACCCTCGGTTGGATGATTCAAACTACATCCTCCACAAATCGTGTGCCCAAGGCCAATCCCTCTGGCCCTTCCACAGGTTTCTAGGTCTTGTGCCAGTCTCTCAAGGTTGATGGTGGGCCCTGGCCTGAAGCACGAGAAGACATGGAATGGGTTCTGGGTCATATGAGCCGAGCCAAATATCTCTTCTATAGGGAACTGTTTTTGTCTGTTCAAGCCCCAGAAAATGGGCCGGGCCAGGCATGCTTCCAGAGAAGCCCGACCCGGTGAAAAGCCATGACGCTTCACCCAACAGAATAAAGTGCATTTCACGATAATGTCACTCGTGGACATAGAAATACATTTGGTATGCTCAGCTTGAATCTCTACACACCATGGACAAGCACCCTAATTCCAATTTCACCAGGAGAGAGACAGGGGGAGAGAGATCAGTGCACCTTTTTAGAAATCAACTGACGTGTATTTACGGATGGCAGCAAGAATCCTTTCCTTGTCCCTGGTTGGGAACGCCTCCAGAAGAACCCCATCTTTGTAGAACTGGAAGAGTGGCACAGACTGCGAAATTCAGATTCATTAGAACCCTCAATTGTTACGTATAATAGGAAAGGAGGAAAATGGAGAGGATATATCATCATGCATCTTAAAAAAATGGCTGCAGATTTTCTCTCTTTTTTAACCCTAAGATGACTGAATCACATCCATGTTTGGAAAAACAATTGACGGCAGGTTGACGTTTCAGTCCTGCCAGGTGGCCACGTTATATGTTCCACGTGGCAGCTGACCCCCGCAAAAAAGACTGGGGCCTGTTTTTCTTTGGGAATTGGTGAAAATAAGAATCTATGTTGCTATGTGAAAATTTTCATCCGCATGATGATCAAGCGGGTCAACTTTATAAAATAAAAGAATATAAAAACATGGGAAGAAATATCAGGATAAGCTCTTCTATCAGCAGCACACATTTCTACCTTGGTTCTCAAATCCAGGAGTAGCCGTTTCCAATGAACCGGAATCAAAGAATAAGACGAATCTCTGATTTCATGATCAAGGAAATACAGCAGAAAAACGATAGAAAAATTAAAAACAAGGATTAGAAATTAACTGTTGACTGCTGCACAGACGCCTTCTAAACTTCCAACATCATAATTCTGGTAATCCTATTAAATGCATTAGTAATAATGAAGCGTTCTAAGATTAGCGGGCAAAAATACCCAGGGGCTGTTCTTAATCGTTACACGCATTTATCCCTAAGAACGGACGCAACAACTACGGTCTTCACCGTAACTTACGTAACGGCCACATGAAGCCCTAAATTAGGAAAATTGTCATCACGTGATTGCTTTCCAAAGACAGTTCTTATGTTAACCTTCACTTAATGGATGCCCAAGTTATGGCTGGCTATACTTTATCTATTTTGAAACAACTCTGAGTGCTAGGAAGAGGATCCTTGCTGAACTGCAATTGTTCATAATAATGAGAGAATAAGACACTCCCGTCTAACAACCAGCAACAGTACTTCCATCACAAATTCAGTCTCACAGAAGATCTATAAGCGAAGAAACTATTAAAAAGCTCCAAAATTTGGTGCTGCGAAGAAATTCTCAGCCATAAATCCTACAAATCATAATCTTGGTACTTGAGCAAGCCCTAGCTTTACCACAAAAGAAAATTAAGCAATAACAATAAGGTGATCCTCGCCATGCACATCATCAGTCTGCCAACAAAGCTTGAGTCAATCTGCCCATGGTTGAGATGGTGAGGTGTAGGTGCTCTGCCCATGTCAGACTTCACCCAACACCACAAGGGATCTTCTCTCAACATCCAGAGAGAAGATTTTACGATACCTCATGCCATTATCTTCTCATTCAAAAATTGTCTTCCTGCCTTTCCAGGGAAAAAGCTGAACAGTATCCTCCCAGAAGTCCTAAAGATGAGCTTTTAGGGATGGATTTCAGACCATTGGAGGGTGATTGTTAATGGGAACAGACATAGTTATATCTATATATATATTTACATCAAGAAGTGTGTATTCAATTAGCCAGCAGCTGCACACCTCATTAAAAGAACGGAAGAAATGCATTTCTATCTAAGATCCATGAGCATGATACAATATTTCAAATGTAATGCCTGGCTAGTTTCTCTAGATAACATTTCTACTACATACCCTTATTCGTAGTCGTTCAGCCACCTCAGTCTGTTCATCATATTCATCAATAACCTGAAAATTTTGCAAATGGGAAAATGTCTAATATATGATGCACATCATTACTTACAACCGATCACCACTTGAATAAAACAATATAAAATTCAAACTTTCACTACAGTAAAAACATTAGTATATATATGCACACTTACACTTTTACGAGGAATATATGAGGAATAAACATGAACGTTAAACTGTCGCATGCCCACAAAAAAGTGACCATATATTTGCAAAAGAACCTCCAAATTTTGTAATACGCAAGAAAGCCCTGATAATTGGACAAGCAGTTATTTTCTAGCATATTTCCTCTCTCTCTAATTAGATATCACTTCCAGAATTTTGGCATGGAGCTGTATAATCTGGGGAAATTTTACGTACATTAAAAAACTAGAGATTCTCACATACTATGGAGATACATATGAAAAATCCTTTAATTGTTTATAATACGGTGATATCTGATTAATCTCACTAATTGAGTTAGCAGGCATCTAAACTTTTCCAATGGTATTTACTGTTCACACCAGTACAGGTCCTAGGATTATACTAGAACTTGATCAAGATTTCATCAGTTGGAAAATGATGGTTTTGACCAAACATTGCATACAGGTCTACACCTTTTGCATGGTTTTGATCAAACATTTCACTTGAATGATTTAATATTTACAAATAACGAGACAAAAAGGTACATTCGAGAAGTTATCCTATTCTAGGGGGTGCGGTGCCCCCAGTTAGATATTGATGAGTTGAGTCACCGAAGGATACAGATTAACATCAACGAATTAGAATATTATTCTCAGTGATAGGAGCAAATGAAACCAATTTTTTAAGATGATAACAAACACGGTCTTTGCTATATTAAATCAAAATTGATGACAATGGAATTTTTCATGATAAATTGAGATTCAAGCCAAAAGCACACACAGCCACCAAGGAAATCCTAAACAGATGACATCTCAAATGTTTTCCAGCACATGTTCATTTTCTATGCTTCAGTAGCTTTCTCCACTAGCCAATGAGCCTTAACAAGGCCTTTGACATCCCTTAAAAGCTATCGCATCCCCAACCTGACAACAGGCATGATGCTGATAAAGAAGCATCCAGAGACTGCCAACAACGTGGACAGTGTGATGTCGCTACGGAACCCAAAGGATCAAATATCTTTAAAGGAAGATTTTTTTTTCAAGGAATAAGATAAATTCAAAATAGAATGCACGAAAAAACGTTTTTCAATCACACAGCCAAAATCAACAAACTTGCCTGGAACTCACGTAGAGAAAGATACAGAAATCAGAAACAAACAAGATTGAAAATAATTGCCACAAGGTAAACGTATCAAAAAAAAAAATTGAAACGGAAAATAAATACACGCGTAGTTAAATCTCACATTGTGCTTCAGGAAAATAATTCCAGCTCCTTGATCACCAGAACCTTTGCACAACTTTGTAAAGCCTTGTTCAATGTACTTGCAGCTTCCACATGAGTTGCGAAAAAAGTCTACCACAACTAATGAATCAGATTTCTTAGCCTTCGCTAAGAATTTTAAAAATTCCTCATCAGTCTTAAATTCTCTGACACAATCAACAGGACAATTTTCATCATCCTCTTCAATAATAGATGACTCTTCTTTGTAAACATCAGACACAACATTGTTTTCAACAGATTGAAGCCTGTGTCTTATTTGTCTCTCAACCTTGAAGTTCCTCACAGTATGAGGAAGTTCTGACTTCATTAATAGGAACCCAATATGATTCATGGAAATTGCATGATGCATCATAGGAAATGAACTTGCAGGTTTGGTATCATATTGACCAGCTTGAACTGTTGCAGAACTAAAAGCCCTAAACGAGAACGAATTGCAATTCAGCATCACAAAAGATAGCTAGTCAGAACAAATTCCAATGTCATGCAACTGTTCAACGTCCTTGAAGATGGCCTGTAAGCAAAACCTAACGCTAGCATCATCCAGGATCTAATAGTAAGTACATCTTCAAAATATAGCGAAAATAATTGAATAAATACCTGAAGTCAAACGTCAAACAGAAATTATAATGATAAATAAGGAACATACAGCATACCAGTACTGATTGTTGTTCACCAAGTTTTCAATGAGTTATATGGAACAAATGAAAATTAGAAAATATATAAATTCTTTCGGAGGAAATGTTAATCCTCTCATGTGGTCAGGAGAAACAATTAGCACCCTCATATAATTAAAAAGCACAGGAGAAGATGTGGAAATGGTGTGGTACACAACAAGTAGCTAAGGAGGGAATTTCCCTTTAATTATGTTCGACCTTTTCCATTTTCCACAATATGTTTACATTTCCACAATGCTGGTGGCGAGGACAATGAACAAAATCACTGATTAATAATATACCTGATGGTTAGAGGCACTAGCATCCATATTATAGACTACTATAGATGTGCAAGGATGACCTCAAATTATCTTAACCAGTTAAAAAAATTCTCAAGATAGAACCCAAAGTCCTACGAAGGTTGTAAAGCAGAAACATCTGTTTGCTACTTTCTAGAGTTGAGTAAAATCGGTATTCTAGAGTTGAGAATACCGTCATAAAAGCCCTGGAGACTAGCGGTCCGACTCTTCTTATAGTTAAACTGGAGATTCAGCTCAAACGTGCATCGATTCAATATAAGAACATCAGAAAAGGGATCGACCAACATATAAAATCCAAATGAGGAAATAACTGGCAAGCTATTGCAAGACCGCACCCGGCTGTACGACATCCAAAATGCGATCTCCTTAAAAAGTTTATTCTAACACGAAAGCCTCGCATCTCAATCAGCATACGATAATTCACTCCTCGACAGAAGGCGAAATCGAGGAAATAAAACTGAAAAAAATGAAACTAAAAGGGAAATGAAAATCAGTTCAAATCTAAGCCCATAAGATGGCGTGATTCAACCAGAAAAGCGAAATAACGCCTGGTTTTTCTCCCATTCAATCAACTTCGTATTCAAAATCAGCAAAACACATCAAGGATTCATGTGCAATACATTTGACTCAAAGAAAACAAGGTCGAAAGATTCACCAACCAGAGATTCAGACTCTGCGGATCGCCGAGCGCACCACTCTCAATTCCGGCCTTCCTTTCCCCCAGCCACGGATCAACCGGCTCTTTCTGATGCAGGAGTTTTCAAATTACTGTTTACATTCACGATCCAGGCCCTCCTCCAGATTATTCTAAATAAATAAATAATTGACCGATGAAAATAGGACCTCCATCGGGCCGGTACGGCCCAAGCTCGAATCCGAGCCCGAGCCCGATAAAAGTTTCTAGACCCCAGCTTCGCAAGATACGTGGCGTTGTCAAAGGAAGCTACGTGAGAGAAAAAATGAGATTCCTGCGATTTCGGGCGGGGCCTATTGAAATGCCGACCATGTGGCACTAAATTTAACGTAATTATCCGACCTAGACAACAGCTCTATAGAAGGAATGGACCGAGCTGGCTCTTCCATGACAGCCCGGCCCAGCCCGGCCCGCTCATTTTGGGCTTCCACGAAGATAGGATATGGTCAACCCCATATTCAAAAGAGGAAATTTGACCTCTATCCAAATATCGTCAACTCGAGGTGGCCGTGCTGCCAGCTGTCAGCGGCGACTACAGCCCACATCAGCAACGACGACAAGAATAATAAGATCATGATGATGAAATGAAGAAAAAAAATTACGAGACGTGCCATTGTCAATCGTTGCACCCTTTCACGCTGACACTCTCCACTGGGTGTGGCAAGAAATTGACTTGGGATTTTTTTAATTAAATAATTCAATTAATTTATTGAGGATATCAAGAAAACCCAACTGATGAGATATGATTTTGCATGTATTTATAAAAAACCAGTTTTACGCTGACAATTTAAGGTCCATGAATTAACAAGTGTGGGGCCCACTTCGAGTTGACTTATTAGGGTGGCCCAATTGGGATCATGATTTGGCTTCGGAGCTGATACCATGTTCCATTAGTGTTCACATTTTTTAAAGAAAATATTAGGGAGTCACATTGTTTTATTTAATTAATAGTTTAATTACATAATTCTCAGGTTTGAGAGAATATTTTGATCATATTGAAATTTTGAAAGGTCATGAAGGTAGCATTACATGTCAAATTAAAGTACTTTGTAAATTATATCTTTCTTTATTTCAATATTTATTATTTTAAAAATATATATTTAATTATAGCTTTATATATTCCTCAAATAATATTTATACATAACAATTAATTATATGGATATTCTTTTTTCACATATTCTTATCAATGATCATGGTTTATATATGCTTTAAGAGAGATGAGACTCAAGGCTGCTTGTAAATTGTCAGATTTTCTGATGTTACTAGGAAGGAATTGAGATTATATAAGCTCACAAAAGATCTTTAAGGTATCATTAGAATACATCTTATAAAAAAAAAAGAGTATCTTCATGAGTCACACTATAAACCTCTATTCTTACATAATTCATCTATTATTTCTAGATGAATAAAAGGGAATTAAATAAAACAATGATAAAGTTGTTTGTTTATTCTTTTTTATATGTCAATCATTGTCATTATCAAATTTTCTTTTAATTTTATTTTCACATTTTTCATTAAGCTTACATTTAATTTTTTTGTTAATTATTAGGTTGAGTAATGAGCAAATTATTGTAACAGATATGTATATAATTACATGAACGTAATATGCTTACACTTAAATTTTATAGATCTTCAAATAATGTTTATTTTATAAAAAGTTAATGAACATGTTTTAGCTTTTGAAAAAATGTTTTTTTCATGTGTAATGTGAAAAAAGTTGGAACCTATCAACCAACACATGCAGAAAATGTTTACAATCAATAGTAAAGGGCAAAATTGATCACATAACTTTTAATAGAAAGTTCATATAGTATAGTCATTCATTAGTCACGATGAAGAAATATTCCAATTTTGAATTTGATATTAATATATTAAAAAATTGATTTTAGCATAAGTATATGAGAAATCGGCTTGTTGTTAAATTCATGTATATGCCATCTCTCATTTCATTTTGTTCTTGATTATTAGCATAAATCGTTTAAGTTTATTTATTATAAAAAATCACAAATTTACCCTTTTTTTAATAATGGAGGAATACTAATATATTTGGTAATGTTTCGAATATGTTGAAAACATTTTTAAAAAATAATTTGAGGTCTAAAAGGTTCATTTTGTAGCTTTAATGGACCTATAGTTTTTTTAAACACATTTTATGCCATACCTCATGTTCCATGCTATAAATTTTTTAAGCTAATAATGATATGAAGTATACTGACCTCTTTAATCCTTCATCTTAATTTAGTAAGTTAAGATATTGTTTAGTTAAGTCAAAACATCACAGTTGACTTTTGTCTATACCTAAAGAACACATTGATAGTGTCACAAGTCAACCGATCCATCAAGAAATTCACTTTAGAATGCAATCTATATCTTACTGTCAACATTTCTATCTCATGAGCCCTTCCTCCATGGAAAGCATTAGCTTACATTTAATTGACTCAAGCATCAAAGTCAAACATTACCCAGTTACAAGATGCATGCCCCAACCATGCTTCAAAGAATCTCTCCCCAATGAATCAGGTCCTCAAGTTTGACTTTTTTTTTTCCTAAAAAAAGCTCTAGAAAAGTTTCAGGTTAGTCCTTCAGATAAATCAGCTCTTGGCACTATCCACTACCCATTTATATATATTAATTATTCAGTCCAACCCCTCTCTTTAATGGTCAACATGATTTAGTTTAATTGACTTGTGGATTAAGAAAGATTTAGTCAACCTCTCATGAGTAGAGATTGAAGAATGGTGAGGCCCGTTCATTGGCTCAATCATTATTTTTTATTTTCGGTAAATAATAACTATTTTATATTTATTTATGGTTATTGCCTCATTTACCTTGTGCAATGGGTATATTTTAAAATAAAATGATGATAGAGGTTTTAATGAGAAATATAGATTTCTTTGGATACCGCTGCAAAGGGGACCAATAACGAGCAGAACAACGCGAAGAACGAGAAAAATGACAAGTTTGCGAAATGTTTTTATAACATGTCTTGAAGGGCAATTAAAAACATAAAGGTGTAATGAAATACTTACAGATTTATAAGGGTTATTTATTAAATAACGCCTTAATGTTGCCCAGCATGCTGTTGCCACCACCCTCAACCGCTGTTCTCACCCATAATTCCATGGGGGGTCATCTGGCTCGCGCGTGCGTCTGCCATTAACTGTGGATGTAGTTAGGGGGTGGCAATAAATATAAAGGGTGTGAATATAGTCCCTTCCCTCTTCCTCACCACGGTTTTATCAGCCATGGCGGAGGGATCTTCGCCTCCATTCAATCTCAGAGAGAATCGGAGGAGGCATCACTGATCGAGGGAGAATTTGATCTCTCTCTCTAGATTTCAGCCGTAAGCAGGCTGTAAAGCTTGTTTATCCGTTGATGCTGCATTGTTCTTCGTTGTTTTGTTGGTCGGCGTCGATGGCTGCTTGGTTTCTGGACATTTTGCGGTGAGATCTAAGAAAGGGACGCTGGGGGGGGGAGCAGGTTGATGTGGGCTTTCATCTGCAAGACAGGGAGAGTTGGGGGAGTGAGCGGTGTCGTGTGTTTGATGCGCATTTCTCTGCCGGATTGGGAGTTCAGATGGGGTTGATAGCGTTGGGGGAGATGTGGAGCGGGGTAATGGAAGCGCCGGAGTCCCGGCATTTGGTGATGGCGGTGTACTTCGCTCTGGGATTCGTATTCTTGAGGTTCCTGCTCGACCTCTACGTCTATAAGGTTCGTATTTTGTTCCGCCTTAACTATTATAGTGAAACACAGATCAGGGGGAGGCATTAGCATACCCTTGTCAAGAGTTTTCTCGTTTCAATTTTCTTTTTCCGTCTCTTTTATCTCTAATGACGTGAGAAAGGTGAATGGCGTTCAGTTCGTAATTCCCGTATCTTAAGTTATCCTCTTCCTCATTGTTATGAATCATTTCTTAAATTGCGTTGGGGTGTGGGATTCTCATTGCGTGGACAGGAATTCAATCTCTTGAAATGTGTAACCTGTCGTTATTAATTTCCGACTGTTGGGTTGATTCCATTGCGATTGAATGAACACTTGGATTGTTTTGTTGACGGTCATATCTCTTGATGAATTCTTTCACGTTAGATTCACTGGTGACATTATGTTTCGTCCACATTCTCCAGTCATTATTTTACGTATCATCGAGCGAATGCCTCATCCTACTCTGTCTTATAATTATATGAGCAAAAGAGGTTCCACATTTTCCTCATTTTCAGATATAACTCCAGGATTGGCTTTTTTATTGTAATATGAGCAAAGACTTGGAGCACACTGCCCCCAGTTTCCTTCAAAACCTGAGATATACTATGAGTCAAGCTCCTGTTTACTTTTGGATGATGATTGCCTCATCAAACAATTTTCCTCCATCAAGGCACATATTTCAAATTTCGGCTGCTAAGCAGATGTAGTTCATTTTTCAAATCTTTTAAATTTAGAGAAACTTCGACCCAATGCCTTCATGTGTATATTCTGTCTTACCCCAAAATAAGCTCTGGTAATGACGGGCACTGATTCCCGGTCTCATAGGCTTGGCCTAATTAGACTGAACCTAGCTAGCGTCTAATCATGCTAATATATTTTTTTTTCTGAGGTCATTAGGCGTTAAAGCCCAGCTTAAAGTAGGATGGGCCCTACTGGCCAATGTACCAGGCTGGGCTCATGATATTCCTAACTTTCCTCAATACTAGTTCTGTGAACATTAGTCAATCTAATCCTTTCCCTATTGTGTACTGTCTTTATCAATTACACTGTTCTTTCCTTCCATAAAAGATTTATGTGGTTCATTTTTTATTCATTACATATCTTTTTTTTAACAGAGGATAGCCTTATGTCTGTTGAACATCAAAGCAAATTCGGTAAAGGCTGATGAGGGAAAACGTGCAAAAGTAGCCAAGTGCACAGAGTCAATGTGGAAATGGACATATTATGTCATTGTTCAATTATGGGTTCTTGCAATAATTTACCAGGAACCTTGGTCCCGTGATAGAAGACAGTACTTCACAGGATGGCCAAATCAAGAACTGACGTGAGTTCTGAGTTGTCTATGTTCTTTCTGTTTTATTCTTTTTATCTTTGATTCGCTAAGAAAGAATTGTGTTATTATGAGTGCATGCCTGAACCATGTGTTGAATATTTTCTGAATTTTATCACGAGGTCTTTTTGCCTTTTCATGTTCTTTCTCATCTAAGCTAGTTACTAAGTTTCTTTAATATCCGAAGGTTTGTTTAATCGCCAGAAAAATCGTGCTCTGTATATCATAATCACCCGATTTGATGCTGGTCCAATCCCTTAATAATATCTTTTAAATAGCTACCATATAGCAATGTTAATCTCATTATCTGCTGACGAACTGAACTGATGAGGTACACAATTTTCCTGTGAGCTATCTAGTTTTTAGTTGATATGATTGCAGTGGGACTTGGAGAATTTGAAAATTTATAAGTGTTGAAGACAAGAATATACGGAATCAGTCGTTTGTCATGATTACAAACAGTCAGCATTTGCTAAGTATCTTTGTCTATTGATCTTAGACCAGTGAAATCATCTGTTCCAATAAGGTAAAAAGGATGTGAATAATTTTATCTCTTGTGGTCGTGAACAAAAGGTGTCAAGCAAATAATTTATGGGTTATATGTGATAAGTTGTTTATCACGCTTATAAACAAAATGCCTTTTAATCTTTCACAAATGAGATAAAGTAATTGGTCTACCTAAACTTGCTCCAACGTTTTAATAAACTTCTATCTGAACAATTAAAGCATTTACATTACTGGAATAGTGAAGTGCTAGTAACGTCTCCTTGTGCAAGTCGAGTCGTTGGAAAGCATGTCCATGTCAACTGTGGACATTTAACTGAAAAATGGTTGCTTGATAAATTTGGGACAGCCTTGCCCATTATCGCTACCTGTGTGGCATAACGGTTTCTAGTTTCATGGGAAAAGAAGGCTCTCCTGTGAACCATTTAAATGTAGGAGCACATAACATGCATTCCATGTACTTAAGCCATGTAATCGAGGCATTGAGTATCCAGGACTTGGTATGGCTTTCATTTAGTTGACTATTTCTAGTACCCAAGTTTCTAAAATATTTCTCAAGCTGTAGTACCTGATTACTTTTGTTGGTTACTTATACTATCTGGATTTTCTGAAGTCTTGCTTAGGATTTAGTAGTGATGAGGAAGGGTTATAAGGTGGTTATTGATAGCTAGGATTGGCTTGAGTCACATTGCTGTTAAAATATACCTGCTAAGTTGAGCAGGAGCCGCTGTGAATGGGTAGAATTCAATCAGAATCAGATCAAGATGTAACATAATTCGATTCTTATGCCATTTCATTATGTTGGTTTTGTCATAGTTTTTTTTGTCCAATATCAACTGAATTGGGATGAGCAGCATCTGGTACATATTGGAATTAGCCCTTCTTCATTTAAGAGTCATCCAATTTTCACTTCCAATGGGTGCTTGGGGAGGTGATGAAGACCATTCATTTATTGGGATTAACCACTTGTTCAGTCTTATTGTGTGTAAGAATCTCAGATTTATGATTTCGTATAGTTTGCGCTGTCAAGCAATTTTCAGTTCCTATCTTCACTTGAACATTAAGTACTTGACAGCTAATTTATGTTGAATTCCTTTCACTTTTTCCTTCACAAAATGCCAACCAATTTTATTTCTTTGAGCTAGTTCTTCCCTGTTGTCATCACAACCAAGCATTATGTTTATAAGACTTGGTTTAATCCCAGAACTTCTATAAAATATAAGTTAATGAAAGTAGTCTGTGCCGCTGAAACGTGCAACACGCATAAGCATGAATATATAGGCTTTCAACCTAACATTGTGTAAGCAGATTTTTGCTCCCCACACATACAGCATGCATACCACCGAGCATCGTATCATATTTAAGTGTACAAAAAGCTTAAAATGAAAAAAAATTCGCCAACCATCAAGGAAAATAACGAAGGTTTTGGAAGCAGAGAAAGAAAACAGTCTGCAAGGAAAAAAAAGGTGTGAAAGGAGCTCTTTAGTTCGGTTAATAGATTTAGGTTTGAAACTTTTTTCAGGAGCAGTGAGATACAACAGCTATTAGCTATCTTCAATTAATGGTCAGTCGAGTGTGATCATCTTTCATTTATGTAAAATACAATTGACGTCAGGTAAACTAGTTCGAAACTCATTTAGGTTTTCCTTATTCTACACGAAGCGAATGCTCATATTATGTTTATCCCACATCCAAAAAATCGAAAACTGTGCTATCTCTTATGAGCTTTACCCAAAGAATGTCATGTTGGGTTTTTTTCTAGCGTATACATCCATAAGAATGAATACTTTTTGTAGATATTTAGTACTTAGATATCATATATCTAGGCTACAAATGAGATAAGCTGTCCACATTTCTACGGGAAGTTTTATAAGCCGAGCAGGTATGCCCTGGAGAGATATACATGGAGGCCATAATCAAAGGTCCCAAAGCAAGGGTAGCTTAAATACAGCTGTTTAAAAAAGAAAAAGTGCTGTGATAATGGCCGTTATTCCTGGTAAATGTATGACGAATCCAGAAGTGAACTTACACAGTAGGTCAAACGAATGTTATGAATATTGTCCAAGAGTTTATTCCGTGATGCAACAAATGTATATCACAGTCACTGGATTTTTTTTATTTGATGATGGAATCGTTTTTATTTGATGTAAACTTACATACGAACGATGCATGTTAAAAAATCTGTAATCAAGAGCAGTAATTGTTTATTCTTCTAACAAATCAGTACCACAGTGGGATTACTCTGTCACCATTCCAAACTGGGACAACTCTTTTCCGGATTAAAACGTTGTGTCATATCTTAGTTAGGCGTCCAGTTACTGTACGGCTATCTTGTGTGAGGTTTTGTGTTATTCTTCCTAGGTTTGCAATTATTTTGTTTTGTTGTTCCATTTCCTGAATCAGCGCTCATCACAGATGGCCAGTGAAATTCAGAGTATAAACTATCTCATTGCTTAGTTTTGCTGAATACTATACATTCTCTCTTCACACCATAATTTTTCTTCTGTGATTTCTTCTGTGATTTCTTCTGTGAAGTTTGTGACTGCAGATATCGTAGAGATTTGTTTTTGATAATTGTTCATGGATCATTACGCCGATGGTGTTGTTCCCGTTTTCTAGTAATGTCCTGAAGTTGGACTGAACTTGTCTGTATTCTAGGTTTCTGGTGAAGCTTTTCTACATGTGCCAGTGTGGATTTTATATCTACAGCATTGCTGCTCTTCTTACATGGGAGACTCGGAGGAAGGATTTTTCCATAATGATGTCTCATCACATAGTAACTACTGTGTTGATTGGATACTCTTACTTTTCCGGGTAATCAGCGTGTTACTTTATTGCCCCCTCCTTTTTTTTTGTTATATTATGCTTTAAAAAAATCAGCATTGATTTTCCTTATGAGTTGTGCCTTCTGATAAATTATGATTTGATCTCTCTGAAGAAACTCTTTAAATCCAATGACTGCGAAGGCCCATCAATATCTAACTAGATCTCAATCTGAACAAACTAGTTCTACTGTCATAACACAGATAACCATTAGGGCATACGTGGAACCTTTAAGATATTTTCCCCCCGAATTTCTTATGTTTTATGCATAAGTATCAAAATGCATATATAGATATATATTTACATATTAGGCGCGCTGACTATTTTCACTGTGGAACATGAACGGCAAAAGGATTGAACGAGCATAAACATGACACGTAAGTTTCTTGCTTTCTGGAGAATAAGATCATGAGAGAAAAATCTAGGCATGGATGGGAGAGTGATTTGCAAAAGTTTATAAATCACACCAGAATTATTTTATGTAAAAGAAAAAACGATAATTTAATAAATTTATTTGATCAATGTAATGTTTGCCTCCCACAATTGGGAAAAGATGTTTTAGAAGGTCCTAATATACAGTAGAACCCTTTTCTTTATCTTTTGTAGAAGAAATTCTTTATCAATGGTGGAAAATTTTCCGAGACCTGATAATTTACCATATCGTTGCCCTTTTTTTTCTTTTTTTTTTTTTCTGTGAACAGCTTCCTATACAGTCCCTTTCTTGAGCTATTTATATGATAATTTGATTGGTGCTCTAAAAGATTCTTCAAACTCCATGAGCTCCATCAGATCATTCTTTGAGAAACTATGCATTAAATTTTAATATCATGAACAAAAAGTCAATACAGTTGACTATTTATGATTATCTTTTGCAGTGCTTTCCTTCATCAAATTGGTCAAAAAGTTTCCAGAGTATTTCTCACAGTAACACAGTTCTGCATCCAAACTCACCAGTTATTGGTTTAACATGAAAAACCATTGATTTTACTCGAAAGATTAAAAAGCCCGCATTCATCTCTGAGAAAAATGTGCAGATTGGAATCAGCTTTACCCCCCAAGTCAGAGTCAAACCATTTCTAATCCGGCAGTGAAAAAATCATGCAGGTTCTTCCGCATTGGGTGCATCGTTCTAGCCCTGCACGACACAAGCGACGTCTTTCTCGAAGCAGCCAAGCTCTTCAAGTACTCGGAGAGTGAGATTGGGGCCAGCATCTGCTTCGGCCTCTTTGCCCTCTCTTGGGTTCTCCTGCGGCTCATATTCTTTCCTTTTTGGATAATAAGGACCTCCAGGTCCGTACTCCCTTCTTCCTTCCCCCCCCTCCCTCTCAGCCTCTCAGTCCACCGACACACACCACTCCCGCTTACTATTTTTGGTGAAAACCTTGCCTTGCAGCATCTACTTCCTCGAGCACTTGGCGAGGTCAAAGGCCTACGTCTTCTTGTACTATACGTTCAACACCATGCTCCTCACGCTGCTCATCTTTCACATATACTGGTGGGTTCTCATAAACTCGATGATTATGAGACAGCTCAAGAACCGAGGGAAGGTTGGGGAAGACGTCCGCTCTGGTAACTGACTTCACTCACTAGAAGCTGCTTTAAAATCACATTTTTTAAAATGAGGAATAAATAATCTTGTGGTTGCACATTCTCTGTTTTTTTTTTTTTTTTTTTTCCGAAATCTTTGCCAAAGTTCAAGAAGGCAGGATTATATATATATATATATATATATATAATTATTAGTACAAGTTTGAGAGTAAATCTTGGGATTTTCTGTGCTTTTTTTTTTTCTTTCCATTTTTTTCCAGGGTGGATTTTAAGTTTAACGTGTTTCTTGTTAGATTTTTAGAGTAAATTACGGCAAAATCCTGATGTGGGGCCCATCTTAGAAAGAACATTGCACGGTGTCCCCTGTAGAAGTCAAAGTAGCTGAATCCGACTTTTTTTTGGGGGGGCCCGCAGAAGGCTCTTTGACTCCAGAGTGGTTGACTATTGCATAACTTTTTCCAGAGCGCACCATAATTCCTATTTCTGGGAAGGACCCAGATTAGGCTGCATAATTTGGGTCCAATCTCTTAGGATTCATAATCCGGATTGAGATTATTATGAACTCACCTGTTGTCAACGCGTTGACCGAGTGGGTGCTGCTGCTCCTACTGACAAGCCTCCTCCGATTGCAGATTCTGAAGACGGAGACTGAAGCAAGGCCGTTCGTGGGTATGTTGATTAATCAGTTATGATCATCGATGGATGACGATCATTCAACGGCCAGGTGATCTGCGAGATCTAAATACTTTAGGGGTCAGATTATTATTATTATTATTATTAATTATTAATTATGGAGTTCTGTTGTTATCGATTTATCTTGGGTTCTTGTAACTTAGGCCTTGTATTTTTATTTTATTTTAAAATATTTCCTAATCAATAACACCCCTGCCAGATTGATGGGCTTGCTCACTTTGTAGATGGCGAATTTTTCCATGTGTGAAAGTCAACTTAGTTTCTAGTGTGAGAGAGAGAGTACATGGGTTATTTCTGCAATCTCTCTACGCTATTTTTTTCGGGCATCACCTATGGACTCTCTCTCTCTCTTTCTCTATCTCTATCTCTATCTCTATCTCACTCTCTCTCTCAGAGGGAGTTGACTCTGCAATCTCTCTCTATGCTATTTTTTTCAGAAATCACCTATGGATTCTCTCTCACTCACTCTCTCAGAGGGAGTTGACTCTGCAATCTCTCTCTATGATTTTTTTCAGAAATCACCTATGGATTCTCTCTCACTCACTCTCTCAGTTGACTCTGCAATCTCTCTATGTTATTTTTTGCCATCCAAAGGAAGAAGATAATTTCACACACCTGTACGATGGTATTCAATAAATCCTATGACGGGACTCATCAAAAGTCAGCCTGAGAATCATCATCAGCTACTAACAATTAAACAAAAAAATAAATGATGAAGAGGATCGACCTCTGCGGCAGTCAATCCGTTTCAATGGTCAACGACTTCGCGGACCAGATTCATCAAGGGCCGAGTGCATGCCACCTGGCCACACCGATCTTACATTACTTGCTCTATTTCGAGATAATACGATCCGTTTTATTATTAATTTCTTTTTCCAACTATTTTTCCATAAATATATATGCCCAGAAAATGGGCATTAATCGAGGATCAGCTCAGGGTCTCATAATTACATCCAACCAAGAACAATTCTTTTTCTAGAAAAGAAAAAAAAATCATCCGCGAGCTAAGAAAAATGCAAATAAAAAATAAAAACAGGGAAAAGAAAACCAAAAGTTATGATATGCATCAACGATGAGGAACCCATTAATAATAATACTAATAATAATAATAATAATAATAATAATAGAATAAAAATGACAGGAAAATTTGAGAGGAGACGAAGAGTTGTACAACACCACCAACACCTCTCCTTCTCCAAGAACGTCCACCCCTCCCCACCCACCCACCCTAGAAAGAAGGAAAAAGGGGGAAAGAAAGACACCCAAAAATGGAAAAAAACCCTGGAATAGACAAACCTACCATCACACCAACCACAAATGAGGCTTCACTCCCTGTTTCTCCAGGTTTTGTCCCCAGATGAATCATAACTCTCAGACTCAACAACCCTGATCCAAAAAAGGTAGCCATGAAGGAACCGCTGCAGGCTGACCGATCTTTCCACGGACGGCGTCACAGGCAAACTCAGCCGCCGCCGCCGGTCTTCCCTTGCCGGAAGCGATCCACTAGCAGGCCCCAACGGCATCAACTCGAGGCAGTGGGGCCGCCGGAGGCAGGCTTGGCCACATAGATCTGCTTCACCTTGGCGGGGATGAAGCTCTTCTCAGTCCCTGACGGCTGGTTCTTCCCTTGGTGGAGCCCCTGCCGCCGGTACCACTCCCCTCCAGAGCCCACCTTCTGGGAAGGCAGGCCGCTAACCTTTTGATCTCCATAGCCAATTCCCTGGATGTACTGCTGTGCCGCCAGCGGCGGCGGCAGAGGCTGAAAAGCTTGAGGTTTCATGGTGGATCCCACATTGCCGGCCGCCGAATCCCTCGCTAAGCTCCGTTGGCCCCCTGGCCCCTTCCCATTGTTCCTGGATGGAGGAGCGTAAGTACCATGGTGGCTCACCTGGCTGGAGCTGCCGATTGTCTGGGGGGTCTCCACCAAGCCCAGCTCGTCTGGGAACCGGGGGTCAGCAGCGGCGGCGGCGGCGGCGGCGACAGCAGCAGAGAAATTCATGGATTGGTCCATCGGCCTGGAGGAGCGGGGCTCATGGGAGAAGCGGCCGTCGGCAGCCGACAGGTTCGGAGGCATGCCATGGCTGAATTGTGCGGCAGCTGCCTGGTCCACTGGGTACTGCTGCAGCGGCACTGACAAGGGGACGGAATGGAGCGGTGGCGCAGGTAAGTGGGACCAGCGGGCCTGGACGGGCATGTCGGCGGATGGCTGCAAGAACAATTCAGTCGGCCACCCATCAATGCAATTGTTGGCGATTACCGATATTGGAAGTGGGAGGGATCTGAGTGATGCTATAAAAAGAAACCATAATCAGGAGGAAGGGAAACTCAAGAGTCCGATGATATATATTTTATTTTTTAAAAAAGAAAAGCTTTTGTGAGGAATCACAACTCAAGATATGATGGAAAACTGTAAGAAGGAGAGGACACAGTTCAAGAAAATAAGGGAAACCTTGAATTAGGGCAGAGAACGATTCGTAGTTGGACAAAAATTGCTGATATGAAAACCCTAATCAGGGGAGAACACGATCCAAATGTGTGATAAGTCAAACCCCACCCTACCCTCTTGGAGAAATCACTAGTAGAAACCCTAATCAAGCAAAAAAACCCAATTCAATTATGATAAAACCTATCTTCTAAACTTAATATCCAACGTATAATCACAAACCCTAACCAGGTGACAACGGAATTCCACGAATAATCAAAAAAAAAACACACAAGAGAAAGCATAGGTGAAATCCCAACTTAAGTTAGAAAGAGTGCATGGTCTGCATCTACAAGCCATCCACAACAGTGGGGCAAGTCCAGAGCAAGAATCAACAAGCCATACCTGGAAGGGTGACATGTCAAACATGGTCAATGGGGAACCCATCGGCATAAGAGGAGAGCCAGGGGTCAGATGCTGGATTGGAGATGCCATGCCAGGAGCTCCTACCCTCTGACCAGAAGAAACTCCATTGATATTGCCGGCAATGCCTTCACTGACGCTGGCATTACCTGCAGCTGAATTGTGCTTCCAGTCGGGCTGTTTCCCAGAGGGGATATATGTGGCCCCCATGAACCCTAGGCCAAGTTGCCCAAACTGTCCAACTGGGGTGAAGTGGTTGTAGACGACCATGTGAGGAGGGCCCTGCACACCCGGGATGCCCACGGGAGGGCTGATGAAGGGGCCCGTGAAGCCTGCTGGAGGCCCGTAGAAGGAATCCACCCCAGAATGGCAAGCAGGCCATGCACTGAGGGCGGCGGTGCTTCTCTGCAGCTGGGTCTGCGTTCCAGCCGATTCATCATTGGGCCCAAAGGCAAAGATCGGCCCTCCAATGATTGGGTTCATCTCAAAACAAGGGAAATGGGATGGCGGCGCCCCGGGGAAGCAGGATATCATCGGGCCCGAAGAGCTCTGCGGGCTCGGAAGAGGGGGCCACAGAGAGAGCGCCGGAGTCTCCACTGAAAGATCTGCAGGCAGTGCGACAGTCAGCGACTCTTCGGCAGCTGATCGGCTGCCACCTGCCTCATGACTCCCTGTCGACACAACGGAACAGTTAGATTTGATCCATGAAGATGATGAACTAGAACAAAATAAATCTCACGCCTTCGTGGGGTGAAGAACCTTCAAAGTTCTGTGCGTGAGAGACAGCAGCATGGGCACCCAAGCCGTTTCCGACAACTTCATCACTGCTAATGGCGGCAACAGCAACAGCTGAGGCGGCGGCTTCAGCTTCAGCTTCAGCCTCAGGGTCATCTAGGTGAATGGAAGGCTCATCACAACGCTTCTCTTTCTCGAAAAACATGGCAGACTCCTTGTCAGGAGCAGACATGCGAGAGACAGCTCGGCTGACGGGAGGGAGAATCGTGGGAGATGTGACGGCACCTAAATTTGATGGAATTTACTGGGTCAATAACAAAAATAGGATCTGATGGTATGATGAGCACATGATCTGAATTTTTTTTAATTGGGTATATTGCTCACCGAATTGAATTCTTTCCCCGGGAAAAACAGAACTGAGAGAGCTGGCCGAGGAAGAATATGTCTTGTCCTGTGGTTTAGTTGATGTCGATAGCTTCTCCGGCTCAATGACAATGCCATGGTGATCACCAATAGAGGTGACATGCCCATCGAAACGCGATGGTTTCATAGCCTCATCAACTTGACTATGAGTTAAGGTCATCACGTTGACCTGAAGAAAGAAAACAGAAATAAGTCAAATGAGGGGAAAATTCAAAAAAAAAAAGGAAAGAAAAACAATTAACTTGCCAATGCATTTATCTTGCAGATACCTCACCGCACAGTGAGTGAAATGTGAATCACAATGACAGGAATATTATTCAAAAGCAACAATGGCACATGAAACCATAAAGATAACATATTTTATTACTGGTTTTGATACTGGTTTTTTCTTCTTTACTTACAAATCCAACTCGACATATTTCATTTTGCATCCTCATGTACACAACAGGACCTAACATATAATTCCGAACTGTGATCCAATGAAGCATAGTTAACTTCGATTTTACTTTGTTGGACCTCCAATTCCAGCCAGGTAACCTACAGTCATATGGAGCCATCCCTGTTGATAGCTCGTGTGCTGACTGCTGGACCTAAATATCTGAATTGGTCTCTTTTGAGAAAATATTTGCTCGTCTACCTGAATCACATACTAATCTCCCAACATTTTCCAACTAGATTGACACCTGTGAGTAGTCCAATGTTGTAGTAATCTTAGAGCATCATATTACAAAGCATTCTTCCGTAGTTCTAAAATACACTATGCTATATTAGAGTCACTTAGCAAATATAGGAATATTTTATACTACGAGCATTGTCTGTTCTGCTCCATTCGTCAGATATCATCCTTGAAATCATCAGAATATCTCAGAATCAACGCACAGAACCAACATTCTTTAAATGTTTGTACATGTAATTAAAATCAGCATCTCTTTTTGCCTCTCAATTGGTCTTCTCAATGCTATACAGAGCATGGCATCTCATCATGAACCTATCACAATGTGTTTGAAAAAAGGTCTCGTGAAGGTGTTTTGGGGGAGAGTTTCCACGAGGCATTAATGAATATTGACAACATGAAGTCAAAGTGTTCAAATGCAATTACAACTAAAACCCTGTACATTAAATATTCGTCAGCAATCATAAAGTGGATAAACATTGGCTTCACTATTATCAACCATATAGCACACAAATTAAATTTTAACTGATATGACAGCCACAAAATTGACCTCTTGTAACAAAATGGGTGCCTGCTGGTTCATGTGTGCATTGTTCCATGGACCTAGAGATGTAGGAATATCATCAATGGTCATATTGTTCTCAAATGACAAGCCTGATGTAAGTTTGCTTCCTCGAGAATCAAAGGCAGGCGCTGGGGCAGACTGTGTAGTCCTACAAAAGTTTACGAAGTCCATAAGAGAGAGAATCACTAAAAAATTGCAATACAAACCATAACGGAAAGTCGCCCTACTTTGTGCTGCGGGATCTAATATCAGCATCCGTGCTGACTGCAGGAGTGCCAATTGGAGCAAGAGGCTGGGATGTCCCATGGGCTGTAGAGACAGCTGATATTTCACGATCAACAAAATCTGTAGCATTAGTGGCAGGTGAAACAGGGCCAGCACCTCTTGCCACAACTCCCGAAGATAATCCAGTCTTATTTGAATAAGACAGAGTATGGTTAGTTTGAGCAACAGGACGAGGTTTCCGGGTCATCTGTCAAAAGCAAGGTGTAATCAAATGATCCAGGAAAGACAGTACACTATTAATTGAGAAAAGTTTAAAATTATTAATAAACTTTTGTTACAGCTAGTAATACCTTCACGGGTTTAGATTTTGCCTTATTTTGCTTTTCCCTCTGTTCTCGTCGATCATTTAACATCTGCCTTTTAGATCTCACCTCTATGAAGTCGTCTTCGTCACTAGGAATTTCAATTCCAGGTTGCTTGAAAATACGAATGATTCCACTCTGTAAAGGAGAATCAATATCCTCCTCAAGACTTACACTTCTTTTCAGGCTACCATTTGCAGGCTGTAAACCATCTACAATAGAAATATTTCTCCTAGAAGATAGTTCTTTGCTCAAAGTTTTAACCGTCCTGCCCTCGGAGACAGCACGTGAACCAGAGGAACCAGAGATTGGTTTCCCTGAATCAGCCATGGTTTTGTTTGGCTTGTTCACAAATGTATCCCTCTTCAATCCACCTTTCAACGGAATCGTTGCTCTCCCATTAAAAGTTGGCTTCTCATTTTGCACAGTGAAATTACCTGACTCCAGTGCTTCGATTTGCCTTCTCCCACCCTCCCTTGCTCTTAAGTCAGACCGACGAATATTTCGCAGGGACTTTCTCTGAGAATCATTGGACTCTGGAGGAAAGTATTCAGGTGCTGGAAGCAATGATCTTGAACTAGAATTCTTGACCTTATAAACATATCTTCTTCCTCTGCCACCAGAAGTATTCAGAAACCGTGCACCCTTTGAAACGTTTTCCTCAGAAAACAACCGAAATGAGGCGTGTCGACCTTGCATTTGCCTCTGTGATTCTGTATTGTTAACCGGAACTTGCTGATCCTTTACAGAGGAGACGTCTTGACTGCCCATTTGCTCCGTTTGGGAAACCAATTCATGGTTATTTTGGCTCTCTCGAAAAGTAGAGTTTTCTACTGGGCCTTCTTCGTTCCTTGAAATATCAGAAGAGCCTGTCAGCTCCGCAGCAGGTATCTTTTCTCGAAGATTATCGTAAATAGATGATGCAAGGCTTGGTTGATTATTTGTCTGGCCTGATGTCCTATCATCTTTTGACTGGACATTCTGAACAGAAGAATCTTGAGCCATTTGGTTGTGTAATGAGCCACCACGACTCTGGGTCAAAGAATAGTGGGTTGGAAGAGTTGGATGAACAAAGGGCATACCCTGAGGAGCTAACGGCAGCAAACCCTGGGGAATCGAAGGGTACCTCATTTGCCCAAACTGAAAGAAGGTAGATTGCGGAGAGTGCACTTGAGCAAGAGAAGGGGCAACTGGAGGATGCAGATGGAGTGGCATCTGAATGGAACCAATCTGAATGGCGGGAACTGGAGGTGGTATCAAGGAAGGACCGGAAAAGAGGCCGAACTGAAGTTTCAAAGGTACTTCAGTCGGCGGAGGAAGGGTGGAAACAGAGGATATACCAGGCTGAGCTGATGATGGGGGCAATGATGACTTGAATGAAGATATTGTGGGAGTATTTTCCACTGAATAGCCAACCGATGTCAAATGCTCAACACCCAGATCATTCATAACTTTCTCTGCGTCAGCCATGTTTTTTGAAGAGCTTTCCCTGACTTCTGCAAGTGCATTCAATGCTTGAACATGCGTTTCATGGTGACCAATCAGTTCATGCGTTTCAGGCTGTCTTCCTGTTTCCTTCTTAGATGTTCCAGCAGACTCAATTTCATTACTACTAGGAATTTTAACTTCAAGATCCTCATCATAACTTATGGTGAGCTGGTCAATGTGGTCAGTTGCGCTCTGGATATCTGCATGAAGCTTCCCATACTCCTCAACAAGGACAAGATTTTCATCATCACCATCATGGGCTTCATCTTCTTCATGGTAACCAATATCCTCATCATACTCTTCTTGGTCCTCCATTGCCCGACCATTTTCTATTTCCCATTCATCTTCCCCAAGTGATATGGAACTTGGACTCATCTTCAATGTTGCCACTCCAGCCTCTATTTCTGTCGCAGCATGTTCACCATCAGAGAAAGCAAGTCGTTCCCCATGAGCAGAAGCAGGCATTGATGGAGAATCTCCAGAGTCATCCAAATCATCATGTGAAAGATGTGTAGGTGAACTAGGAGGGCTCGTCACCGAAAGAGAAGATTGTGAGGCACACCTTGGGCTGGTTTTCTCATTTTTCTCCAGAGAAATTTCCAATTCCTCTGATGGGATAGTAGTAACAGGCTGCTGGACTTGATCTCGATTTTGATTTCCATATCCGATCTGCATAATTTCATCATCACCTTCTCGACTTTGATATTTGGCCTCACTTTTAGGTACAGCCGATGAGCTGGGATGCTCAGGAGCAACTCTAAAGGGGCGCCTCTGCGTTGATGAAAATGGAGGCGGGAGAACTCGAGGCTGTCGCAAGGAATATCTGGACCTTCCAAAGGAGGAAACTCCATCAACATCAGCATTCTGAAATGTAGAATAAGCAGAGTGAAGGCCATCAGAAGAACGGTTCTGTCTCCAGCCCACATCACCATCATTATCAAGAAACTCAGCATCCATATCAGAGATTTTGTTGAAATGATCACCAGTCTCAGAAGTGATGTTCCACCTATAGTCTCTTGAATGGCGAGAATCATCCAGAAGATTTACATTTTCAGATATTCCTCCTTTCGAAGATGGCCTGGCAGACACAGAGCTAGGACTACCAGAGAACTCTTTTCTAGGAAATGCTTTTCCGGCACCGAATGCATCTCGTTGCAGATTTCGGAATCCACTGTCTTGGTCATGGGTGGAAATTGTTGAACTATTCATATTAGCATCCTTTCTCCAGGGGTTGCTGAGTTTGCCTTTTTCCTTGAAGGATGGATTCCCATCTCTAGATAATTGAGTTCTAGAACCTGGCTCAAAAAGTCTATTTATATTAGCCGAATCTGAAGTCCCAGCATTGTTTTCTTCTAACCTCTCACCATCTTCCGAAACTCCAACATCAGCCACCCATCGTGCATCCTTGTCATTCTTTTCCTTCACCATGCGGGGCATTCCTTCATCACTAGACACGGAAGGATTTCTGTCATCTTTCACAGTTGTTTCAGCCTGCCTCTTTGCAATTCGTGCTTCCAGCTCTAGAAGCTTTTCACGTGCTGCCTCTTTCCTCCTTTCCTCCTCCATTAGAATCCTCCTCTTTTCCTCTTCTCTTGCAATTTTTTGCTCTTCAGCTTTCCTAGATGCCTCCAATCTCTCCTGCTCTGCCCTCCATGCAGCTTCTCTTGCTTCTTCTTCAAGTTTTCTTCTCTGTTCTTCTTCCTCTCTGGCAAATCTCTCTCTCTCTTCCTCTTCCTTCCGAGCTAGCTCCAAGGCTCTGGTTTGTTCTTCAAGCACCCGCTGCCGCTCCATCTCTTGCAACTGCTGTACTCTTTGAAGCTCGGCTTCGAAAGATTCTCGAACAGGATCATGGAAATCAACCTGTTTCGTAGCATCTTTCTTCCTCTTAAATATTTTCATATTTATGTCCCCAGATAAGCCTCCCAAGAAAGGACCACTGCTGTCAAAGATAGCATCATCCGAATAAGGCTTACTGCTGTTTGAGAAGCTCCGTCTGTCACGAGCAAAATTCATAACCGGATCGTTTGTAGGATGTACTTTATTACCAGAAGAGAACGGCGTTCTAGAAGCAGGGATGTTCTGTAAGACATTTCCCCTGTTTCGATTAACGTGAATATCACTGTAGCGGTCAGCCATCTTCTGATCACCATCCCTTCCACTCAGTGGCTCGGCTCCAGTTCTTCCAGTCTGAGAATTATGTCCAGCGCCCATTTCTCTTCTGTTAAGCCAAGAATCTTGATAACCATTCTCCTGGTGAGGAGATTGCCCGTACTTAGTGGCTTCCTTGCTCATTTCTCTGTTAACACCAACAGTTCTGCTGCCGATCCCACCTCTGTCAGACACAGGTTCTCGAGGGGCGAGTCCTTCTCTGGAATGGGGGAAAGTTCTCCACGAGCTCGCATCTCGCCCATCCCTGTTCGGTGCAGCTGAGTCTCTGCCATATGAGTCTCCTCTAAAGAGCTCCCTAGAAGGTGCAAATACACGCTCAGAGTGCCTTGGCCCTTGCCCCTCCAAGACAACATCAAAATGCCCAGGTTCAGCTCTTGGGAATCCCCGTTCTCTATCCCTTTCTGGGATCCCAAGGCCTGTATCACGTTCATCATCAGCCCAATCAGATGTGCGGGTCATATGCACCAGTGGAAGAGAGAGTGGCCCAGGCAAGCCTCGCTTTTGAGAGCTCTCCTGCCCAGTCGAAGGGCGTCCAGTCCCCACATCAGAGTTCGATCCTTTATAATCATTGAACCGGGAAGCCTGTATTTGGGGGCGCCCGTACAGAGGAGACCGTATGCTGGATTTCCCCGCTTGCAAATCAACTGGCTCCTCGCTTTCCACCTTCTGCTTCAGCTTCTGACTCGTCCCATCCTTTCGCTTCTTGGAAGCCTCAAAGGTGGCTAATAGAGAAGGGAAATCCTCACCTCTGAGGGCCAGAGCACTCTCTGCTGTCGGGGGTTCTCGGGCAGCAGCAGAAAGCGGATGCCCACCTGACTGTGAGCTCGGGGTCACATAAATGGCCTGCACAGCCTGATTACCAGCACCTGATTTCCCAAGATGATCCCTGTCCGCAGCAGCACCGTCCTCATGGAGGGCCGATGGAGGTTGCACTGATGTCCTCGTCCAGCCCATGGCCTGTGCCCCATGGCCCTGTCCCAGCCCAGTGCTCCCACTTCCTGCAGACCGACCAGTGGCAGCCGACAGATCAAAGCGTTCGTGCTCCTTCCTCAACGAGGGCAGATTCAAGGGGGGCGGAACAGAAAGCCGCGGGCCGCCCTTCTGTCCAGTGGAAACAGAGCTCCGAGGTCGAGACAGCACCACCATGCCTCCCCCTCCACCGCCTCCGCTCCTCGGGCGGGGGGCATTTCCATAAGAATTAGATGGCGAGCTCGCATATCCAGAGGATGATGAAGGACGACCATAGGACTTGTTCAGGTTGACGGAAACAAACTTCCCCTGGCTGGCCATGGACGACCCCGGGCGAAGGAGGTAGCCCTGGAAGCAACACCGGCGATGGATCTCCAACACAGCATATGAGAACTCAAACCCTAGCACCTCAGGCCACCCGTCCTCCTCCTCCAACCTCTCCTCCCCTCCCTGTACAACACAGACACCAAAACAAAGAACCACAAAAAGCGATCAGAACCGGCGATCCAGGATCAACAATCCCCCACCAGAGGAGATGCAATTCACGCGAACAGCAAGGAAACAGCACACGCCGGAGGAGGAACGGGAGCAAAGAGTGGTAGGGTTTCCATCGCTCCGCCACCGGCCCCTGCCTCCGAGGGTTTGCGACAGAAATCAAACCACCAGATGGGAAAACGACGACAGATGCGCCTTCCTCTTACCTCTCTCTCTCTCTCTACCCGGCGGCGCAGGCCCGCGGCAGAGCACCACCGGAATCCGGCGGCGAGATTGGAAAATGCCCTAGCGAGAGAGAGAGAGAGAAGAGAGAAGAGAGAGAGGCGCTTCCTCTCTTCTTCTCTAACCGGTCTCAGCTTTCCCACCAATTGCCGACTCAGACTGAACGAACCTATCCGGTAAGTATACCGCGCAAATTACCATCTTACTTCCTCCCCTTGGGTAAAAAAAAGAGAAAAAAGCCACGTCATTGGCCGAAAGGCGTGCCGCACGTGTTCAAAAATCCTTCAACCGCAGTTCAGGATCCAGCCCCCATCTTCCACTCGGAAGAAGCCACGTCATTTTGGGGTCCACAGCATTCCAATTATCATCAGTGCCAACGATAAACCCTAAATTAGAGTTAGAATCAATGACGTCATATTTGTATCACTAATTTAGGAATTGGGAATTAAATAATCGCATAAATAAATTTACTTTTTATATGATTAAAACATTAAATTCTAAGATGGGATCAGCATCCTGCTATAGTCACGACATCAAAATCCATTAAAAACCCAAGATATTTTTTGGGGTGTCATTATTTAGGATTTATATTATCACAAAATTATTACTCTTATACTTATAATTTACATTTTTAAAAATATATATACAACTAAAAGAGGTAATTATTTGACTAATTAAAATGCTGATCACAAAATTACAACCATAAAAATAATACACCCTGAACACTATGGATAATTAATCCACCATAACAACAAGGGTAAGGTTTGGAGATGAACATTTAGAATTATGTCCTCATTTAATCGTATTATTCATAATAATAGCCTATATATTAAAATCAATGCAAAAAATGAGATATAAATAATTAGATGAGGAGAGAAGTTATATTAATTATTTATGATTTTAAAATGGTGCTCAACCATAATTTCTCCATCTAAAATCACATCCAACTCTAGACTCAAGGTTAACCCGGTCTCAATCATAGGCTCAAGACTCTCTCTCTCTCTCTCTCTCTCTCTCTCTCTATCAATCTCATCACACACACACACTTAAGTTAAATAAGGTAAACTTAGGTTTCTAATAGCAGGAGACATCCAAATTTACTACACTAGGGGGTTAAAAATGAAGGCCCCAATTTACGCATTATTCCATCACCATAAGCATGGCAGAAAACATTTAGCACGTGTTTAATTAAGCTAAAGTGGGTCCCAGCCGACAAGTGGGCCCAGGCCCGTAAAAGGCTGAGAGTTGGGCTTCGGGCCTGGGCCTTTTGAAACCGTGGGGAGGGTCAGGCCCGATTTCAGCCCCGGAAAAATATGTTAGTATGGAAAGGAGAGTGAAAGCCGATGACTCCTCGATAGTCCACACCCAATCAGATCTCAGGTGGGCCCGGGCCCCCAAAAAAAGGGCCTGGCCTTCTTACTTACCCAGTCAATTGACTTATCTGATAATTGGTGTGTCGATGGGGAAGACCGAACCCTCCTGAGATAAAAAGTTGACTTTTTGATGAGAGAGAGAGAGAGAGTGTGAGTGGATCTAAAGATAAAAAAGTATTGAGGAGAAGCTAGAGAGAGGAAGTTAGAAAAAACAGGAGATGAAGGAACCCGGTGGCCTCAAAATGGTTCTCTCTATCTCTCTCTACATTTACAGAGGCAAACAGGGAAGAAGGAAGAAAGATGCCACAAGATGGGAGAGCAGCTACTTCACACGCAGAAGATGTTCTTCAACCAGAGGCGGCTTTTCTTGCCGCATAGACTCTGTAAGCAGCCAATCCCACAAACACCGCAGCCGCACCAACTGATGAGAGAGAAGCCAATAGTTTGATCAGAAAATGGGATTAGTAGATTCAAAGAAATACGCGATTTCTGTCCACGTTTATCGATATATATAGATAAATAACATATATATATATATCTAGAGAGAGAGAGAGAGAGAGAGAGAGAGAGAAGCAGAAACACTACTAAAATCGGAATAGAGTATGCGATGAATATGCATATGAAGGGGAACCGACTATAGCGATTGAGTTGAAGAATCACTAACTAAATAAGAAATCATGGTTGATTTTGAACCAGCAAAAAAATAAAATTCAGTCTATATTTGTAAACAAATATATCCAGTCAATACATTGCGAGAGAGAGAGAGAGAGAGAGAGAGAGAGAGGAGGGGGGGGGGGCAAATTATGCTAATGAAGAGGGAAAACAACTGTCTCTAGAGCTTAATGATCTGAATTAGAAGAATGATGGTAATCAGACTAAGAATCTACATCCATATAAATTTATAGGAAGGGGAGGGGGAGAGAGAGAGAGAGAAGCATGCCAGCATTTGCCTCAATGTACACAGAAACTTGGCAACAAAGCAAGGATACTCATATATGATCGACTTTTTCAATAAACTTAAACATTCCGGCTATAAAGTCAAACACGCACACGCATAATAATATATAAATATATCTGTGTATAAATGTGCATATATAAAGATAACTCATGTCAGCTGACATCTGTTCCACTGAGTACAGCAAAAAAATAAAGTCCATGCTTCATTGAAAATCATATGAAAACCAAAAGACTAACTAAAATAAGATATAAACAGCAAACAGAAAGGTATGAGAGAAACAAATTCAAGAGAGATGATGCTTTCCATATAAATCTGTTCATCTCTTCCTGTGATATCACACTTCCCACTTAGATGAAAGAGGAACTTCAATGGTTTGGCATGAATAGAGGGTACCCGGGAATTCATACATACAGAAATAGAGAGATGAATAGACAGGATGACACAAAAATAGAAGGAAGAAAGAATGCATAAAGAGAATCTATACATATATATATATATATATATATATATAGAGAGAGAGAGAGAGAGAGAGAGAGAGAGAGAGAAAGAGAGAGAGGAGGATTACCGGAAATAACCACAAGAGAGTTCTTGAAGATCTGCTGACACTGCTTGCGGTATTTTCCAGCCTCGGTCTCGGGAATGCTCAGATGGGGCTGCTGTGCGGCACTGATGATCCTTTGGAATACGTTATTGAAGTCTCCTAACTTTATACTGACAGGAATGGGAGTTTCTATCCCCATCTCCTGACTGAACTGCAGGAGCAATGGGTGAACAAAGAACAAGCACAACTCAATTACCTAATATCAATTCATATATATATATATATAGATGTATTGAAAGATGTGATTAGGGTGTTAAGAAGAAATAAAATAAAGCAAAGGAATGATGGGAGACCCGAAATTTTGTGCTCAATCATGCTTCACAATAATGTGTAGAAAATGAGAAAAGCTTCAATTATAATTACATAAGCAGTTGGATAGTAATCAATTCCTCGACTATCAGCATTTCCAATGGAGAATTGGATAGGAGAGTACAGGAATAAGAAAAGATGCGAACTGGGAAGATCACAGTTTAAAAACTGAAGTGCACAGGTGCAAGAATGTCTGATGACGAGAACGAGCTCTCCACATCCTATTAGAGAACTATTTATCATACTAAAAAGAAGTTTACCGATTGTTATCACTTAAAAGCAATGAATTTCACAGTACCCACGACCTGCGATTCTTATGAAGAAGAAAATTCAAAAGAACATCTGTCATTTTCGAATCGCAAAATAAATTAAAATAATCTAGAGAAAAATTTGAACAGTCAGGCAAAAACACGGTAAAAGACAAGCCACATTCGTCTTTCATGTCCTATTTATTAAACACAAGGGAAATGATGTTGATAGCAGTAAACAACAGCACATGATTAATCCAGAATTATATCTTCCTGTTCATCAACAAAAAATGCTGTAATGCACTATAATTTCAAATCGATTTTTTGAAAACTTGTATATTTTTAAGAATTATCTTTCAGAGAGCTTTTTTCAAAAAACAATTACCAAGCTGGGACAGGGCATTTACAGGCCATTGCGAAAGACTAACAGTCTCTAGATATACAGCAGGGCTGCCTGAGTGGGCAAGTCCCTCAACCTCTGACATGTTGGGCAATCATATTTTATTCTCTAACAGATAACAATGCCATATAAACATAAATATTCAGTTAAATAAATATGCCCGTGAATGGGCAAACATACAGAATTTTCATTGGCATATATCATTATACAAGTATAATGTTAATTTCCGGTTAAATTGTTGCCCACATTCACGTTAATATCCCAAAGTTAAAAGATCATCTATTCATGACATCGAATGACCACTTGAGAGCGATAATGCTATCCAAAACCCAAATACACGAATCTATTGATATCCTTACGTCATCCAATTATCTCGGTCAAAAGAGAAAAAATCACTATAATAATCCAAGGAGATAATTATGCAAACATAAAGGAGACTTCATCAATAAGCATGCGAATACACAAAAATTGAGACTTTGAAGCATTGGCACATACCCTAGTTGCATCTTTTACAGATAAAGGATATGGATCCAGGTCGTCCTTGGCTGAGACAATAAGACAAGGAACCTCAAAGCCATTGTTTTCACCATGGCTAGCAACTTGAATGAGCAAGTCTGTTGCCTTCTTCCAGGAGCTTTCATCAGAGCTTCATGTGCATCAAGAAATTGAGGTCATAATAGATCACCTAGATACCAGTACAAGATGACATATTTCCAGAATGAATCAACAAAAATATGATGTAGCCACAAGTGAAATGAACATTATTACTATTATGATAATGGTTTATAAACTGCAAGGATAACATCTAATTAAGACTAGGTCTCCAGCTGCCCAATAGATGTCTCAGGTCAAGAAATATCTTACAGGAATTTTTTTCCCAAGTACTTCAATACTTTAGAACTAGGGAAAGTAGAGAAAGGAGGCATGACCCCTACGCACTGCAACAGGACCCCATGTATCCTATTCCATACGTCATAATAGTCAGAAAGGTTAACCCAGTATTCTATAGATCACTCCTATGGGATTAAGTTAAGACTTTCATGATGTCGGGCCATATCGCAAAGTGCATAATCCAACTCCATATAGACGAAATAAATGAATTAAATATGAAAAAGATCAGAAGCAAGCCGCTCTTTTTTGTTATATCCAACAATTGCTGGTAACACTTAGAAGAAGGAAGCATATAGATTATCAATATCATCTATGACAAGGATTTCATCGGGTGGTCCTTTTAGATGCACAATAATATTGCAAAAATTGCTATGAAAAATATGTAGGTTTCTTTTCAATACCTGTCATAGACAAATACCGCTATATCACAAGGTGCCAAGGAATCTTTGTTGGAAAGTAATGTTTTAACTTCATCCGCCGGAATTTCTTGCATTATCAACGTCTTCTTGCCTCCCTTCACCAAGAACAAAAAAATCATAAAAAGATCGAAAATTTATTACCCTAGGGAATCAGATCAAACATCAACTATACAGTTGGAAAGTATTGCATCATGAGGCATCAATAAAAATCCTTGGCAATTTTCTAGCATATAAGTGATTATAGATGTAGAGGCTTGGAAGACATCAACTGGGGGACAGTGTGTATAACTAAAGAAAATTGGGGTTCAGGAAATTATATCTAGTGACTATAAAAATTGGAGATAACATATCATTTCATGGCAGAAAATCTATAGGAAATGCAACATGCTGCTCCTAGCAACGGTTCTAAGTTCCAGGAAGATACTTCTCAAAGTAGATATTTGGTGATGGTAGACAATGACATCTGTTTCACAGATGACAAAGGATATAGTAGAATCTTTGTTATCTTGACAATTAGCAGTGCATAAATCATATTCTTCAAAAAATATGAATGAATAGTTCTTATCCATATAAATTATCTTTATTTTCTTCAGGATGAAGAATCCCAGTGTGAGTGAGATTACGGCAGACAGACTCCTGAATTGGACCAAAATCTGTCCCACAACAACTTAGATTAGGAGTCAAAGGTGCTTCCCCCTAACATTCAAAGAGAAAGTGTCCAGCATTCTCATTCGACAAATGGTAGCATTTGCATTGACGAATATCTTACAAAGAGTATGTCATTTTCATACTTCTTTCATAGTCGAAACTTCCGGAGGTAACAGGTGTAGGATCGAGTGCCAAAGGTCAATGTTCAATTAGTTAGCTAGATGAAGGCGTACGGGTAAAATAGAGCTGTGGTCGGAGCGCTCTACATGAAAAAATGAAACAACAATTCATACCGGGGAACTTCTTTGTTAATCAGTGATAGATCTAGTATCCAAGCCTTGAAAGGACAAATCATTAATATGAGAGGATCAAATGAAAGCCCCAGTTCCATTTTTAAGCTGAAAAAAGATAAGTTTCGAGGAAACACATTGAAAAAGCGGAAGAATAAGAAACCAATATTATCTCTTATCCCACCCTTTCTCCTTGCCCCCACACACAAAATTTATGCTGTCCTGTATTCATATTTATTTGAAACAGATCAGATGGAAACGGCTTACAACAACAATCATGCTCCAGTTTCACTTTCTTTTATGCCATCCATTGTAGATCCAACAAAATAATTAAAAATTATGCTCACGCTAGGAGAAAATGAACCAGAATCGTAATGTTTTCACCCAATTTAGTGTTCAAATGCTTCTTTTGATTGAATGGCGCAAAGGTATAGCATAATTTTCAAAACAAGAAAAGAATGTTCAAAAGATTTTGTGAATTATGCCATCTTGAACTGTTCCAAAAGTCTAAGAATAGAAAATCCACGAAAATCGACGATCTACCCAAAAATCAGGCACCCTCACACAGTTTGAAACAAATTTTTGACATAATGTTCAAGTATCCCAAACAATTTGAACTTAGTTAGACACAGAAAAATAATAGAGAAAATTTCTTTACTTTAACAGCATTTACAAATATCATGAGCGTGGAGACTATTTCATCATGAGAACTTAAAACTACGAGTTTCTTGTGCAATTTTTGAACCATAGATTTTGTAACATAAAAGACAATGACAAAGTTATGAATATGCATATCGTTGGAAGGAACTATAGGAATGCAATCAGCTTTAACGTCCATGAATGCAGATCTGAAAACTGGGTTTTCACTAAAGACATGATAAATGCAAATAATGACAAACGCCATGCTCATCTGCAACAATTACCTCGGGCATGTCAACGACATTTGCTGAAAACAGCTGTTGAGTGGCCGGCATGTTATTTTCAGCAAAAGGTCTGTGTTCAGTAGGGAAAATGAACGCCGTCAATATGAGTCATAAAACTTAGACAAAGATAATGATCCATAAGGTTAAAAACGTAACGAATAAACTAATCCCCAGGATCAGCCTGTCTAAACAAACATCTTCCAGAGATTGCCTCACCTCCCAGTCAATGAATTTAACAATGTCGACTTTCCAGCATTTCTGGGACCAAACACAAAGCAGCGGTAAACATTTCGCATTGAATGTTGCCTTTTCCTATCAGAACGCCTTCTTCTTGTTACGTGGAATGCAGAAGCAGCATCGCCAGTATACCCAATGTAGATAAGGTTCGCAAGGCTACTGACTGGATCCAGAACCGTCATCAGAGCCCACTGGAGTGACATGTATTTTTTCAGTCATCTGATGGGTTAAACAGGTTTATCCAGGTAAATCACTTTCATAGTAAACCAGGCTTAAAAAATATACACAAAAAATATAAAATTTAAAAAATAGGAAACAGGGAGAAAAAGAGTTGAGAATAAGTACGACCTAAAACAGATATTGTATTATATAAATTGGTAAACATTAGTTCACGTCAATACCTCTGATAGAAAACCTTCAAGTGATAATCCTCCCAACACATTCTTTTCCGCAGCATCCTTGTAAGGACCTACTGCCCACGGGCTGTAAACGAAGGATGATATTCAAATAGATAACAATATCAAAAACAGAAAGCTGACCACCAGCAATTTAGCCATTTGGATTTGGAAGACAATAAAAAAGACAAAATTTTGAATTTCCTTGTTAGCAAAATAATTTATCTGCGAAAGAAGCAGACAGATGAATATGATCATATGTATCATTGCTTCAACTTGAAATGGTAACACTAGAAAAGGGGAAAAAATAAGAATAATGCCAAATGCACACTAAAGCACTCCACAGAGGCATCCAGCCAGCCAAAAACAAAGGATTCAAAAATAAATGTTGGATTTATTTTCTCTATCATGTCAAATGTTACTCTAAAGATGTTACTTATTATTCACTTCTATCACCTTCGGTCTTAAACAGCTGGACCCAAAAGCCCTTAGACAATGTCATGGATATGGTCTCTCTTTCCTTCTTCCCCCGCTCAATTTCCCCATTTTTATATTTGGGACAGCATTACCATCAATCGGAAAAGCAAGTGGAATAAATAACAGACACTTCTAAAAGCATCAGATGTAAATCTGGAAAAAGGTTTACACTCCTAGTTAACATACAATGAAATAAAGTTAATAACTGGACGAAGTTGAAGATTCTGCTCAAGAAATCAGGGAGATAGTAGCAACCAAATTCCACCAGAAAGCCTTAGAATCAATCATGCTCTGCCACTGTCAGCATCCGCCAAAGCCTTTGCCAATCGACAACATAGGGAAAATGGACGACATTTTTTCCCAACTGCTTTTATACGACACTCTAGAAGGTTATACCAACAGTAGACCAGGCAGGGACAGTGAAATGTACCACGTGAAATGCTGGCACATAAAAGACTGCATCTTTTCTCTACTAAATCGTGCAAATAAGAGGCAACTTTGAAGTGCCCACTAGTCAAGGGAGTATACCTCATAAACGAGGTTCCAGACTAAACACCAAGAGGAGCCAGGCAGGTTGTGGCAACCCAAAAAGACCCAAGGGCTTACCAGACATGGTTAGGGTTCATTGAAAAACTCGGGAAAGGAAGCCCAGGGAAGCTAAATTTCAAGAAGAAGAGAGAGGAGAAGGAATTTGAAATTGTTGAAATACTATGCCGGTGGCTTAGGGGGAGTGTATCACGTGCTTCACTTTAAAAAGCACGAGCATATCACAAGCTTGTCTCGGAGTGTCAGGTTTGTGTCCAGAACCTTCCCCGTCAGATACCTGTCGTCATGTACAATTTTCAGAAACACGATTTCCTTCCCTTGTGTTCAATAGAAGTTCCGTTTTTTCCTCCCTTCCACGAGAAGGTCTCTTATTCCTCAAGACACAAAGGAACTGAAGGAAACTCAACAGAAATCAACATGGGTTGAGAAAATGCAAGAAGATAAGAATCGAAATAGTCTTTCAGAATTAGAGTTTGCATGGGAAAGAATTAAAATAGAACAAATAAGGATATCTTATCCCAGGGAATTTTATGATAAATAAGGTAATATCCTATATTTCACAAAATAAGAAGTTTCTGATAAAATCGATTACCCCATCCTGATAAATCGTAGAATAATGTTGACAGAAATATTTTATCTTTATTCGGATCAATATCCAGAATCTTTCATAAAGTGGGAGAAATAGAAATGCCGAACAGCTAAATAGCAGGAAGTGAAAACAGCAAACACGACTTATGAGGCACAGCTTTGAAATAAAACTGACCTTTCAGGTGCAGTTGAGAAAAGATCATCCAGTTCGGCTGGTCTCAGAGAACCATCCTAGTAGATAAAATGTGCATTTTATGTGCTAGTTAGGTAGACAATTAATGTACAGTCCGAAAAAAAATCTAAATCGGTTAAGTTATCAACCGCACTTTAAAAGTACAGCCTGAATATGATAATGAAAGTAGGTAATTTCGAAGGCATGATCGTGATTATTTAAGCAGGCCAAGGCAGGTAGGCAATGCTCCAATGCAGAGGTTCAAAGGCACCTTTTGGGCCACCAATTTGAGCCACCTGACAAGTGGTGGTGAAAAGCAAACGAGGCCATCACCAATCACAGGAACAGGAAAACAGAGTTGCTAGTTGTCAAGCCGCAGTTTGAGATGTAATATGAAAGAATCAGCTAGGATTATAGTGTCGAGACTCCAAACTCTATAAATTCTCGTAAAACTTGATAATCGGATTTTGATCTCTATAACCCAAGGAAACCGCCATAATTTTCAACATATTCAAGAGAAAGGAATAACGGAATGCATACATTGTCCGCATCAAACAAATAAAATATTCGCTTCAGAAACTCCACAGCCACATCAGTCAACTCCAGACTCTACAAGAAAAAAAGATTTCAACAATCATTTCAAGATCAATATGCAGTGACATGGACATGAAACCGACAAAATAAAATAAAATCTAGTAGCATCCATATATAGCACGTTTGGTAAAAATAAATCTGTGAAAGGTCCGGTGATTTATATGCTTCTGTATCCTCTAAGGATGGTGCTTTGGTCTTTCGCCAAAAAATTTCGTCTTTAATTAATAGGCCCAGATATTCAAGCAATAGGGATAAATGGTTACATGAAAAAAAATATGAAATAGATACCTGATCAGGGGCTCGCTTGAATTTAAGCGAAAGGAGATCATCCCTGAGTTTAATATTGTTATCATACCCAAATTTTCTGAGGACTGTCCAGGTTGTCTCAAGACGTCCTCTCTCAATAAAAAGTGCATGCAGGAAAAGGAATCCAGTCAGTGTCAGACCATGTTCATTGACCCCCTCTGGCATTTTCTCTTGCACAACCTTCTTTACACCAACTATTTCCGAGGGCTGAAGTGGAGCATTGAAACATCTAACCTGCATGGAAGTGTCCCGGCAAAACCTTCTCAAAACAAAAACTAGAAAACTTAAAATTATAAATATTTTACGTTCTGCAAGAGGTAGTTGAACTGTTACAAGAGGTAGTTGAAATGAAGAGATGCTACCTGAAAATCATTAAGTTCTGCATCACTGAGAGCTCCATCTCTATCATGATCACAAAGAATAAATATCCTTTTCAAAGCCCTGACACATCTTGGCTTCAAGGACTGCGTTTCTTGATCAAACAGTGGGGCAGTTGGGTGAAGAACTGCCTTCTGAGCATAATAGAAGACCTCAGGCACCTAGACAGAAAATGGCGCAATTTCATCTCACATTTAGGCATAGTATAGGAGATAACAGAGCTGTAAAGAAAAAGAGAGATAAATCTCTGCCTAATAATCATTTTGCACAAAACTTCACCACAAGGAGTGAAAATTGAATAAAAAGAGACCCATTTTTGCCGAGATTCTCAGATAAGACCTCACATAAATCTATTAAACTTGTCGTGTTCCTTCTTCATTAAATCTCTTCCCAAAATGTAATAGGAGCATTTGACAGCTAAGGCTAACGATGACTAACCGATTCGAAACAATATTAGCCAACATTTGACCAGATAGTTGCGTTTGAGATGTTTCTTTGAGTAATATTTTATTATAGAAAAATTGGAATATATATGATATTTTGAATGCAAGTCAAATAATAATCTACAGTTTCAACACATAGGATTCTGCTAGACTACAACTGAAAGTAGTCCAAAATAATTAGTTGCAAAATATAGTTTGAATAGTCACATACATAGAAAACGGAAAAAGAATTCTATTTATTTAATATTTCGCCCTTTTCTCTTTCAAGGTACACAAATCCTTTCTCTGAAAATCTCATACTTAATGAACCATGCTTGAAAGTAGTACCTTTGTTTTGTAGCAGAAATGATCACACGGAGCACTCACAATGCGGGAAAAAAAACTGTGATGCACTGAATAAATTGCAGAACACAGCTGTTTACTAGACCGAAGAAAGTATGCCGAATCCAAAAAGGATCATGTAATTATCATTCACTGCCCCCCACGCAACAAAGAAAATAATGGCCTGGAAACCTGCTTACTGAGTATCACATCCTCCACCACAAATGGTGCTTAAGTCCTCACAACAAGTAGCAAGAAACCGCAAAAAATAAATCATGAATATTTAAAAATAAAAATCATAGTACTTTGTAGAATAAGAAGACTGGCGGTTGGATAAGAAACAGAAAAAAAAAAATTAAGAGTGTGCCCTCCGCACCAGATTACGGCATTGTAAAATAATGAGATCGTTGATGCCCAAAGTAAATGATTTTTTTTTTTCAATCCCTAGAAAAATCAGATTGAAAAAAAAAATAGAAATTCTCATGAAGTGATGAACCACATGGCAACCTGAATTTGCTTCAAAGCTGAGCACTCAATACACGTCTCTATCTCCCGGAATTGTTGCATGATTGGAGCCATCACTTGCTCCAGGCTCAACTGATGATCCTCACGCAAATCCAGCTTGCACCCGACCACGATCACAGGAACTTTCACCTGAGAACAAATTTACGAAACAACACCCAAGAGAATTCCACACTAATCAAGAGGTTAGAAAAATACGACAAATGCAATACAGATGAAGAAATCCGGGAGCACACATCTAGCCGACGGAGCTCAGGAAGCCAGTAGGTTTTCAGCCTCTCAAGCGTGGAAGGGCGGTCGCAAGCGTACGTCAGGACAATGGCATCGGCCTTTTGGCACTCTGAGACCAGACTCACTCTATGCTCCTCTCTGAAACAGGGGCAGAAATCCACAAAAACAGATCCCCCGAAATGTCAGATAAAAAAGAGCTAAATTCACCCAAAAAACAAAAAAAAAGCAGAAACAGGACTGTTCCCGGAGCTCGGCAACCTGGACGAGGTGTCGATGATGGTGACGGGGACTCGATCGGGGTAATAATCGGCGGGTAGGCGCGTCGGTGGGACGACCGCGGGAACGTTCTCGGGGAAGGTCTCGGTGGCGGCTGACACGATGAGGCTGGACTTGCCGGTGTTCAGGTCGCCGGCGACGACGACTCTGACGCTGCTCCTCCCGCCGAACTCCGCCTTCGACAGCGCCATGGACAGCGACCGAGGGCGAGGATGAGGTCCTCCTTCACCGACTAGGAACGGCGGCGGGCTGAGGGAAGCTCCCCGAGAACCGACCTGAAAATCATCCACGGCGCCACCGCTGTTTTGAGGAGGATGAAGGGGGAGCAGGGAGAGGAAAAACAGAAGAGATACCCGCACGTGTTTTCACACATGTGTGAGACACGTGCACGATGTCTTGTTCTGACGGACGTCTTATTTCGTAATTTGACACAAAAATAGCAGCAATCTGCGCTAACGGATCCTTAGTGGTCTAGGGATTGGCCCGATAGTTATCCCCCATGGGGTATCACACGTGTGTAATACACGTGCATTTGGTTCGTACGGCCTCTTTCGTAGTTTAGCCGAAAGCGGGCCCAACTGCTATAACGGAACCTGAGTGAGCTTTGGGTTGGCCCGATTGTGATCCCGCGTATCACACGTGCACTTGCCTCCTACGGCCCATTTTTTCATTTGGCCCAAAAATAGCCCCAATCTGTTATAACGGATCCGATATCGGAGTCCGTGCACGGTTTGGTATTCCCCGTGGGTCTATTTGGTAGATGGCCCAAAAACAGTCCGATATTATATAACGATGTGGGTCTTGCACCGACCCGCAATTGATCCGATATGGGCGTCATTCTTATTCCCCCATTTCTTTCTTGTGCTGAAAGAAAACAGCGAGGCTCGCCGGAGGATTTTCGTACAAGTAGCCGGCCGAGCTCATCTCCGGCAGCTTCCCTCTTCCTCTGCTCGATCCACGATGGGCTCGCGGTTCAATCCCTACGACAACAATGGAGGGTGAGGAGCTCCGCCACTTCTTCCTCCGAAAACCTAGAAGATCGGGAGACGGGGGTTGATCTGGTTTTGATGATGTTTGGCTGTTGCTGTTGTTGTTGTTGTTGATGGTGGTGGTGGTAATGGTGATTGCGACGGTGTTTTTGATTTTCAGGACATGCGTAGCAATTGCAGGTGTGGACTACTGCGTGGTGGCAGCGGACACGCGGATGTCCACGGGCTACAGCATCCTCACCCGGGACTACTCCAAGATCTGCCAGCTGTGAGGGTTCTCCTACAGTCCATTATTTCCTCAGTCACTCGCTCACTCGCTCACTCGCTCACTCGCTTTTTTTTTGCTGTCCCGCCGACCTCGTTATCGCCTCATTGTGATTTGTAGTCGTACTGTCGCTGCTTGTCCATAAGTGCGTGTAATCTAGTCTGTGATATTTCATTTTTTTTATGTCACGGAAGTGTGACAATAGAGTTATGAATTCGTGAGCTATAGAGGTGTCGATAGTCATAGTGCCTGGATCTATCAGAGTTATACTGATTTTGCATATTTCATCGTCATTGTATATTGCTGACTAATGTTGGACATTTTTATTGGTCTGTACTTTACAATACACAATTCATCCCTTCTTTTGTATCATTCTTTATTTTTTGTCAAAATTTATAATTCATCCTTGCAGTGCTGACAAGAGTGTGTTGGCGTCCTCTGGCTTTCAAGCTGATGTAAAGGCTCTGCAGAAGAATTTGTCTGCAAAGCATCTGGTGAGGTTTCAGATAATGTCGACGATGTGTACAGCCTCTCGCTGCTTTCTTACGATATGTGAATGTTATCTATGTTATCTCTAAATTAATTATTTAAGATGGGTATAAATGCACTGCGAAAATGTCATAAATTCAAGATTCTTAGCAAATGTATTGTTTTTCTATTGAACATAGTTCTTCTGCTTGTTCTAGCATCCCTCACACTCCCTATGATTCTTCTCCCCACACTTTTTTTCTTATTAATTATGATATTCTTACAGTGCTAGTACAAATAAAGTAGATAGAGCTTCCTGATAAATAAATAAATAATGTATATATATGTATATTCAGACCTCCTTTTAGTTATGGTAGCAGCAAAAAAGTTTGTAGACTTCGAAATCAACTCCAAATCCTGATATCCTTGGAAATTATTTCCTTGATGTTGTTCTAATTCTCGGATACCCCTCAGATGAACTTGAAAGAGAAATCATGTACTTTTCATGCCCGACAGCTCAAATAATTGTGCCCGCTATATAGCAATGGAGTCTCAATTTTTTGGGGAGCATAGTACTGGATCGTTTTTGTTAATCCTAGACTGTGGGTGGTTTTAGAGGGCAATTGAAGTAAGAAAAGATACACAATTAATATAGATAAGTAGCATCAACTATTAGTAGAAGTATCAGAGATGAAAATAGAATACAGCATATACATGAATTGTTTAATACAACATAGTTTCTCAATCCTCACAGCATCTTTAAAGCCAACCCAATGAGTAATATCTTGAATTCGTGATCTCCAAGTTTCTTCTGTGTATCATTAAAGCCATGCGAATGACTATTGTCTTGTATAGCTTAAATCATCTCCAAGTCTTTCTGTGCAAGTTGATCCATGCGACACTTTTGCATACATCTCATTTTTATGATAATGAAAAAGATTGAACAACATTGAAACAACCAAAGTGGTCAAAGTCTAGAGAAAAAAACCCATGAAATATTGTAAGTTTCGGATGTCAGGTGCTTTTTAGTGATGCTCCAAATGAAGGCCTTTTGAGATGACCTAAAACAATAGACATTGGTATCATTCGTGTTCTTGTGAATATCGATGGAACACTGTCACTGTGAAATCGTCCGAAAATCGTAGATACTATTTTACTTAATGTCCACAGTACATACGATGGGTAGCTCTCTTTGCCACTGCCATACATGCTTCTGCGATGACTAGTTTAGATTCTTCTTTGGGGTTCATAAGCTGAGAGACACATCTTTTTATTTTCGTAAGGTTTCTAGATGGCTCCTTTTCCTTGACTTTAGGTCGATAATTTTTGTTGCGTTCCTTTAACCACCCTCACTTTTGAGAATACACGATGCTATTTCTAGAAAGAGAGACATTAAATTACTCCGGAATTGTCCACTCCAGATCTACCAGCACCAGCACAACAAGCAGATGAGCTGCCCCGCCATGGCCCAGCTCCTCTCCAACACACTGTACTACAAGCGTTTCTTCCCCTACTATGCCTTCAACGTCCTGGGAGGCCTGGACAGTGAAGGTAAGTCAACCCCCCCTCCAACATACACAGACAGACATTGTGAGTGTCGAGCATTGAACGAGCCAGCCTCACCAGCCTGTGGTTTTTCTTTCTATATTTGGCAGGGAAGGGCTGCGTCTTCACCTATGATGCTGTGGGGTCGTATGAGAGGGTGGGGTACAGCACCCAGGGCACAGGCTCGACCCTGATCATCCCCGTCCTGGACAACCAGCTTAAGTCCCCTAGCCCGCTCCTGCTTCCCGCTAAGGTGAGGAGAGGGATTCCCCAGGAGGGGGCCCTTAGAATCCTCTCTCTCTCCCTCTCACTAGATCTCTGAAAATTTGACTGTGGTCGAATAGTGATCCCAGAGCTGTTGGGACAGTGATGCCGTGAGGGAGGCCCCTTAGAATTCCCCAGATCTCATCTTCTGAATGAGCATGATGTGTGTGTTGTGCAGGATGCTGTGACGCCACTGTCGGAGGGCGAGGCAGTTGACCTGGTCAAGGATGTCTTTGCATCTGCCACCGAGAGGGACATATACACGGTACTCTCTCTCTCTCTCTCTCTCTCTCTCTCTACTTGCTGACACACGCTTACTGGGTTGTCTCCAGGGCGATCAAGTGGAGATAGTCATCATAAATGCGTCGGGCATCAAACGGGAGTACGTCCAGCTCCGGAGAGACTAGCCTATCTCCTTCTGGTGTGCTTCTAAGACAGAGACCCCCCACCCTCTCTCTCTTTCAATGGTTTCTATTATCTATCATTATATGCTCTCTATCAATCAGACTCCCCATCAAGAGATGATCTTTTCCAGAACATGAATCAAAGAAGACACTTAGGACATTCTCTCTCTCTCTCTCTCTCCTTCCCCTACAAGTAGCATTCTCTTCAGCTTAAACCGCCGCAGTGCTTCCTTTCCCCGTCTCCCATGCTTTTGTTCGATCTCATGCTCTGTGAAAGCAGTCTGTGATTATCTGAATATTCAAATGTGGGCAGTATTTCTTAGGGATCTATCACAATTGAAGCTTTCTAATAAAAAGATCTTCACGTGAAAGAACTTTACTCATTCTAAGCAATTTATTTTTTTTAGAACACTAACTCAATTCTTAGGGATGATATAAAAAAGTATGACGAATTCATTCATCATTAAACATGAAGGATCTGTGTATGGTGAAGAGACGTCATCAAGATTGTTACTAGATATTGATATCTCATCCATTTAGTTGCAATCTTAGGAACTAAACTTTTTCTAATCTAGTAGATCATGAAACTAGTGATCTATTCCTAAATTAAAAAATTTAGAAATATGAAGTGAACGCAATTAAGTGCTAAGATTATTCATATCACTATATATAGGATTGGAACACGTGATTTAATTGAGCTTTCTAGATTAATTTTCCATAATTCTAATTCTCTTGCTCATTAGATTTCTACTAATCTCATTAAAAAGTTGACTTACATGCTTAAAGACGTAAGACTTGGATAATTGTGCCATTATCAATTATTCTACTATTCACAACACTAATAGTTGGATTTATTTTTTCTGTTAGAAAGATCACTCTTTCACCATCCCAGGGATCAAGCATGATTGTAGCTTTCTAATTAAAGATCTTCACGTGAAAGAACTTTACTCATTCTAAGCAAGATCGTTTTTTTTTTTTAGAACACTAACACAGTTCTTAGGGATCATATAAAAAAGGTATGGCCAATTCATTCACCGTTAAAAATGAAGGATCTGCGTATGGGGAATAGACTTGATCAAGATTGTTACTAGATATTGATATCTCGTCTAATTAGTTGCAATCTTAGTGACTAAACATTTTCTAATCTTGTAGATCATGGAACTAGTGATCTATTCCTAAATTATATAAGGAAAGAGGTGCAGCGGAATTAGAGTGAACATAATTAAGTACCAAGATGATTCAAAATAGTATAGTTATAGAATTGGAGCATGTAATTTAATTAAGCCTTTTAGAGTACCCTTCCGTTATTCCCAAGTGCTCTTGCTCATTAGATTTCTACTAATCTCATTCAAAAGTTAACTTAGATACTCAAAAAGGCCTAAGAGTTGGATAATTTACGCCATTATGAATTAGTCTACTACTCACAACATTACTAATTGGTTTTTTTCTATTTTCGGAAAAATCACCTCTTTCACATGCCAAACAATTTGTTAGGGGGATTAATAGCCTTGTTGTGCTTAACATATATATCATCAGGTGTACTTGTCACACTTCTTCACCAAGATCTAGACTCTACTCCACTAGATGACCTGTTATAATGTTGCCATTAATTAGTATACTAACTTTATGGTTCCAACTTATATAATACAACTCAATGTGCTATTTAACGAGTACAAATGCTCTTTTTAAGCTATAAAGATAAGACATAAATTTGCATATTTAGATACCACCTAAATTTACATATTTAGCAGGTTATGATCTGTTTTTCAAAAAAAAAATTGCCGGGTAGGCAGTTCAAAATCTTTTAGGAAAGCTTATGTTTTTTAATGTGCTAGTACTAGCAAGTATCATTGACTTTCACATCGGCACCGGAAAATTTTGACTTTAGAAAATATCCATAAATATTATAAAATACATATCAGAAATTAATTATTTCAGTCAATTGGCGTCTTTGATTTAGCACGTATTTATAAATAGATGTTTAATGAAGACTCAATATTCCAAGTGGTGGGACCCTAAAACTTGTAATCTATATACCCAATTAGATTATATCAAGTCTTACAAGCAAAATATTTAATTTCAAGCCGATTACTTTTTAATTATTGTCATTAATAATCAAAAATTATTAGAAAGCTTTTTGGTATTCTTGAAGAAACTAAATCTATCAACCCCTCCAAACTTTGCAATTCGAAACCAAGACTGGAGATTATCCAATTCACCATCTTCCTCTAAGGAACACCTAAAGTCAATGCATCTAAAATGAAGATAACTAAAATTGGATGAACACCTAAAGTCAACGGGGTTAAACAATTCTTTCAAAGAAAGCATCCAAAGAGGGGCGGCGACCATTTAGAGATGAAGCTAAAATGCTTCAGACCATCCAATTGCCGCCCACACCATCAAGGGATTGAGAAATTCCTCGAGCTAGAACCCTAGAACCTACCCAATCGGTCTTTTGTACATCAATCAGCCAATCACGAAAGAGGGAAAAAAAAAAAAGAAAGAAAAAAGGCTCATTTGGGTGAGCATATACCTATTAACCCTTGAGAAGCACAAAGAAATGAGAGATGAACGCTTGTGCTTAAGCATCATCTTCGACTTCTTCTTCTTCTTCTTCCTCATCAGTGTCTACAAACTTGCTTGAGGGGGCCGCCAGCGAATACCCAAACTGGTGGATAATCTCCCGAGCATCAGAGATGAGGGCACTCTTGGCAGAGTTGACCACATTCTCCTTCCCATTTTCTAAGCCGACACAATGCATTCTCCTTTCACAATGCGTTCTCCTCCTCACCGCCTCCCTGCAATGGAGTTGATCGATGTACCTCTCGTGCAACAAGATGTTCTTGATCGGCCTCAGCACCTCCGGGCTCACCTGAGAGCATCTTGAGAGAATCTTCTTCTTGCCACCTGAGAGATCCCCCCCTTTGCCTTGAACAAGCCTTGGGGAATCTGTCATGGGTTCCTTCTCGGAAGGGATTCTCGGGACCTGTGGAAATGCATTTTGGGAGGTCTCGAGAACAGAGAACAGGTCAACTTCCTGAGCTTGGTCAACGACAGAGTGCTTCCTCAGCATATGCCTCACTGCCTTGCTCCCAAGGTGGTCTTTCCTCCTGCTGTTCTTCGGCCGCTTAGAGTTCTTGCCGAACAGGTCACCGCAGGGAAGGGGAGAGAGGTCGGCGGGCAGCTTCACCCTTGAACGGGGCGGCAGCTGAGCAGGGGTTGTAAGTTTGGAATGCATTCTGTCAAAGCATTCTTGTGCAGACCTCCCAGGCACCTGAGGGTGGAAGAACCAACAAACAGACTAATCATGAAATGTCCTTGGGATCGGGTTCCATGGGAATGATCATCAGATCATCATGGAGCAGCAAACATGGTAATTTACCTGTATTAGTTGCATACTGGAGAGAGCGATATCATTTGAATTATTTCTCTTAGTAGATTACAAGTTCTTCAGCTTAATACAATTTAACCCAAATCATTGGGTTGAGACTGAGATAATCTGGATGTATGAGATTGCAAAATCATCTAAACTATTTCTCTGAGTAGATTACAAGTTCTTCAGCATAATGAATTCAAGCCAATTCACTCGGTTGAGTTAGACATGATCTGGATGCATGAGATTGAAAAATCATCTAAATTATTTCTCTGAGTAGATTACAAGTTCTTCGGCATAATGAATTCAAGCCAATTCAATCGGTTGAGTTAGACATGATCTGGATGCATGAGATTGAAAAATCATCTAAATTATTTCTCTGAGTAGATTACAAGTTCTTCGGCACAATAAATTAAAGCCAATTCACTCGGTTGAGTTGGACATGATCTGGATGCATGAGATTGCACAATACTATAGATTATTTCTCTGATTAGATCTTCAGCATAGTAATGACTCCAGACTATACCGAGCTCAACCAAGAAGCTTTTAAAAAAATATAAATTCAAGCCAATTCATTTCGTTGAGTCTGAGACCAAAACAATCTTGAAGATCTTGATGGGGAGACATACCATTTTGGATATTTTCTTCCAGAATTGCGGAGATGGCTTGGCCAGCAAGTAGGCCCTGCGCAAGGCCATTTCTTGCTCATAGGTCCAGCCCGAAGATCCAGAACTGCTTTCCCCGCATCCTCTCTGTGGAGAAAACCCTTCTTGCAATTCCTTGGTCTGCCTCACCTTCTTCTCTCCCCCTTTCTTGGTCCTCGGAGCCGCAGAGATTCTCTTCTTCTTCCGTTTGACCGCACTACTCAGACATTCTTCCGGTTCGTCGCTGCCGGCCTCGTCTTCGAAGGGATGATTAGAAGAATCCGTCGATGGACGGCATTTTCTGACACGAAGTACCCTAATCGCAGAAGCATCCCTCTCTTTCTCGCGCTTCCTTTCTCTACCATCCCCGTTCACGATTTCCACCTTTAAACCCCTTCCAGAGGTGCCCATCAATCTGGTGGACCTCCTGCAATTCTTCTCCGAGGCAGCTCCTCCACCTGAATTCTTACCGGACGTCGATAATCTCGCAGCGGGCCTCTCCCCGTCCGAATCCGATGGGGAACTCGGCGGCATCTTGGAAGAGGATTCCCGACCTTCCGCATCATCGTCCTCTGTCGTGCTTCCGCAGATGGAAGATCCCACGAGGCCACCAGGTTCCCCCCGCAACAAAAGCAGCCGAGGAGACCTCCGACAAGGTGTCGTCAAGGTGGTGGCGCCGCCCGTTCTTGACCCCTTTCCGGCGTTGATTTTAGGGCCTCCTGTGGGCTTCTTCTGGCGCATTTCCGACCAGAGGCTCAGCGTAAGAGAGAGAGAGAGAGAGAGAGAGAGAGGGGGAGAGAGATAGAGGGAAGTGAGTAAGAGAGAGGAGGGAGAGGAAGAGAAGTCAAAAATGAGTTTAGGGGGGGGGGAGGGAGGACGAGGACTACCGATAAGTTTCGTAAATGGTAAAGGATATAACCTTATCGACATGAATCCGGTTAAATATCCGATAATTAACGGGCCCGGAAAAAGAGCCGGGAGAGTTTTAAAATTAAGTCCGAAACATAGTTAAAAGCCAGTAAATCCCCTCCGGCCCGTCTTCGTGGGAGCTCAGCCCAATCTTTAATTATCGGGCTTAATTAAGGCCCTAGATCTGGGGCCCGAGACAGCCCGTCATGATTAAGATCGGGCCAGATATCAAATATAACTTAAAGCCCGAGGCCCGCCTGACCCCCCCCCCCTCGCGCGGGCTCCCAGATTCGTAGAATATTCCTCAATTATAAAGCCAGACGGCCTTTTATAATCCATTAATGGACCCCCTCAGGCCGGGCCCAAGCCCAAACCCAGCCCGAATCATTTTAAACTGGGTCGGCCCGGAATTATTAGTCCCAATAACGAAAAAAAGGGATCGATGCAAAAGACAAATACGATTTAACCATTTTTTTTAAAAAATACAATATGGCCAGAGCACAATATTATTTAATATTCGGGTCCGGACAAAAATAGCTAATGGTGGGCCCAAACATTCCGCCGCTGTCTTATCAACTCACAAAGGTTTCTACCGGCTGCAGCCGGTCATTTTCGAACGTTGCCACTCCGGGGCGGAGTAGGGACCACCTGGGTAAGAAAAATCAAAATTCCCGAGCCGCTGAACTAGCCGGTAGTATTAAACACGATGAAATTGTACCGTGCAACTCGGTACTCTTCAGGTTATTTATCATAGTCCCTAGATTTATAATATTTGTATTTATGCCACTATTCCCCGGGTTTCTGGCCATATCGACCAGATATCTAGGGTAAGTTTGAACGAATGTACTTATATATAAAAATAATATCATAAGTCAAGAATCTAATCTTAGGAATTAAATAATTAATTAATCGGATAAAATTATGGAAAAAACCCATCATAGGAAAATGCAGAGGTTTTTCGTCGTATTTATGACATATCCAGATGCATTTATTCAAATAGTTTTTGAGCAGAGGATTTAATGAACAATTAATAAACTATTCAGGTAAGACCTAATGTAGGTTATGTGGGCATGTGGGCAAGGAGGATATGGGGAGCTGATTGGAACCCATTTTCATGAGATTTTCTCTAACTCTGGAAAATTATCTTTTTTTGGAAATGGGTCTCAGGGGATCTAACTCTGGAACGGAGTTGACATCGTCTACTTTGATGGGTCTGATCAATGGGTGAAGAACAGATGGGATCGGATGGGAAGAACGGCCTTCTGTTGGAGGAAAGGGGTGATCTTGTCGGTGAAGTTTTGTTTTTTCCTCGAGGAGCTGAATTTGCGGCATGGGGGAAAAGCTTGAGGTGGCGGAGCGTCCGGGGGTAGCTTTTCTGGGAAAGATACAAAATTCTTCTGATTATTAAATTGTTAGATTATTAGCCTGGCGAGCCGTCCGGAGAGGGTTGTGGTCAACACCTTCCTACCCATCTTCCTCTCTCCTCTCTCTCTTCTTTCATCTATCATCTCCTCTGCATCTTCCTGTACCTGTTCTTGCTCCTGGGTCTGTGTCGTTCATCTTCGTCTACCTCCTTGATACTTCGCGTACAGGGAGGTAAAGAGAGAGGAGAAAGAGTGTGGGTTAGAGAGAGGGGAATAAAGAAAAGGAAAAGAGGGCAGTGAGAGAGAGAGAGAGAGAGCGAGGAGGAAGGGGAGCAGGTCAGAGAGCTTTCGAGGGGGTGAATAATAGGGAGCGCGGATCTCCCCTCCAGTTATCTGATTTCCCGTCGTTCTCCGCGGACTCACCGCGGAATTCTCCGCCGCATCTCGTCTATTTGATCCCCAGTTCGTTCCTCATCTTCTTCCTATCCTCGCCGCCATCTTGATAGCTGCCGAGCTCCGGAGGGAGTCGTCGTGAGTGCGCTGGACAGCCTCTGCAGCTCAATCTTGTGAGAGTTCGTCTTATCTGCCTCGCCCCTCCTCCCTCTTCTGGGTTGCCCTTTGTTTATCCTAGATCGTCTGGCTGGACTGTGATTGATATTGGAATGCCAATTCGATCCAAATCCTCTAATTTACGGTCTTAATTCGAATTACCCGTTTGGATTTTTGTTCATATTTGGTTCGTCGAAGCCATTTTTCTTCGTCTCTGGGTAATCCTAGTAGTTTCTTTTGCGTCTGCCGCAAGTTTAATTCCTCGTTGCCGAGGACGATTTTCTGCGCTTTCACTCAAAATCCCTTAAGTGGAGGTATATTTTTTTATCTTTTCCCACTTTATCAGAGATGATGGACGAAATATTTATTAATTTGTGAGTTCTCCGTCAGATTTGTGTGGGCTATAACTGCGTCACCTCCTTTCTCCTGCCTACTGAGAAGGAACACAGACGTCTCTCTCTCTCTCTCTCTCTCTCTCTCTCTCTCTCTATCTATGTATCTTTCTATGTAGCTATTTATTCTCTAGATCTCTGAAAATTCTTCATTGGGCGAACAGTGATCCCAGAGTTGTTGGGAGAGCGGTACCGAGTTATCTCACCGAATATAAATCCAAGATGATAAATTCGTGTGATGTAGAACTATATATCTTCCCTAAGGCTTCTCATGATGTAGAAATATATACCCCTAAACAATGCAGTTTTCATCGCAGTTCTCTTCTCTCATTCTGTTTCTCACACTTATCTCTCTCATTTCATTTCCCCTTCTCTCTCTCTCTCTCTCTCTACTTAGGCTTCTCATGATGTAGAAACATATGGCCTCTAACAATGCTGTTTTCATGGCTGTTTATGGTTAATACATACGGTTTTTTCAAGAAAAACCCATAAATCTGGCCAACTCAGTACTGAGTCAGGATCAAGCTTGGGAAATTATAAAACCTAACCCAAATCATACAGACATAAACTTCCTGATCCATTGGGGGTGTACGATTTCGCTGCATATTTATATGCTGAAGTTATTTGAATGGTAAAAAAATAATAAATAAATAAATCATACATGTTCCAAGTGACTGAGAAAATTTTGGTGAAAGGACATCATGAACTGAAATTAGAGTCATTTTATTTTAGCAAATTCTGTTTATGACTTGCTAAACTCTCAAAGCTGAATATCCAGATTCTCTTTTCCATCCTGATTTTGTTTTTAATTTTTTAATATGCTATGTTTAAACGCATGGTACTTAGAATTTTGATAGTGGAAAAATTGGTAAAATACCCACACAAAAAAAAAACTTTGCTTCAATTTTTATTTTTTTTCTAGGTTTACAAAATTAGAATGTTTATATTAAATCCTTTGAACAGAAATCTGGTGTTTCAGTTTCTTGATGGAATTGCCCATCTTGACCCCAATGCTCCAACCCTTTGGAAGATTTTTATGCCACTTTTGGGTTGTAGATGGCGGAATCAAGACACTTTAGTGCTTTTTGTTTTTGTTTTGGGAAGAGTCTGTCAGCAGGGAATTATCTTCTTCCTCCTTTTCATTGGAATTTGTTTGAGGGAGATGTTAGACGGTGATATTTGATCTCAAGGTAAATTTGGGAAGAATAATTATTGCCCTAATCGGGCGCTGGTCAAATTTGGCATAGTTTGACCGTAAAGGGAAACTAATAAGCCAACGACCACTATCTTATGCATCTAAAGATATATAGTTTAAATAAAAAGGCCTTGAAATTGATAAAATATCGTATGATTCAGACACTCAGATATGTGAATGGTTTCCCTAGAGTTTTTGCCTGAGGACAAGAATGTGAGTTATCCTATTACTTGATTAAACTATTAAAAGACCACGCAATGATGGGATGAAATTTTTTTCATATAAGATGGGAATTTGAAATATTTATTTATTTATTTATTTATTTATTTATTTATTTATTTATCTAATAAATATTTTAATCACTATATTCCTGTCATTAAATCGCACATAATCTTGAGCACAATTTTAATATTAATGATATATTAATTTTGCTCCACTGACATTATCTCTCTCTACCCTTTATGATTTCAGGATTCAAGACTTAAATGGAGGAGCCCAAGGAAGCCGATACGAATTTCTCTGCAGCTTCTTCCCCATCTGATTCAAGCGTCGGAAACCCTTCATCTCCTGTTGACGAAGAAATTGAAGTCGGCAAGCGGAATCAAGAAGCAAACCAGTCTGAAGTCTCACTAGCACAGGCCGTTAGTGGCGCCCAGATACCTGAATCATCTCGACAGGTCAATAATACCGCAGTTATTGTCAAATCAACGGCGGTTGACTTTCCCACCCAGTCTTCTGTTGACTCTATCATCCAGTCTTATGTTGGCTTTCCCAACATGTCTAAAAATAGTAAGGCCTCTGGAGTTGACCAGGAGGAGGGAGAAGGTAAAAAGTCAGACTCTACCCAGATAAATGTGGACAGAAACCTCGGTGAAACTGACATTAAAGCCGCCAAAGTGGGCAACTTGGAAGGTGGGAATTCCCCACATAGAAAGTCAGAGCACACCAAAGCTTCCGGGGACGGTAAAAATGTCAGCAGGGGTCTGGTTGACACCGCGGCGCCATTTGAGTCTGTCAAAGAGGCTGTCACCAAGTTTGGAGGAATTGTGGATTGGAAAGCTCACAAGTCTCTTGCTCTTGAGGTAGAAGTTGCTGAGACTGCGGCCGTCATTCATTAATCAAATGTTTTGAATCGAAAGCTCCATATTATAGAGATTAATGCTACTTGAAATTATTATTTGATGATATGTTTACAATACTCTTTCTGCTATTATTTCATGGAAGTTACCGAATTTTGTTCTTATGCTATTGATAATTAGGAAAATGCTCAGATGATTGATGTTTAATTAATGAAATGCAATCTTCGGTGAGATTTTGGATTCAAAATATTCGATGTTTCTCCTCTTTTTTTTTAAATTATTAATTAGTTTCATGTATTAGAAAAATGACTGACTGATGCTGTCTCCATGTTTGACCAATTTCTTTCGGTTCTCGTCTGCCAATAAGTATGTGTCTGCTGCCCATTAAAATTTAAATAAGAGGTTTTTCCCGAAATTTATTTGAAAAAAATCTTAAATAAAATATCTTGGAAAGTGGAAAATGCTACAAGGTTTTCCCTCTTAATTTTCATATAGATGCTAAAATTATTAATCGAATAATTTCTCCATCCAAAGAGAACTAGTTTCTTGATGAGTTATGCATTTTAGTAGACTACTATAATGTAATTATATTTTTTTCGAGGATTTATTCTCCATGTTTTTCCATATTTTTTTCTACATTCATGTGTCTATAATATTTTTATCCTGCCCATTAAATCAAATTTCTTGACGGATAATTTAAAAAATTTATGAATTTATTGACGAACTATTCTCCATGTTTTTCGTTTTCTTCTTCCTTTTTCATCTTCTACTACTCATAATTTTCAAGTAGAAGTTGTAACTTTGAATCAGATAGTTTCCCGATATGCAGAGACAGATAATCTGAGATAATTATATATTTTTTATTTTTTATTTTTTGCAGAGGCAGAAGCAGGTCCAGCTCGAGCTGGAGAAGGCGGCAGCAGAGATCCCCGAGTTCCAACGGCGGTCGGCGGCGGCAGAAAAGGCGAAGATGGAGGCTCTCCTGGAGCTGGAGACGACCAAGAGGGCCATTGAAGAGCTCAAGCTGAGCCTGGAGAGCTCCCAAAGAGCGGAGGCCCAGGCCAAGCAGGACTCCGAGCTGGCTCAGCTCCGGGCGGCGGAGATGGAGCGGGGGATCGCCGCCGACGCCAGCGTTGCCGCCAAGACCCAGCTGGAGGTCGCCAGGGCCCGCCATGTGGCCGCTAAGGATGAGCTAGCGGCAGTGAGGGATGAGCTGGAGGGCCTGAGAGCCCAGCTGGTGGCCCTGGCGGCGGAGCAGGCGGCAGCGGCGGAGCGGGCAGCGACAGTGGTCTTTGCCGCCAGGGAGGCGGAGAGGGCGGCGGAGGAGTTGACTTTGGAGCTGATTATGGCGAAGGAGGCCCTCGAGGCGGCGCAGGCGGCGCATCTGGAAGCCGAGGAGCACAGAATTGGAGCTTCCATGGCGAGGGACCAGGATCTGTTCAACTGGGACAAGGAGCTGAAGCAGGCGCAGGAGGAGGTTGACCATCTGGGGGAGCAGCTCGCGCAGGCGAGGGACCTGAAGTCAACGCTGGAGGCGGCCACTGGGTCGCTGGTGGGCCTGAAGGGTGAGCTGGCAGCGTTCACAGAGGCGGCGTTGACCCAGGAGCCGGAGGACAAGAAGGAGCTGGATGAAGTCAAAGTGAGCATCGAGAAGGCGAGGGAGGAAGTCAACTTCCTGAAAGTGGCCTCCGCATCGCTGGCGGCGGAGCTGGAGAAGGAGAACGCGGCACTGGCCCCGATGAGGCAGAGGGAGGGGATGGCCTCCGTGGCGGTCGCCTCCCTTGAGATGGAGCTCGAAAGGGTCAACGCAGAGATAGAGGCGGCCAAGTCAAAGGAGAAAGGAGCCCGGGAGGACATGGTGGAGCTGCCCAGGGAGTTGCAGAGGGCCGCCATGGAAGCCGACGAGGCCAGGTCGGCGGCGCTGGCGGCGCAGGAGGAGCTGAGGAAGGCCAGGGAGGAGCTCGAACAGGTCAGCGCCACCGTGAACACAGTGGAGAGTAGACTTCTCGCCGCCGTGAAGGAGATGGAGGCGGCGAAGGCGACGGAGAAGCTAGCGGCGGCAGCGGCGAGGGCCTTGCAGGAGAGCGAGCAGGCGGCTATCATGGAGCCGGCCGCCGGCGAGGGCGGCGGCGCCGCCGTGACCCTCCCGGTGGAGGAATACCTGATCCTGAGCAAGAGAGCGAGAGAGGCGGAGGAGCTGGCCAGCGAGAAGGTCAGCGCTGCCGTGTCGCAGATAGAGGTGGCGAAGGCCTCGGAGACGAGGAGTTTGGAGGCCTTGGCGGCCGCCATGGCGGAGCTGGCGGTGAAGAAGGAGGCGCTGAAGGCGGCGACGGAGAGGGCCGACAAGGCGAAGGAAGGAAAGCTGGCGGTGGAGCAGGAGCTTCGGGCGTGGAGATCGGAGCACGTGCAGCGGAGAAAATCAGGCGTCGGCGCCCGATCCGCCGCCGTGGCAGCAGCGCCGTCGGCGAATTCTCCCCAGCCTCCGAGCCCTCCGACAGTCGTCGAGGAGCCCCCACCGCCGAAGCCAGCGGCGCCGCCCACTTATCCGGCGGAGCCATCCCCGCCGAAGACTTACCTAAGGGAGAGCAGAGAAGGAGATGCGGCGGCGGCGCCGCCGGAGACGAAGGCCAGGAAGAAGAAGTCCCTGTTCCCCCGCCTCTCCACCTTTTTGGGGAAGAAGAAGACGTAATCGTGGGAATGTGTATTTAAGTTTTGAGATAAATAAAATTGATTAAAATAATTAACAAGCGCCTGTAGCTCAGTGGATAGAGCGTCTGCTTCCTAAGCTGAAAGTCGTAGGTTCGACCCCTACCTGGCGCGGCGAATTATTAAATTGTTTTTACTCCATAATTAATCATGTTGAGGGCATAATCTGTGTTCTAAATTTGAATGTATGTGTTTACATTTATGCCCCTTTTGCGCAATCCACGTGGCGTCAGGTCAGAAAAGCCGAAAAAAGTTGTCCGATTTTTAATTTATTTCAATTTTTTTTACGGGTGTAAATAAAACTGGGTGCGGCCTTTATGCCCTTTTATAATAATTTTAATTTTAAAATATTGCTATACTCCATATTTTTCGGATTTTATAATTAATTTTTAGAACGATATTTTACTTGTTTGTTCTTTTGCCACGTCGATCTCCACATGGGCAGCCAGGTCATAAAAGCCGAAAAAGGTTTTCCGATTTTTTTAATTTATTTCACAGTATTTACGGGTGGAAAGAAGTTGACGTGGGAGTAACGGGCCTAGGGAGGCATGAATGGGCTGGCGAGAGATGAGATGGGTCCAGGGAAGACCAATAAAAGGCCCATTCAATAGGCAATAACAATGTTATGGGCCCCACCTCTCTCTTCATGCCTTCCCGCCAAGCAACGTAGCTACCTCCCCTTCGCCTCACGCCCCCCGTCAGTACCCCCAAGCCCCTCCTTTCTCTCTTTACCTCACTCTCTTATCTCTTTATCTCCGTATCTTTCTCTCTCTCTACCTCCGTCTCTTCTTTCTCTCTCTATCTCCATCTCTCATTTCCCATCATCGCTCTCTCTCTGTCTCTCTACAATCTTGTTTAGTGCTCTCAATGAGGTTATTCCCTTCTACTATCCATCCCTCTATCTATCTCTCTTATTTGATCTCAAGATTTCTCTCCTCTCTCCCGTTCTATGTCCTGCCCCTCCCCTCTCTCTCTCTCTCTCTCTCTCTCTCTCTCTCCTCTCCCCTCCCCTCCTTTCTCTCTCCTCCGCTCTCTTGATCACCCTGCTTTCTCTGTCATCCTTTCCTTGCGGTCTCTCTCTGTCCTCTCTCTCTCTCTCTCTCTCTCTCCCATGAGTTTCCGCCATAGCCATCATCCCCCACCTGGTTTTCTCCATCCCCCACCCTCCTTATGACGCCATCCTCCACCATCTTCTTCTTCTTCTTCCTCCTCTTCTTCTCTGTGTCGGCCCTCCCTCCCCCCAGAGGTAATCCGTTCATCTTCCCCGCCCTCCATCTCTCTACTTTCTCTCTCCTCTCTCTCTCTCTCTCTCAGCTTCTCTACGCCATCTCTGCTAGGGTTCTTCATCAACTGCGGCGCAGAGGAGGAGATCACGACAGGGGGGATCAAATGGCTGACGGACGAGGGATTCGTCGCCGGCGGGAACCGATCGGCAGTGGCGACGCCTGGTATCGCCGCCACCCTCGCCACCCTCCGCTTCTTCCCCGACGCGGCGGCGAAGAAGAACTGCTTCGTCGTGCCGGTGACCAAGGGAGCCACCTACCTGGTGAGGACGACCTATTTCTACGGCGGATTCGACGGCGGCGCCACCCCTCCGTGCTTCGACCAGATCGTCGGCGGCACGAGGTGGAGCACGGTGAACACCTCCGGTGACTACACGAGGGGCCTCGCCTCCTACTACGAGGTGGTGGTGCGCGCTGCCGCGAAGACGCTCAGCGTCTGCCTGGCCAGGAACGGCCGGAGCACCGCCGCTCCCTTCATCTCCGCCCTGGAGGTGGCGGCGCTGGAGGACTCGATCTATAACTCCACCGATCTCGACGGCCACCTCCTCGCCACCGTCGCCCGCCACCGCTTCGGCCACGCCGGCGCCATCACCAGGTACTTACTCCGCATCAATCTATCGATCTATCAATCTATCAATCTATCAATCTATCAATCTATCAATCTATCAATCTCCTCCTTCCTCGCCGGAGATCGCCGGCCCTGACTGACGCTCTTCCTCTTCTTCTTCCTCGTCGTCTTCATCTTCATCTTCATCATCATCATCATCATCATCTTCATCTTCATCTTCTTCTTCTCCGGGCAGCTACCCGGAGGATCCCTTCAACAGGTACTGGGAGCCCTTCCCCGCCGGCGACGGCGACCCGGTGGTGGAAAGCCACGCCAATGTGAGCGCCGCCGGACTCTGGAACCTCCCGCCGGCGGCCGCGTTCCAGCGGGGGATCACCGCCAGTCGGGGGAAGCCGGTCGTCCTGCGTTGGCCGCCGGTGGAGCTGCCGCCGGCGACCTACTACGTGGCTCTCTACTTCCAGGACAACCGCACCCCTTCCCCCTTCAGCTGGCGGGTCTTCGACGTCTCCCTCAACGGCGAGCCCTTCTACCCCGGCCTCAACGTCTCCGCCACCGGCGTCATGGTCTTCTCCGGCGACTGGCCGCTCTCCGGCAAGACCGAGATCACTCTGACGCCGGCGCCGGAGTCCCCGGTGGGCCCCGTCATCAACGCCGGCGAAGTCCTCCAGCTCGTCCCCAGGAAGGGGAGGACCGTCACCAGAGATGGTACCCATGAAAAAAAAAAAAATCCTCAAGATGCATTTATTTATTTATTTATCTAAATAAAAAACCCTGGGTCTAAAACACCAGGATGCATTTATTTAATTACTTAATTACTTAATTATTTAGTTTTTTTTCAGTGATCGCCATGGAAGAGCTAGCCCGGAGCTTGACCAACGTACCTGCTGACTGGAACGGCGATCCCTGCCTGCCGTGGGAGACGGCGTGGACCGGCGTTGAATGCTCTCGGGGGAAGCTTGCCCGGGTGGTCTCTCTGTGAGTTTTCCAAGCCCGGCCCGGACCGGGCCGGCCCGCTGAGTTGGGCCAGGCTTTGTCAGGGAACCGGGCTGATGCGGGCCTGGCCCGCTGGAAAAAGTTGACTAGTTTTTACTGGTTTGACTGGTTTGACTGGTTTGACTGGTTTGACTGGTGCAGGAACTTGACCCGCTGGGGGCTGACAGGTACGCTGCCAGAAGGGATCAACAACATGACTGCGTTGACCAGCATGTAAGCCGCATCTCTCTCACATGGTTGACAAAATCCTCCCGGACTCTAATGTGAGATTAGCCGCTGCGTTGACCGGGCAGGGAAGGGGAAGAGAGAGAGAGAGAGAGAGAGAGAGTCTAATCTAAAGGCTTGATGATTGCAGCTGGCTGGGTGGGAACATGATCTCAGGGCCCATACCAGACTTGGGCTCTCTGCAGCAGCTCGTTTCCCTGTAAGCGAACCACCGCTCCCCCCCCTCTCGCTCTCTCGCTCTCTCTCTCTCTCTCTCTCTCTCTCTCGCTAGAAGTAATTTCTGTAAATGGTTTGCTCCAATGCCTCTTTTTTTGTCTTATTAATCCTCTTAGTTGACTAATTAATTATTAAATTAACTGACTAATTAATATAATGTGGTATTGTGGGAAGGCGTCTGGAGGATAACCAGCTGTCCGGGCCAATCCCTCCATCACTGGGGAGCCTGATGGAGATCCGGGAGATGTAAGCCCTCTACTTTCCTATCTTTTGGAAAATGAACCGTAAATAGGCCTGGACTCCTGTCTTGGCTGCTGATCTGTTCGTTCTTAACATAATTTTGCCATTTTTAGCATGCTGGCTAGGATTTGTTCTAAAGAAGTTGCCATTTTTAGTATACTGGCTTAGTTTTGTTCATACCAAGCTTGCCATTTTTAGCGTGCTGGCTCTTAATCAGGCCTCTCTCTCTCTCTCTCTCTCCTGCAGATTCCTCCAGAACAATGATCTCCAAGGTGCTATTCCTCAAAGTCTCACAGCCAGAAGTGGAATAAACATTCAGTAAGAACACAAACCCTCCCCCCCCCCCATCTCCTTTGATGATCTCGTCTCAGTGGAGTGAGTGGTGGTCTCATTTTGGTTGCTCTCAACAGGATATCCCCCGGAAACAACAAGATCACTGCTCTTCGACCATAGAGAGAGAGAGAAAGATGAAGAGCTCCCAGGTCAAAACCAGCAGTTGACGGCAATCAAGAGGAAGGAAGAACAGAATCTGTGAGGATTTCCTGTACCTTCCTCCACTGAAGATCATGTGGGCTATGGATCTATTATGATATTGGGTTTACCAAAAATGTCATATTTTTACCATTAAAAGCATTTATGGGAGTAAATCTATGAGAGTTGACCTTCCTTGGCCACGTGCTGGCATGGATCGACCACAAATCCAAGAATTAGTCAACGAACTTTACAGAAAAAGGGCATCAAAATCTACAGCATTTACCATAAAAAAAAGGGTACATTGGCGCTGAAAAATTCCTATAACAAGAATTCAAGAGGGACTTTCTTACATCTCCGCCTGTGCAATGAACAGCCTGATCTGCATATGTAACCTCTACTATGAATCAAAATCAGGTGAGACTGAACATAGAATCTCCTTGCAGAGAGTCAAACCCTAGAGCAGCCATTGGTCAGATGCTCCGGATGCTTGGTGAGGCATCATGCAGCCACCTCATTGATGTGCTCAGAGAAGCTCTTACCGGGTGGTATGAAGATCAAGTCTTCCCATCCAGAATTCTTCTCATTCATCTGAAATCAGAGGGAAAGCATTTTCTTAAAGCCAAGAACTTGGGAATTTATTTTTTTTGTTTGACTCTGATTCATAGGAAGACCCCCCCACCTCCATCTTCTTCAGGACATCCTCCAAGCTTCCCACCTATGAGAAACAGGGACAATTCATCAATAATAAAACATAATTATTAAACCAAAAGTCAACGCAGTTAAATTCATACCACTATGTGCTGGGTGAAACCGGATCCTTTTGACATTCTCGAGGACTTTAAGAGTTCTCTCTCTATGTCTTCCTGTAGAGAGATGATCGAGTTACATCCCTTCCATACTTGGATCCCTCACATCTTCTTACAGTAACCGGAGAGTAGAAGAAAAGGAGATGGGCGGACCTTTTGGAAGTAAATAGGACAATAGCGCCTATTCTTCTTCTTTATAACCAAGAGTTCAGACTGCAATTGGAAATGGTCGATCAGATGGATGGCAGAGCAGCTGTGCACGATTTATGCATGGGAAAAAGAGATTTACGATAATAGACACCTCTTGAGAGACTCCTTTTCTGTTTTTACCACATTCTGTGAAAGAGGGAGTGTGGGGAAAATTATGTGACCCAATTAGGAAAAAAATCTTGATGAAGAAGAAAGATCGGGCATTTAACTAATCATCGATGAGGTCCAAGCACATTATGTGAAGCATGATATTAAAAATATTTGGATATGCCATTTATTGGATTTTTCAGTTCCTTCTGTACCTGAAAAACTGGAACTCCATCAAAGCCTTTTGAACGATCGGTGGACTTCAGCTACGACAGATTAAACAAAATGGACGAAAGTCAATCAATTGATACCCTATATTAAGCCTAATATTCGAATTCCAAAAACTCCCATATGACATGGTAAAAGAGAGATTATTCAAGTGGCAACATCATACAAATGCTATTTTAGGGGTCAAATTCGGACATAAATCGTTTTACCAAAGTTTCCAAGTTGATAATAGACTACTGGCAACATTATTTTGTTCCCAAAAATACATTCCTTTGAGATATGAGCCTGCACAGCCTATGCTGAACGTAGATTGCCCAGTAAAAAGTAGATATCTTGCAGAGAAACAGATGATATTCGATATTCATACACAATGGATGTTGCATATTCTGGCAAATATCGGGCAGCAAGATTCAGCTTATGGTATGAATAAAAAATAAATAAAATACTGTCGCTTGAATTTGTTGCCTTGAACGTCTGTTATACGTAATCCATGGTTAATTTTAAAGCACGAAGAGAATACATGACAGTGGAAAAATCTATGGGATGAAATGTTTCCATTAACAAGCAAGAATGGGATCCGAAAAGTCAGAAATGAATCACAGAGGGATTACAAAAATAGAAATGGTGGCGGTGAGAATTCTGTCAAAAAAAGCTATAATTGTATGATCATATTACCGATTCCTACACCAATTACTGTACTTCTTTTTCGGGAAAAGCAGCTGGTACAGAGTATTCATTTTAAGTACCAAAATAAAAAAAGGGAAACAATATAATCTCTAAAAAGATGTCATCTGGTTCTAACAAAATGAACATTACAATCATACGGGATCATCAGACATAAGATGATATGTTTCTCAGCGTCACTAAGCTAGAAGATGCCAAATGATTTCCCGGGAAAACCACAGCAAAACGCTAGGAGGCATTAAATAGAGCTTGAAAGCAAAAGTTTTATTTTCGGTATTAACATGCAAGAAAGAAATCTAGTAATGAAATTCCATGGATGTATGAGCTGGAAATAATATAACATCACAAAGAAGGTCTAGATACCAACATCCAAAGCATTCTTTATTTGGAGGGGGTCTGGCAGAAATCGAAATGCAATCCCTTCAACCTTCAACATATACACCTACAGAACAATGCCAAAAAATTAAGAAATGAAAGTTCAAGAGGGCAGCTAAAATGATTAGTGAGACGATGACTAAGCTTTCATGCACCAAACACAGTAATCATAATAACAAATCCAAAGCTATGGTGCTTCTTTCTTTAGTTAGCATCAGAAGCAAAACAAAGTGAGAAGCCACCCCATATCTTGGCTCTCACACGGACTGACAATAAAACAATTGTGTCCAGCTCAAAACTGAGACAACAGTGCAGTTCAAATGATATTTACACGTTAAAAAAAACCTGATCAAGTGTGATGGGCACGACTCTGGCCCCCCTTCCTAGGACGGGTTGGCGCAACTGGACCTGGAAACCAAAATGGTTCCATTAGAGCTGGAAATCGAAAGTGTGAACCAAATCAATTCAAAGGAGTCATCAAGGATAATTCAGCAAAGGAAATGGCATCAGCACAGCGACAATTGCGCCAGATCATCAAGGAGGAAATATCAGATTATACTTGAGCCAGGAGGGAGCGGGCGTCCTCTTGTCGGAAGCAGAGAAGGCCGAGGGACTTGAGGCTGTTGTTGGGATCTGAGATAAGGACGAACTCATTGTTGGAGTTGCTGACGGTGAAAACACTCGTCCCAGAAAGAGTCTTCGCCACATACTCGGGGCTCAACGCCAAATCGAAGAGATGCCTCCCCGCCGCGTCGGGGCCCCCCGCCGCGTGGCTCTGGGAGACGGCGGCGAAGAGCGGAACCGGAGGCCGGAAGGGGCGAAAACCAGCGGCGACGCGGAGCACGGAGCGCCTGTGGCCGTCGATCCTGGCGCAGATTTCGGCCCCGAAGCGAGCGCAGTGCTGCTGGACGGAGGCAAGGGAGAAGGGGTGGCGAGGGGCGGAGGCATCCCCTCCCATTGGAGCGGCGGAGAGAGGAATGGAAGAGGGAGAGGAGGAGGAGGCGGAGGAGGAGGAAGAAGGAGAGTGAGAGGGAGTAGCTTCCGCCATCGCTCTCCTCCTCCGATGACGGCCTGCCAACCCTACCATGAACTGTGCCGGTATATATCCTTATAACGCTCAAATTATGATTATTTTGCGTTCTTAAATCTAATTACTTTTTATTAGTTCAAAAAAAATCAGCTGGGTTTTTCATATATTTCAGTTTATGAATATATATATATATATTTAAATTTTAAAAAAGGCTGTTATGAGAGGAGATATTTAGCTAAGGAGAAGAGAGAGAGAGAGAGAGCCAACCCTATTAAATTTGAGGATTATTTCTCGTGCTTAAATTTAATCACTTTTAATCAAAAAAATCGGCTGGGTTTTTCATATATTTAGGTTTATAAATATTAATATTTTTAAAAATCTTAAAAAGGTTTTTATGGAGAGCGTACATTTGAGTAGAATGAAGAAGAGAGAGAGAGAGAGTCTCCCAACCCTATTAAATTTGATGATTATTTTTGCATTATTAAATTTAATAACTTATAATTAGTTCAATAACATTTTTTTCGTCTTGGTTTATTATATTTAGACGAGAAAGAGAGAAAGAGAGGGAGAGAGAGTCTGCCAACCTTATTAAATTTTAGGATTATTTTACGTTTTTAAATTTGATGAATGTTAGTTGGATTTTTCGTAGATATATTTTTATTTTTTAAGTTCATAAATCTTAATATTCTTTTAATTTTTAAAAAGATGAATACTAGAGGAGACACTTGAGTAAGAAGGGAGAGAGAGTAAAAGAGGGGTTATTGGAGTGGACCCCACATAGTTTTAATTATTTTAAATAGATAAATATTATTGAATAAAACATAATTTTTGACGTAAATTTATTTACTAAAAGCAAGTAAAGCGATATTGGAAGTACAAGGGCCCACAGGTGTAGGCCCCACAATCCTTCTACAAGTAGTTTGCACCGGGGCGGGCCCCACTGAACCATTCCTAGGAATTAAAAACATTTCAGATATTTTATAACGATAACAGGTTTAAATTTTCATAAGCACATCATTTTTATAAATAGATCAGCGATAAAAATGATAATCCTATTATCAAATAAATAAATAAATATATAATTATAAATTCTACATAAATATTAATAATGGGCCCGGACTTATCATCAGATTTTAGAAAAAAGATCTCCAATTTATATTTTTAGGGCAGGCCCATTCCGTTGACTTATTTACTAAAAATATATTATTTTATATTATCTATTCGGTATAATCTATATATCTATTCGTATGCAATGAACAAGCTAAGCTTAAACGGATATAAATAAATAAATAAACAATAAATGTATATATTATTTTATATATCTCTATTAGCGTATCTAAATACAGTCAACATGCTAACCTTAAACGGATATAAATAAATAAATAAATAATGTATGTATGTATATTATTTTTACTATATTTCTATTCATATATTTAAATACTGTTAAGAAGCTAAGCTTAAGCGGATATAAATTATATATATTAGCAGAGGGAAACCAGGGAGGGAAAACCCTATAAACCCTTTTTTTTTTTTTTTCTGTTCGTCAGTTGGTCATCTGGTTCGAACGAGCTCAGTTCCTGGAGCGATGCCGAAGGTCTATGGCGTCGGGACGTACGATTTCCGGCGTCACAGGGTTGCAGAGTACCCTGTCCCCGGCCAGGCGGCGGCCGGCAGGGAGGCGGTGCCGGAGGTGGCGCCGCCGCAGGCGCCGGGGGCCGCTCTGGCGGGGTCGATTACGCTCTCCGAGATCCAGCGGGACAGGCTGACGAAGATCGCCGCCGCCAACTGGGCGAAGGGCGCGGAGGCGGCGGCTGGGGGGCGGGAGTTTAAGCCGGAGCTCGTGAGGGAGATTTACGAGACAGAGCTGCTGGTAAGTGATGGGAGGAAAACCGTGCCGCTTCAGCGGGTGATGATCCTGGAGGTGAGCCAGTACCTGGAGAACTACCTGTGGCCGCATTTCGACCCTGAGACGGCGTCCTTCGAGCACATCATGTCGATGGTGCTCATGGTAAATGAGAAGGTACGCTTGCTTTTGGTAATGATCCTGATTCTCTCTATCTTTGTTGTTTAAATCGGCATACTCTACATTAATATGTTTATTCTGTTCAAGTTTCGGGAAAATGTAGCGGCGTGGATTTGCTTTCACGACAGGAAGGATGCGTTCATGGCTTTCTTAGAGCGGGTTCTTCGTTTGAAGGAACAGGTGCTGTCCGACACTTTCATCATTTAGTCCGAAACTTATTCATTTGTTTTTGAACTACTCTTCTTTCTCTAATTGGAAGTTTCAGATGTAGCAAAGTGAGGGCTTTCCTATGTTGTTTTATGGTAAGGCGACGCGAAATTTACCGAGTGGAATAGAATATCAGAATAGAAAGTTACCTGAAAACTGTCCTCGGTTGAAACTAGGGATTCTTATTGGCATCAAGAATACACTACATAGAAAAAACATAATTTTTTTTGGTAGCCTTATGTTTTCGGTAAACCGGAAAGGGTTGAACTGTGCTAATTTCAGCCAACCTTGATGAAATATATCAGGATATACTGCAGCCTTCCTGCTAGCAGATTATGTCATATGACCGGTGAACTAAGTATATGAAAAAGCTGAATGCTAGTTGTTGTCTAACTGCTTCTTAACTACTTTCATTACATTTTTTTTTGGGAACTATGCTCTTGGATTTAAGTCTCCAGTTCATTTAAACCTATGTCCTTTCCCGTATGCATTCACCTTCCTCTAGATCCCAATAGAGTATGTGGTTGTCCTCCATTGCTAGGTCGTTTATTACCTTCCTCCCCATTGGTCTTTTTTCACCACATTTCAGCCATTAGCATTGGCGTGGATCCGGAGAGCAACTGATCCTCCTCTCCTAGAATGTTCTTGATGTCCATTTTCCCCTGGGTATTGTGAGAGTCAGCCTTTTGTTTTTCCCATATGAGGTGATCAGTTGAAAGAGTGGGCGAGATCACTTTGGAGTGAAGAAGGGAACCACTTGGTTTTTAGTTTTGGTCTAACGCCATATGAATGATATATAAGTTGTTTTTTTGAGAGTATACAGATCAACCACTCGTACATAACCCCCTTATGTTTTTTTTCCTTTTTGTGGAACCGACACTTTCTTGATGAAAAAAAGAAAACTTTAGCTAAATCCACTACCAAAGTTTGCATACTTTTTGGAAGCTATTTCTACTCAACTCTCGTCCGCTTTTCTTTGTTAGTATCCGTCACATAGCCTGATGGAGAGTATGACCTTTTTTATTTCATTCTGACTCTAGTAGGCATTTGGTTGCTTAAAATCAACTTTAATTGAACTCTGGCAAATTGGAGTGAACATCCATCAAGGAACCGAGTCAAGCTCTGGAATGACGACTTTGAATGTGGTTTCTTTGAAGGTGTGATTGGAACATAATGAAGGAAATAAAGAAGGCCCGAAAAAATGAGGACCTAAAGCTCCCAAAGGGTGAAATGCTCACAGCCTAGACATTCATCACCTTCTCTGCATCAGATCCTTTGTTTTAGGCTATTTTGGCTGTATTTTCCTTTTTTCTAGGGCATCCAATCTTTTAGATGTCTAGTTTGTTGAATTTTTTATAGGCCCTTGAGATAAATGTGTTATTTATAGGACTACGAATCTAGTTTCTATCCACACAATTTTTTTCTGAATATAGAATCATGTGGTGACATTTTCACTGTGATCAATCTTCAATTGTCATCTTTGATGTGATAAATTTGGCCTATGTCTGTTCAATATTGATCTCATTTTTGTGCCTCTTTGTTTAGGGAAGAGTGCTAGGTATTGCTGAGAAGACTAACTACTTGCTATTTATGATTAATGCCTTTCAGGTATGTGTTTATTCAATGAGTTTTGTGGTAGCCGATGAATTGTCTCTATACTTTGTGTTTTGCCTTTTTTTTCTATTTTTCTTAGATCAATTTTTATTTTTTCATACTGCAAAGTTGCAGGCTAATATTTTTATAGCTCAATCACTTTCAGCTCATGTAGACTATATACTAGAATCTTCTCTCATATTTATCGGTGGAATTCATGTGCATTTTGTCTGTCATCTGATTTTTAGGGTAATGAAGTGCTTATTTGATTAGCTTTTTCTTTTCACTGTTGGTTCATAATGATCCCTTGGAAACTTGGTTAGTGATACAAAATCCCCTGTGGCAGTGATCTGTTGGGTTCATAAATGCTGTTCCTGTATTCAACCATCTCTGGTTTTATTAGAGAATGATCTGACATCTTTTTCCTTATTTCTTTCAGAAGGAATTGAATTGCAATAAATTTTTATTTCATAACTTGAAAACTAAGGATAAAATCTATCTGCAAACAGAATCTTTTACTCGAAGACAACTATCCTACATAATACATTTGCAGAGAAAATCTTTATGCTTATAGGATTTTGATTTCCCCTCCTTTTCATATATACATTTTCTTTACACTAGAAATGAGTTGCTCACATTGCTCTAATAACAAACCAGAGGATATTGTTCAAAACCTGTTACTTTTTTTCTTCAAAGTCACCACGTGAGCTTTAGTTGATGAAGTTTTAAGGTGATAGTATCAAAGGGTGTTGGTTGATGGCATGGGATGTTGATGACCATGAAGTTACAGGGAAAAAAGAGGTCATCTTTTGGTATTGTATCGTCATGAACTACACAGTTGGTTTTGTTTGGAGGAAATGTTTCTTGTCAATTTTTCTCTTAGTTGCTGACGATAGAAGTTGGATGAATGCTGTGAGGAATGGGTTAGTGATTAATCTTATTAATCATAATTTTTTGTCCCTTGTTTTCTTGGTTTTTATTTTTATAAAAAGTGAAAATGTGTAAGGTTACATTGAAGAAGCTTCAGAGATCTATTTAAAAAATCAGGCCAATGTTATTTCAGTTAGAACCATTACGACTCTACTGTGGGAACGGTGATTCCTGCTGGTCAATTTTGTGCTGTGTACTCATTTATTTTAAATTACTTTTTTCTAATGTGGAGCGCCTGTTTGCCAGACCTAGTTGCCATGAAATTTATCACCTTAGGTTTCCTCCACATTGCACTTCTGAAGATTTAGTTACTTTTTCTTGCCAAATGGCCTAATATATCGTTGCAAATAGCCATAACAGTATCTTTTTTCCGCTTCCATTAAACCTATTTTTTCTTGTTCATTCTTATCTCGCTTTACTTGTCCTAAACCTGCATTTGGAAATGGATGGGTTGTCACATTACTGATTTCTCATAGCATTCTACAGATAAAAGTTGCCTGAGGTTGATGGGTTTCTCATACACATTACTGATTTCTTGTTCATTAATTGTTTTCATCCTTTGCTTATCTCTGTAGAGTCTCGAAGATGAAATTGTCAGTGAGACAGTTCTTAGATTAGTTAGCCTTCAGTTATGGCACAGTTTGTCTCATGGCCGATTCAAGGTATGTTTTTTCATGGCTTTGAAATAGTTGTCTAACTTTTTAATCTCTGAGACCTTTTTTATCTGGTGCAATCCAATAGATGGAGTTATGTCTTAATCCCCATCTGATTAAGAAGTGGAGAAAAATGATTAAGAGAGAACTGAAGGAGTCTAAGAAAGCAGGGAAACCATTTAATTCTTCCAGTGCGCTCGAAGTGACATTCTTGAGGAACCTCATTGAGGAATTTCTGGTGGTACGTTTGAAACAACCATACCGACTCTTTCGGCTTCTCAGTTTCTTATCAGTATCTTAATTGGCTGTTGCTAGTTTTTTTTCGCTTTTTGATGGGGGATCATATTCCAGATACTAGATTCGAAGGTTATACCACAAAAGGATGTCAAAGACCACTTCAACTCATTTGGGTTTGAGCAAGTTGATGAGGGCTGTGTTTTGTACTGTGAAAGATTTATGGAATTCTTGATTGATCTGTTGAGTCAGCTCCCCACAAGGAGGTACGAGTGACAATTTTCTCCTTTTTTTGCTAGACATTGCCAATTTAGTTTTGTTTATGATATGGTGTTGTGAAATTTGACTAGCTTTGATCCTATGACTCTTCTGTGGTCTCTGGATTTGTTGATTGGTTAGCATATATTTACAGTCTAGGATTAGGGTTGTTTCCATTAATGGGTACATCCTTTATTACTGGGGCCGCTACATGTTCTTCACCTTAGTACATAATCATCGTTTATCAGTACTCATTTAGCAGTTGCCTGTATTTCTTAATCTATATTCTCCTCTGGCACTCTCTGACAGACTAAACTATGGCGTTTACTAAGATGCATGAGCATGGACGAAGCAAATACAAGATGCTCATTTGTGGGCCTTAAAATTTATTTTTGTATAGACGCGTTCTATAATCATGACATTCAGATGATTTGTGCAGCAATTAAGTTTGATCGATTGTAGTCATGAGTTGTGACCATAGTAGATGCCGCTACATTGTAAATTAGCTGAGCTGACAAAGAAGAACGAGCAAGATTGTATTAGCAGTCTGACCTAAATATTGACAATATTTCACCTCAGGAACTTTCTTTTGCATGGTCTTTTTGGATTTTTCTATGATTATTAAATGCTAAGTAAGTCATAGGGGCGGATTTAAAAAAAGGATCTCTGGAAGGGGATCTTTGTCTGGATGGATGAAAGGTGGGGGAAATTTTAAGTTCGGATGGTTCGTGTAGGTGGACTTTTTTTCTTGACCTAAATCTTCTCTGCACATGGACATTCAGTAAATGTGGATGAAGTATTCTTGATCAATTGTTTTTGGAATATGTATTGATTTTTCTTTGTTGAGTGCTTTTTACTTCAATTTTTTTTGTGTTGTGCAGTTCTGTTCACTAAACGTGATTGGATTTACATTGCTATATCTTATCTGGGATTATGCTTGTTTACAATTAGTTTCACTAGTGTTTTGTAATTCTTATTGACGAGAGTCATTTTGTTAGTTCCGTAGTTATTGACACGATTTTCATTTAAATAGGTTTCTGAGGCCTGTTGTTGCTGATGTTGCTGTTGTTCCAAAATGTCACTTGAGTGTTCTGTATTCCCATGAAAGAGGGAAGCTTTTTGCCCAGCTGGTAGACTTGTTACAATTTTATGAAGGTTTTGAAATTGATGACCACGTTGGCACACAGTTGAGTGACGACGATGTATTGCTTGGTCATTATTCTCGCCTGCAAGCATTTCAGTTACTAGCCTTTAAACAAATTCCTAAGGTATGCATGCATAAGACGTCAAATGTCTTCTTCAGGATTCCAACTTTTGGAGTTATTATCTGGGACGTTTCTTGATCGATTTAACACATTAGAACAAATGGTCTGTATTTTCTGGTTAAACTGTCTCTTGGTTGTCAATAATCAATTCTTATTTTTTGTTATTGTAGTTAAAAGAACTTGCACTAGCGAACATTGGCGTGATCCATAAACGTTCTGATCTCTCCAAGAAATTGTCCATACTGTCTTCAGAAGAGCTACAGGACCTGGTTTGCAGAAAGGTCTGTAACATTATGATTCTTTTTCTTTGATACTGTGGAAACATATAATTAATACTTTCTCTAGTAAAATGCCTGTATTGTATATATTGCATCTGCAATTGGTTGTGGAGAAATACTGAGGCGTGTAAACTTGAATGATGTTAAATTTTCGATGTGCAATCTACAGTCTTTTTGTTGTGGTTTCTTTTTCTATCCTGGATTATCTATCATTTCCTTTTCATTCCTGTTAAGCTATTAGGTATATTAACTAATTTGATCGTTTTTGCATATGTAATCGAATATTTTCTTTTCTAAGAATGTTATGAAATCTTACTTAGATTAAGTTATTTCATTACCTTCTTCCATGTTCTTTTGTACGAGATAATCTTTGTAGAAATGCGGAAATCGGTGGTTTTTGTTTTTGGAATGAAATTTAATATACTTAAAGGATCGGCTGATATTTCATAGTGAAATAAATTTTGTTTGAATCCTCTCTTCAATCGTGAAATGCTTGTGTTACAGCTCAAACTGGTGTCTGCTGAGGACTCCTGGGCGATGAGGACTGATTTCCTTGTTGAAGTTATGGTGTCCTTCTTTGGGAAACGTCAGTCCCAGAAAGAAGCAATAAATGCTCTACCTCTCTACCCAAATGAGCAGATAATGTGGGATGAAAGTCTTGTGCCCAGTATCAATTATTCAGGGGAAGGCTGCCTCGCACTTCCTAAGCTTAATCTACAGTTCTTGACACTTCATGACTATTTGTTAAGAAATTTCAATCTTTTCCGACTGGAATCGACATATGAGATCCGTGAAGACATACAGGAAGCTATCCCCCACCTTCTCGCATATGTTAATAATGAGGGAGAGACTGCTTTTCGAGGTTGGTCTAGAATGGCTGTGCCAATAAAAGTGTTTAGAATAACTGAGGTGAAACAGCCAAATATTGGAGAAGTCAAGCCGGCATCTGTAACTGCAAATGTTACATTTAACATTTCCAGTTACAGGGCTCATATTCGATCTGAATGGGATTCCCTCAAAGAGCATGATGTCTTATTTTTACTGTCAATTAGACCTTCGTTTGAACCTCTTAGTGCAGAGGAAGCTGCTAAGTCCACTGTGGCAGAGAGGCTTGGCCTTCAATATGTACGTGGATGTGAGGTCATTGAAATTCGGGACGAGGAAGGAGGACTGATGAATGATTTCACCGGAAGAATCAAAAGGGATGAATGGAAGCCACCTAAAGGAGATCTTCGAACTGTTACAGTCGCACTGGATACTGCACAATACCATATGGATGTCAGCAGTATTGCAGAGAAGGGTACTGAGGATGTTTATGGAACATTTAACATCTTAATGAGAAGAAAACCGAAGGAGAACAACTTTAAAGCAATTCTTGACTCCATAAGGGATCTCATGAATGAATACTGTATTGTTCCTGACTGGTTACATAATATATTCCTTGGCTATGGGAATCCTTCTGCTGCACAGTGGATCAACATGCCTGATCTTTTGGATGTTGTGGACTTCAAAGACACATTTGTCGATGCACAACATTTGATTGATAGTTTTCCAGAATATGAGGTACAAATCATTATCCTTTTGCCTTTATGTTTAACTACTCATTACCTGACATTCATACTTATCAATGTGATCCTCAGCAAATTTTGACGGCCGTACTTTCTTCAGGTTTGTTTTGTAAATTCACATGGTGCAGAAGAATTGCATCCAAAGCCACCTTTTAAGATAAACCTTCCTAAAGCTCTGAAAGCTAGCTCTCATGCACTTTCAGATAATATGAAGTCTGGAAATCGTGTATCCAGTAATAATGAGAATAACTCTGAGCAGGAAAAGATTGTCGTTGAGACATACATTCCGGCTGATCCAGGCCCTTATCCCCAAGATCAGCCCAAGCAGAACTCAGTTAGATTTACTCCTACTCAGGTACCTAGCATCTTCTGTTGATAGCAATGTATAGACGCCATTTTATCATTTTTTTCATTCGAGTGAGTATAGCAATGCTACATTTGCCTCATAAATGTTGAAGATATATATGTTGATATCCTTCGTTCTGTGTACTAAAAAAATTATCTATAATTCGTCATTTACCATCAAATTTAGAGGCAACAAGAAAATCCTCGTATGGATGAAAGCCTTAAACCTCAATTTACGGTAAATAATTAGTGCAATGCCACTTTAATTATAAATGTATGACAGGTGGAAGCCGGACTTCCGAGAAAACAACAGCGAAGCCTGCTACAATGTATGGCTTTTCATATTTTCTTGGATTCTATCTGTATCATAGGCAATTATAATAGCAGTACGGATGATGTGTTGGTCAATATCCCTTCTAAGAGGTGATGCTATGGTTATACTCGGTGTCTATGCCATTTTGCTGTTTTTAAATGAGTTCTTAGAATTATTTTACGAATGGGATGCATATGGAATTTCCAGAAGAATTACTTTAAAAGATGCTTTTCTAGTTCTAGAATGCTGTTCGTTGGTACTTTTATTAGACTAAGTTTTGACTGATGATTTAAGTTAGTTGGCTGATAATTTTAGTTAAATATGTATGTTGGGTGCAAATGGAATTGATGGTGTATAAAGCATCACATAAGTAATGTTCACGATGGCATTTTTGCCGATTTATAACTCCCAGTGAACTATTGATGTAGTCAACATCTCAAATTCATATTAGATTATCATGGTCGTCAATCACCACTTTTAAGTTCGATGATGTATTTTTTTTTCCGTTGTAGGTTGGAGCAATTATTTCTGGTGTTCAACCAGGGTTGACAATGGTTGTTGGTCCACCTGGTACGGGAAAGACTGATACAGCTGTCCAAATATTGAATGTTCTCTATCATAATTGTCCATCTCAGAGAACATTAATCATCACGCATTCCAATCAGGCGCTGAATGATCTTTTTGAGAAAATCATGCAGGTATAACCGTACTATTTCTTTATTGTACTGGCGCTGTAAGGAATCACATTTGTGCTGTCACAGAAATATTAAGTGACTAAGATGCTTACTTGCATGTGATAACAGTACTTGCCATTTGTCTTCGTTGCATGCTCCCTTCGTTTTTCTCACTTTCTCTGGGTTTTTTTTTTGGGACATGGAATAGTACGGAGGGTCATTAATCTTTGTAATTTCTCAGCAAGGATGTAGATACTGTGACATTTATGTAAGTACGCAAGAAAATGTTCATGAAGCTAAAAAAAAATTAATTTTTTATGAGGCACTGGAATAAAGGTTTCAACATTATTACGCATTTTGGATACATCTCTGAATCACTGGGCTTCCTTTTTCTCTATGTTTGTTTTTATTGTCGGCTACATCTTGTTCCTCCAGCATTCTGGTCACAGTTTAAGAAGAAAGTGTCTGCTTTTATTTTCTGTGGGAATAAGTATCCATCTTTATCACAGAGGTTTTCCTGAAATTAAGTTTTTAGGGATATTAAAAGCATTTTACATATAGAGAAATCTGCTATTTTTTACATATTATTTTCCTTTTACACATTTTAGAGAAATCTGCTCTTCAAAATTAAAAGCAGAGTTTGAATTTAACAATGCAAGCAACAATTTTCTTGATCTTTTATGCACCAAAGTCTGTAAGGGAATATTCCAAGATATGTAAATAGATTCGGATTCGGAGGACATGAATCATCTGTGAACTAGCTGTTTTTTTCTTTTTAATACCAGATGAAAAAGTCAACTGTGTGTCTGTTACTTTGCTTTCTCATTTTTGCTTCAGAGGTTGGACTTTTCTCTTTGAGTATGTACACATTATTTCCTCCATGCCTTTTAATGCTAATATCCATTCCATCATGACAGAGAGATGTCCCTGCTCGGTATCTACTCCGTCTGGGACAGGGTGAACAGGAGCTGGCCACTGATCTTGACTTCAGCCGCCAAGGTCGTGTGAACGCGATGCTTGTTCGTCGACTTGAGCTTCTTGCTGAAGTGGAAAGGCTCGCACAATCACTCGGTCTTCCAGAAGACGTGGGCTATACTTGTGAATCTGCTGGATACTTCTGGTTGATGCACGTGTACTCCAGGTGGGAGCAATTCCTTGCCGCATGTGCAACAAATCAAGATAACCCCACATTTGTCAGAGATAGATTTCCATTTAAGGAGTTCTTCACCAATGCTCCCCGACCAGTTCTCACGGGTCAATCTTTTGAGAGAGACATGAGGGCGGCAAAGGGCTGCTTCCGCCATCTTACGACAATGTTCCAGGAACTGCAGGAGTGCCGGGCTTTTGAGTTGCTCAAATCAACAGCCGACCGGGCGAATTATCTGATGACCAAGCAGGCGAAGATCGTGGCCATGACCTGCACCCACGCGGCACTTAAGAGGAAGGATTTCCTCCAGCTGGGCTTCAAGTACGATAACCTACTTATGGAAGAAAGTGCTCAGATTTTGGAGATCGAGACGTTCATACCGATGCTTCTCCAAAGGCAGGAAGACGGCTACGCACGGCTGAAACGCTGCATATTGATAGGTGATCACCACCAGCTGCCTCCGGTTGTCAAGAACATGGCTTTCCAGAAGTATAGCCACATGGATCAGAGTCTTTTCACCAGATTTGTTCGCCTGGGAGTGCCCTACATCGAGCTGAATGCACAGGGTAGAGCTAGGCCCAGCATAGCTAAGCTCTACAACTGGAGATACAGAGATCTTGGGGACCTTCCTTTTGTACGGGAGGAGGCTATGTTTCATAGGGCTAATTCTGGCTTTAGCTATGAGTATCAGCTGATTGACGTTCCTGACTACCACGGGAGAGGTGAGTCGGCGCCTTCGCCTTGGTTCTATCAGAATGAAGGCGAAGCCGAGTACATCGTCAGTGTGTACATGTACATGCGTCTACTTGGATACCCGGCCAATAGGATTTCCATATTGACCACTTACAATGGGCAGAAGCTTTTGATCCGTGATGTTGTAAATAGAAGATGCATGTCGAATGGCATCGGCCCTCCCAGCAAGGTCTTAAATTCACGACCCTTTTCTCTCTCATCTTCACCAAATGCTTGGTTTCGTTGACCCACCCATCATGTTTTAATTATTTCATTATTTATATTATATTATTAATGCACACACCCAGCCACACACCCATCATGATATACATATGTTTGACCAAAAACATTCCATATATTCATTTAAATGCTACATATGGACCTTAGTTCATATCTTTTGTCTTAATCCACCATGGTTCTGTTCACTTTATTGCTATGACGTTTAATATAATATATTAATGTATCATGGACCCTCATAGCAAGGTCTTTAATTTCATCTTGACCAAACAACCATACACATTCTCATGGACCCATCGTGGTTCTGCTTTAATCTAAGTCCAATGCGTTCGGAATCTGTTCTGGATAGCCTGCTGAGTTTGACTTTTTGCATGGCAGGTTGCCACGGTGGATAAGTTTCAAGGACAGCAGAATGATTTCATTCTGCTATCGCTTGTGCGGACCCGCTTTGTGGGCCATCTCCGAGATGTGAGGAGGCTGGTTGTCGCCATGTCGCGCGCACGGCTCGGGCTCTATGTCTTCTGCCGCCGTTCCCTCTTTGAGCAGTGCTACGAACTGCAGTCCACATTTCAGCTGCTGCTCCAGAGGCCAGATTCTCTGGTCCTGAACCTCCAGGAAAGCTCTCCTTTTACTGAACGTCTCGTTGGGGACACTGGCACTGGGCATTTTGTCAGCGGCATTCAAGAGATGGAAGAAATTGTCAACTTCAAGATGCACCAGCTATATCAGGTAACTATGTTCTTCAATCGTTGCAGGGTGGATAGAACTTGATCATGATTCGCAAAGTCCCTAGATTATTATTTTTCAGTTACTGATCCACGAGTCCCCATCTTCTCTCTCATCTAGGAGATATGTTCTACATATCTCCTAAGTTTTGCCGTCTATATCAGGCAACTATGTTCTTCAATTGTTGCAGGGTGTGTAGAGCTTGATTGTGATCCATGAGTCCCCATATTTTCTCATTTAGGAGATATTTTCTTCATATCTCCTAAGTTTTCTCATTATTATTTTCTCTGAACATCTTCTGATTATTCGCGAATATCTGACTATTCTTATTATAGGCAGAACTGATTTAACCCCCTTGAGTCTCTGGTCAACGAGGCCCTAAAAAGCTTGTTATTATTATAGGCACAGCTCATGAGCCATCACCAGCAGACCACAGCATACGCGGAGGAGTCAACGAGACCAGAAGATGGAGATGACACCCACATGGTCAACGAGGAGGAAGATCAGGAACCTCGTTCTCCTGGGATCTCGCAGGATTCAACCATGGCCGCCGCCAACGGGGAAGCCGAGGGGGACACGACGGATGACAAGGGCTTGGGAGATGAACTCAAGGTGGAGTGACCTATCTCATCCTGTAGAAACCCACCCCGTTAGCTTTTCGTGCTCTTTTGTGCATATTTTGCCGATTAGTCTCCCAGATTCTTGGAGATTGAATGCTGGAATTTTGAGGATCAGTAGTTTTTGTGGGTCTATTTCTGCAAATCTTGACGAGGTATAATTTAACGTTTTTGTTTTTGTTTTTGTTTGTGTGGGTGCATAGTCTTCTGATTATTCACAACGAAGGTGGCTTACTAGGGGGGAGAGAGAGAGAGAGAGAGAGAGAGAGAGAGAGAGAGAGAGAGAGAGAGAGAGAGAGAGAGAGAGAGAGAGAGAGAGAGAGTATATCGTCGAATAGTGTATGACCCAATACACTATAATCAGAAACCCATTTGGGTTACTAGGAAATAGAGGGGTAGAGAGAGAGAGAGAGAGTTATCAAGTCAAAAGGATATTATTTATTTGGCTCATCTCAATCACGCTAATTCAAAGTTAAAATTGACCTGGAGAAAATCAGTTCTTAATTTAGATTCTATTTATTTTTGTTGAGTTTAGGCTCTACTTAACCATTGCGTAAGTTTTACGTTATAAACTTTGTAATTAAATATATAAATAAAACAAGGTTATTTTTAAAAAATGCGAATGTCTGATGCCTTCTCTTTTCAAGACGTTTCTCACTTTTGCCTCTCTCTCTCTCTCCTAATAATAGCAGACGTATCCGATAGAGAGAGAGCGAGAGACGGAGAGAGAGAGAGAGCGAAAGTCTGATGCCTTCCCTTTTCAAGACGTTTCTCTCTCCTATTAATAGCAGACGTATCCGATATATATATATATAGAGAGAGAGAGAGAGAGGGAAGGGTCAACGTCGTCTTCTAGTTTCAATATTCTATTTCTTTTTCCTATTTGTCGGGCTAAGATGAGTGCAAGGCTATAATTTGAGGGTATAAATAGTATTCATGGTAATAATTTGAGAGTACAGTCAACGAATGAGGGATTTAATCATAATTTGACATTTCTAAGCACGATCTTCACGTGTGTACGCGTCTGTCTGCTTACAACCGTCAAAGTTCTTCTTCTTCTTCTCCTCTTTTCTGAGGGAGATCAGCCTCCGTTTCTCAGGGAGGAAGGGATAACTATGGAGCTGAAGCCCGGCTTGTCCGCTCTGGTCACCGGAGGCGCTTCCGGAATTGGTAATTCGACGGCTTCCCATCCCGAAGCACTGTTCATTGACTTCTTCTCGTCACACCTTATTCTATCGTCGAGCGGAGCTGGTCGGTGCCTGGAATTTTCCTCTTTTTAATCGCTTCGGCTACGTAGCAGCAGAGATGTTACGAGCAATCGACTGTGGAGCACAGAATTAAGCCAAACGTTCAACCTCTTTTAACATATCTCGTATAGCATCCGTTGAGAAAATTCTGCTTTCTAGTTATAAATCTGATGATCACGGTTTCTTCCGAGAAATGTATTTATAACGCATTCGTGTGATCGACGATTCTGCCTCCATGAATTATTCTGATGGGCCTTTTAAGATACGGATATTATTTTTAAAAGAGGTTAGGCGAATGTATAATTCCCTTTTATTTTATTTTCTTTGTACTCGCGGAAGCACCGGAGTGAAATAATTTTTAGCTGCAGGAATGTCCCCTATTTATTCTGCACCGAGAACGACATATTTTTTCGTGTTTTTTGAAATATAGGAAGGGCACTCTGCTTGGCACTTGGAAAGAAGGGCGTTTCCGTGACAATCGTTGACTTTTCTGAAGAAAGGGGTAAAGAAGTTGCGCTGTTGGTAGAAAAAGAGAACAAAGTTTTCCATCAAGATGAAAAATCTCCTTCATCACTATTTATTAAGTGTGACGTTACCAATTCAAGTAAGTGGGCTATTCTTCATCTACAGAGTTCATGCTATCTCCTAGATGTTGCTGCAAATTATAGTAATATGGGAATATTTCTATCCGACTTCTTGAAGTTTAATAAATTTAAAATTAGTGTTGAGTATTCGACAATCGTTCTTTCTAATCATCCTCGAAATATTAACTTTTTATTTTTATCAATATATATATATAATTATAATTATCATAAGTAGCATAAATATGGTGTTGAATTGATTTTACCAGCCGAAGAAAAATAGCGCAGTGACAATATGACAATAATGCGATATTCAATCCTGATGAATTTGATGTCATCTTTCTGTTTGTAAGATTATAAGAATAAATGAATAACATAAAGATGAAATCTACACCAGATTTTACAATAAATAACAACTTGCGTTCAGAAGAGTTACCTGTTCAACCTCATTTGTTTTACAGTCTTCTCGAAAACATGTTGAGTTTTCTTTTAATTAATAGGGATGTAAAAGAAGGAAGTTATTGTTTCATCTGCTTGTATCTAAACAGCACTTCGTTTGTGCTCCTAATCAATGACGAGTAAAAAAAAAAGTAACCTGAACTTTGGGAAATATATTTCATTTAAATGCAGTATTTTTCCATATTAATGAATTCGAGTAACTATTGCTGGGCAAATCGTATCTTTTTTTCTGAGCAGTTCTCATATTATCTAGTTTATTATTTATAGGGGAAATGGCTGCCGCATTTGATAAACATTTGGAGGCATTTGGGGGGTTAGACATTTGCATCAATAGTGCTGGGATTGCAAGTCAGGCTCCATTTTGGAATGATGAAACTGAAGGGAAAGGTTCATGGAGGCATGTTATTGAAGTTGATTTTCTTGCAGTTGTTAATTGCACACGCCTTGCGGTATGCTTTAAATAGAAATTTATTAACCAGGACGATTGCCCTCTTTCTTTTCTTGAACTCATATTTTTTCTTACGATTTTTTTCTTGAATTTCACTGTATATATATTTTTTTCCTTTTTTATTTTTTGGCCAACGAGAATTTGAATTAAGGTAACTCATAAGCTTTTTAGCTACTGTAATGGCTCATGTTCTGTGATTTGCAACAGTCGCCTGCTTTACTTGGTCTTCTTTTGGAAGTAAGCGTTGAGTTTTGTGAAATTCTACGTAGCTTTGAGTCAACATGTGCCACTGTGAACATTCCTAAACGTAAGAGTGTAGTGGGGATTATAGTTTATCTCTACTGTTCTTACATAGATTTACTTTCTCATCTGTGAATATGGGCCATTCATATGCACCTAATTTGAGATACTTGTGCTAGCTTCGTCAAATCAAGATATTGTGAATCGTCATTCCTCTTATAAATGAGACAGCAAAGCTGACATTGCTTTATTTTTTGGTCGGATTCCTTTTCTGAGGAATAACACTTGTTATGCTGTATATACGACGTACATGGTGATGTATTTTGGTTGCCATCTTAAGATCATATTCAATCTATTAGTCCTGTTGGTTTAGCTGACTCAGAAAACTATCTGGTTTTTATGAGGTTAAACTACTGTTCAAGCAAACATCACAATCGTCGAACTATAAACTACAAGAATTAAAACAAGCAGGATATCTGAGGGCAGAGTACAATGAACCTCCCCTTCCCTTTATGCGGTCCTCGTTGCATTGATCATTGATGTTGTTGCTTCTTGCTCTTGAGAAGAGTAAGTTGCAAAGGGAAACAAGAATGGTGAGGGGTTGAGGCTGGCTGGCATCATGCATGCATTGTTTCTCCATAGAGACATTGTTATCGACAGTGACCATCGTGACCGCGTGGGAGGGGGGATAAGACTCGGTTCCTAGTGGCGGCATTTTCTCTGCAGCTGATGTAGTAACATTGTAAAAACCACTGATTCTGGGGCTGGTAAGCTTCATTTTCCCAAGAGATTGCAATTCGAGTGGGTATTATTTCTCAGTAGGGGATAAAAGGAAGAATATTGAATACGCTACTGAGTTGGACGAATCAAATACTGGCAAGCCAAGAATAGAACTTGTCAGATCAGCCTTGTTTCTTCCAGGTCCTATCATGGAAATGCTTTATAAGATATTTAAATACTAAATCAGTCTGTAAGTTGGCAAACAGTGACTTAGAATTGGTCAATAGAAGCTAGGAACTTGTTGGAACTGGGCAGGTACACCGACTGTTAGAGCAGACCCCTCCAACTTTTACTTCAACTTTCCTATTTTTTTGAGAAGTCATCGGAGAAAAGGTTTAAGATTACTGGAACCGGTCATTGTTGGGCTGTAATTGTATTAGAAGCAGCAATGGCTGTTCTAGTTCTGATTTCATGTGTTAGTTCTTAGAAAAATTGTGGTGGACAATCTTTGCTGGAGTTCTATCTCACAGGCCGAATGGAGGGTCCTTGTGTTCTTGTCCCCTGTGAACCTTTAATCCTTCCTGCCGTCAATCTCCAACGGGGATGGTTCGTTGCTGATTTAAATAGTACGTCAGCAAGCTTCATGTGTCGATCCCATTAATAGAAAGGAGGCAGGGCGATGAAACCCCGTACAGTACAGTTAAAGTCAGCGGGTGTGTAAGCTCAGCCTAGTTTTCTCAAGTTACCATTGGGTTATTTACATAATTCTACTTTGGAGACTCTCCAGTAGTCTATCTGGCTTAAGTGTCTACACATGCGTTTTATTTTTTTTAGTGGAATTCCTATAATTTGATGTTAGGCCGCAACCATGCATAGGGGCTGTTTGTGCAAAAATGAACCTCATGGGCCGCAGTCAGATGTTTTTGCGATCATCTAATGTTCTCGAGAAACCAAGCTGTGTTCAGCTACCGATGTGAATATGACATCCCAGCCATCTTGGGATGCCTTGAAGGGTTGTACTGAGATGTCACCAGGGTGAGGGATATGTGAAAACTTGAAAACTTGAAAACTTCATGTTTATTTTATTTATTCTACTTCGGAAAACATTATCTTTATGATTTCTTTTCACCTGTTAATTTTTTGTCAGTTTTTTTACCAGTGGTTTTTTATACCATGATTTTACTCCATGTAGATCCGAGCAATGCAGTCCATGAAGAAACATGGCGTAATAATCAATCTTGCCTCAGCTGCTGGTCTCTATCCACTTTATGTTGATCCGATCTATACGGGTTCAAAAGGTATGTGTTACGCAGAACAAGTCTTCTATATTAGGCTTTTCTTATATTTTTGCCTTTCTGTTCTCTTGTTAGGTGTATTTCCCCATCATTAGACCTTTCCATAAATACTAGAAAGGTCCATTATATGCCAATATAAATACTGGCGTACAGCCCTAATGAGGGCTAAGTCAGTTTTACCTTTTACTACTTCCACTGTATCTCGAAACACGGTATCAAAGCTTTCCTTCTGATCCTATGTGAGACCGCCGATGGAAGATCAACCAACTTTGGTGGCGACAATGACTCTGTGTAGTAGGCAATGTCGCCCGGTGATCTTCTTCCTGTCTGCAGCACCTGAGATCAATTGTGAGGTTCCTTGGTCATAAGCAGATCGGCGGATTCTTTGGTCATAAGCAGTCTTTGGAGACCGGCGGATTTTCTTGATGGTGGTGGTCGTATGCAAGTATACCATCATCGTTTCTTGACAGTGGCGGTTGTCCTCAGGTACACCATTGTCGTTTCTTGACAGTGGTGATCATCTGTGTCTTGATATGTGTCTTTGATCCCAATTTCTTGAATAGAAATTGTTCTTAATACTCAATCTACAGAAAACTGAGTACTACATCAGGGAGCCTCTTTTTGAGAATATTTCTCAAGGGATATTGGATCACGACTGCAGAATATGGAGACAAAGGTTATTGAATCCTCCTCCTTTGGCCCAAGACACTCAGTTGGGGTAATCAAGGTATGTGTAGATCTACCTAAAATTGCTGAGAGATTCCAATTTGACGGAATAAATTGGACATCTTTTATGGAACTTATTCTATGCGGGAGGAACTTGGATCATCATCTGATGCAATCTGTTCCAAGTATATATGAGACAAGGTATATGTAGTCTATATTTGAAATTTGTGAAGGAATTATGAGACAAGGTTCATCGTGGCCACTACACTAAACATGATGAATCACAAATTTATCGTTTGGTGTAAAGATCTCTTAGTTTGGTACAGGGAACATTGACTGTTCTGGAGTATGCCTAAGAATTAGAACCTATTTGGAGAGAAATTGATCATTATAGACTGATTAAGAATCCTAATGCTGAAGAGTGAAAGTACATCATGAAAGACAAGCTATATAAATTTTTGATGTGTCTAAATTTAGATTATGGACTCTAGTAAATCAGATCTTTGCTCAGAAGGTGGTACCTGACATTGAAGAGGCAATTGTATTAGCCAAACAAGAAGAAAGCGTGAGAAATCTGAGGAATGATTTTAAGACAAAATGTTGCATTCAACATCCTTAAGAATAAAGATACCTCTGTGCTTAAAAAGGGGGATGGTAAAGCACCATTTATCAAAGGAGATCCCAAGACTGATCCAAAGGCACATCTATTCTGTATTCGTTGTCGAAAGACTCATCATATCAAGGAAATCTATTGAAAAATTCACAGCAAATCACACAATTATGGAAAGCTGCATTTGGTTAATGTCCAAAGTGAGGATAGTGTTGAGCCAGTGATACAAGGACGAGCTAGTCAAGACAGATCTACCTCTTCTCAGCCTTTGGAGATTGGAAAACTCAGAGAAGAAATTGAATAGTTGAGGAGCATAATCAATTCCACTTCTCTTGTGCACACTAGTAAGCATTCTTCTAAGCATTTTCTATTATGCTTAACTACATCATCACTAGCATCACCATCATCTTTGAAAGTATCCTAGATAATTGATTCTAGAGCCACTGGTCATATTACTCCATATGCATCACTATTCATAACACATGAGGTCTGTACCAATAAATGAAAGGTTGTCACTGCAAGTGGAAATATTTAACCTATATTTGGCATCAGATTGATTCATCTTAAAGAATTGAGGACATTAAAATATGTTCTTCATGTTCTGAGATTGAATGCACATCTATTATCATTGAGAAAATTGAGTAAAGACCTAAGTTGTCTGATATTATTTGACGACGACTTGTGTTTCTTCTATGACAAGAACTCAAGTTGGAGATATTAGATAATGGGATGGACTCTACTACTCTAGACACATGGACAAGATGTTATGGACAAGATGTTGTTGACAAATTGCTGTTGACAAATTGCTGTTTTTACATTGTCATTTAGGACATTCATCCATAAAAGTACTTCTACACTTGTTTTCAAAACTATGTCGTGCAATTGGTGAATCTACTTTCATATGTGAACCTTATCAGATGGCTAAACAGCGATGAATTTCATTACCTTCTACTAGGAATAAAAGTGAGTCTCCTTTTTATAGAATACATTCTGATATATGGGGTCCTTCTTCTTCTGATAATATTAGGGACTTCAGATGATATATCATCTTTGTAGATAATTTCACTAGGTTTACATGGATTTATCTTATAAAAAATAAATCAGAAGACAATAGCATTATCTAGAGATTTATTAGGTTGGTTCAAAATCAGCTTAGTGTGACCCTTAAGAAATTTTGATTAGACAATGTTGAAGACTTCTTCAACTCTACTGTCTCCAATTTCTTTCTTGAGGTCATTGTCCACGAATCTTCTTCGCTGAGCAGCAGAAAGGAAGATTGCTCACTTGTTGGAAATCACAAGGGCTATCATGTTTAAAGCCCAAGTGCTGAAGCACTAATGGAGTGAAGCAGTACTAACTGCTACTCATCTTGTTAATTGTCTCCCATCAGAAGTTTTATTATTTCAGGCTCCCAAAGTGTTATTGCAGGGTTATCATCTCACTGTGCAATATGGACCAGATTTATCTCTTCGTGTATTTGGGTTTATCATATACATCCATCAATCGCAGAATGGTTTGTTTAAGTTTGATCCCAGAGCAATAAAAGCAGTCTTTTTTGGCTAATTTAATACACAAAAAGGATACAAATTTTATGATCCAAGGTCTAGGAAAATTATTGTGACTATTAGTGCGACATTTGATGAAAGTAATATGTATTTCCAGCAATATAACTCAAAAGTCTAGATGTGACATGTTTATACCAGAATAACATGATTTATATATTGAGATTTTTAAAGAAGATGAAACTCCTTAGGATGACATCAATCCCATCCTCACATGATACTTCAATGGAACTACCAACACCTCAAACTCAACCACATCGATTTGGTTGAACTCATTATCAAAGAAAGCCAAAGGCAATCAAATGGAGTAATGAACATGATCTACCCAATGCAGCAAATGCCTAAAATTTGAGGCAGCATGACGAGCCAATTGTTGAATGTGATAGGTCACTAATTGATCAACATAACCTCCCATTGCTCAAGAATGTACAAAGAAGAAGGTATATCTCCTGCAACTATGTATCTTATCATCGTCTGTCTCCACAATACAGGTCATTTCTATCGGCTATTGATAGATACAATACTCCTCAAAACACTGATGAAGCTCTATGAAGCTCACTATGAAAAAAGGCAATGAATGAGGAGATGATAGCTCTACATAAGAATTAAACTTGGAAATTTGTGTTGCTTTCCAAGAAGAAAATCATGGGTTGCAGATGGATATATACTGATGGCTCTGTTGAGCTCTTTAAGGCTCGACTGGTGGCAAAAGGCTTCACCCAATTAGCTATGCATTATGATTGGTCCTTATTACAGTTTGATGTGAAAAATGTATTCTTGCATGAAGGGCTTTTGAAAGAAATATATATGGATCTTCCATCAGAGTGCAAAGACTCAAATGATATTCCAAAAGTATGCAGACTTAAGAAGGCATTATATGGCTTAAAATAGTCACCAAGATCTTGGTTTGGCTGCTTAACCACAACAATGAGAGCATTGGGGTTCAAGCAAGCCAATGGAGATCATGCTTTATTTTATAAGTAATCTAGTTCAGGGAGAGTGGTTATCTTATTAGCATATGTTGATGACATGATCATCATTGAAGATGATATGCAAAAAATTACTAATCTTCAAAAACAATTGAGAACCGGACTTGGTATCAAAGTGTTGGGACAATTAAAATACTTTTTGGGAATTGAGGAACCTATTCTCATAGAAATTTGTTCATATCTTAAAGAAAGTATATTACTAATTTACTCAAGTATATGAGCATGAGTAACTATAAACCAGTTTGTACTTCAATTGAAGTGAAACATTATATTGAGACTTCAAAGGAGAGAGATCAAGTGGAAAAGGGGTCTTATTAACGGCTGGTGGGAAAATTAATTTATTTATCCCATATTAAATCAGACATTGCTTATTCAGTTGGAGTAGCCAATATATGCATGATCCTAGGGAGGTTTATCATCAAGTTGCTCAACGAGTCCTAGCCTATCTTAAAGGAATAATTGGCATGAGAATCTTGTTAAAAGGGAAGATTCTCTTACAATAGGCATTTATAAAATTGTTGATTATGCTGGTTCAATTGAAAATTGATGCTCTACTACTAAGTATTATTGTATCATTGGAGGAAATTTTGTTACTTGGTGAAGTCAAAAATAGAGAGTTGTGGCTTGATCAAGTGCTGAAGCAGAATTTAGGACTATAGCCTTTGAGATTTGTGAAGGCATGTGGATAAAGAGTATACAAAATGATTTATAAATACATATGAAAGGTTCTATTATCTTGTTTTGTGACAATCAGTCTGCAATAAGTATTGCACATGATTCTGTTCAGAATAACAAGATCAAACACATTGAAGTAGACATACATTTTATTAAAGAGAAACTTGAATTAGGGATGTTATGCACAAAGTATGTCTCATCTACAAATAAATTAGTTGATATATTGACAAAAGGTATTTCTGCAATAGAGTTTTGCAAACAAAGGAACAAGCTGGGTATATACACGCACCGGCTTGAGGGGGAGTGTTACGCAGAACAAGCCTTCTATATTAGGCTTTTTCTCTATTTTCGTCTTTCTGTTATCTTTTTAGTTGTATTTCCTCCTTTTGTGTTTCCATCATTAGACCTTTTCATAAATACTGTAAAGGTCCATTATACGCCAATATAAATACTGGCGCACATCCCTAAGGAGGGTTTAAGTCAGTTTTACCTTTCACTGCTTCTGCTGTATCTCGAAACAGCATGTCTTGTTATACCTTGTTTTGTTTATTTAACATTATCATTGCCATCAAACATATGTATTTGTATCTGACTTAGAAAAATTTCATTCATACAATTTCTTAGAGATTTTCTGACAGAAATTGTTTCTCAGGTGGTGTTGTGATGTTCACAAGATCACTTAGATTTTTTAAACGAGAAGGAATTCGGATCAATGTACTCTGCCCTGAGGTAGCAAACTGAATTGAGAAATCATTTCCTTGGGACGGGAAAACATCACATTTTGATGCTTTTTTATTAATGCCTGTTGTTTGGTTTTCTTACTTATAGGACAGTTAGGTTTGAGAACAACTAACCGAGTTTCATGTTAGTTATGTGAATTCCGTTGTTAATTTTGGAGACTTGTTGGAATTTATGATATTTTTTTTCAAATTTCATAATTTTTTGGATTTTAATTTTTCTCCGAATACAGAAATGGGTTAAGTTTCGTTTCAAATAGTACACTTTTGGTTTATCTCCGTGAATCGCTAAATATCCCGTTTTTCATATATCATTGATTTGTTAGGAATATGTAAAATAAGAAAAGGTTGCTCGGTCTAGGATATATGATAAATTTTCGTTTCATCCTCATGTCTTAGGAACAGATTTGGAATCGTCCTAGTCATTCAGTTTATTATTTTTCATATTCTTTTCTTAATGAAAGCATATGTTCTATTTAGATAAGTTCCCAAAGAGAAGTCAGAGAATTATCTTCCATGGGTGGCTCCTCTTATCAATTATTTAGAATATGGAGTTTTGCTTCTCTTGAGACTATGTTAGGAGGGACGATGTGCTGAACTTGACTAGCATCTCATGGTCGACCAGCACCCAGGTGATGAACGTCTGAATCCTAACCCGAGGTACTTAGGCTAACTTCATGCCATCCACGGCTTCTTAAATGTTACAATCTGAGAGGGAACCAAAGAATAATAATAAACTAGTTTGAAGAGGAAAATGAGCCTCTCTATTTCTTCTTCTTTCTGCCATTTTCGCTAAGTTCCTATGGAGCTTATCTTTTTCTTCCTTATGTGTTGCTAAAGTAATTATTGGATAATTGATAAAATATGTGACATTTATGTATATAAAACCTTAAGGATCTTAGTTTTATCCTTTTGTCAAACAAATGGGCTCAGCCCTGGGCACAGAGACTTTTCCAAAGCCCCCACTCCAGTCCACCCTGCCCATCTGCACGGAAAGGGTTTGTGGGTGTAGGGAGAATGTGTGAGACTGTGCCACCTAGATCGGGTGTCTTTTGGGTCTTCCGAAATAAACTTTAGTGAATTTCAGGGTTGGCCAGATAAGAATTTTGTGCTTGCGTAGACCATTTACACTCTTAACTATGGTCCTGGAAATTGAAAAGAAAGGAAAGGGAGAGAAGATCAAAAGATGATGAGCGAAGATAAATAAATGAATGAAGGGGAGGGAATGGATATTTTCTAATTTCCTTCTTGAAAGGCTGTACTCTAGTCATGATGTATTGTTGAAGATGCATTAATACATAATATGACATTTTGAGTGAGATATAGTCACATGCAGTCTTTAATAAAATAATGTAACAAAGGATTGTCCGTATTAGTTCTTAAAATAGTAGCAGTACCATGTTTTAGATCACTTGGATAAATGAAAATACTCGAAAAACGAGGCATAATCTCACAGTTAATAAGAATTCTAACTCTAAACGAAATACTTCAAGTGCTGGTACAAACTTCTGGCGGCAACTCCAGTGGTGCGTTTAAATGTACTGAAAATAGAAATTAGGAAAATATGATTTGAATGATTCAGTAAGCTCACCTCACTTCTTACAAATTATGAAAAGCATATTATACACGAAAATTACATTATATAGCAGAAGTAGGTCTGTATATTTTAAACCGGGTGCTTATAGTGCAATATGTAAATCCATATAGGTGAACTACTGCTAATAAATTATAGCATAGTTATTTCAAGAAAATTGCACCAGAATCTTGGAACAGATCGTTTGACCTTAGAAATAGAATCAAAACGTCCCATTTTGACTTCAGGGTTCATACAATCATAATGATGAATTTCTGGACCAAACTTGTCAAAGAATGATGAAATTATCCACCGGTTGTCTTCTGACTGATAACGGTGTTTTTGAAAAACAAGTGTCCCTCAAAATGTAGTCACCTTAGCTACGACCTCCTAATATGAACAGCGATGCAACTGAGAACCAAACAGTGAAAGAGAATAAGGGACGAACATGTAACAGGGAGATGTCACGGATAATAGCTTACTATGCTTTAGATATTTCGCTCAACTTTTATCCCTCAAGTGATCTCCTATGGGTGTTTTAATTTGGTTCAGCAAAGCTCCTCATAGTCTAAAACTCTTAATTGGAGAGATTTCAAGAGTGATTGCTTAGAGCTCATGTCAAACCAACGATAATATTAGATAGTGAAGTATCCAACAATCATCTCATTTCTCATAAGGATCTTATTTCTTAAGATATCTTAAGTGTAGAAACTTTCTCTTGCAATCACTTGCCATCATTTCTAGAGCGAGGTTAATTGACTGACTTGCAACCTTTCTCTTGCATTCACTTGCCATCATCTTCATTTCCCTTTTTCTTAACTCTTGTGGTCATTGTGATGGATTTTCTTCTCTTCTTTTTGTTCTGTTACCTCTGCTGGTGGCAGAGGTGCTTGGGTTCTGGTTCTTGTAATTACTATTGGTAGAAATTCTGTGTTGATTAGGATAAGATAACCTAGTTAGATATCTTTTCTTTTTTGTACTTGTTGAGGGTAGGAAACTTAAAACAGGAAGTATCTGTAAAAGGCCTGCTTATAATTTGTATCTACCACGAAGATTTCTAACCTAGCTTGCTTTGGGTTGATCAATGATAGGTTTGATTTCGTTATCATCTTTGAAACAAACTTGTAAGAGCAGACGTGCACGTCCCAATCAATGAACTCTAGTATTCATATTGGTGTCCTAGCATACATAAGTGGAATACTTCAACCCAAACTACTATATGGGCTGACCTGGTCCATACTAGATAATAACATGACTCTAATAACCCCCCTCAATCTGGAACATTTATATCATAAGCTCTTAGCTTGTTACATAGAAATTCCACCCTATGACCATTTAGAGACTTGGTAAAGATATAACAAGTTGATCCTTGGAGTTGACATTCACTATAGTGATGAGTTGCGCTTGGATCTTCTCTCTGATGAAGTGACAATCAACTTTAATATGTTTTGTCCTCTCATGGAATACAAGATTAGAGCTAACATGAATCACTGTCTAGTAATCACAGTTTAGTTCCATAGGACTTGGATGAGAAAAAACCTAATTTTTCAAGATGTTTGACCCACATAAGTTCATATGTAGTGTTTGGTAGTGCCCTGTATTCTGATTTTGTACTTGATCGTGAGAGTAGAGATTACTTCTTAATCTTCTAAGAAGCAAGATTGTCACCAAGAAAAATACATTAGCCAATTATAGATCATCTATTTAGACTGCAGCTTGCTCAGTCTACATTTGAAAAGCCTTGAATAGTGAGGTAATTGTTATTCTTGTTTAATAGTTCTTTGCCTAGATTTCTCTTGAGATATCTTAGAATCCACATAACTACATCTAAGTGTCCCATATGTGGTCATTCCATTAATTGACTCATCACACGAGTAGCAAAAGAGATGTCTAGCTGAATGATAGTCAAATAATTTAGTTTGCCAACTAGATGCCTGTGTTTCTCTGTATCCTTCAACATTACCTTCATCAAATGATAATTTCAAATTAGGGTCCATGGGAGTGGTGCTTAGTCTTGTGGTTAACATACTTGTTTTTCCTAGAAGATCAAGAACATACTTTCACTGATTGATTGTAATTTCTTATTTAGATTGAGAAAGTCTCAATCCCTGTCAAATATTTAAGATTGCCAAGATATTTAGTTACAAATTGTCCTTACATGAATTGCTTGAGTTTAAAAATGCCTTGGTGATCATAAAAGAATATAAGACCAAGCTCTAATACAGTACTACTAAATTAATTAGACCAAGCCCGTGGAGATTGTTTCAGGCCATAAAGAGATTTTCTCAAGTGGCATACCTAATTAGACTCCCTATGAGCATCAAAATTAAGTTGTTGCACCGAATAAATCTCCTCTTGTACGTCATCATGAAGACATACATTTTGGACATCTAGCTAGTTTAGAGGTCAAGAGAACCTTATAATCAATACCAAGAAGATCCTTGTGAAGAAATTTTGATAATTGGAGAGAATGCCCCAGAATAATCTTCACTATTTACTTGAGTGAATCCTCTGACTACTAAATGGGTCTTCAATCTGTCCATAGAGCCATCTAAATCAACTCTGATAATGAAAACCCATTTTCATCCCACTGCGGATTCACAAACAACCGTGGAACTAGACACCAGGTACCATTCTATTGACGAGCAGTCATCTCTTCCTCCATGACTACATACCACTCAAAATGACCAAGGGTCACTGAAATATTCTTAGGAAAAGGTAAATCTAATAAGGTTGAGATAAAGACATAACAGGTTGGACACAAATGAGTATAAGAGACAAAATTACCTACAAAGTACAAGATTTCTTTGCCTTTCATAGGGAAAAAGGTAGATCCAAATTACCTGAAGTAGAGGCATTTTCAAATAAGCCGTCAGATGTAGAACTGATTGGTTATGTATCAAGTACTTTGGTAACTATTCGACATGTCTAGGAGCTCTTTGTTGTGTGTATACATATGTAATAGGAGATTGACTAACAAACTCAATATAACTAGAGGACTCAACATGACTGTCAACTATTAGATCAATAATAGAAGTATACTCAATGATAATCAATAGAGATAAAGATTCTTCCAATGACACAATTGGCCAAGACTCATCCAAAAAAGGTGTAACCAAGAATGTAACATCAACAGAGACAACATGCTAATGAAGTGATGAACTGTAATACATATATCGTTTCTGAATGCAAGAATATCTTAAGAAGACCCACTTTATGGATTTGGGATGATTTATATCTTGATCAACCCCAAGTTTGTGTACAAATAGACACATCCAGAAGGTGGAACATTGTACAATAGCTCTCTCGGATAAAGGATATAAAGCAATTTTGTTACCTAACACAATAAATGGCATGCAGCTAATCAAGTAGCTCTGAGTACATCATCTCCATAGGATTTTGTAAAAATATGCATATGTAGTAGAAGTGTGCGGAGAGTTTCAATTCTTTCTTTCAGTGATTCTATTTTGCTAAGGAATATGAGGACATGATGATTGATTAAGTATCCCATGATGGGTTAGGTATTGAAATAAAAGAAGAGCTGAAATATTCTTTTGGGTTATGTATTATCAAAACGTAGCACATAGATGGTTTCTCAAATTGATTTTCAGTCTAAAACGAGCAAAATATAGAGAATAACTTTGACATGATGAAGCAAACTTGAAAGAAAAGACACATGCCCTAATCAATATACCCTAGTATTTATACTAGGATTCTAATATACATAAGTGAACCACTTCAACCCAAACTACTATATGGGCTGACCAGGCCCATAGTAGACAATAACGTAACTGTGACAATTTATTGCTACGCTTGAACTATAGATGAAAGAGTGATGAATAAGCTTGGTGATCTGTTGATGTGGTGGTTATTCATATAATCGGAAGGAGTTGTTAATTTTGATTTTGATACCCTTTTCTGCAAAAAAATCTCCTCTTAATCCTTTTCTCTAAAAGAGTTCCTTGGAATAATTTTTTTTCTGACATCAGAAATGTATGATTTGATTCACAATTGAACTCATATTCCGACTTGAATATTTTGAAAGTGACACCAAATCTGGCTGACCATACTACAACAATTTAATCTAAATTTTCGATTCTGGAGAGACATACCTATTTTCTAAGTACTTGAATCCAACCTTATTTTGATCAGCTTGTCTCCCGAAGCAGTGATTTTATCAGTGGATGATTCTAGTTGACATGAGATGGAATAAGATGGAAAGAACTAAATCACAGCTCCAGCATCCTTATTCAATATTTCTCATTTATTTTTTTCTCTGCTGTGCCATATGGTTTTGATAAAAAAACTCACTAGTTTGAATGTAGTGTTAAGATAGTAAGTTATTGCTCATTTCGTGAAGACCATCTTATCTTTTGTTCTCTACTAATCCAAATATTTATCTATTTCCGTATTTTATTAATGGCATTTGTGATATGGCATGTATTAATCTTGAAGTAGAATCTTTCCTATTATTTTGATCAACTCTTAGACTCTTCTCAGAAACTTCTATCATTCTGTGATTTCTTGCAGTTTGTTCAAACGGATATGGGATCACAGGCGGATCCTAAGGTTGTGAATTCATTAGGTGGCTTCATCCCTATGGAGACGGTTGTGAATGGTATGTTCAATGATAGTTTCGTTTGTATATTTTTATTTGAAAACATAGCCTGATTAACTTCTAATGTACACGTATTGGTGTCAGAAAATCAAGAAAGCATCGTCAGACTTGTGTGTGACCAGTTTGCTGACATCGTCAAATCACCTAAATTTTTTCTAGAGTTTGATCTGGTTAAAGATGTAAGGCTTATGGTAGTGATATGACGACAGCTTAGTGGAAGATTTAGGAGTCATGTCACGAGATAATTTAGACTTGATTTAACTTAATAGAAGTTTGGACGGGTCAAATTGTCTGCATGTGAAAGAGGTTGTTTTGGCGACTGTTTGTCACATTTTTCTAAAAATTAATGTAGATAGGGAAAACAAAGAAAACGCTTATAATTGTATTTCCAGCCACAAAGGATGTATGCCAACAGAAAATTAACCAACGAAGTTTGCACAATAATTTGTTTCATTTTCCTTCCACAAAATAATGCAGATGAAAAACTAGGCACCCAAAACAATGTTTGGAAAAGTCACCATCTATTTTTGACCATACAGGTCCAAAATCGATGACATAACATTAAACGCGTCTAATAATACAATGCATAGTGCTTGTAATTGGATCCAGTCAATCTGAAGGACAGGAAGAAGGATCTGATCCCCATCAAATTGAGAAAGACAAAACCAGAAAGTGCCATCTGGCAAGTCAGCCAATCTTACATGGATCCACTGATTCCAAGTTAAATCTATTTCTTGACGAAGAATAGGGAAGGTCACAACTGCACACCTGCTAGCAGAGGTAGAGAAAGAAGAAAAGCGAGGTCAAAGAAGAATATGGAAGAAATAGGAAGATATCAGCTAACTACTGGCTCACGGCCTTTGAGTATTGCTTTTTAAAATTTCTTTAAATTACACTGAAGATATCATATCCTTTAACGACAGACAAAACTTAGTCTTTTGTATTAAAGTCTCATGCTATGCTTTCCTCGTAAATTTTCTAACTAAATCTATACCTTTAAATAATAATCGTATCCTTTTTGCTCAAATTAAGGCTTTCCCTTATATTTGGATTTATTTGCGTGTTATTAAAATTGAACCGGGCATGATCTACGTGGTCCGGTCTCTTATATTTGAAATTGTCACTATGGTGTATAGGGTTCTGACGTCAAAATTCTAATAGTGAGAAAAAATTAGAGTGAAACAAGACTAATTGCATATAATCATAGCTTCCATGTGATTCTTGTTTTGTGTAATTCAAAAAGTATGAACTTCACATTTTCTTAAAATCATAAATTTAAAACATAGCTGGGCTAAGGATTGAGGATTTCTGATAATCAAGTCGGAATATGCTTCATGCTATCTTAACATGCTTTCTAACTTAATTAAACTCAAACACATTAAATTGAATAAAAATAGTGAGTTTTGATTTTTTTATTTAATTATATGCCATGGTGTTTGCAAGTGAATGAATATCATGATAAACGAGGGGATTCACAGAGTCAGTTATTCCACATATGGATTACTTAATCAAGCTGCATGGTGTCACATATGATCCAAAGTCTGTGCTTTATTGTCAAAAATTGTGTCAGTTATATCTTCAGAATGTAGTATGGTTATACAGAATTCTGATCATGTTTCTGTTGGTTTAAGATCAAAGAGTTAAGTTGTGAGGGGCATCTCTTGTTTATCAAAACGTTTATAATTTTAGGTGCTTTTGAGCTTATTAGAGATGAGAGCAAGGCTGGTTCTTGCCTTTGGATCACAAACCGTAGAGGCATGGAATATTGGCCAACACCAAATGAAGAGAAGAAGTACTTGGCGAATCCATTCAAATCAAAAGGAAGTTACCCGTACAATCTAACTTCGAAGATAGAGAAACCTAACACCTTTGAGAAGATGTAAGTTCATAGTAAGGTTTCTGTCAGTTGTGAGCACTTTTTTCTTTCTACTTGCTTCTTTTCTATAGTTTTTAGTTTATATCTTTTATTTATTCACATCGATCGCCAAGCTGGTAACAGTATGGATGGGCGCTGATGAAGATCCATCATAATATTGTTAATCAGTGATAGCCGAGAAATGAGGAAATGTCTTAATTTCGTGAGCCCAATAGATTGACATTTTGGCTCTCCTGGGAAATCTTCTGCCCATCTATCAGGTAGTAGGTGGTAGATTTATTGGTTTTTTCAGGTACAAGCTTTTTCCTTTTCCAAATGGCTTTGATTTTATCTGTCATCAAACTGGTTTTTTTAGTAGCTGTCTTTCTTGTCGGATTATTTTTAGGAAATCTTGTGAGACATGTGTGAGCTGTAAATATCGATTTATGTTGACATTAATCCACTCAACACGGAAACTTAATAGATTGCAATTAAACTGAAAAAAGTCCATCTATAGTAAATGAACCCTCTCTTAAATTTTCGTTTTGATGATATTTTGGATATTCAGTATGTCTATTCTAGACACGACTTTTCCAATAAATAACATGGGCATAATGCTGTTGGAGAGTGTTATTTTACTTTTCTTCCCTTAAATATACTTATTTAGATGACGTAAATTTTCATCAATTTTCTTCGTGAATTGAGATTTCTGAACGATTGTGGAACAAATACGCTCGGATTTTCGTGATGATTCTGGGATTTTTCAAGGTTGCACGCATATGCTTAGCATCTTAGTTGTTATAGTAACGCTTTATGAAATGTGGATCAAGCTTGCAAGGTTCGCCATCTGACTCTTGGCCATCAACGCCGGAATGTAATCCTGGCTTCGATCTGTACATAAGATATGCACCTTTACCAGTATGGTTCCCGTTGCCTGAATAGTAAATTATTCTACATGAATATATGAAACAGTAAGTATGTAGGATAAGTTGATTATGGGGTTTCTTAATATTTTCTCAGTTTTCTGTTTATGATTTTTTTTTTTGGCTATTATTTGGATGCTTAGTCACTAAATTATGATATTTTAAAAATTCTGGTCTCTTAGTACATTTGTGCTATTCGTGAGTTGCCTTTCTGACAAAGTTTTTGCTTGCTTTGCTTGTTTCTGTTTTAGAGTCGTTCACACGTTTCATCACAATTTTCGAACCGCAACCAAAATTGTCCGGGCAGATTTGAATTTACCCATTAAGTCCGATCATGTTCTTGTCAAAATAATATATGCTGGTGTGAATGCAAGTGATGTAAGTGCCCGGTCCCTCTCCCACCTAATTATCAGTCCAATCAGTATGACTTCCCAATTGAACTCTATTGATTATTTTCTTGTTAATATTCTATTCAGGTCAACTTTAGCTCAGGTCGTTATTTTAGTGGTAAAAGTCCTCCGTTGGATGCAGGATTTGAGGTGATGTAAAATCCAAATTCTTCCCAATAATAAGCACTCAAAAAGTTGATTTACCGATGTGCGCTCCTGAGATATTATATTTTGACGGTGTTATGTATGTTTTTATGATGAATATGGATACAATCATTGCAATGGTTATGGGTTTCTCTTTTGCTTTATTGAATTAATATAGAAAATTAACCCTAGAACGCATTAGTAGATCATTCAAAAGGTTGATCGTATTTCCTTCGAAATACTCAGTTTCCTTGTCAGATTTTTTTTCTTCACCAGCTGATTTTTGATAATTTTAGCAGCACTTGGATAGGCCTGGTGGTACCTCTTACATTTAAACCCATGCATCCATGTGTGGTGGCTGTAGTCATCATTGAACATGATGGAGTATTGTACCATCTCAGAAAGAAAAATGTGAAGCCCTTGATATCTGATTGAACAAGTTTAAATAAGGTGCTTTTTTCATTTCTTTAGAAGGGAGAATATAGTCTTACAATACTTGGAGGGTAATCAGCCGATTAGGAAAGCTATATCTTGGATAATTTTGTTATGAGTACAAAATTACCTAGGAGTATATTTTTTGGTGAATCAATATAATTTTGGCCAATTTTAAAGGATTTGTGTTAATTGTGAAATTTTATTCATATGTATAAGGAAAAAATATAGTAATTTGATGAAGAATTACATCTTGACTGCAAGTCTCATCAATGGAAGCTAAACGAGCATTTACGGGTTAAAGGGAGTGAAACAGGGAAATTCTTTTTATGCATGGTTTATTTTTATTCTTCTTCCTCAAGGATGAAAGATCTTTAGAGACCATAAAAAAATGTTCGAAAGAGAATTTCAATATTAGTTCCTTGTTACAATTTAGAGATCATGGAAACAGAGTTTCATAAAAGGGTATTCGAACATCAAAAGGTAATAAACATCTTCCCAGTTACGCATATTAGACAGTTCAAATAAATTTCTAACTTACAGAGATTATATCCATATCTTTAGTTACTGTTTCCTTTTGCAAATATTTCTTCTTTTAAAGGAGGGAACGAAAATACTCAAGATTCTCATAATTCTTGCAGAAGTACATTAGGTTCATTGGTCAAATAACATCTGTGGATTTCCTTCAATGATATGTTGCTCAATGAAACCCAATGCAGGGTGTTGGCTTAATTGTAGCTGTGGGAGACTCGGTTGAGCACTTAAAAGTTGGAGCACCTGTGGCAGTTATGGTATACGGAAGCTACGCTGAATTTATGACGGTACAGAATCTTCATTATATTTGCTGTGAAAATATCAGTTTTTCCTGTCCACGTTAATTTTCTCGTTTCAGTTTGATTAAAAAGGTTTTTATATTCAGAAAATATTAATTTTTATTAATTGCAAAGTTTAGGTCCCTTCGAGGCATGTAATACCTGTGGCCAGACCAGACCCTGCAGTTTTGGGCATGCTTACTTCTGGACTTACTGCATCTATTGCCTTGGAGACGGTAAATGTGAACATGAATTATATCTACTGCTAATTAAAAGTTTTTCAGTTTGCCATCCTTCATGATGTGGTCAATACTGCAACATTCCTGTTCTCCTGTATGAAAATGTTACTGCATCCGACAGGTTTTTTCCTGTATGAAAATTACTTTGCATCATATTAGTTTTTACTCTTTGGAAAGTAGTGTCCCTGCTTTAAGGTACGTTTAATTTCAGGCAGGAAGAATGATATCGGGAGAAGCTATTCTTGTCACTGCAGCAGCAGGGGGAACTGGGCAGTTTGCTGTACAGGTCGATTCAGGAACCGGTTGCTTCTGTCTTTGTTAAGCATTTCCATTGCACTCATGTATCTCTTTTCTTTAAGTCGTTGGCTTGAGTGTTTTGTATATAATTATTTTATGCTGAAAATATTTGGTACAGGACCAGAGTCTCACGATTTTTGAATAGTTTGTTCTCATCAGTGAGGTTAACTCTGTTAAATATTTCTGAAATTTTGAGGCTTTATGTTCGCTTTCCATCTCTCCCTAAAATAGGTATTGATATAAGGTGTGTGGATATGAATAGTTTTATGTTAATGTGAAGATGTGAATGCTTGATGGTGATGACAACAAGAAGGAAGCACATCTAGTTTAGTCTTTCATTTTTTTTAGTTCATGACCAAGGTTTCTAATCATACTTTTATCTTTTTCAGCTTGCGAAATTGGCTGGAAATAAAGTAGTTGCTACATGTGGAGGTGAAAAGAAGGCTGTACTTCTGAAATCCTTGGGTGTTGATCGTGTCATAGATTATAAAAAGGAGAACATAAAATCTGTATGTCTGAATCACTTTTTTTCTGCAGGTTTGATTATTTCTGTTTTTACGTTCCAGCTTAGATGAGCTCGTTCTGTTATGTGGCAAGTAAAATTTCTGTGAGGACATATTTGTCGCAGGTTTTTGTTATCTTCTTTTGTTCCTCTGTATCAGGTCTTGAAGAAGGAATTCCCAGAAGGAGTGAATATTATCTATGAATCTGTTGGTGGAGAGATGTTTAATTTGTGTCTAAATGCTCTGGCAACTTACGGACGTCTCGTCATAATTGGAATGGTGTCTCAGGTTATTAGTCAATCCCAAGATTCATACCAAAGCTTCATAAGATTTGCCCATCATGTCATTAGTGTGTAATTTATCTTTATTTGAACTCGATACAGGGGTTTTAAGCATTTATATTTTCATGAAATGACTGCATCATAGCATTTATGTAAAAGAAAGGAAATTAACCGTGTTAAAAGTTCAGAAAAGAAATGTGTTATTGAATTGCTGATTTGGCTTTTGTGTTTGGTAGTCATAGTGGAGCAGGACTAGCAATCGGGATTTGCATTATCAAACCATGTTTTTACGTGGTATTATAATTTTTAACTCAAATATTGAATCGGTGGGTGTAATCAGGATGATTAAGAGGATAAACAGGAAACAACGCAATGCTGGATAATTGCAGTTAACTAAAAGTAGACTACTCCAGAAGAATAGGTTAATCATAGTATTATAGTTCTACATCAACTATGGTGGATACAATACTTTTTTCTTATCTTTAGATGTGAAAATAAATAGCTGGAAATCTATAATGGTGATTTTAGCACATACTTTCACAGATTTACCTTAATTATAAGAGTGGATGCTGCAGCCACAAACTGTACTTTTAATTTTCAGGTCTACACCGAAAATGTGTGATAATTTTGGCTTCATAGCTTCTGAACTGGATAGTAGTGGATTGATAAACAATCATGGAAATTGTTCACGTCAGATATTTCATTCATATCCAAAACGTTGACTTCAACAATTAATGATGAAAATGGCTTGTTCAATTGATCGCTTAATGTTTTCTCCTTGAATCAGTTCTGTTTTAATTCGTATTGACTCAAATGATATTTTCCGAGCAACCTCATTTATTGCATTTTTTTTGTCAGTAGTATTTGGCGTAGTAATACATGTCTGATAAGATTCTATCATATTCATAACCAACAAGTCGATTCCAGGGACAGAATCTTGGAATTTGCTTGTTTGATCGAACTCTGAACACATTATATTTGGAGTTTTGTTTTAGTAGTATTGACCCGGGCGAAATATTTCAAAAAAATAAAGCTTAAAGCTTTTAATGTATGGGTGGTCAGGAGTAAAACGTTCTGTTGAAGAAATAGTTGCAATAATATTTTTCAAACATTTTTGTTGCGCTTTGGATTGGAATATTGAAATTCTTCATGTAAGTTATAAGGATTTGAGTAGAGGTCTGTGTAAGCTTTGAGTTAGAACAACCACTTCATCTTATGTTTTCAGTATCAAGGAGAGCACGGATGGAAGCCATTAAACTACCCTGGACTCTGTGAAAAGATTCTTGCGAAAAGCCAAACTGTGGTATGGAATCCTTCACAACTTTTATGCTACGATTAACGACTGGAGGTGCCTTTAATGGCTTCGTTTGTGCGTGACCACTCCTCTCCAATGTTTTTGGTTCATATTACCACTCGGAGTTCACATTCTTGATGCTATGATCTGCCGTCAATCCTTTAATTTTTTTTTTATATTTCCAATTTGAGATTTTTTTTTAGTTCCTATTTCGACCTCAGTTTCCTATCCGGAAAGTAATAACTAAAATAATGTTATTTTTTCTGAAATAATGTGATAGTGTTATTTGTGCCAAGATTAAGCCGACTAAAAAAACAAAAAAAAATAAATTAACAATTTATTTATTTATTTATTTGGTGAAATAATGTTTTTTTATAATTCTTGTCGGGTGTGGATATCTTTCAGGCTGGTTTTTTTCTGCCACATTATGCTCACTTATGGAAGGAACATCTGGGCAGGCTCTTCGATCTGTACTCTTCTGGGAAGCTCAAGGTATCTATTCCTCTCTCCGTAGAGAAAAGAAGGTCTATGATGATAGATTAAGTATCATTAAAATCCGATTTAAAAAACAGGGCTAAACCCACCTTTTTTAATGTATTGATCAGGTTGCTGTGGATCCGAAGAAGTTCTTGGGCCTGAGCTCAGTGGCCGACGCTGTTGAATATCTCCATTCGGGTGAAAGCGTCGGCAAGGTGGGCCCTCCTCAAGATCACGTTGACTTTTTTTTTTCTCTCGGAGAAGACTAAATGGTATCGATGTTTTTCAGGTTGTCGTGTGCGTTGACCCAAAGTTTACTCAGCAATCAGCGAAATTATGAGTGCGATATCCGCCAACAAGCTGCTGAAAGGAAGAGTGATGGTGAGCTCTGGCTCAAGATCATATGAAGAGATATATATATATATATATATATATTATTTTTATGAAAATAATTGTGGATATTGGAGAAAATGTGGAGTAATTTGGATTCCATCTGCGCGTGTGGTGATTTGGAATGCGTTCATGAAGGGCGGAGGAATATATTGGTAGTGTTTTACAGCCCATGTAGCCGCTATATGATTATATGGCCTTACAATCAGCCCATGTGCCGCTTTGATACTGACCCCATGCGTCGTCCTTCCAGCTCTGTCAAACAGTGACTTGGATAGATCGATCGATAGATAAATAGATAGACAGATATATGGATAGATGGATAGATGGATAGATAGATAGATAGATAGATACAGAGAGAGAGAGAGAGAGAGAGAGAGAGAGGATGAAGGTGATGGTGACGGGGGCATCCGGGTACCTGGGCGGGCATCTATGCGCAGCACTGCTGAAGGAAGGCTACACAGTGCGAGCCTTCGTCCGACGGAGCAGCGACCTTAGCCACCTCCCCACGCCGCGGCCCGCCGGCGGCGCCACCAGCGACAGCGCCGGCGGAGAGCTGGAGTTGGCCTTTGGGGACGTGACGGATCTGCCGTCGCTGCAGGAGGCCTGCGCCGGCTGCGAGGTCCTCGTACACAGCGCCGCCATCGTCGAGTCCTGGATCCCCGACCTCTCCCAGTTCCACTCAGTGAGTGCACCTTTCGTCCTCCCCTATCCTTCTGTTCCCTTCCCCTGGTGATCTCCTCGCAGTAGCAGTCTTCTTCTTTCCTCACCGCTCTATCAGATGAAGATCTTTGATGTTCAGCGTGCTGATTTCATGGCCAGGCCAGATCCATCTTATTTTCCTATGACATGTAAGGAAGTTAACCTTCCGAACCATAAATTCTTCATACCAATGTTTTTGTTGTTGGTTGATTATTCTTCCCTATCATTACTTTCAGTCATAGGGATCCAGGGGGAAACATTACATTAGTCATTGTAGACTTTTGCTCCAAGATGATGCTACTCTCTCTCTCTCTCTCTCTCTCTATCTATCTCTCTACCTATCTACCCATCTACCTCTATTTCACAATCTATCTCATTTGCCTATCTACTCGCTTTTATCTCTATCTATCAATCTTTCTACCAATCTACCCATATAGCTATCTATCATAACTATCTATCTATCTATCTACCCACCAACCTACCCACCAACCTACCTATCACATAATATCTGTAAGAACCAAGTTCCACATGGGACAAGCAAGTTCCAAACTAAGAAAAACGTCTTGCTCTTTTTGTATTAGGTGAATGTGGGAGGATTAGAGAATGTTCTGGAAGCTTACCGAAGGACAGAGACTTTACAGAAGATAATATACACGTCATCTTTTTTTGCTCTGGGCCCCACCAATGGACAAGTAGCAGATGAAAACCAGGTATGTAATAAAATTATCATTTATTATTTTTATTCCTCACTTTGGGCCTCCTAGGCTGTCTTGGATATTGAGAAAAATAAAATAAAATAAAATCAATAATTGGAATTCTTAAAATTAAAAATAAGTGATAGACATTTCAAGAAGATGTTCCTAATAATCCAAAGAAGAAATCTCATAATTGTTTATCCAACGACCATGCTTAAAACTAATTATAAACAAAAAAAATAAATCACCTCACTCTTCTTGGAGCATTAATCACCTCTTATCCTTCTTCCTTGTCTCAATATCAGAAATCATTTTTTATGAATTTCCTGAAATGGACAGGTACATCCTGAGAAGTCCTTCTGCACCGAGTACGAAAAGTCCAAGACCAGTGCAGATAAGATAGCCCATCAAGCTGCATTGGAAGGGATTCCAATAGTTATTATGTGCCCAGGGGTCATCTATGGCCCAGGGAAAATCACCGGTGGAAACACTATTGCCAATCTGGTGCGAGCCTTTAAATCCTCTCTCTCATGTCAATTTTATAATTTTTGAAACTAATTTGGCACTAAGATCAAAAATTTTGTCTGTGCCATTTTTTTCTTGAATAAAAAAATTATGAAAAATATCTGAGCTAAACCATTCTAGCTAATTATTGGGGGAATAGCACACATGTTTTGCCGAGGGCATTATTTTGTTATTGTTATCATTTAATTATAAGTAAATAGTGAATTTTTACAGCTCCTCTTGGGAAAATGGCATCTACTTTGTCTAACATTGTGCTGATTAGCACGTCCCCTACTTGTTCCAGCTAATTGAATGCTTCCGTGGGCGCATGTGCTAGGAAAATATGGGTGGAAACATAGTTGCCCACATGGTATAAACCCTCTCACGTCATTCATACAAGAAGCTATGGAACTAATTTGGCACCAAGATCCAAACTTTGTGCGTGGGCATCTTTTTCCTTGAATAAAAAATAACTGCAAAATATCTACCCAAAACACCCCATTGCGTGATAACTCAACCCATTCGAGAGTATTATTTATCAAGGGCATCAATTATTTATTTTTATCATTAAATCTCTAGTAAAGTTTGTTGTTTTATATGATAATCACACCGTTGATGGCTCCAGCTGATCGAACGCTTCAATGGGCGCCTACCTGGGTACATAGGCGATAGCAAGGACAAATTCTCATTCTCTCATGTTGAGGATGTGGCTGCGGGCCATGTGGCGGCCATCCGCAAGGGCCGCATTGGCCAGAAGTACCTACTCGCTGGAGAAAATGGGTCCCTAAATCTAACATGTGATCTAGCGGCAGCCATCACCAAAACAAGGAAGCCTACGGTTCACATTCCTCTTTGGTTGTTGTACATCTACGGTTGGTTGTCGGTCATTTATGCCCGCCTTACAGGAAAACCCCCTACCATCAGCTACCCTGTGAGTTCTCTACTCCCACACCCCCTCCTAAAAAAATTGGGCTTAATAAATCTATTTGTTGGTATCCATGGTCCTCTCTGCTTCAAATTAAGTTACATTTCGTTCCATAAGTGATATATCATTCTGGTAATGCATCATACTATGTCCACATGGTAGCACATTGGGCTATGTCATTTTGCTATGTTGATCTTTGGGTTTATGAAATAGTGATATAGAGGAATTATACCTATTTTTTGACAAACCATGGTCTTGTATGCTTTAAATTTTGTGATATTTACTTATATAAATGTTGTGTCATCATGTTAACACATTGTGCTATGCTATGCGCTATGTCAAGTTTTGGGTTTTCGAAATATTAATTATGAATAATATTTATTTATTAATAGTGGTCCTATCTGCTTCAAATTTGTTGACATTTATTTCTATAAATGCTATGCCTTTATGTTTACACATTATACTATGGCATATGCTAAAACATTGTACTATGTCATTATGTCAATATGATATTTAATCATGAATACTTATACATCCATTTATTATTAAACATGGCCTGTTCTGCCTCAGATTTGGTAGAATTAAAAAAAAAAAAAAGTGAGATGGCATTATGCTAACACAGATGACCGCTGAGGTGATTTGAACTTTTAGTTTCAAATTTGACATAGCACTTACAGAAATACTTCAATAAGAGATGGGTCGACAGGTGGTGAGTCAATTTGAAATTTTAGTTTCTGATCATGGGATTGTTTAAAAGTCTCATTTGTGCATGATCATGACTACAAACACCAGATCAGGTGCCAAAAGCCCAAGAATAACCACAAGCATTAGATCATGTTAAAGTATTGATACGTCATATTTAAGAATAGTTTAGTGATGTTTAAAGAAAATACTTGCATTATTGTTCTAGTAACTTTATTTCAACAATGATATGGAGCTATATTTTCCGATAATGTATCCTAATCCGTACTTTTATTGGTTTGTAGGCTGTGAAGGTGGTGAGGCGCCAGTGGGCATACTCCAATGCTAAGGCCCGGGAAGATCTGGGCTACTCTCCCAGACCCTTGGATGAGGGCATGGAGGAGGTCCTTCCATGGCTAAAGGGCTTGGGTCTTATAAAGTACTAGAATTTTCTTACTAATATTTGATGGATGAACCTTATAGGAGGATCCTCGCCAGTATAAAGTTGAAGTGATATTATTATTTCTGGTTGCCGCTACTTGTTGTGATCTGCTTTAGTTCGTTGTGGATGAGCATTTGGTGATATTTCTTCGTCTTAGAGTGCATTTTCGATGATTTATTAGCAAAATATCACATCTTTGAAGGTGGTATAGTTTCTCACTTGTCCATATTTTTGTAATATATGGATAGAAGAGAGAGAGAGAGAGAGAGAGAGAGAGAGAGAGAGAGAGAGAGAGGTGGAGAGCGGTGGAGAGAGAGAAATATGAAGGTGCTGGTAACGGGCGCATCAGGGTACCTGGGGGGACGCCTCTGCTGGGCAAGGACAAATTGTCTGTCTGTCATGTTGAGGATGTGGCTGCGGGCCATCCTGAAGGGTCGGATTGGCCATAAATCCCTACTCGCTCGAAGCCTACGGTTCACATTCCTCTTTGGTTGTTGTACATCTACGGTTGGTTGTCGGTCTTTTATTCCCGCCTTACTGGAAAGCTCTCTTTCGTCAGCTATCCTGTGAGTTCTCAGGCCCCCACCCCCTCTCCCCTTCTAAGAAAATTTGGCTTAATAAATCTAGTTATTGTTAACTATGCTCCTTTCTTTGGCTTCAAATTAAGTCACATTTCTTTCTATAAGTGATATGTCATGCTGGTAACGCATCATACTATGCTCATATGCCAGCACATTGTGCTATGTCATTTTCCTATGTTACTTTTTGGGTTTAAGAAATAGTGATTAAGAATAATTATACCTATTTTTGACAAAAGCATGGTCTCGTGTGCTTTAAATTTGGTGATATTTATTTATACAAATGTTGTGTCATCATGCTAACACATTGTGCTATGCTATGTGCTATGTCACTTTATGGGTTTTCAAAATAATAATTATGAACAATATTTATTTATTTATTTATTTATTAAGAATGATCGTATAGGCTTCAAATTTGATGGCATTTATTTCTATAAATGCTATGCCTTAATGTTTACACATTATACTAGGTCATTATGTTAAAACATTGCACTATGCCCTTATGATATTTAATGAAGAATAGTTACATATCCATTTATTATTAAACACGGTCTGGTCTAACTCAGATTTGGTAGATTTTTTTTTTTTTAAAGTGAGATGACATTATGCTAACGCAAATTACCACTAAGGCAATTTGAACTTTTAGTTTCAAATTTGACATAACACTTATAGAAATATTTCAACAAGAGATGGGTCAACAGGTGGTGGGTAAATTTGAAATTTTACTTTCTCAACATGGGATTGTTTAAAAGGCTCATTTGTTCATGATCATGACTACAAACACCATATCAGGTGCCAAAAACCCAAGAATAACCACAAGCTTTAGATCATGTTAAAGTATCGATGCGTCATATTTAAGAATAGTTTAGCCATGTTTAAAGAAAATACTTGCATTATTGTTCTAGTAACTTTATTTTAACAATGATATGGAGCTATCTTTTTCCGATAATGTATCCTAATCCGTACTTTTAATGGTTCGTAGGCTGTGAAGGTGTTTGGGCACCAGTGGGCGTATTCCAGTGCTAAGGCCCAGGAAGAGCTGGGCTACTCTCCCAGACCCCTGGATGAGGGCTTGAAGGAGCTCCTTCAATGGCTAAAGGACTTGGGTCTTATAAAGGACTTAGAGTGCACTTTCGATGATTTATTAGCCAAATATCACACCTTTGATAGAAGAGAGAGAGAGAGAGAGAGAGAGAGAGAGAAAGAGAGAGAGAGGCGGAGAGAAAGAGATAGAGAGATGAAGTTGCTGGTCACGGGCGCATCAGGGTACCTGGGGGGACGCCTCTGCTGGGCACTGCTCAGGGAAGGCCACGAAGTTCGCGCCTTCGTCCGCCGCACCAGCGACGTCAGCCATCTGCCGTCGCCGGCGGCGCCTGGTGGCGGCGCAGAGGGCGGCGGAGGACGGCTCGAACTCGCCTATGGTGACGTCACTGATCTATCCTCTCTGCTGTCGGCCTGTGCCGGCTGCGAGGTCCTTTTCCACGCAGCGGCACTCGTCGAACCCTGGATGCCCGATCCATCCTTGTTCTTTTCGGTGAGTTGACTAACACCCGCCTGCTAGAACTGCTGAATTTTCGTACCTCCAACTTTGTAGGATATCGGATTTCTAAATTGGCGGGAAGAGAATTCGCAGTGGCGGGCGAATCTGCATCTCCCTGCAGAAATTCTTCAAGATTTCAGCCGAGCCTTCTTCCTCAGTTAACCATCGAGAGTGCAGTCGTAGATCGCTAGGGGATTCAAGATTCGTGTGATGATAATAGCGTCTGACATGCGAAGAACGCGGAATTCGTGGAGGCCCTTGCAGTGGATTTCTCGGTTTGGGGAGGAAGGAAATATCTAACGATTAGTCAACCCCAATCCCAAGTTCAGATATTGCTTGCCCTCATTTTGACTTTGGAGGGTCTGGACGCCCTTCCAATTTTAGCAAATTGGTGCCTTGCTTTCCCTTCTTGATACCACAATGATGATCGAACTTTGTCAGGTTTTTGATCCGACTCGAGTTTTTTTCTTTTTTCTTTTTTCTTTTTTTGTTTTTGCTGCTTCGATCTTGGTAGATCTTGTCCCTCAGCTGGATCAGCTGGATCAGTCAACATTTGATCATCATCCTCGGGCCACATCTCTCTATTCAACTTTCCCACAAACACTCCTGAGGTGCGTTTTGCCTTGACGCTATGATATTCCAGCACTGTCTGATGACATCTGTTTAGGATGCCATGTTGAGCATATGCCCCATATTCCACACTACTTTGACTATGCCATTAGTAGACGAAAAAGTCAACCACCCACCAAGCCAATCGAACCTGTCTATGCTCGGTTCAACCATGCAAGAGCCTGGGGTAGGGGAAGAAAGAGACCCACAGTCTAGTAGCAAGAAGCAATGGCGGATGATTTAGGAAGGCATAGGCAGAAGCTTTGTCAGCCCAGAGTAGCCTATTAGGTTTTCGGTGTGTACACCGCACAGATCTTGTGAACAGTCGGTTTCACAAAATCTTGTTGATTTATTGGTAGTATATTTCGTTGCATTAACTATAGTCTAGTATGAACTAAATAATCAGGCATTTGGTTCAATAAAACCTGCTTCATCTCCACATCTGAATGGTTCATGCGCTGATTAGGGGTTTCTCATACCCATGTCATTATTTCTGCACCATTAATCATTTTTATATGATCCCACATTTTTTCTTTGTTTTTATTTAGTCAGCGTCCTTCAGTTCTCTGTACTTCCTTTTTTTTTTTTTTTCATAAATTCTTTCTCGTTTGACTTTTATAGTTTCGTCATGCTCTGTTGATGTGCTGACTGTCTCTCTGACTCCATGATCTTGTTGAATACTAGGCACTTCTTATGGCTGAAATTAATAATATGATTTATTTATTTTATCAATATGCATGGGATCAAGAGGCAGAAATCTATGCTATCTGCAATAATCTACTGCCAATTATGACATGGATTGTAACAGATAAGAAATACTGATGCACCCAGCTGTTCATCATCCTTTTTTTTTTTGCCCCCCCTTGCAAAATTATTTCTTTTACCGCACTAAATTTCCAACCTGGGTCCTCTTTTTTTTATTTTTTTCCTTCTGTGTTAGGTAAATGTAGGTGGTTTGGAGAATGTTTTGGAAGCTTACAGAGAAACCCATACCATACGGAAGATAATATACACATCATCCATTTTTGCACTGGGCCCCACAGATGGACACGTGGCGGATGAGGATCAGGTGAGTCAAATGCACAAACGATTGAAAATGGTCAGAAGTACATACCCTTTTTTTTTATGCATTTGATCTGCATATGTACTACGTTTTTTCCTTTTTTTTCCCTCCAGGTAGGAGAAAAGAAGTCATAAGGGTTGGGATGGGGAAAAAAAAGAAAAGAAAAGAAAATAAATAAATAAATAAATAAATCAAATGCCTCATCTGGTAGTAACTTGCATGAACATCTCATGATTTTTCATTCATGCGATTAGTGGAAACTCTTATAAGGTAGAAAGAATCAGGAACGATTTTCCCTTTGTTTTCTAATCTCAGTATCAGTCACCCTCTTCATACAAGTCAAAGGGTCACTAATTCGGTGGTGGTGAGAGGGGGGGGGTCATTCAGTTCTGTGGTTTCCTGAGAATGCAGAACATGTGTGAGGTATCATTGACTTGTGACTGTGACTTTTTGGCATGCTAAGCCTTCAGAAGTCAATGATACCTTCATTCGGTTCTGTGGCTTCCTGAAAAGTGCAGACATGTGTGAGGTACCGTTGACTTGTGAAGGCGTGTGTGACAGTGATTTTTGGCTAGGCTTTTTCTTCTGTTATCTTCTCCAATGTAGGCAGAGCACAGAATGTGACCAGTGAACACTATCTCCTCTTGGCTCTTCACCTTTCTGGTTAGGGGTTGACCATGGAAAAGTGTTCTAATGGCAGGTGCATCATGAGAAGTTCTTCTGCTCTGAGTACGAGAAGTCAAAGGCCATGGCGGATAAGGTTGCACGGCAGGCTGCATCAGAAGGGATCCCAATCGTTCTTCTGTATCCAGGATTCATTTATGGTTCTGGAAAACTCACTACTGGCAACATTATTGCACGCCTGGTAAGGCTGATCCTACTGTTCATGATAATTTGGGAAGGTGTGAGAGCAGAATGGCACCAAAGATCCAGAGCCACGTAATTGATTTCTTCCAAGTTATTATTAAATAATATTAATGAATTTTTAGGCAATATTGGGTAAATATCACTGTTCTACTTCTTTTCATGAAAATTTTAGAAGATGTGAGAGTAGAATGGCAACCAAACCCACACCTGCATAGTTGATTTCTCAAGATAGAAAGAAAATATCAACACTGTGGTTATTTGATTGAAGCTTAGAAGTTGCCTTCCTTTTGTATCTTGGGATAAGCACAATATCGGATTGATGAACTTGCTTGCAATCTTACCTTTAACAACAGTACTGGCAAAAAAATATTCATTGATTCCACTTTTCATGATAACTTTAGAAGATATGAGAGCAGAATGTCACCAAAATCCGCGCCGACATGATTGATTTATGTCAAATTGCTATAAAATCTCAATACCATGGTCAGTGATCAGAGCTGAGGTTACTGAACTCGCATGCAATCTTAGCTTTTGCATTGGCTAAATATGGGAAGAATAGCAGACACCATCAAACATCACATTCATTGGAGCGCCTCCTCATCATTGCAGATGATCGAACGCTTTAATGGACGCTTGCCATGTTATGTGGGCCATGGGAAGATGTCATTCTGCCATGTCGATGATGTGGCAGTAGGACACTTGGCGGCCATGAACAGGGGACAAGTCGGTGAGAGGTATCTTCTTACTGGAGAAAATGCATCCTTGGAGCAGATATTTGATTTAGCGGCGGCCATCACCAGAACAAGGCGTCCTTGGTTCCACATCCCTCTCTGGCTCCTGAATGTTTATGGGTGGATCTCAGTTTTCTTTTCCCACATAACGGGAAAGCTTCCTCTCATCAGTTATCCTGTATGGGTCTTCCCCTCCCCCCTCCCCTTCCATTATTCTGGTTGGCTTCTTCTTCTACCTCAGAGAACTCCCCCCCTTGGATTTGGTTCTAATCTCTGATTGAAATGGCTTGCAGACTGTGACGATAATGAGACACCAGTGGGAGTATTCCTGTGAGAAGGCCAAGGATGATCTGGGTTATGCCCCTAGAAGCTTGGATCAAGGCTTGGGAGAAATGCTTCCCTGGTTGAAGAGCTTGGGGTTGATAAAATACTAAGTTTTCTTTCTCCTTTTCTGTGTCTTTGCATTCCTTCTAACCTCTACTCTGGTGATATGCCTGGTCATGCGCCTTTGAGGGTTGTAATATGCACCACCATGTAAACTAAATGCACTTGTATATTTATACTCGCTCCCCTAGTAATGAGTACATCTTCACTGATAGCTTTTTATGGACAAGAAAATCATTTTGTTTGTTTGTCTTCGGTAGATATTTCCAAGTGTTTTTTCTTCTTCTCGATGGAATTTTGATTGAAGATACCAACCTCTCAGTTTCATTCGAAATTCTGTGCTGTTACTAGGTCCTATATTTCATGATATACTGTTAAGGAATAGAATGACGTTTGAATATCATGATGCAATAATGTCAATAAATCAGCAGACCAGACTTCAGTGATGAACTCGATAAAAAAATAGAAAAAAGATGGCGGTTTTTGCCACAGAGTGTGATAGTTATGTTGATGTTGCTCGAATCTACAAAGATTCAACAGTTTAAGATTAAATTTTTTTAAAAGTAATTATAAACTCTAGTCCTGAGTTCCTAACGCGACCTGATCAACCAGTGCTCTTTTTTCTTTTAAATCATCTTAAATCAAGATAATAATTAGATGAAATGACGATGGGGCAATTTCAATTATCTTATGTTCAATATGATGACAATCATACGGCTAAAAATGATTTGATACATTCATTTCCAATTAATTGTAGACATGATATCATAGCCAGGTTGAATGGCTCCATTCTTTCATGTGGGTCGAAGAGCTATTGGCCGAATGTATAAGCATACGCCACCCACAGTCAAATTAATTTTTGAGTTGAACAACGCAGTTCCTCTACACAAACGGAGAAATCTAACATGCACCAAGATTTCAATATATATTGATTTGCATCCCAAGAAAAGGAATAGGAACATAACAGCTTTTAGGAGAAAACCCACTCCAAATACCTCACTGGATGGTTCCAATTCAACCTAATCTTCAATCCAAGAACATTGAAAGTTCATCTTAAAACCAATCACGACAACATTCAACCAAAAGCATTTGAGGTAAAGAAGGGGACGCTGCAGATAAAAAAAACCAACCACCGAAGACATTCGCAGGTCTGGATTAGCTTACTTCGAAGAGGTGAGGTTGCAGAGCCTGTTATAATTCTCTTAAAAGGATGCCAGCACATCTTTTCATTTTCTTGGATGGAACCCACCCAAAGCGAATTTACATCAAGGTTCATAGATATCATATCTACATAGATCTCACTGGAGGAAGTTTCAGCGACAAAGCTCTTCCGAATCTCTGGCAAAGCTCCTGAAAAACGGAGGAGGTGCCCAAGATTATCAGTATACGAGCAAAAGTATCTACGGAACGGGGTAAACTGGTCAATGTGTTCATTGCGCACCTGTTAATTATCTTACTCTAGAAGTAGGTCAAAAATTTACATGCCTCTCCTAGAGGTTCCTGTACATTCCACTTCAACTAGGATTTTAGGAGAAACATCCCAAGGCACTGAATATACACATCCTAAGCACTGAACCAGTTAAACATGGTTCAATCTCTTGTTGATGGCATCCAAATTCAAGCATCATTAAGGAGATCGTATGCTTTCTGCCCTCTGATCAGCGTCCTACATCCTGCAGCGCCGTATACACTTCATAGGATTAAAAGGGCCAGGTCTCCTTGAGAGCTTCTGGTTCCGGTCCAAGGGGCCTGTCGGCTTTATGTCCCAGCCTTCGACATTCTTGGGGACACAAACATCAAACAGCATCTGACCGAGAACACCGTGGGGGTTCATACCAGGTGGGTTTTGCACATGAAACAATCCTCCCTTGTGTTCCTCCTGCACGGCACTGCCTCCATCCTTCGACTCAAGGTAGTCCAGAGAGCTTGGCAGGAAAAAATGGTCACTTGGGCGAGTAGCTACCCTTCTAAAGCTCTCGTTAGAGCACACAGCTGCCCTGTGAAGGTCACAGACGGACTCTGATATCTGGTCACCGCTGCTTCCCATGCCCAGGGCTGCACCACTGAGCTGCACTCTTCGAGAATGGAACATGACTGCCTGGCTCAGCAACTCAAAGACAGCACTTTTGTAGTCATCCGGATGATGATCATAGTGACCTGCAGAAAAAAATGAATTGGCAAAACGTTGATCCATCTGGCATAACTTTTCTTACTATGAGATGTGTTTATCAAGGTTATGCATTAGTTATTTCACCACAACAAGTAAACCATTTGTCAAAGAAATAACAGACCGTAAAGTTCTGTGGGGAAAATTTTGTACTGCATAAAGGGTGAAAAATTCGACAATGCCAGAAAACTAACTTTTGCCAAAGAATAACAGTGAATTAGAAACTGTCATAGACAGCAATGAGTTAAGTTGTTCGCTAACTTTTCTGTTGCGAAAATTTTAAAGAGCCACATGCAAAATAACAATCTGGTGAATCCTGATCTGGTGCATAAACCTTGTTCGTGACATCAACCTGTAACTCTTATTTTTATCTGTTTTGGTGGCTAGAGGTAGCTCATTAACTGGTTTATTGGGCGTTCAGATCCAATAAACCATGCCAATCCAGTTCAATTATGTAACTGAACTGTCACCCTTCTTTTCTCCCCCACTGGACCATTCCAACTCTCTGGCATGATTGGTGAGTCCCATTATGTGAAAAGAGCAGAGAAAAGAAAATGACTAGGCAAACCCAGGAGTAGACGAGATATTCAGCAATGATGACAGAGGAAGCATAAAAGTGTCTTCCTGCCCTTTCATTTGCTTCTTCATGTTCTCACTTTTTCTCTCTTTTTTCTCTACTCCCTCCATTATATGGTCAACGATGGCTACAGCGAAGGGTACAAGTCATTATTGCTGCCACTGGCCTTTTCTTTTTCTTCTGACAATGGTAGGTTGATGATATTGCGAATTGTACATGTTGACCAAGCTTATATAGAAGTCAGCAGAATTGACATGCGAATTGAGTTGCTTGTGGGATCCATGAGTGCAATTCACAATTCACAAGGCCCTTCACATTGCAACTGGACACATCCATGCGATCTCACCATAAGATCAGTGACACAGCACGTTCCCAGGTAAATCATTATTCAAGAAGAAAAAAACATTCTGGCTCTGAGTCAGAATGAGTGGAGAAACCCGAAGCTAAGTTCGCAGCTACAGAGCAATGGATGCAACTTCTATTTGCTTCTTATGTTTCTTGTCATACTTTGTACGTGATATCCTCTTCTATTTGAATATTGTACTCATTAAATTTATTCGTGAAAACACCATGACATTGAATTTGTTTATTTGCTTATGAACCCGATTGTGAGGGAGGATGAAGTTGATAGAGAAGCGGCAGGCATACAGTGTTTCTGGCGAATGATTGGTTATGTCCAGAATTTCCAATAAAAATTATATACTCTGCAGAAATAAGTTGTCAAGCTTCTTTCAATGGTTTTGTGTGCTCGTACTTCTCAAGTATGATCTAAATCTTGCTAATACCAGCATATCCACAAGACTCATGCATTTCCCAGATCTGGTTTTCCATGAAATTGCATAGAAAAATAGCCTATCCTATCATTCTCACGCATGAATGGCTCTAAGGCAGTATAAGCAGCTTAAAATAGTCACATCTCTGTCCTCAAGTTTTAAATAAGAACTTCACAAAACCATCATAAAGCTATTTAAAACATACCTAAATGAGGGGAAGATTTCCATATAACTAGCTTAACATCACCATCCTCCTCTCTCAAATGATGAGCGAAATTGCAAATAATGTGACGAGGAGCAAGTTCATCATCTTCTGAGCACAAAATGAGAATCGGCCCCAATTTCTGCATACACAGTTAGCCCATCAACTTGAATAACGACAGCAATCATTGAGCGTGGTATGTAAAAATACAAAACAGAAGCTTTACCGCAGAAGAGTACAATGTCTGCCAATACTCTGCACGCTGTGCTTCAAATCTGCTTAGGAAAAGAGTGTCTAGACCAGATGCCACCATTTTTGCCATCCATGAAACTAGTTTTCGTGGTTCAGACACTCTGACTGCAGTTGGATGAAGAATAAGCCGGGTGCCTAAGTCACTGGTGAAATCTACAGGACTAGAATCGTATATTTGTCCACAGATGCAGTCATTAACCAGCTGACATTCATCCTGCATTTGACAGATGAATAAAAAATAACCATTGTGAGATGGAAACATGTGCGTACTGTTCTAGGCAGAACACCAAAAATAAAGACAACTTGATCCTTAATTTGTCTCGGTCAAAACAGAATAATGTTGAAGTCCATGAATATCGAGTTCAAAACAAGAAAAATCCAAATGAATGATCTTACCGGATCTAGCAGTCCTTCATATTTTCCCTCAATTATCTGACAGTAAAGGAAAAATATGTTAGCATCTTCACAAAGCACAAAGGAAAAGTCATATCCACCTAACCGAATTCTATCCATGCTAACAACCAGTAAGAAATAGTCTATAAGAGAGGCATTGCAGAAAAACGAAGAATCAAATGTCAAATCAGAAAAAATACCTGGAGAACCTTGTACATGCATGCTTTTGGACCCCCAGAGAAAGCAGCAAATATGACAGGCAATGGTCTGCTTCTCAATTCCTGTTTCCCAGCAAAAAGAGCACAAGGATAACCAAATTGGCCAACAGAAAAATATTTTCAGGTACCCTCAACATGGATAACTTTAAAAAAAAATTGGAAAAAGATGAAATGGCTCAAGTTTCATTTTACAATCCGTGAATGAGAGAACCATACGATGAAGCAAACCACACCATGGACATTTCATGAAATGTATATCACTGGTATCAAAGACAGAAGAAGGATGGACGATATTTAGGAAACTGGGGAAGCAAAAAAATGGTGGGATATGGCATTGTAATGACAATGAGAAGGAAGACCTATCCCAACAATATGTGGACTTTCTACTTTTTGAGGATGATTGTATATGTCATTGACTTGCCAGTTACTCTGAAAGGTTGTTCATTAGCAGGCGATACAATCTAAATGCATAAAATTTCGAATGCAATGCCACAACTATCTTGCAGGATAGTACTTGCCCTGGGTTTTACTAGTAAGGCTAAAAACTAGAGCTTAATTTTCCATGAAAGGATGTCATGCTCAGGTCTAAGGACAGAACATATAAAAATTGAGCAGAAATATCCACCACCACCAGAAACAATAATTACCTTCACCAGCTCAGAAAGAAGACTGCATGCCAATGACGTAGCCTTCTCTGGAAAAAACCTACACAAGAACCAAATAAAATCATTACTGCCTAACTCTTTACTTACAAAAAACTGTAATTAGGCTACCCCGTTATTTCTACCCAGCACGTATATTCGCTATACTTTTTTATCAATTTTTTTCTTTTCTTAGGGATGATTTGCGTGCCAGGATTTCATCTCACGTAACTCCTCGTTTTTTATTATACTTATTTTTAAATGTGATGACATTCAATTCTATGATTTGATCAGCCAACTCATCATTCTTCACTCGTCACCAAGCTTCCTGGGATCATAGATGAAAATTAACATCACATATAAACACGGTTTTAGAGTTTTCAACATTACAACAAAAAGGTAGCATTTTTACAAAACATGAATCAACAAAAGAAAGGCCGCCATTAGGAAATGTGATGACTAGCTCTCAATCAACAGTGTGGTTTACCGCCTTAACCAAGCTAGCACCTCTAAATCATTTCATCCGGGTCTAGGTTTCTCAATTTGAAATGATAACATGAAACAAATAGAAATCTCAAACAATAGTCCACACTTCCATAACTGACTACGTTACCAAAATCAAAGATATATTTTGTGGTGCAATCTACTTCTGTAGATAACATTATTTGAAAACGAAATAATGTAGTAACAGAGACTGAGTACTACAACAATATTCTATATGTTTGATTCCCTACTAAGATATCAATTGAGAAAAAGACACCACATGCAGCCTTAGAAAGTTAAATGATTTCGGCATTGAAGATTTTACTCATTCACTGGGACAACAATAGAGCAACGTTACAGAAAAGATGAAATTACTTCAGAAAGGCAACACATCTGAGACCATGTCGCAAATTTTGGCTCATCTCACGTCCAATTTTCAAAAATGAACGAAAAGTGAAATGTCAAAAAAATGAGTAGGCCAAATTGAAGAAAATAATTCAGTTTAGTCCAAAAATAAATGATTCACATCTAAAAATTGGACACTTTGATGTGTTTTGTGTTGGTAGATGAAACTTCATGCAATATATGTTTGGAGCAGTATGAGGGGGTTAAAAAAGATGTTCAAACCGTGCTTCTGCTTGCATAACTTTTGAGTTTTTTCCTTGCAAAATGTGTGAAACCAAAATTCGTAAAATCCCCACCTTTATGGAAATGCAATTAATTTAAATCTCATTGATTTATTTCAAAAGCTATACGTTTAAACACTATGGAAGGAGGAGGGAATTTTTTTATTGATATAAATAATTTGTATCCTATAGAAATCAATATGAAGATACAAAATTTCCCCATCTCTAAGAGGCTCCTCCATGTCAGAGAGAGCAAAACTTCAGTGGGACAGACCACAAGAGAAACTTGACATATTTCCTGAGATCCATATCCCACATCCTGAACAAACCCGGATAGAATAGCAATAAGGATTGGAGATGATACCGATTAATTACAGGTCTATCATCTCCTTTAGAGAAAGGGCGAACTATCTTATGGATATGTTTCAGAAATTTGGTGGCGGTTGACGACTTGTTCAATCATCTATTTTGATTTCCCCTTTCAAGACTGTTCTCCTCGAAATAATCTGTAGTGGTTACCTTAGAAGGCATTAATTATCTTCATCTAGCATAGATTATTCCATTCATTCATTGGACTCTCTAATTTATTCATTTTGTGAGTATAGTAGCACATCAAACACCGCCAAGCTCTCAATAAACCATATAGAAGGAAGGGGGGAAAGGAAAGAACGAAATTAGAAAAAAAATAGGGCACCCGAAGGGAGAAGATCCATCAAGAGCTTACATGGTGAGGAAATCAGCGTGGCAGACGAGTGAATTCCACCCGCTGGAGCCGTACAGCTCGATATACTGTCTCATGTGCCTCTCCTCGCTCGACGTCCACGCAAACGCCACCACGATCCCTTCCGTCCTCCCCGCCTCCCTTCTCCCCCAGTAGAACCGCCCTCCCTCCCCCCACCACATCTCCTCCCCTCTCCCCCACCACGCAACCAAAATCAGACACCTATCTGAGTGAAACCAGTTCGATCCGACTGAGACCTCGCCACAGGGGACTTCCCGCTCACCCTGACCGCCGCCGGAGGGCCCTGGCGGCGCCGCTACCACCGCCCATTGGGGGCAGATCTCCGAGGGATTTCAACGGAGAACGGAGAAATGAAGACGGGAAGAAGAAGAAGAAGAAGAAGAAGAAGAGAAGACACGCTATCACGTTCGTTCGTTCGTCTCTGGGGGTGAGACTAACCTGCGCCGACGGTGGAGACAGCGGCGCATTATAATCTGGATATTTGTCGTTTCAGCGCCGTTGGTGGCGGGGAAACCTCCTCGCCCGGCGCACTTTAGTCGTCGACGCTCCGATTGTCTTATCCCTTTTTAATGTTTTTACCAATAATGCCCTCCGATATCAATGGCTCTGGTAGCGGTTTTAGCATGTAACTTTTTAAAATTGTAGTTGTACTTTTCTCTTTATATTTTTACCAAACTAGGAAGTTACAAACTTGACTATGGTTGACTGACAAAAGTCAACGAGACGGATCTCCTCTACATATTTCCAAGCTCACTTTGAGTCAACCACCTTTTATATCCCTTAATCTCAACTAAGACCCATGGCCATGTGATTTTGACTTTATTTTCTCTTCTTTTTGTAATTTAAAGCCTTTTTTTGGGTATGAATCTACCAAAGTTTGAAACTTTCTCCCCTTTTTTTGGCTCGTTTTGTGTTTTTTTTCAATTAAAAAATTTGTAACACTAAAAATTGGGTTACTTCAAGTGGGCAAAATCACATGAGAGTTTAGAAGAACATTTGACTTTCCAAAGGAGGTTAGAGAGGAGAAATATGTAGAGAGAGAGAGAAAGAGATGCCAAGGGAGGAATCCAATATACCTGCTTGCACAAAAAATTGAAGAGATTATAATTAAATTAAATGATTAATTGTAAGTGGTTAATTATTATTAGATAATTTTAAGTCTATATTAACTAATTCTTTCACAGATTTAAGTTATTATTATTAGAGAGATATTCTATTTAGCATGATGGGATCAGCTGGACCAAAATGGGTTGCTAATGACTCTCTATTTATGTATATTTATGTATATATTTAAGTCAACCCATAATGTAATAAATTCCCCCCGCTTTCTCTTTCTGAAAAGGCACATTGATGGCCATAAATGGGTCATTATCTCTCTCCTTCTCTCCGAGGGCAGATACACCATAAATGGGTCTTTCTTTCGCTCATCAAAGCAGCCACCATATAAGAAAATTAAAAATTATAAACAATGACGCACGAAGTTGCAAATCTAATAGAACGTGGGCCTTTACCAAGTATAAGTACAATTAAACGAATTGATCATTATTATGTGTAATAAATTAATCAATTAATAATGAGAGTGGAGAGAGAGACTTCCGGACCCATGACGAGCCGGGCCTTTAGGAGATAATTCCGGGCTCGGGCTGGGTTTGATATGGTCTGGCCCGGCCCGTTGACAAACCCCTTCTTCTTCTGCCACCGAAGTCAGAGTGGGGTCTTATGGCCCGAGTGATCCCACAGTGTTAATGTGCTGTAAAAGCGTCTCTCTCTCTCTCTCCTCTCTCTCTTCTGTTTCTCTTTTCTCTCTCTTACTCGCTCTTCTGTCTCTCGTCTCTCTCTCTCTCTCACTCTCGCACTAAATGCGCAATGACCGACAGAAATACGAGGATCATGGCGTAAGGTGGGGGGGAGGAAACCAGAGCAGGCAGGGGACGGAGGGAGAGGGGGAGGGAGTGCCGGTGGTGGAGTTCGTCGGAGGGGAAGGTGGCGGCCGAGAGAGGAAGGGCCGGTGGATTCGCGGGATGATATGAGGTGGAAGGAAGGGGACGACGGAGCGGCGGAATCGGCGGCGAGGGGATGACGAGGGGCGGGGGAGGAGCGGCAGAGTTGGGGCGGGCCGGAGGAGGGAGGTGGTGGTGCTCGTACAAGAGGACGACGCTGGTGGTCTGCTGTGTGAATCTGCTGGCTGCTCTCTACGTGCTTCGGTCTATTTGCGCATCGTTGTACATCTTCTCGGCTTCCTCTCCCTCCGTCTTCCCCTCTGCTTACCCCGGCGTCATTTCGTTCTCAGGTATTTCCATTTCCGAGAGTTATGAAAACGGGAGCCTTCCGGTGTGATTGATTTGCTATTTTAGCTGCTTCCTTTGGGATTTTTAGTTTTGGCTCCCCTTAGGCTAACTTGACGGACATGGAGAAATGCATTTTTTGTCGCCTCATTTAGGCGCTCATTTACTTGTGCTGGTTTTCTTTTGGAGTTTCTAAGCTCCAATCTTCTCTCGTTGACTCGGGGTATCATTTGTTTTCCATTTCAGGTGCTAAATTCTCAGATAAACATATTAATAGAATGGAAGAGTCTATTCGTCTAAGACGAGCGGCTCAGCCCATCAAACTTATTAGGCTGGTAAGAGCATCATCTCCTGCAAAGATTTTATTTGATAAGTTTTGATCATTGTCGTTGTCTAATGAAGGTTCAGGGACTCAAGAAGGAATTCTCTAGAAAAGAAAGGAATCTGGAACTATCGCAGCCTGTGAAGCTGGAACTCGCTGAAGAGCTCCTGCAGAGGTTGAAAGAACTTGGAGCTGATACTAATGCGACTTTACAACATGGTCAGCATCGAGAAGCTTTTTATTCCATAGCGGTGTATAAGTTCTTCGGTTTGCGGATGCCAATTTTTTACTTCATTTTCTTTGCACTTTGGAAACGGCCATAAGTCCCCTCATTTATGCTTTAGAATGATGGTGCTTGATTTTTCTAAGATCTAAAGTCCGGATATTGAGTTTAACGTCTGAAATATGAGTATGATAAAAAAATATAAACATTAAATGGAAACATTAAATGTAAACAGGTACATTTATTTTCGTGAGTCGGAAGATCACGAAGATTGCTAGTACTTGGAAAATAATGGTGGCGAAGGTGGTTAGTGGTCTGTTGGTGTCATGAGACAACAGTGAACAACAACAACTTTTGTAGTGTGTGATGCTTGCCATGGGAAATGGAGGTCGAAGGGTGCTTAGTGTTGTAATCAGTGACAACTCTAATTATCTGTGATGCACATTGTAGGTTGCACGGGTTTGAGGTGCAGTTGATTGCCAATATTAGTGATGTACAATGGTGAAGTGGTAATAATTGTCGGTGGTGGGTTGGTTGGGTGGGCGAGTGCATTGTATGCAATGTGGAGTAGTTATAGTTCTGAGTAATCATGTTGGTTGTGACAGTTTGCCTGATGATAATGTTAATGGTGATAACTGCTCATGCTCTTTGAAGGTTTTCGTTTCCATGTACTTTGCACTGGAGGTTCAAGATAACCTATTCAATCCTCAAACGTATCATGATAACTTAAATATTTAAAAAGAGCTTTATGACATGGATGGACTTCAGAGCACAAGTACAATTTTTCACCTAGGAGTGAAGATTGAACATGTTCTTCATATTGTTATAATGTCTAGAACAGTGGAGGTGAAGATCACTTTGAGAATAAAAGAAATCTTAGTCTTTGAAGTCCGTCAGAAACCCTTTTAGATTTATTTAATATATCATAAAATTTTGAGATGGTTTAATGCATATCAGTGATGCACTTGCTTTGTTATGCCCTTTTTGTCAATTATTAGTCATTAATATGATCAATGCGTACATGTGACCCACCTAAACCCTTACGCTAAAGTGTTGATTTGGTTGCAGTTATTGAAAAATGAATATTTGAGTTCTTTGATGATTGGTAAAATCGCCATTTCTTGTTGCTAGCGGGTCATAAGTAGGCTGTGGTACTTGGCTAGCTGTAAAGCCTTCTGGCTTGTACCAAACTATAGGCCACTGTCATGTCTATCATTCAACCTTGCTTCTATGATTGGGTTAATTATAAATGGATGGATGAATTCCTTTTGCATTTTTGCATTCTTCTCTTGATAAAAAAATGTTATACAATGATGGCAACTGTGAAACCCCCACAATTGATTAAATGATGACATTAGGGTACTTCGTTAGTTTCAAACCTCAATTAATATTTAATCATTGCTATGTCAAAGTAGGTTCTTAAATGATGTTTTCAAGTTACTGCTTTTGATTTTTTTTTTATTTCTGTTTTTAGAGACGACAGGTAGCTTTTCAAATTTCTTATGTGCTTTACCTTAAGGTTGCCTTAAGTGATGAGCTTTAACTGCCTAACCACAATATTGGTTTCTTTTTAGGCATCATGTTTTTAAGATTTTATTGGCCATCTCTCAGACTTTCATTAGAGAAAGTGGTATATTGGTTCATGTGTTTATTTCAGATAATGTCTGTTTAATAAAATATCACTTGTTTCTGGGTTCGGTCAACTGATCTATATGAGAAAGTACTGTGGTTGATGTGATGTTGACTCAAGCATAATTTATGTTAAGAACATTTTTTGCCTCTTTTTTAAAAAAATGCTAAAAAATAAGAATGCAGCAATCCATAGGCATTAACAGTAATGCTAGTTTAGGTTTTTCGATTATTTTTCAAATGTCAAATTTATCTCATTTGATTCTGTTGACCAGAAGTTCTGGAAAGATGGCGCACGGAAAAACTGGGAACTGTCAAGATGATGATGGAGAATGCCACACTTAATTCAACCAAAAGTTTTCAGGAAGCACGTATGTCCCCATCATTTTGACTGTTTTCTTATTCCACATTGACAGCTTCTTGATAGGGCTGTCATGTCTGACATTGATTCTCTCTTTTGTTTTTCCATGTGTTTCTTTAAGTTTATCTGATATGATTCACTGTTTTTCATTTTAATTGACTTTCTTTTGTATTGAGATCAGTGGCACTGAAAAGGGCATTTGAATCTGATTGGCTGATGCTATTGGAAGACATTGGTCTATGGATTCCGGTTGAAGTTGTCAACAAGGAGATTGATGACAAACCTGAAGATGAGGAAGAGCCTGGTAGCATTTTGTTCGAGCATATTTTGATGATTTTTATGATGTTGTTCAAGTCTTGGCTCTCATCACATAAATTGGATTCTATTTCCAACGTTTTAAATCGAGAAGCAAAAAACTATTTCGCATGCAGAAAAAAAATTAAGCACAAGAAGAATGACTGTACATGTGACCTACGTTTCATGCCAGTTTAGGAATCATGATGGTATTGAATAAAATACAGAGTCAGTTTGTGACAAGAAGCATCACTTTTCATGTGGATTCTAAGCGTTCCCTTTTTATGCTCCAAGTAGTATGACTGAACATAAAGCGAGCTCAGATTTTGAAAAGTAAATCGTAATGTTGTTGTTGATGATGATGATAACTGTTGTATTAATGAGTGGGTATCAGGTGGGATGGTGGTGTTTAGTTGTATTTTAATGTGCAAGATACTTTATTGCAAGGGTCTCTTGTGAAGTGAAGAATCTGGGAGATCTAGGAAGGCAATCTCAGCTTTGTTGCTACCCCTTCCTTAAAGGCATCAAGAAGTCATGATTTTTGATTTTTTTTTTTGGATACATTTGCTGTTTTGCTATAAGTCAGCGTGCAGATGATTCATGGAATCCATCCCTTTTTCCGCTGGTGGTTTTTACACGATTAAACTCAATTAATCTGTCATGAAACGACTTCTGCTGGGCATATATATTTTTTTGGTTGGGAGGGGGGATAGTAATGGACTATATGGTTTGTTTGCAATTCAATATTCATTACTTTTATAACATTTTGTTTGCTTTATCCTAGATTTATCATACAATTATCTCCTTTTCGGATCTTCTATTTCGGTGATTGTGTTTCTTTTCCTTGAGGAAGTTAACTGTACTAAATTGTACCTTTATTGAAATTTTTCCACTTTTTGGGATTTTATTTGATAAAATGTCAACTGTGGTGGATAATTATGTGATGACTTGACTTAAAAAGATGAGAGAAAGTTCTGGGGTGAAGGAATCCATGCATTTATTACAGTGAAAAGAAGAATAAAATATGTTTTATCAGATTTTTGTATAGCTTTGTCTAAAATTTATGATTCGTTTGTATAATTTTTAAGATGCTTTTTTGTTTATTTCTTTTGTTGTGCCATTCTTTGCAAACGAAGAAATCATACCTGGCCGCCCTATTCCACCTGAGTGTCATGCTGAGCCGCACACAGATTATGATGGAACTGCTGTTAGATGGGGTCTTACCCACCACAAGGAGAGTGCTGCTGATTGTTGCCAGGCTTGTTTGGATCATGCAAAACGTGCAAAACCTGGGGAAATTAAGTGTAACATATGGGTGTACTGCCCTTTGGAGTCTGGATGCTATTCCCCCGACATTTATGAGCACAAACATCAGGAATGTTGGTTAAAACAGGTAACTATCTTAGATTTTGTTTAAACTTCACCCGTGGACCACAGTCATTTTTTATCTGAAAAAGCTTGTACTGCGTTAGTATGGTTCCCATGCTATATTTTATTTCCAAATTTCTATGTCATGATGGACATTAACTCTGTATTTGGAAAAGAACATTGCCATGTTGTTCCTCATTTTTTTCATGAACTTTATTGAAATTTTAATCTTTTCCTTCAGCTCAAGACTCTCAAATCAGCATTCTTTCCCCCAGTTCTTGTGGTTGCTTCTGATCCTCCTTTCCTTTTCTGCTTGCCATCTTTCGAAAAGTGCATCTACTCAGTGGAATGAAATAAGTTCTATTTTTGGTTGGTTTCTTGTGGTTGCTTTGATTAAGAATGATTAGTTGACTTTACCGACGGGGGGGGGGGGGGACCAACTCAATTATTTGAGTCTGTTGGTCCTGATCCAAAGTAGGCAGACTTACCTAAAGCTAATCATTTGTACAGCATTCATGATGAAGTTCGTTCTGATGTTAAGATTCAATGCAGAAGAGCCAACAGAACGCAAGCTGACTGGAAGTACAGGAAATGAAAAAAACTAAAATAGAAGGTGTCCTGCTTTTGACCATTCCCTATTTGTATTTGGTAACAAAAAGAGTAACCATGTGAAGTTGTTGGTGGAAGAAAAGGGCAGAGGGAGGCTGATTGAGCCATTAAATCGGGATATGGGAATTACTGGTTGGCTTCTGATCCCGATGTTCAAACTCCGGGTCACACTTTTTGGGAGAAAAAAAGAAGTTTGTCAAATATTCACTGGTGTTCATAAATTATAGGGTCAACTTATTGGCCGATATAGTAAATCGTCATGGCTTCATTCTTTCTATTAAAATCAACTTAAAGATCATATATTCACTGATTGCTTTGATCCTATCTGTGCAGGAGATCTCTATTGGATGAAATGAAGAAAAAAATTGGTTGGGTCTTGATCTTTCCCGGCAGAAAAAAAACAGATTAATCTTATTTTATTTGAGAATCACAGATGAACACAACCGATGCTTATGATTGTTCCTTAACTGAGCCATTTTATTTTTGCTGATTTTTTTTTTTCTGAAATCTTGGCACTTTAAGAACCTGGAACCACGGGATATTAATTCTCATTTAATGAAATCAGGGCCCCTCATCTGACCATCCACATTAATTGCAATTTCAGGCAGGAATTCATTTCCATGTACTGAAATGTTTGCCAAATGGGCATTAATTTGCAATTCTCAAATAAAATAATCATATTATTTTTTTTCCCTAAGTTCCTGGTTCATTTAAACAAAATCAGTTCCTTGCTTGTAAGCATCTGTTTGCTTTTTAAAGGCTTCAGCGGTGGTGAAATCTCATTTCCTGTTGTTCTATTTCTGACCTCATCTGCCTGCCCTATTCGAGTTGCAGGCTGACAAGCCCAGGCTGAACTTCAAAGACAAATATTCCGAGTCCTACAGAAGCTCACACCCATCTGCACCAGAGGTTGTCCCATGGATGTCTGGTGTCATTGCCTGAGGAAGATCGGTCTTCCGTGCTCTTGAGGTGCGAGTGGAGACCCCATGGAAAAGGTACATAGGGCACATAATTCCTATTTATCTATCTATTGGAATTTATATATGGCTCAGACCACTGATTCTCTTGGTCTCCCTCCTACCATCTGTTTTTGGCACCCCATTTACTGTACCGTGTAAGTTTTTTTTTTTTTTTTCTTTTGTTCTTTGTCACCATGGTGTTCTCATAAATTAAGTTGATGGGGTCCCTCGGTCTGAGAATTGGGATGATTCTTATAGTTTTTTTTTCAGATGAAAATTACCCGGAAATCGGAAGAAATCATGAGGCTTTATTTTATAAATTTGTGATGCGGCCAATTGGCTAGCTAAGCCCAGAGCTAGGCCATTGAGAGGCTCTGGGGTTCTTTCCTCGCAGTGGCTTTTACTAGGCTCCTCGCTCTCTCTCTCTCTCTCTCTCTCTCTCTCGCTCTATAACTATCCATATCTCATAAGTACTTGTAGAGGGCCTGGTGGAGTCACCTATGATAGTTTCTTGTGTGAGAGAGAGTTTCTTGCGGGAGGTAAGTTTAGTACTTGATCTCCTTTGGGCATCAGTGTAATGGAGAGAGAGAGAGAGAGAGAGAGGGAGGGTGAGAGGACTTGATCTCCTCTGGGCATCAGTCTAATGGGGAGAGAGAGAGAGAGGGTGGGGGAGAGGGAGAGAGAGAGAGAGGGTGGGGGAGAGGGAGAGAGAGAGAGAGAGGGAGAGAGAGAGGGTGGGGGAGAAGGAGAGAGAGAGAGAGAGGGTGGGGGAAGGGGAGGTGATGAACTCGATTTAGATGTTAAATATGTTGTTGTGATGTAATTAAATTCATGCAAATAATATTTATATGTTTAGGATAAGTAAAGGTCGATTTTCAAGAAGTATGAGTAATGAGAGTAATATATATGTATATATTTGAGATTGTGAAATTCATAATTAGTTTAACAAAAGTAAAGACAAGATAAATGAAAAGTGTGACAAATAAGATAAAATAGATATAATGTAATGAAATGATAAAATAAATAATAAAATTAATTTGAACTAAGAGTTAATTTATTCATGAAGAAGATTATAAAGATACCTTAGATCTAGATCTTACACATACTTCGTTGTGTGTTAGTCTTAGGTTGAGTGGTGTCTAATTTATGACGATCTTGATGGGCTTTAGGTAGTCTCTTTTCCATGATGATTTTGAGTATAAGAATGTCGTTGACTAGGCTTTGATTTCTCTTTTTTTTTTCTTCGGCTAACCACTGCTAAAAAGAGAATTAAAAAGCCCTTCTAATAGATAATTATGGTTATTAACCAACTCTCTTGGTAGACAACTTAGATTCTTCTATGAGGGTGACATTTTAATCTTCTTCTTAATTTCATCTTAAGGTGTTCTAAGATGGACAACTTAGATCTCATCTCTTGATAACCTTTTTAAATCCAAATGGGTTAGGCTAAGATTATGCCTTCTCTTAAGTTATAAATATATTAGGCTGGCCCTCTTCATAAGACTTAGGGTTTTTTTTAGCTTGAAGACTTAAACTTCTTCTATTACTTCTAACTCATAATAAGAGCTCACTTTAGTCCTTACAATCAAATAATTATCAAGAAATTATGAGAAAATTACTACTTAATTTTATAAAAGTCAAGTGGGGTTGTCTCATAATATAAATAAAATAAATAAAATAGTATACATTATGACTTAAATAATAAAATATTATGAATGCCATAATGAGTTAATAATATATGTATAATTACATTCTCTACCTATTAATTAACATTTATATATAAGATATTAATATATTGATGTAACTATTAATTTTTAATTGACTGAAGCAAAAGGTTTCTCCTATTGAAGGGCTTCTCAAAGATGTCTTCTTGTCACTAGTAATGATTGACGACAAACTCTAGAGTGACTTGTATGAGGTTTGGGCTGATGATGACCCTCCATCCTTGTATTGTTACAGCTCCATGAATTTTAGATTATTGGCAAGATCTTGGAGATGGGGAGGATACTAAGAGTAGCTCAGTAATATTTGCAAGTCCTTTTGTCATCTGTCAATGCTATCTCTCTCTCTCTCTCTCTCTCTTATCCTCTTGCTAGTTTATCATTTGTTTCATTCTACTTCATTATCATTCTCTTACATTTCTCAAGGCATCTTGCTACAGTGACCTTTTTGCTTTCTACTACTCTCTCTCCTCTCTCTCTCTCTCATCATTCCGCTAAGTTATTATTGAGTTATGGATTAACTCAAAATAGAAATTATAATTTTGATGATTTTTGCATACTAATATGAAATTGATTTCTAGATGTTATGTAATGTAAACTGAATAGGAGATTGATATATTAAATGATATTAAAGGGTTTAGATTATTTCAACAAAGAACTAAGGTATTGATCATACAAATGTCTTATTTTATTTCAGATTTCTATTAATACTATGCTTGTTATACAATATCGTTATAAAGGCAATAAAAAGTTTCTATGAGATAAATATGTTATCATCTAATGTCTAAGTCTTAATCTTTTGAGTTTCTATATCAAATGACTCCAATAATATAGGTATATAGTAACCAATATGAAGGTCTTTAAATGTGCAGTGAAATGAAATAAAATGATCAAGACATTGATTTGATATTGATTAGGGGGACCTCTTTTTCTTCCTCTTCTCCCACGTCATCTTCATCATCCGTCCCGTCGCCAGCCCTCTCTTTCCTCTCTCCTGCCACCGCAGCCATTCTGTATTCTAGCCATCTGCCTTGTCACCAAACCCACATTTCTTTCCACCCCCACTGTTGTTGCTGTTCTGCCTCTTCATCACCCGTTCCTTGCTGTCGTTCCACCTCCTTGCTGTTCGCCCTGTCGTCACCATTCCACCTCCTCGCCAACAGCCTCGTCGCCGTTGTTCCGCCTCCTTGTCATTTGTCTCGTTGCTGCCATTCCACCTCCTTGCTAGCAGCCTCGACACTGTCGTTCCGCCTCCTCATCATCCGCCCCGTCGCCGCCATTCCGCCTCCTTGCCATCTGCCTCATCGCTGTCGTTCCTCTTCCTCCTCATCCGCCATGTCGCCGTCGTTCCTCTTCCTCCTCATCTGCCCTGTTGCCGCCATTCTGCCTCCTCGCCGTCCGCCATGTTGCCAGCCTGTCGTTGCCACTAGACCCCCTTCCGGCCATCCTCCCATCGCGAAACCCTCTTCCTTTCTCTCTCCCACTGTCGCAACCATCCAACTTTTTGACGCCTGTCCCAATGAGACCGTTTTTCTCTCTCCCCCGACGCTCTCATTTGCCACCTTCTTCTTCCTTCCTCTTTAGTTATTATTTAATTATTCCCCTCAATTCTCGTCAGCATGAGAGCTCTCTACTTTTCTCTCTCCCGCCATCACCACATACACCCCGTATCCTCTCTCTCTCTTCCCTCTCCTCCATTTTAATTTCTTCTGTTGACTCTCATTATTCTTCCCACTTATCCCACCTCTATTTTCCTCTTTCATTCTCAATTCCTCCTCCACACCCTAAGCATTCTTTTCTTCTGTTTTCTAATACTCTTAGGAATCAACTCAAGAACTATAGATCTCAAGCCACTAGAATCAAGAAATCAATCAAGAATTTCCTTTGGGCAAAGTATGTTGATTTCAATTCTCTTTGTGAAGTGATCATTATTTTATATCCTTGTTCCTTATAGGAACTGAGTGAACCATAAGATGGCCCTCTCTTGTGCCTTTTATCAATAATCCTAACACCCCTAGTTGGAACTATATCTGAACTCTTGAAAGTGCAATTCTTCTCAGGTAATTATGATCTTAATTCTTCTAAAATAAGTGAGATTAGTCTACCCACAATCCTCCTTAACTTAACCAAGGTCAATCTTAAATCTCAACTTTCTTTTCTATATTGATTTTCACTCTCTTCTCTCTTTAGTCCCGCATCAATTGATATCAGAGCCTAGGGTTAATTACCTAATAATCTAGGATTGTAAAGATTAATCTCTTTTCTTACATTGTCCTTAATATCATCAGATAAGTTTGGGTCTTTTCTTGGCTCAGATCATTCCTCCCTAAAGATGCATAATAAGTTGGGTGATATTTGTCCTCTCAAGGAAGGAGAAAATAATCACCCTATGAATGATCCTATCCCTACATGAGCTAAAATGCTCATGGATACAATAGAAAACCTTAGTCTTAAGGTGGAAGAACCCTAATTCTTGCACTTCTTCTTAGAAGGGTTGACCTCAAAGGTTGAACCTCTAATTGACCATCTTCCATCAGATTGCATTGACTTTCTTGAGTGGAAGAGTCTTAATTGGATCTAGTGATCCTATCACTAGATCCTATTCTCTAAGCCCTTCTCTAAAGATAAATTCTCAAATATTAGATAGGAGCTTTTAATTTCATCCTTTGTTCTACACTTGAAAATCATTCCTAAGGGGTTAGCAAATCTCAAGGAAGCAATCTCACTTCTTGAAACACCAAGACTAGAAATTTTAAATCAATTTCCCTTTCACTCACCCTCACAACTAGTAGTAGAAGGTTAGTCTTTTTATTTCCTTCATTTCCTATCCATTCATTAAAATGCCCAAGATCTTGAAACCTCTCACAACACGTCTTGCACTTTATTTTGTATCTCATGAGTTAAAATCATCAACTAGAGGTTGCCAAAAATTCCTTGGATGTAGCCTTTACCACAATTGCACACAATATTGTTTCCATCAATAAATCAAGCTAAATATTCCTAGTAATGGTTCCAATATTTCTGTGGTTCACATCCCCATTGTTGTAATCACCATTTTGTCTCATCTTCAAATCCATGCATGATTCATCTCTCCAGCCTACTACACTTTGCCTACCCAATCCTTTCCACCTCCACCTATGGATGCTCAGTCCCACTATTCCAACACCTCCTATCGCTCCATGGTACCACCATTCTCATAACTCCTACTACTACTATCAAGTGCTGCCAGTCCATCACTTTGCCCACAATGTCCAATATGATAAATGAAATCTTCAGGTCCATTATCATTCAAAACTTGACACCACTACCTCTCAGCCCAACTCAATTACATGAACATGGCTTAGTGGACCAAGCAAGGGGCCTAAAACGACCTTCACATCTATTTATTTCTCTTCTTGAAGTGCTGAATCGTGCTTCAAAGACCTCTATACTAATAGGAAGACCCATATAAATAAGATCATTGAGATCTCACTTTTTGATTCTTACAGAATTTATCTAAGTTGTCTTTTCGTGCTTTTAGGTGGGACCAAATTATTCACCTTCTATCTATAAATATATCATTTTATTCAAATGCTGAAATCTTATCCTCCTAGCCTTATGACCTATGTCAAAGGCACTAAAATCAAACTAGCTAAGAACCTCATAAGAGAAAATCTTCATATCCCCTTTGGAGGAATCTCACACTTTGATCATGAGAAAATTTCACAACTCTTAGGCTCTCTTATTGACATTACTTATCTTGATTCAATAACCATCATCACTCAATTTTTATTTTTCACTTTCGTTGGCTACCCTATAATGTTAGGGCATTGTGTGCATAATATTTTGATGAGACAAAGTAATAAAAGGTCAATTAAATGATTGAATTATACCTCACTCCAAATATACATAACATTATAATAAATATAATAATATTTATACTGAACTCAACATGAAGATGTTAATGATACAATTGATAATTTATTATATAGATATGTCATGACAAAGAATCAGAATCTATAAAATTGATTGACCTTGTGGCATGAAATAGTTGTAACATATATTACTATGAAAATTATAATATTTATAAGATATTCTTTCATGCAAAAGTAATGGTCAACACATCATGTCCAATGAGGCATCAAAGAGTAAAATATAAGTATGGAAGCTCACTAAGTTTTTTATACACTCATGATATTAGTTTGTTATTTTTAAATGATTTTTATATCAAACTAATTAATTGAAGATTGCATAACTTTATGCACTCATGATTTTGATATTATGTCAAATGTTTTTTTCTGAATATTTAAGAATATATATTAAAAATCATTTTAAATATCTTGAATTACCAAAATGTTAGGCAACTAAAACATTTATTAGAATTGAGTAAAAACCGTAGGCAACCCACCGCTCTACTCTTAACTTTCCATGAAATAGTGAAGTTTATCCTTGATCACTGATAAGTCTTCATTATCATGAGTTAATAATTAGTAAATAATATAATTTTAGCCTTAACTCATGATAAATAGACTTATATTTGTGTTAAAGTGTGAAAAGTGATTTTTAGTTGATTAATGTGATTTTTTGACTAATTATGTGATTTTATATGAATTTATATAATTTTTACAATCTTACTTTTGAGATAAATAAAGAAAAAGAAATAAAAATAAAAATATAACAAAATGGGGGATACCTGCTGACTAATTGAGCCCGCAAGCAAATCGGAAGCACAGTTGGGGAGGAGCCGTGAGTAGGGGCTCAAGTGGCTAGGACTGATAGGGGCACGTGTGCGCCACTCCCCTTCTACGTCACCGGTGGCCAGTCGGCTGTGGGGTAGAGTGGTCATACATGTAGGAGAAAAAGACTTGCGAGTGTAATATTACTATATATTCACTTGAAACTTTGACGCACAAGCGATGTTGGACTAAACCCACGTCACACCTTCCCTAGAAGGCTTCGATGATTTTAATATCTATAATAACCCTTATTTATAATAGAGATATACTATGATGATGTCATTTG